CGACCTGGCGACCTTGATTCATTACCCTGCACTCCATGACCCCAGAATGAAAATGCGGGAATCCGGAGTCATGGGTCCGGGTCATTGGTCCGGAGTCATGGGTCCGGGTCATTGGTCCGTGTCATGGGTCCAGGGTCATTTGTCCGAGTCATGGGTCCGTGGTCATTGGTCCGGTGTCATGAGTCCGGGTCATTGGTCCGTGTCATGGGTCCAGGGTCATGGGTCCAGGGTCATTGGTTTGAGTCATGGGTCCAGGGTCATTGGTCCGGTGTCATGGGTCCGGGGTCATGGCTCAGTGGTTCTGAGTCATGGTCCGGGTCAATGGGTCTGGGGTCATTGGTTCTGAGGCACGGGTCCGGGGTCATTGGTATGGTGTCATGGGTTCTGAGTCATGGGTCCAGTGTCATGGGTCTGGGTTCATGGGTCCGGGGTCATGGGTCCAGGGTCATTGGTCCGTCATGGGTCCGGAGTCATTGGTCCGGGGTCATTGGTCCGTGTCATGGGTCCAGGGTCATTGGTACGGAGTCATGGATCCGTGGTCATTGGTTTGGAGTCATTGGTTCGGAGTCATTGGTCCAGTGTCATGGGTCCGTGTCATGGTCCAGTGTCATGGGTCCAGGGTCATTTGTCCGGTGTCATGTGTCCGGGTCATCGATCCAGGGTCATTGGTCCGGGTCATTAGTCCGGAGTCATGGGTCCCGGGTCATTAGTCTGGAATCATGGGTCCGGGGTCATTAATCCAGTGTCATGGGTCCAGGGTCATTGGTCCGTGTCATGGGTCTGGGGTCATAGTCCGGGAGTCATGGGTCCGGGGTCATTGGGTCGGTGTCATGGGTCCGGGTCATTGGTACAGAGTCATGGGTCCGGGTCATTGGTCCAGAGTCATGGGTCCAGGGTCATTGGTCCAGTGTCATGGGTCGGTTTCAGGGTCATTAGTCCGTGTCATGGGTCTGGGGTCATTGGTCCGGGAGTCATGGGTCCGGGTCATTGGTCCGGGAGTCATTGGTCCGGTGTCATGTGTCTGGGGTCATTGGTCCGTGTCATGGGTCCTGGAGTCATGGGTCCGGGGTCATTGGTCCGTGTCATGTTTCCGGGTCATTGGTCCGGAGTCATGGGTCATTGGTTCTGAGTCGGGCCCGGGGTAATGGGTCCGGGATCATTGGTCCGGAGTCATGGGTTCAGTTTCATTTGTCCGGAGTCATTGGTCCGTGTCATGGGTCCGGGGTCATTGGTTCTGAGTCATGGGTCCGGGGTCATTGGTCCAGTGTCATTGGTCCTGAGTCATGGGTCTGGGGTCATTGGTCCAGTGTCATTGGTCCAGTGTCATGGGTCTGGGGTCATTGGTCCGAGTCATGGTTCGGGGTCATTGGTTCTGAGTCATGGGTCGGGTCATTGGTCCGTGTCATTGGTCCAGAGTCATTGGTCCAGGGTCATTGGTCCGGTGTCATGGGTCCCGGGTGTCAATTTTGTGGTATAGCATTTGTCTAATGAATGCGTTGATTAGCAAATGCACATTTGTGTTTTTAACTTTGATTGAAAATGCTATGTTTCATAGCGTATACAATTGACAGTAATATTTACTCTGAAACTATTCAAGCAAGGTCCGATTAAAATGATCTGTTGGCATATTTTCACATAAAAGGGGTGGTCACAAAGCATAATGGGAACACAGCCTTCATAGCAATGTAAGAAGAAATGTTTTCTGGTAGCAAATTTATCATTAATCATCAAGAAAGGTTAATGAAATTGCTTCGTAATTTGCAAAGCGTTAATTTTTGTCTTGATCAAGTCAAAATATTGATTGTAAATTTTTCTATGTAGTTCAATTCAACTTGAGTCTTGAATACACAACAAAATGATGATGGAGAAATTATGTTATATATTGAGCATTATCGAATGGTTAAAGTGTATGCTTACTTTTCATCTAAAAACATATCATAATAAAATCCTTCTTCAATGGGAGGACCGTAACACAGCAGACCACCATAATGGCGTTCCATCGCTTCACCCATTATATGAGCACTTGAATGCCAAAATACCTGTTGAGCTAGACAAGATGAAGCAATGTGAAAAATCAAATCTTTTGAACAAAAGCTTATAACTTCATGCAAAAACAATACCTTCTTTGTCATCAAATTTTAAAAGTTCCAGGTTGGAATCATTCTCTAATAGTCTATCTAGATCAAAAACCTCGCCATTCACCTAAAAAGCAAATAACATAAAGTTATGATGAATATGTAGTGTTTAGTACATGGCAATGATCAAAATTTATAAATACCTTAGCAATGACAGCATTGTCTGCCAAACCTTGACTAAAGAGGATAGAAATGAATATTTTAATATTAAATACCAGTTTACTTTAAAATGCAAGAATAAAGTAAATCTTTGACTTCCTTTAAACCTTATTGATAGAGCAACATCAAATGGTGTTGTCTTCCATGCAATGCCTTCGATTTCATTCCCATTTGGCAAGGTTATTTTTATTGTTTCGTTCAGAGAAGCCTTTGCTAAAATAATGGAACAAAAAGTGACGAAAACTTACACATTATACTCAAAACACATATTATCATAAACAACTGACGAAAAGATTTACAGTAAAACAATGCGTAACTATACATCAAACAAGGCTTTTGTCATTGAATTTATCAACATTTGAAGTGCGTTTTAAAACAATAAATCAAAATTTCACTAACCTTCCTTTCACTTTCGAGTCTTGAGGGCATCTACCGTTGTGTAAAGTGATTGACGTTTATTAAGATCATTTGGTTCCGATCGATTTCATTGGTTGATTTCAATGAGCTCTACAAATGTTATTGGATAAATTTTGAGCTCTTACATCTTTGATTGGCTACATTTCTACAATATGTTAAATATTAAAACTTATCCCAAATAAGTGAAAGGTAAATTAGGTAAGACACTTTTGATAACGTCTCTCTTTGAAATAAAATGACATTCAAAAAAAGTGTTTCTGCTTTCAAATATAATCATCCCTTAATTTTTCATATTTCTGACAAGACGACTAAAAAACATTGTAAACTGTAAACAACTTGCCTCCCTTTTCTGTTGGGAACAAACCCTGTTCAGCTTCATTCCATGTAACCAGTTCATGAATTTCTCAGGTGGAGTTGATAGCTCAACAATGAACGTAAAACCAAAGATATCGTAAACAGAACGTAAGAAGTCAAGACAACTGTCTATTTCTGATGAAATCTACGCAAAAATAACAAACATTACAACTCACTACAAAAATTTAGAAAACACGACGTATCGTCTAAGAGGTAGTAAAAATGACGCGATATGACAAAAAATATGGACGAGACACGTCATTTTACACCTTTCTACGATGTCTTAGACGATACGTCGCGTTTTCTGAAATGTTCTGCCGAAACTCTTAACGCTGAAATAATCGTGACATGTGAAAAAAGTTGTGAGTTGAAATCAAATATTTACTTGAAATGCTAAAAAGAATACGTGAATCTATTATTTACCTGTTACATTGTACAAAAAATGTGAGCATCATCCTGTTGAAATCTTCTTCTAACTCTCGCAAGTCCACTCAAAGCACCAGATAACTTGTTTCGATGTAACACGCCAAAATCAGCCATACGCAATGGTAATTCACGCCAGGAGCGAGGGCGATGATCGAACATCAAACTGAAGATATAAAAAATTCACTTTAGTTGGCAGAAAGAACGCCAGCAAATGAGAATAGAAATCCTCAGAAGATCAGATTTTGATACACGCTAAAATGAAGACGTTTTCTTAATCCATGATGAACTTTGGAATCAGTTTCACGATAACCCCCCCCTTTCCACACACATCTTAACCACAAACTTCATTCACAAGAAAACTTACCAATGTCCAGGACAGTTCATTGCCTTAAGAGCATAAACTTCCTTTTCTATTTCAAACTTGAATAAATTCTCAGAATAATGTTGCCAATGACCTGACGTCATCCACAGTTTGGTGCTGTAGATATTTGGTGTAACAACTTCTTCAAACACACGCTTCCAATGTCGATTTCAAATATATTTAATTTGATCTTAAAACGCTGAAGCAGTACTGTACACTTGATTTCAGTGTTGCGAACTTTCGATCACAAAACACGAAAGATATCAATGATGACCAAAATATACCAAGCTTTATTGAAAAAGAGTAGTGTACCAACCAAACTTGACACAAAAACAACAACAATAACACTTGAAATATTGAGCATGCACATAATTGGACATTTTAATGTTACTTTTTAATGCCTACTAGTTATTAAAATGGATATGTTCTTTCTTTCTTGCATTATGTTCATCAACTTTCTTGGTAATCTAAATGTTCCAATGCAAATATTTAGCTTAGTTTATCGTATTGTGACAAACTAACAGCGGTCATATTCAAAACATTGAGGTTAATAAAAGAGAGGATTTTAAAAATGTACAGAGAAAAACAAGACATCAAGAAAAATGATCATAATGCAGTTTACCACGGATGTATTTATGGAGAAAGGGGGGGGAGGGTGCTAAAACAACTGTCAGATTACACATTTAACATGTGAATGACATAACGACAACCAAGAGGGAGCCACAGAAATCTAATTAAAACTATAAGAACCAAATGACATCTAATAAAAACTAGAGCACCCCCTGCTCTGTATGAGTATGTTGCTCTATTAATAAAAAATTTGAGATTATTACTGCTGAGAGAACAAACAAACCTTTTGCCTTCCTCTGGTATTTTTTTTCCTTTTCTTTTTGTTCATAAATCGTTGAGTTCGCTCTATTTTAATCTCTCCCAATATTCTTTGTCTTCGTATTCTAATAGAAACACGATTGTTTAAACGAGGATTTTGAGCGATTAAGAACAATACAAAATGAAATGCGCGGGAGCAACTATGCATTAGACAAAAAAATCTAGTGACGAAATCCCCGAAAATTCAATGTAGCTTTAATAATATTATCTTATTTATTATGGTTGGGTAACTCGTCCAATATATATTTTATCTGGCGAAGTTTAAAATTGCATTAAAAATGTTTTACTTTCTCGTGCGTTACGTAAACGGAGTGATGACGTATCAGTTTGACGTTAACAGCGCTATTACTAAGAAAAACTAACCTGAAAGTTTTTCAATTTTTATATCTTTAACACAACCATCGCTTTTCGAGAATGTTTCTACAACTTTCTCGTACATTTCCTTTGTCGGGAACCGTACATAACCCTTATAAAGCAAAAAAACATCGCTTCTATCTACTATTTAAGAAAACGGTAAGATTAAATTGATGTAAGAACCATCAAAAATGGGGGATGAATTAAAGCAATGACATAGCTACTTACTCCTTTTTTGTTATCGTTTATTTCAAGATAAGCTACAGTGGTAATTGTTTAAAATATGTCCTTAAAGAATGCACAAACAATTAATAAGTTGATAAAGCTGTTTAGTGCTATTTAGCTTGGGCCGGTTGCATGAAACTTGGACAACGTTATCCATTGGATAGCAACTTTTTTACACTTTTATAAAACCTTTTAAAAAGCAAAAAGTATAAGTATCCAACTGAACAATCACTGAAATAAAATATTTTTGCAAAATTTAACTCATAAACAATTTTCTTACAAGTTGAAAAATTTTTGCTATCAAATGGATAACGCTATCCAGGCTTCGTGCAACCGGCCCCAGAAGAACAAAATACTTACCAGTACCTCTGTTGAGTCAACATTTTCATTTGATTTAAACCTTAGAACAACGCCATTCTGCCGTTCAAGTTTTTCAGGAAGTTTTTTCTCATCTTTTGCATTATTTTCTGCTTTACAATTCACTTTATCCTTTATTTTTCGCTGTGGAACTTCTGCAGTTGATACCTCAAACTCGATCTTCAGTTTTGTTTAGCATCTTTCATCGCTTGTTTTTGTAATTGGCGATATTCATTCTTTAACTTTTACCATTCCATCCTAAGAATACAGAGAAAAAGAGGAAAATTTTTCATGAACGGGCAAAATTATATCAAATACTCATAAGGAAATGTACGAAACAATTCCGTATTCGGCAAATACTGATCTTCAATCCAATCTTCAACCAATATCTCGGACATTAGATTTAGGATTAATAAAACGTGAAATTATAAGCGATATGTTAATGAGTCGAACTTACTTTGATATGACTCGAAGTTTTGGTTTTTCCAATTCAATATTGTCTTTTACTTTTTGTCCGCTTTCGTTTTTCATTTTCGTCTCTACGTGTTTTTCTCTCTACACGTCATTTTAAATTCTTGTTCATGAATATTGTCTCCTTTGTCGATCTGTTTGTTTTTCTTATTTGAAGTAGCCTCGTGCCCGTTGTCTTCAGACATCGTTTACGTTTCTTTGTTTTTTGTTCATCAGAATCTTCATTGCTTCCACTTATTTTCCTCCCATTTTCACTTTCCTTTTTCACCGTCTTTTTAAAAATTTCCTGTGCATTGTCTTTTTCGATTATAGTTTTTGTTTTACGTATTTTTATACACTTTTACTCAAAAGACTATAGTCTTTGCATTTTTACTCTTTTTTACTCAAAAGACTATAGTCTTTGCATTTTTACACACTTTTACGCAAAAGACTATAATCTTTGCATTTTTACACACTTTTACACCTAAGACTCTAGTCTGCATTTTTACACACTTTTATGTTAAAGAGTATAGTCTTTGCATTTTTACACACTTTTACGAAAAAGACTATAGTTTTGCATTTTTACACACTTTTATGCTAAAGACTATAGTCTATACATTTTTACACACTTTTACGCAAAAGACTATAGTCTTTTTATTTTTACACACTTTCACATCAAAGACTATAATCTTTGCATTTTTACACACTTTCACACCTTAGACTATAGTCTGCATTTTTACACATTTTTACTCAAAAGACTATAGTCTTTGCATTTTTACACACTTTTACGCAAAAAACGATAGTCTTTGCATTTTTACACACTTTTACGCAAAAGACTATAGTCTTTGCATTTTTACACACTTTTATGCAAAAGACTAGTCTTTGCATTTTTACACACTATTATGTGAAAGACAATAATCTTTGCATTTTTACACACTTTCACGCGAGGAAATCTTTGGGAGAACTCGAGAGCAGTTCAGTGCAATCTCGAAACCCAATGTCTTGGGCTGCACATGCTCCAGAGTTCTCCCAAATGTCTCCAAATTCACCACTCTTGGGAAGTAAGGATCAGTTAGGAAACATTTTCGTCAACTCGCGGTTGTAATCGTATAACAGTGTATCTTCTCAAATGACATGATGTCATTTTTTATATTTTAAACATTCACTAGGAAGCATTACAACTAAACAGGGGGTTTGTGTTGTTTTTGAGTTCTATTGGAGTCAAGCAGTGGGATTTTCTTGTTGTTAACAAGATAGTTAAGTCGGTTCTCCTGTCTTAATCAAAGAATACATTATGTTTATGGTGCCAGAAAGAAGTGTGTGTTTTTCATCTGAATCATTAAATAGAACTCAATGGGTCTTACTTTAGTATAACAAAAGCAAACGATTATAAAATTTAACACTGTTATAAACAATATATAAATATGTCTCACAGATTATTGAAAACGCAAAAGTGGCTAAATATCACCGTTTTAGTCCCCATTTCTGTCTTCTTAACACGTCAATAGCTCTTTCATATTTAACAACCATTGATCTGTGATTAAATAAAAGATTAAATCTTTTCGATACAAAAAAATTAAATGTACATTTGACTTACTGAAGAGTAAAGATTTCATCAATCACAAATTCAATGGAGCTATCTCCGTTGGGAAGTTCATTATTAACACTAGAAATGGATAATTTAAAAAAGGTTGAGAAGATGAATGATTTACATGAGAAAATAAAAGATTGACCTGTTTGATTCGGAATGCCCGGAAATAACATCGTCAAACAATTCCATGTCATCTTTAGGTAGAAGATTTTCAAGTTCCTCCATTTCTTTAGCAAAGTTTTGTCTGTCTTCCAATTTTTCATTTAAACCAGATTTATCTAGATTATTTGTTGCATCATCTGACTGATTAGTATCCCATGTTTCTTCCTCATGGGATAATTTCGTGTTGGATGTCTTCAGTATTGTTTTAATCCATTGATCCTGGCTACTATCATTGCAGCTTACCTAAAGCAACAAGATCAGTAGGATTACAATTGATATAAAGTATTCATAGGTAATGACTATGGGAATCACAAAAAATACCTTCATATCTTCATCAATGTCGTCAATGGAAGGCTTTTCCATTTTCATAGGAAGAGTGAATGATTTCAAAGATGCGAAAGGAACCTGTTGATCTTCTTCATTTTTATGATTACCTTTCTGTGAAGCATCTTCGACTTCAGTCATTGATTTTCCAACGTTTCCAACTTGAGAATCGTTTATTCTTAATTCATCGAATGAATCACTCAAAGGTAATACTTTCTTGCCATTCTTTGTATTCTCTTCTGAATTATTTTCATGCATGGAAGTATTCACAAAGCTGTTGCTCGTTTCAATGAAAAGAAAAAAATGTTCCTTTTTCTTCTCTTTTACAAACGGTATTTGATCTTTTTGTAGAGATGCCTCGCTTTTGACTGCGGATGCCTTGTCAATGATGATGCTTTTATTACCAATGACCTGTGAGTCTTCTTTAAATTCAACTGCATGCGGTGAATGGATCTTCATTTCATGTAAAAGTTGTTTTTTATGGGTATCTGTGACGATATGACTTAATACGGTTCTTGAAGTACTCTCTACTGAGTGATTTTCATTCAACATGTTCTTTACTGACATTATTGCATGATCAATTTTATGTTCAGTTTGCATGATAGAACGCGAAGAAAATTCCAAGTGTGAGTGGTTACTCGTTTCCATTGCCTCGACTCTAGAAATTATTACTGAAAGCACTTTGCTAATCTCTTCAGCCCTTTGAGATTTTTGTTCTCTCGAAATGTTTTTGAAGTCTCCATCACAACACGACGAAGAAATTTTCGATACTGCATAAACAGGTAATCCTATATGCTGGGACGTGAGAAAACTTGTCTTGTCATTAACTGAACGTGTTTCTTCACGTTTTAAAGATTCCATTTGTGAAAGAGGATTACACTCAGATGACGTCTCCAAATCTTCAGGATAGATTACTTTGTCCATGACTTCATTCATACATTTTCTGTCGTCATGAAAATGTTCTTGAATTTTGTCGGCACATTCATGGCATGCAATATTTTCATTTACAGTCACTTCTTTTGTGCTAAGATGGCTTTCAATGAAATTATCACAAGCTTTATTTGACATTGCTTTATTTGTGGCGAGGATTTTTGAAAGAATCATATCCTGAAAAGCTCTTCTATCTCCTTAAATTCACTATTATAAGTTGGCTGAACATCATCATCTGTCACATCTATACCATAAAAATACGCCATTTTTTCAATTTAAGAGCAAATATAACTTACATTTCAGGGGCCGGTTGCACGAAGCCTGGATAGCCTAATTTTTTTAAAACTTTTACAAAACCTTTTAAAAGCAAAACATATACGATTCAAACTGAGCAATCACTGAAATAAAAAACTGTTTCGAAGATTACGAAATTTCTTTGTCGTAACAAAAACATAAACACCTTTTTATAAGTTTGAAAATTTTCGCTATTTCCAGTATTTTAAAAATGTTTAACGAAACATAAAATAACACCTTCATACCGTTTTCACTGAGAGTATCTTCGTCACACTTGACAAACATATCCTGAATTATACAAAAAAAATACTGCGATAAAAGTGTTTGTAAATTATGTCGATATAGATAAGAAAAAATACCTTTTTCATGTTTATTTCACAATTTTCCTCTTCAGCTAAAGTTACTTCAGCTTTTTTAAATCGACCACTCGTTCTTCGTGATGCTGTGAAAGGTGGCACGTACTTGTTATAGATTTTTTGCCTGCTGATGAATGTGCATCAAATTTAGCTTTCTTTGCATTATTGCTTTCGAGGTGAATACCATTTACAGTTTTTACTGAGTCGCTACTTCGGTTAATCTTCTTTCGTTTAATTGAACTTGAAAGCATTTTTTGTTTCTTTGGGTCCACAGAGCTTGTTTCAACAACGCTCGAAGGCTTACTTTTTCTGCGTTTCACCATTTTATTTTGTTTTAAACCGAAGACACAAGTTTTGTTTTCTTCTTCGTTTTACCGCCACATTGGTACAAAATAACATATGGTGAATCCACCAATCATGTTAGCCGCTCAATCGACCAATGAAATGCCAACTTTTATAGGGAGCCCAGTCAGCTGATTGATGTATGGCACTTGTTTTAGTACTTGCTGCTTAGCTGGTGCTCAAAAAATGAGTTTTTGTGATTTTCCTTCATTCACGTTTAGGAAAATTAATACCACAAATACTATAAATACTCTTTCATTTTTGACTTCTTTATGTCATGAGGAAACTCTCAGCGTGTTTCTATATTCAACAAAATTATACACTTTCACAAATACATAAACCATCAAATTCGCAAAAGAAGAAAGTTACACTTTGTTATTTAGTTTTTTAAAAACCAATAAATCATAGATTACAAGATGATACAGCGATGAAAATGTCGAAAGATCGCATCTCTGGGATTCCTTCAATTTTACTTCTATAGCAGGAACCTTTCTATGCTGCAGTCTTTCATTCGATTTGAAGGGATTCTTGTAAATAAGGTATATTGTCGTGGTCTTCTGATGACCAACCCGTATTGCGCGCGCGCGCAAAGCCACAAACAAAAGGGTGTTGTAGTAAGATTTTTTTAAAGGCATTTAAAGTATATCAGAGAATATCCTATTACAAAATCATTGTTGGAATTGACAGAGAACTGGTCCAGCGGAACTGAAGAATAACAGTGAAGCGCAGAGTACTGTCTTGCGCTTTGTATGTGCTTTAGTCAGAGCAACTGAGTAAAAAGGTAAGAGTACAAATTTCTTGAGAGATAAAACTACCACAATATATGAACATTCAATTTAAACATTCATTTTTTTCTTAGGTGCTAAAATGGTGCTACAATTGTTGCTGTTGTCAGCGTGTATTATCAGCACCGCATTTTGTCGGAGTTTACCGGACGGTATGTTGTTTTATTTAACAATCAATAAAAATCTTGCGCAATGAGGAATCATGGCATATTTAACTTCTTTCGAATCTTTTTATTTTAGTTTTGAGCATTTGCCATTCTGCATATGTAATATTTCGGGTAGTTTGTGACACAAAGGCCTCTTGTTCTTCGCTACATGCTGGTCTATACATTAAATGTGTTGCACAATTTTATTGAAATTTGCATAATTTGCGTTTTCTACATTGTTGCGAAAAAATTACGAAACTACCAGTGTCACCAAAATAAACAATCTGCAAGAACTACGAACATATCTGTAAAGTCCACTCGACTATAATGGTAACTCTGTAAATAATAAAGTAGTGTTGTGTCTACGGTCGTAAGTTGATATGAGAGGTCAATATTTAACGTTAAAAGAAACGGTTTGCTGTAAATGAAAAGCATTTATCGCTGTAAAGAAAACTTAAATAATTCATGAATCATTGAAAAAACCTACCCCTGCCATTTTTAGGCATGTGATGGCATGCAATAAATGCGCAATCTCCAACAGTTAAATGAAATACTAAAATAAATACCTAAGAACATGAAATTATTTTATTAATATACCTAGTCATAAAACAAAATGAGATGTGTTCTCCCTTTCTCCGCAAATGAAAGACCTAAAACAGTATAACTGAAGTTTTCACAAACATTTTGATTTTTATGAGGGAATTGTTCATTGATTTTACAACAAAATTATTTCACAGCGTGATTCGGGAACTTTTAATCGTTTAAAACAGACGTTTTTCATTAAAGATATTTTTGGAAAACTCACGGAACTTTTGTCATCTATACAGGTTCAGCCGACCTAGTTGAGATATTTGAATTAAATAATCAAACAAATGGCGTGACGAAAGTGAACAAATTCTGTCATGATGCCGCGTACGAATTGGACAAAACCGCCAAACTTATGATAGACACGAGCAAAGCGTTTTCCAATGGTTTCAACCTGGATAGCTTCTCAATTTTAATGACAGTAAAAATGAAGAAAGACACGAAAGGACACATCTTCACTGTGTACTCTGAAAGTAGTACACCAGTCCTTTCAATAAAAGCAAAACCTCTGAAACTGGAGCATAAAGACGGTTTAATAGATTTGGATGTGGAAGAATACATAACGGATGATATGTGGCATACTATTGCAATTGGAGTCACTGAAAATGCGATTGAAGTGCTCATCGACTGTCAAAGTGTGACATACAAAAGACGAGGACAATTTGCAAATGGCATTATCAGAGGCGGTCATATTCTACTTGGTCAACGTTTCACAGGAGAAAGTTTTGAGGTGAGTACAGAAATTGAATTTCTTTTTTTTTGAAAAAAAAGACGAAACGAAAAAAACAGGTAATTTTTCCTAATGACAGGGTTCCATTGAAGAAGTAACCATCATCCCAGGAAACGCCAATAAGGCTGTCGCATATTGTAGCGATGTAGAGAAATGCAAAATCAAAGTAACAAAAAGTGATCGCGTACCAGAACCAGTTGAGATTGTATCAAAACCAACCGTAGAGAACAACATTCAATCAGCTGAGCAGATTCCCGACGAATTCGTTGTTGTCGATGGAAACACTTATTATGTAACATAACTTCTTTCGTCTTTTGAATGTTCATATAAAATCTAAATGAAATGATAAGATATCATATTACTATAGATTAAAGGCGACCAAGGTCCTCCTGGTCCACCCGGCGCACGTGTAAGTTATGGTTTAAAGAATATTACATATGAAACAAACAAAATTAAGAAATACTAATATGTTTTTGTGAAAAATGAGGATTTTATTCTCAGGGTGCACCAGGACAATCAGGTGAAGGTGGCTCACAAGGACCGCCCGGATCTCCAGGACCACCGGTAAATGAGACAATCACTCGCACGGCTTTTGAAAAATGTAAACATTAAAAGTGATTGAATATTACACTTTCATTTAGGGTAATCCCGGACGTGACGGACCAGCAGGTGAACCTGGACCACCAGGAGCCCCAGGACCAAGTATTGATATCGTAAGTACATTGAACATTGCCCCCTTGTCCAACAAAATACAGACCAAACACTACTATGACATTACAGGATATGGGTAGATTGTCAGGAGCATTGAGTGGATCGAGTGTTGGTAAAGGACCATCACCAGCATCAATGAGAGAATTGTTCAGTGGTCTTTCATCAGGTCCAGGACCACGAGGCCCACCGGGTAAACCTGGTAAACCAGGATCTCAAGTAAGCATGTATATTGTCTAAAGTGTTTGAAAATATTGATTACAATAACGATGAAATGTTCCATTAGGGTTACTCTGGTCCACCAGGTCCACCAGGCCCCCCTGGAGCAAACGGAGAAATGGTAATTTTTTTAAACCTTAAGTTTTAGCAGTCTTAAGAGTAATTGAAAAAAGGAGATTTTTCTCTCGTTTGCAAGGGTCCACCAGGTACAAATGGACCACGTGGTCCACCGGGACGACCAGGACCACCAGTAAGTAACTCTTGTCAAATGTTAAAATGACATTCACAATAGCCATGTTGTGATAAGAAACGTGCATGGTTGAAATTAATTTCAACTCGTTGTTCTTTCTTTGAAATATTATAGGGAAAACGAGGCAATGACGGACCAACAGGACCTCAAGGTCCACCAGGGCCTAAGGTTCTTACAATGATCTATTCTTTTCATTTTCGTGAAGTTAAAACCATCGTAAACTTTTTTCAAGCAAAATTGTTAATGTTCATTTAGGGTGAAAGAGGTTTTGACGGAATGCAGGGATTGCCAGGACCTAAAGGACATAAGGTTAAAGATAGAGATGATGCAACAATCACGTTTTCGCACGAACTATGAATTACTATTTGATTTTATAGGGTGAGAGGGGACCACAAGGTGAAGCTGGACAAAAAGGAGAAATGGGCGAAAGGGTAGGTTTGGACTTCCTTGGGGGAGGGGGCAGCTCCCCCCCTGCCCCGTACGCCTATGAATGCACCAACTGTTCAAATATTGTTTTATGATACAAACATTTTTTTTTTGATAACATAGGGAGATAATGGTGAAACTGGACCACGAGGAGCACCTGGGGAAAGAGTATGAATTACAAAATCTCAAAGCGTTTTATCAGATAACATGTGTTAACACCAGACGCTATTTACATACGTGATTCCTTATTTTTACAATACTGTTTTCTTTATAGGGTAACGCTGGAGAACCAGGAATGCGAGGACCACCCGGTCTTCGTGGACAAAGCGTGAGTAGAAAGCAAATATTTATCAAGTAAACCAAAGCATTTTTTGTTTAGTCACCAGTCTTTAATTCAATAGGGCCCACCTGGTGAACGAGGTAGCCCTGGGCCTCGAGGACCTCAGGTATGCATTTTCCTATTTATTTAGTTAATGAATCCAGTTTTACTAACGTAACATATGTTTTTAACGTGCTCTGTTGTAGGGAGATCCAGGTGTGAATGGTAATCCTGGAAGTCCAGGAATCCGTGGACCACCTGTACGTATCAGTTGGCTGAGTGAAATAAAATAGTAGATAGTAACAACACAGTAATTTGACCTTTACAATCCTCAGGGACCTCCAGGAGCTCAAGGAGCAACAGGCGGAACGGGAGAGAAAGTGAGTCCCAAAATCTTGCATGAAACCATCATGCAAAAAAGCAAGGTCATCAAATCAACGTTTTTTCCCTTTTGCTAAACTGTAGTTTATAATTTATGTAGGGTGAACAAGGAAAGCCAGGATTACCAGGTTTTCCAGGAATGGATGGTTCTCCAGTGAGTAAATAACAACAATTGCACATTTTGATCATTACATCACAACCTATATTATGTACACATGCAGGGTCTTCCTGGAGCAGAAGGTCCAGCTGGTCCCAAAGGAGATACAGTATGTTACAGCAATGAATAGGATGCTGATAATTTTTCCTATTGATATGAACTTACGAAATGACTATTTAACTCGCATCCTAGGGTCCACCAGGACAAGCTGGTCCCCCAGGTTATCCTGGACCAAGAGGACAAAAGGTATGTTGCACTTGAAACCAGTGCACTTCAACATAAACTTACGGGACTATGACATATTCTACAATTCCATTTAGGGTTCAACTGGAACTCAAGGTTTAAGTGGACCAAAAGGTGAACCGGTAAGAACTTCCGCTGCATAAAAGACTAAAACTATCCTCTTAAGAATGGAGATAACTGTATTTTAACAAGAAATTAATATAATTAGGGTGAGCCAGGTAATTCTGGAGAAAAAGGAGATCAAGGTCCTAAAGGTGATCAGGTAAATTACGCTGAGTAACTCTTTTAAATATCGACGTGAGTGTTTTATGAACAAAAATATCTTTTATTACTCAGGGCACTGCTGGAAATCCTGGTCTCCCAGGTCCAGATGGTCCAGAGGGAAAGAAGGTACTTTGAAGAAAAATGAGAAACAAGTGGAAGATTAATTTCGTTGTAAAAAAATTATTCGCAGCATTAATGCATTTACATCTTCCATCATCCTAGGGTGTTCAAGGCATTTCTGGTCCACCAGGGCCTCCAGGAGCTCCAGGAGCAAAGGTAGGCGTTACAATAATTTTCATTATCCTTGATGAAACTGAAAATACACCGTTCGCTACGTTTTAGGGTGATCGCGGTGAACGAGGTTTACCTGGCTACACAGGACCACCAGGCTTAAAAGGATCAACAGGTCCACGAGGATATCCTGGACGACGAGGAGAAAAAGGCTCACGGGTAATTTTGGTTTGTAAACAAAATTTAAATAAACAATGCTAATAGGTAAAATGTCTTGTCTTTAGGGAAGCAGTGGACCTCCAGGACAACCTGGAGCAAGAGGTCGAAGAGTAGGTTTTTCAATTCCTTGCTACTTGACGAAATAGTTAACAACTTAATAATTTTATCTTTCTTATCGAGGGTCCTGCTGGAGAACGTGGCGCATCAGGATCACCAGGATCTCCAGGATCTAAGGTACAATATGGTCTTAAAATGACCGAAGTTAAATAATGTAGTTAACTTTTCTTCACAATGCTATAACTAGGGATCAACAGGTTTAACAGGAGCTCCAGGAGAACGTGGTGCACCCGTAAGTAATTATGAATAATGAAAATATACACAGGACTGGGTAAAAAGCAGTGGATAACATTGTGTGTAAATGTTTATTTAGGGGGCACCAGGACCTCAGGGTCCAAGAGGATTACCTGGATCTGATGGAAATCCTGTAAGTGATATTTACTAGAAATATCCTCACCAAGAAAAATGGATCTAAAAACATACTATAAAATATGTAACAGGGATCTCAGGGAAAACCTGGACCAGCAGGATTACCAGGACCTCGAGGTGAACCTGTATGTAAACGACATGGTTTTATGATCAATATAACGCGTCACTATCATCACGTGATTTCCATGATTAATTTGTAAAGGGTAATGCTGGCAAACCAGGCAATCAAGGACCAAGTGGATTACCAGGACCAAGGGTAATTAACTATTTTTACCATCAACTACACCATGATCAACAAAGGTTTAAGTGCTGGAATAATTTTGGATAAATAGGGACCACAAGGAGAGAAGGGACCACAAGGTGAACCTGGACAGCAAGGCAGAATGGTATTTATGGAAACGATAAATTCCAATACAACATCTTTAAATGGTATCTAATAATGAACTTAAATTATCAGGGAGCACCAGGTCAACCAGGTGCTGCTGGAGAAAAAGGAAACGCTGGAGCTAAGGTACACAAAGAAAGATAATTAGATGACAAAATGCTAAGCAAAGATTTGCCAAATTACGACACTCGTATATAAACTCGCGAAGTAAATTCAAACACAAAGAAATATCTTGTGTAGGGTGATCGTGGCCCAGCAGGAGAACAAGGTTCAGCCGGTAGCCCTGTAAGTATGAACTATCTTCCTAAACGATCAAAAACCTCCATCTCGTAATGTTAATTGTTTAACAGGGTTCTCCCGGTGCTGTTGGACCCAAAGGTTCAAGAGGTTTACCAGGGGCACCTGGTGAGAAAGGAAATGAAGGACCCTCAGGAGTAACAGGACCACCTGTAAGTTAGTCCAAAAGGCAAAACATTTAAAAACGTTTTCAAGAATATCAATAATGATTTTCTTAATTTCAGCCATCGTAAAGGCAATAAACGTCAACATAACGACGTTCAAAATAATTATTTAATAAACGGTAATTATCTTTTAGGGTCCACCAGGAAGCCCGGGTGCACCAGGACAGTCTGGAAGTGCCGGATCACCTGTAAGAACTACTGACTTATTTTCATGATGCAAATTTATACCTTCATATCAATGCTGTTATTTTAGGGACGTCCTGGTCCACAGGGCGCAACAGGTCCAAGTGGCGAGAAAGGTGATACAGTAAGTACATAGTTATAAGAGAGAAATTCTGGTACGTTTGAGTTGGTTGCAAAATAAATTATAATATGAGGACAGCAATCTTAAAAGATTTTTTCTACACGAGAACTTTTCCCATTCTAGGGACCAGAAGGACCACAGGGTGACCCAGGATCTGATGGAAAAGCAGGATCACCAGTACGTATACGGTTATTAAAACTTCTATAGAACATGAACACGGATGAACAATCTGTCATTTACATTAAGGGTTTGCCTGGCCCACAAGGACCCGCAGGTCCCCCAGGACAAGAAGGAGAAAAGGGTAACCAAGGAAATGCAGGTGAACCTGGTAAACCAGGTGAGCCTGGTGCTCCAGTAAGTAAAAATATTTCATTGCAATTAAAAATTAATCCGATGAATTTTACGTCAATTTAATTTTTATTCCAGGGATCACAAGGTCCTCCAGGACCATCTGGACAACAGGGACAAATGGGACCACCGGTATACTTACAGGACACTTTTAAAGCAAATATATGGCATTATTATTGAAAGGTAGCAAATCTTATGCAGGGATTATCGGGTGAACGCGGACCTCAAGGGCAAACTGGACCAAGAGGTGAAAAGGGATCTGATGGACCACGAGGTTTCCCAGGACCACCAGGAAACCCTGGGATGTCGGTAAAGCAAAAAGGCTAACAATTCTTTGCTTTGTTTGCATCATATATTTAAACAATGCATTATTAATCGTATTTCTAGGGCGCACAAGGCCAAAGTGGACCTAAAGGTGATCGTGGGGATCCAGGGCGTCAGGTGAGTTTAAAAATTGAAAACTTGAAAAGCATTACATAACAAAAATACGATATTTTTCTATTGTTACTCAGGGACCACCTGGAGGTATAGGTGCACGAGGTGAGCCTGGCATGGCTGGTGAAAAGGTTTGTCATAGATAAATGTTGTTCTCGAAATAACGAACAAGATATACGTAAATATTTGTTTTACAGGGTGAACAAGGAACAACAGGACCTCCAGGACCATCAGGAAGAAGGGGGTCAAAGGTGAATTACATTACAATTTTTAAAGCAATATTTGCTATTAAAGAAGTAATTACATAATAAATGTTGGATACGTAGGGTGATCAAGGAGAAAAAGGTGATCAAGGAGCACAAGGTCCTCAAGGTCCACAAGTAAGTACATTTTGTGTAACAATTTCAACATCTTACAGACATCAAAATTTAGTATGTTTTATATTATAGGGTCTTCAAGGTAACCCAGGTGAAAAGGGTGACCCAGGAGTATCTGGTGTCCAGGTAAAAAGATTTTACACATAGGAGTTTTCCTTCATTAAAATGAGTCAAATCATGTCTTATATCACATTCTTCACAGGGTGTAAGTGGCAGTATTGGTGCTCCAGGAAGTCCTGGAATCAAGGGTGAACCAGTAAGCTCTTCTTGATAATCAAACAATATTTCGTGGTTATCCTATGTTCCAAGTTTATCAAAAAACCTTTGTTCTTAGGGTCCACCTGGACCAATTGGCCAACCTGGATCGCCTGGTCCACAAGGACCAAAGGTTCGTGAACCGTAAAGTTTACCTCGTGTGATGAAAAAACATTTTGTAAACGAACAGTTTTGGTTTGAAAAGTAATTAGCTACTGTTCGTAAAATAAATTTATCCTTAGGTTTCTGTTTCACATGTATACTGAAGTTTGTAACGGAGTTCTACCATGAAAGTACTCGATAATTAAAAATGAAATCATCTTGCTTACCTTAGGGAGAGCCTGGTCAGGATGGTAGTGATGGTTCCAAAGGTGATCAAGGACCAATTGTAAGTTTGTTTATCACCTACACACAATCAATATAGAGAATATTTTATTATTGAAATCAAAAAGAACGTGATTGCCGACTACATTTAGGGTCCACCTGGTCAACCTGGCGATGACGGTCCTCCAGGACCCCAGGGTAATCCTGTAAGTACAACATAAATAAGTACGTTTTGTTATAATAAGATTCTTTATTTTGTATTTATATCAACGATGAGTAAAATGGGAAAAACGTGAAACTAGTATTTAACAAGATCATTTTAGCATTAAGATGTAAATGACAGACGACTATCTCGCGAAAAAGTAAATATTGAAAATTTCAACGATGCAAAAATGATGGATCTAAAAATATTAAAAGAGAAAATTGTATGTTGTAAAGATATTTGTATTGAACATACTCAACCGTATTTTCAACAATGGTTATTTTGAAAACCAGGCGTACTGCAACTGTTTTTTTTAAATCGCAGCCATTTACAATATACATTTATATAAACAATATAACTTTAAAAAAAATGAAATCTCTCTCGTGTCGTTCTGAAGGGTCGCCCAGGACGAAAAGGAAGTGCTGGTGAACAAGGCTTACCAGGAAGCAAAGTAAGACCCATCTAAATGCCCATTTTTTACAAATAACAATTTGTAATTGCATACTGTTTGTCTTCCAGGGCGATCAAGGTCTTCCTGGACCACCAGGTGAAAATGGACAGATGGGACCACCGGTAAGTGACACTGACTAAGACTATACATAACGTATTAAAAATTGATTAAAAAATAATGCATTATTCTGAACATTTTTCCATTTAGGGACCACAAGGTCCACAAGGAGCTCAAGGTGAACGAGGTCAACGAGGACAAACGGTATGCTCAAGACGGCACGCTATTTGTCAAAATTTTATTTTTCATTTTTATAATATGTTTATCAGGGTGCACAAGGTCGTCCTGGTGCTGCTGGTCAACCTGGTGGTCGTGGTCCAGTTGTAAGTTGATTTAGAAATGATACAGAGTGCAATCACTCGTTAAAAGAGTTCCTAATCAACTGTAAAACACTCAACATTTCCGGTGTTGTAGGGGGCACCAGGAGAGCCTGGACCAAGTGGAGCACCTGGTCGTGATGGCGCTAAAGTAAGTCACATGACTTGCGAACAATACGTCTGAATGATTAGCATAAATTAATGATTACTTACGATCATTTAACTTCACTATCTATAGGGTTATCCTGGTTTCTTCGGACCTCCAGGACCTCAAGGGCCACCTGGTGAAAAGGGTGATGAAGGTGAACGTGGATCTCCAGGACCATTTGGACCCAAGGGTGACCGCGTAAGTTACAAACAACGAAGATCGTCACCTTTACGTACTAAATTGATTTCATTTTGTTGTAGGGACCAAACGGTAATCGTGGACCAAGTGGACCTCCAGGACCGCCAGGACCACCTGTAAGCGAATGCTTGTAAAGTTCATGATCTAAATATAATATCTCATCAGAACCCATTGATCTATTTTATAGGGAGCAACTGGACCAATTGTAAGTGTTCCATTAAAATCGATGAAAACATAACCAAGATTTATGGTTTGGTAAAAAATTGTTGATGAAATCATTTTATGTTTATTCTAGGGAGTTAAAGGCGAAATCGTAAGTAATTTTCATCATCATGTGCAGTTTGCGAATACTCATAAAACTAACGTTTCTTTTCTCAATTTCAACCAAGGGACCCATGGGACCAGCGGTGAGTATTTAACACATGTACTTGGCTTGAGTTGTATTGCATAAATTATACCGTTATTGAAATAATTAACGATGCAATAAATGTTTTAGGGTGATCTAGGACCACCGGTAAGTTTGCAAATATCTAATCAAATTTTTCGAGAAGGAGAAGAAATGAATTAAAATAATTTCAATAATGTATTAAATTCTATTGTATGTAACGTTATAGGGACCTCCAGGACCACCTGGACCTCCAGGAACTGTAAGTAAACGCGATTTTACAATCCATAATTGCTCTTATAAAACTGATGAAGAAATGAGAGAAAAAATACCACTTGTTACGCAGGTTGCAAGTGCTTCCTTTATCGGTGGAGTACCCGCAGAAACTGGGTCTTATAAGGGTCGAACTAAACGATCACTTGATGATGTTAATGAACCATTTTTATCTGGAGCTGAAGAAATGGCGGCGTCCATTGAATCGATCAAGAAAGAAATTGAAGAAATCAGACGACCAAGTGGTACACAAACAAACCCAGCAAGAAGCTGTAAAGATCTTTACCTATGCAACAAAGGCAAAGAAAATGGTATGAAAAGGAACAGATTAAGAAATGTTTTCTCGTAAAGATCATTTCATATAACATGAATTAAGATTAAAGATAGTTAGATTAAAGATACGATCATATTTTAGGTTTTTACTGGATCGATCCAAACCAAGGTTGTCCAGATGATGCTGTTCGCGTCTTCTGTAACTTTGAAGAAGAAGGTGAAACTTGTGTTTTCCCCGACGATGCCACAGCTAAGGTGATTTTTTCGTCTAAAAATGAGGATAAAACACATTGAAACTCGTCTTAAGCGTTACTTTTCCCATATGTTTTAGGTACAACCTAAGACTTGGTCACGAAGCTCTGACGAAGATGTTTACTTCAGCGAATTCAACGGAGGAAAAACTGTAAGTATTCGGTAAAAAATTGAGCAAATAATTTCAGATCTATTTCATATTTTCTTCTCACTCTAAGATTACGTATACGAACGTTGGCAAAGTACAACTCACATTCCTGCGATTACTAAGTGAGAGCGGTAAACAGAACTTTACAGTGTCTTGCAAAAACTTCATTGCTTGGTACGACAACAGCAACCAGAACTTCGCAAAATCAATTATCCTACAAGGCGACAACGAGCAAGAATTCTCCTTTGACAGTAACAAAAGCAAACTAAAGACTCTTAGAGACGGATGTGCGGTAGGTCGACAAGTCTATCTTATTTAGTAATGTATAAAAAATACCAATAAGATTCTCTTTTTCACAGGAAAAAGGTGAAGACAAAACAGTATTCGAAATAGAAACAGAAAAACTCAACCAACTTCCCATTGTGGACTTCATACCAAGAGACTGGAACGAGGAGGCAGAGTTCGGTTTTGAAGCCGGTCCACTTTGTTTCAGATAACTCTCTTTAATAAGCCTTTCATGACACACATAGTTTAAACTATCGTGTATTACATACTGCGAAAAGAAAAATAAAGATAAATAGTTTTCCGACTTCATTCCGTTACATAATGTTCAAAACTAGCAAAAAAGGATTCCCATTTGACTGTCTTTTCTTTAGCATGTAATACTAAACTTGTGCATATTTTTTTCTTCTACTAACAGTTGTTATTTTGGCAATTAAGATCTTGAATTTTCATTGAAAATATATTAGTAATAATGTAACGATGATTGCATTTCAAGGGAAAACATGTTATGTAATGTTCACCTGCTTCGTAATATCGCGATAAAAACAAAGAACAATTCAATGGGTAGAGAACAGTGGTCAAAACCCAGTAAACTTACTTATATATTTACTTTAACAGGTCCGCTGTACATGAGAAATAAAATACCATTGGCTTAAATACAAATTCTAGTAATTTTATAGAGATATTGCAAAAAATGGGAGAAATTTTTCGAATATTTTGGAAAATAAGATCTTACCGACCAAGGTTAAGGAATTTTGCTTCAGGACATTTATCACGATAATTAATTAGCTAATGAAAAAATTTACTAATATTTCCGGAGATGTTTGTGAACATAAAAATGAAAGAGAATTTGCTGTTTTAAGTTTAATTCTTTTACGCGTATGTAAAAGATAGAAATGACCGTTATATGATCATCAAAACAAAACAAGTTAAAGTAAAGTATGGTCTTTAACTAACCTGAATCAGTGTCATACGAATAATGACCGCAATGACGCATGGTATAGGTGTTGGCGCGCAGCGATGTAACAAAATCGACGAATTTGTAATTTTAGACAGCACAATCATTATTGACGACACTGAGTGAAGATCTTAGTAATTTTTCAAGACAAATCCTCACTAAAAAGGACGACATATAATTTTACAAAATGAACACAAGATTTCTACTACTGGTCATATGCATTTCAAGCAGTTTTGCAACGAATTACACAGGTAAAGTTATACGTCCCATATACGACGCACACATACCACGTTGTTCCAAGAGTAAAGAGTGCACATTTCATTATTTTACTTGACGATTTACGCCTATTGAGAAATGGCATTCAATTATATCATCTACATGTCGAATAACCATTACACACTATCTTTTGCTAAAATGTAATCAATCATACAAGTGAAAAATTAACTGGTACAAATTGTTTCACTACCATCAGTTGACAATTTATAATTGTTTAGACGTGAAATGCTACCAATACCCTGAACCAACAAACGGTAGACTCAGTTGTCGTAAAGACGTAACATCAACCATTAACTGTCATGTGGTTTGCAATGCCGGTTTTGATGTGGAATTTCTACAAGCTGAATCCTATAAATGCTCACCAGATGGAAAATGGACAGTTGAACCAGATGTGATGACGGTACCATGGCCGAACTGTATAGTATATGGGTAAGATCTTTGTTTTTGAACTTAAGAAATCATTTTTTAGCTATGTCTTATTGTTTTTCCTTAAAAGACCTGGAATGCCGATACCATAGAGATTGCGCGTGGTTTGAGATGAGATCAAAGAAAATAGAACATACAACGAAAGGCGTTATTTTAATTTAACTATTGTCTTGATTAAAAATCATTATCATTCTTACACAAATAGTGATATAGAAACTTGATTAAAATGAATACTGATAATGAAACGTGTCGTTGTTCGTGTATCAAACGATGAACTTTGACATAAAATACCAAAACATAATTTTCGGCGTCTTTGTGTTCTAACAAAAAGGCTACTGTGAGAAACATGAAAGATACAGAAATTGACTCCATGCTTTAGAATCCAAGTCTAATTCACACAGATTTCGTTCATTCATTCCCATCTCGTAGCTATTTAAATGTTTCATAAAATCTCACCAAATTGCCTGACTATTGTGAGAACAAGCGAGAAATACCTCCCACAAGAAAATAGAAATAAGTTGGCTAAAGATCTTTTATCAGATTCAACATTTTTACGAGCGACGAGTCACAAATATTTTATGGACATATTGAAGCAAAATAGAATTTCCTTTTTACCATAATTTTTCTGCGCTATTCAAGTACTAACAAAGACTCGCGTAACATAAGTCCATTAGTAACGCACATACAAATATTCAATGTAATCAAGCGACAACTTCAACTTGTATTTCTGCTTCTGCTCTGTATTCTGACTCTTTAAAAATGTAACGGCCCTAACTTGAAAGCGATTTAACTGTCCCAAGCTAGCATACTGTAGAGGTTCCATACACCATAACCAGACTGTCTTTTTCTCTGTTGGCAAAGTGATTCCACTCAAAAACGTAACACTTTCGGCATCATCATGAATACTTTTCAAGATATCGGCCATTTTCTCATCAGCTACTTCTATAATTTCTCGGTTCACTTCTCTTTCGTCTAATTTATGAGCTTTTGGAACTTTATAGACGCCCATATAAACACCAGAAAAATCTGCACCGATTAATTTTGAATATACATCAGTGAGAAATGCTTCGTCTACATGAACTCTACGGACTTTCAACTTTCTTAACTCGGGCGGACACCAAGGCATATTAATAATGAAATAGGCTTTTTCAACAAACAAACTTCAGCGTTAAAGAATATTAGAACAACCGACAGATCTCTTGGATTTCTTCTTCTGTTGACAAATGTAAATCTACCACGTTATGTATCAGATTGCAATTAAAATCACAGCGGGAGGAAACACAACAAACACTTTTCCTCGCATTGAAATGTAAAGTTATCAACACACGAAGGATATTTCTTTGTACCTTTTTTCAATGTAGCTCATGTTCAACTATCATACATGTCTTTCATATTCTATTGAAATGTATACTTCGTAGGCTCAACTATCTTTTTCAAGATGCAACGGTATTAATCCACAATCAAATTTTCCGACTTTACTTTTGATTTTCAACAGGGTGTTCATTGAGTAAAATGTTCATTCAAACAGTCATTTTGCTTTATCATTCAAAATAATTTGTCCAGGTTTGAACTAAGGCAATGTTTCAAACATATAGAACTTTACATGAGCCAAATGCATTTCCCTCGTATGTTGACGTTATCGTGATTATCACGTGTTAATGTTCGGCAGGACAGAATATTTTTTACCCAGCTGAAAACTTTTACCATCCTTTCTCTTATTATCTAAAAATAAAGACAAATCATGCGCCTTAGTAGCTGATATCTCACCATCAGCGCCATCTGTCTGCAGTTTCGGCAAAACCCGTAGACATTTAGTGGGTTCCCCGACTCTTTGATAAAAATTTCCATAATTCGCGGTGTTTGCCTTAAACAATAAGCTTGAATTACCGACAGATGGATTGTCGGTCTGTTTTAAATCTAATTTATTCTTTATATCCCCAGAGTTTGCATTTTCCAATAACTCCAGCCCGTTGTTCGTTTTTTGAGTTTTACTCCAGCATTTATCTGGTTGTTCAATTTCACTTCGCTTAGAATTTGTTTTGGCAACAACATCAACGGCAAAGGATGGCCTTCGTCGAAATTTTGCGGATCGTGGACGTTCAGAGACCAACTTATATCGAGGCATCGATAATGAAATTTGCTTAGGATGAAAACAGGATTAGGGAGCGTGTATCTAAATGAATGGAAGATAAATTAACTCAAAGATTGGAAACTTTCAATCCTGGGCGTACTGTACACGTTCAACAATTTAGTTGTCCATTACTCATATATATTCCTACAAAACTCAACAATATTTCCAGACGATTTCCTCTGTAAAATCATTAGTTTCATTTAACAGGAATGACAAACTTTACTAGCTACATTGTAAGCCCTTTCACAAGTAGATTAGCTACATTATGAACATAAATGTATTTAAATGTAGTAGAAATAAACGCGAGAAACTTGCTTGTTAGAATGCAAAAAAGACAAATAAATAACAGTAACATGGAATATAAGATATATATCCTAGAATATGATTAATTTTGGAATAAAATTTATCAAGATTGTATTGAAGGAGTTTCTTTCTTGTGCAAGATTGAAGCTTCTAGGTACCAAAGAATAAAGTGCATAAATGTAGCCCAATTAGGAGTAAACAAAATTTATACACAAAACAAGCGCAAAATTGAATTCGCCAACGTGACAGCTAGGCACACAGGATTCATCAAAATAACACTTACCGCCGACAGTTTTCTGTTTTCAAAAATATCTTCTCCACCCGTCTTGTTTAAAAATACATTGAGCCACTTATAAGAAAATGACTTAATATTTTCTTTGGTGTATGTCGTAACAACACGTTAATTTTGATGATGCATCGTCGTTTTATAAAAATTTATCATCAGCAGGTGCATTTAATAATGAAGCTATGAAAACTTCGGTATATATATAATTCAGATGATACCAGTCACGTGACCGCCATGAATACTTATCGTCAGTCGGAGTTAATATCAGTAGATAGCAACAAAGCTACCAATTTACAATATCCTGTTTGACCTGTTTCTCTTTTTGGACTTGGAAAAATGACATTTTAATTTCATGCATGCACTGACTGGAGTCGTAAATCAACTTGCTAAGTAGCCATGGAAATTTACAAACTACAATGAAGAAATACTAAAGCATTCCACTTAAAACTGTCCCAGAAAATAACACAGGGCTAAGAGAAAAAACCCGCAACATGAAAGAAATTTTTAGAACGAAAAGTGAAATATGTTGACATTATGCATTAAAAACAACACAAATGATTTTACCTTTGTTCTATGAAATTTATTCTTCATCATAATTTACATAAATCTATAAAAATTGAATCATATGTATATTGCGCCTCTGTCAAATATACTTTATGAATGAAAACTTTAATATACACAAATATAAATGAAGTTTGACGTGTGCACACTAGTGAGTCATCAATATGCTTTCAACAAACGCACATTTGTAAAGCATGGCTTTTCTTGATCAACATGCAACTTTTCAATAACACCATTTGACGAAATGTAAAAACTTTTTAACAAACACTCTACAATTCAAAGTCATCACGGGGGGTGGGGTGGTGGACAAATAACTGACTTCAAATTCAAAGTCATCTCTGGTTCCATCCTGAATGACCATTGGGAAATGGAGAACCATAACGAAGGAACAATTGTGAAGGGTTGACAAAGTTAGGAGCGGTTACTGGTGCATTGAAGCGCAAAAAATCAGGAAAAGGCGAGGTTGAAAACAAGGGATTGATGTATCTTGGAAATGACAAATCGCGAGGTGCTCCGGTGTTATCAAAACCAAATGGATTAAATGAATTTAAATGATTAACGAAACCACCCAACTGCTGACCACGGTTATTGTTTAATAAATAATTTGACGATGTTGACAACGATGACAAAGTGCTTTTTTTCTTTTGAGCACCAAGGGAAGACTTACTCTGTTTCGACACACCACTGGTCAGCGAAATTTCCTTCAGTGTCTTCTCAATACCTTTCATATTATTTTTATCAATGGATCGGTTATTTGCTCGGAGAGATTGATGATGATTTGCCACATTAACCGCATTACACTTCTCCATCACATTGGCTTTAGTTATAGGTAATGTAGGCATTGAGGCAGTTGTAACAGTTGCTGTTGTACAGATATTATCACAATTATCTGACGCAGTTGTTGTTAAAGAAGAGGAACTAGCTCCAAAAGTAGAAAAAGATGTAGTCGTATCTCTTTTTTCATGATTTGAAAATTGCGTTTCAATGTGAAGAGGGGATGATTTGATCAACGGTGGATCTTGAAATATTTCAGGACGACAATTTAACGTCGACAAATCGTTTCGTACATTAGGCACTTCTTGCATTGGCTGAACAGATTGAGAGTTCATGGTGGAAAACTGGGGTGAGGTTGAAGGGGTTGTTACTTCATGATAATTAGGAACAGATGAGGATACGTTGGAAAGGTTGAAAAATTGATCGCAAGAGGTTTTGGTGACGTTTTCTGGCATTCGAACTTCAGGGAAAGTAACTCCCACAGGTTTAGGTGGTCTCTCTACCTTCTCCTCCACAGGTTTAAAAGGTCTCTCTTCCACGGACAAAATCAGGGCCTTAGGTAAACAGAGTGACAACAGAGGTATGAAACTGTATTCCAAAAAAATAACCGCCGTTTTGCGTGATTTCATAAACGTTTAAAAGATCTTGTTGTATTGGTCATATAAAAACCAAAATATTTGCGCCACTTACTGATAGGTTTGAAACCTGGACGAATTTTGCAAGCAAAGGGCAAAGTTTTTGATTATGATATAAATCATGCCGAATTTCTCAATATTAAGACAAAAACACATGTTCGTTCGTACGATGTCATAAACGGACTTGCTGACCACAAATACACTTCACTATACACACAAAACGTTTTAACACCTCCCCCGCTCAACTCACAAAAATAACCACAGTAATGTTACAGCTTACCTTCTCGTCACCAGTATCATTATGTACCTGATCATTAGCATTCTCTTTTTTAGCAACTTCTTTAGCTTCAAATTCACGAATAAGTCTTTGAATGTGTTCCAGACGACACTCGACGTCTTCAGCTTCGTCAACGATATTTTTTCCTATCGCACAATTTCCACCAGAAGTCATAGATCGTAGAATACGTTTCCTTAAAACAAGATTTCATAATCGACATGCACATTTACCAACTAGAGGTACACCCCCCCCCTCTCTATTATTGTTGTCCATCTTTCCGCTATTATATAAACACGTAAATGTACATATTAAACTAGGGTAAAATGGTGTACACGTGAAGAAGCGACAAAATGTTTATATAAATATGTATAAATTCAATAATTGCTTTTAAAGATGTAGTCCTAAAGTTAAAATAAATGAAAATAAAAACCATACCTAGTAAATTGCAACGCTTGTTTAATAAGCAGAAGTTGATCTAAATCAAGTTCATCACCGTCATCGCTCTATAAAGAAAGCGGAAATTTTAGAAACAAGTGTTTGTATGTAGTACGTAGAAGGAGAATTGTACTGTACCTGAAATGAATCTTCCGTACCAGATTCATTTTTCTGTTCATAATAAAAAAATAATTAAATTCAAACAGCTTGACTCATAGTTTGAGTTTCATAAGGCGATTAGGATGAAGCTTGATGCCACGTTAAAGGATTGGCTAGTAATTGAAGACTGGATTCAGACAGCATGCTTGACATTTACCGAGGGAATAAAAATACTTTAGGTACAATTTTATGTAGTTTAAAATATGTTAAAAAAAGAAGACAAAATTTTTACCGAGAGTGGCCAATAATCTTCAGAATTTTGTTCATAAATCGAGATCTCCTTCTTGATATAATCAATAAGCTCTGATGATGGATGGCGAAAGAGTTGAAGAATTTCAAGAAAACTACAAGATAATTATTCAAGTTATGAGTAGGTCTTCTTTATCGTATTTTTGGGTTTCATAAAAATATATATATATTAAAACATACGCAGAAAAATGATAAAGTGTAGCGTATTCCTTAACATCTTCACCTATACCAAAATCACCAACTTCGAGTCTGAATGAAAGCAAAAAATAAAGATTATAAAGTATCATATTACAGCTAAATCATGGATTGTCACAAAATCATATTAAAAAGCTAAACACAGAGATTATCTTAAGACATTAATAAATGTAAAACACAGATATTATAATGGATTATGTGAAAAGATCATATCAAAGCTAATTGAAAGAGAAGAAAGAACAAATAGAGAGATAACGAGGCAGTTTTTTTCGACAAAATTTGACGCTCTAAATTCTTGATAGCACAAAATTTATTTTATCTACCTTGCTAATTCATTAAACATCTCTTCATTGTCTTCCCTAGAGACAAGTTCTTTTTTAAAAACTCTCTTTACTTCTCGCAACTAAGATGATGCAAAAGTTTCTTTAAGAACACAATAACACGTCAATGGACGCGAAATCAAACTCTTTACCTTAGATCGTAAACAATCTTTTTTCCAAAACAAAGCTGATATTTCTGAGCGCTCTACACAAGCTTTATCATCGTACTTTATGACATGGATAACATTACCATTGGGAAGATTTAATCTTGAAATTTAATATTTGTTTACATTAAATGTTAAATCTTACCCCTATAATAAGCATAATAATATAATCAAGGAATAAAAAACATCAATAAAAGTACCTCTTGACGACAGTGTTGGTCATATTAGACAGCTCTTCATTAACTTCGTGTTGAAACAGAAGATCTTCCTCGCTTGGTTTCTCATCTACGAACAAACAACAAAAATTTGACATTCATCAGTATAAACAATTAACTTTGCAAGACTTGAATTTTTCGTATTCATGAGATATTCAACATACCATGTACGACATTGACCTCTTTGATATTTGGATTTACTTGATGCACGTCAGGATTACCCAGCAATGTATTAAGGAATCCAGCCTCATTCGCATTATATCTTAAATAAGACGATTGGAAATGAAATAAAGATTAGTTTCAACTGTGGATGGAAAAAAAAAACACATGAAAAATGGTCTTACAATGATCCAGCGAACATATCCGACGAATATTCTAAATAAAATAACAGAATAATAACTTTGAATAAATAGTTTGAATTCGAAAGTATCGTTACATGTTTGTAAATATAGATCGTTAGTGCAGTTTTAAAGAAGGACTGTTTATTTTGGTGTTGGCAGACGACGTTTCAACATACTTTGCGGTAATCATTACTTCTTTCTTAGGACTGCATGACATAAACAATCTACATCTACATACATGTAACAAATTTGAGCAAAAGGCGCAGGTTAGATGCCAGCGGTAATCACTACTTCTTTCTTAGGACTGCATGACATAAACAATCTACATCTACATACATGTAACAAATTTGAGCAAAAGGCGCAGGTTAGATGCCAGCGGTAATCACTACTTCTTTCTTAGGACTGCATGACATAAACAATCTACATCTACATACATGTAACAAATTTGAGCAAAAGGCGCAGGTTAGATGCCAGCGGTAATCACTACTTCTTTCTTAGGACTGCATTGACATAAACAATCTACATCTACATACATGTAAAAAATTTGAGCAAAGGCGCAGGTTAGATGCCACAAACTCTTTATGACGACAAGTGTGCTCACCTGGAAACATTGGCTGTTGAACAACCATACTTTCCGTGTTTGGTTTTTTATCCGATGAATTTTGTACAGGCAGCAACGTCGATGGTGAAGTGTTAGCTAAAAGAAAAAAGTCATTAAATAGCACAATAGGGAAAATTTTTCCCAGTACAGTGGCAGAGTCTTGACAATTTAGTAACGTGATTGATAGCACTATCGTCTACGTGTGTGCCTATAGATAGTGAATAGAGAACTGATTTCACAGTGATATGAAATTTTTCAATGTTTCAAGAAAGAATGATTTTAACGTTTTAATAACGCCAAAATAATAGGCAACTTTGGAAACTTTAGACAAACACTCTGCATTATTCAGTCAGTGGAGACATGAAGAACATACTTACATATTTTGAAATCTGCAAAACCTTCATAAACAAGATTCTCATTAATGTGAATATCATCTTTTCCATTAGTGTCACACAAATGTATCTCCAGCACATTATCCTGGCAAATTAAACAAAAAAATAAAAATTAATGTGTTCAGTAGGATATATCCTTTTATTATATCGCAAGCGTCACTTCCGGAAACATGGCGCACTTTCATTGGCTGAGAAACATTTCTGCCGGTTTATTACTTTCCGTATAAATCGACCACGCTCCAAAACGCGTAATTTTACAGTCAAATGTAAACAAACTTCGTAAAGCAAACAGCAAAACGAAAAAAAAAAGAAACAAAAAACCATTTACAAATGAGAGTCGAAGGAAAAAGACTTGGAAAACAGTTTAACTATCCAGACGATACAATTTGAAACGATTTATTTTTTACTGACAATAACTAGAAAAGTGAAAGGCAACCCGTACAAAACAGCAAAGACGAGAAAGAAAGCAAACTTTGTTTCAGGTCAAATAATGCCATATAATAAATCTTTTATTAACCTCGCTTGCTCGGTCTTTACCGAGAAATATCGGACCTCTGTCTTTTTGTAGAAACCTCGCCCTACGGGCTCGTCGGTACAAAAAAACTTCGGTCCGATAATTCTCCGTAAAGACCTCGAGCTCGGTTAGTAAGGGCTTATTAAAGTGTGACCATTGCTGATAATAAATATATCATTACCTTGTTATCACTGACCAAACCAACAAGAGCCCTGTCTGCAGTGAGATCATTCATCTTATGGGCTGCTGCTGGATCCCATGAGCTCTAAATCGTTTTGAAAGAAATGACCTGTTATCTTAAACTTTAAATTTGTTGTAAAAAAACTTTAGCATGCTTTAAAACGTGACAAACGTTAGTGTGTGTAAAAAATTGTTTTTGTTTTTGTTTATCACTAATACAAACAATGAAACAGAACTGAAACTTTTTAAGTTACAGATCAATAACCATAGAATTATGTAGTTTAACTATCCTGATTGCAATAGAACAAACTTTTTTTTTGTACATAAGTTTTTTGTTGTTTATGTTGTAGAGGGACTGTTTTTTTCGCAATGTTGCTTTCTCCGACAATATCTCAATGAAGAAAAACGTCGATCAATAATTTTTACAAAACATGTGAAAACATGGCCACAAAAAATCCTCCAAAAAAAAGTCATTTCCGTTGAAAAAGAGGTTTTTTTGTGAGCCTTCTATTACCGTTCTTGGCTTTATATTTGCCAGCCTGCATTTAATAGCTTGTGATGGAAGTTGAATGAAGTCTTTCCTAGTGAAAAAAACAAAAAAAAACAAACAACACATTAACTAGAATGAGGTTATTTAATGAAATAAAAGAAAGAGACCTACTTCATAAAGCGGACATGGGACTTTGTAACTTGTGATGTGTTTCCATAGTCAAAATAAAACACTTCAATTATTCCTTTTGGTAAGGTAGCAGTAATAATTGCTCGATACCATTCTTCATCTACAGGATATCTAGCAACACAAACCTAGAAAATAATAACATAAAAAACCACAGTTGTATAGAATAAGTCACCAAGGGGAAAGAAAAAAATACCTGGCCAAGTTTTATGTAATTGTCATCCATTAGGAAATGAGCACTTTCTTTGGAAGAGTAGAAAATTCTAAAATAGGAAAACGAAGTCATGTTCAATGCTTCAGACTTTTACTTGTATTAACTTGTGTTAACACTGAATAATTATGACAACAAAAAATGACTGCAATGATAAATAACATCATTTAAAATCTTCAAACATGAACACGAGCAAAAATAATATAGTAAATACCTAATTTCATTTTGTAGATCAATCAAGGCAGACGAACATTCCATTAATTGTATCCAAAAACAGTCTGGAGTGCGTATATTTGTAACATAGACTTCAATATAGTTTTTGCCTTGTAAACATGGTGTCTGATACAAAACATCTTTACCAACAGCTTCATCTGGTAATGGTACTTTGTTCAAATTACGTTCTAAAATTATATCCAATCAATGGTTTAAATAAGTCAAAACATCTTGAAATACACAACTATAATTTTAATAAAAATATAAAGAAGCAATGAACCTTTTCTACATTTCCAAGATAAAAACAGCAACCAATCTCCATTGGAAAATGGTCTTTCAATCCTAATGATATCAGGCATAGCAGAAGCCATCTCAATCAAACTATAATATCCAACTGATAAAACATTCAGATCTTTCCCAATCAATGTCTAAATCAAAAATTTCAATAAAATTTAACTAGATTACTGGCAGTGAGTTCTATTTTAAAGATTTACTAAAACACCACCTTATATTCAAATGGAAAACGAGCCGTCCATACACCATTTGGTCTTTGAGTAAGAACCTTGAAAGAATAAAAAATTAGTTTGAACTATTCATTACAATTCTACTGATGTTTTGATCTTTTTTTTGATAACATTCAAATTCTTTTTCCTATAATCTTAAATAGAAGAAAATATTTGTTACATACATGAATTATTTCATCTTTCATCATGTCGCTGATGCCACTTTTCTTATCCAGTAAGTTTTTAGCTTTTTCAATACTAGCTTTCGGCTGTGATTTACAATCATCCAGAGAATTCAGATCTGTATGTTGTCTTTTACTCGTATGAACATTTTTCTTGGATGCTGATGGTTTTTCTTCAATTGCTTTTTTTGAAAGTGAAGTCTTAAGAGGAGGAGCTTTAGATGGTGGCGCTTTTAATGTATGAGAAGTGTGTGATAACTTTTTTGTTCTTACTACAAAATAAAAAATACTAAAATTTTAAAAAGGTTTTGAAATTCAAGTTAATCTAGGTTGATGAAGAAGATTGCCCTATTTTAGACAACCAATGCTAATATTTTTTTGTAGCAACTTTCCCAATATCACCATTCAAGAACTGACTGCACTACAATTCATACTCAACATTTTTTATAGCAAAAACAAAGTATGTAGAAAAAACAACTGGGCAACACAACAGAATAATTACTGCAGTTTAGGACAATAAATGAGTTGATATATTCACCTGAAGTTGACATCCGTTTCTTCGCAACAGCACAAACTCTATATCCTCCCCGGGGATATTTCTCTATGACAGCAATATCTTGCATGGCATTGAAAAATTCAGGCATTGACCTAAATCCTAATCCTGAATAATCTAGTTGTGATCCATAGTGTCGATTATAAGCTGAAAGGAAAGCTGTGTCAAGCACACCATTGGGATACACTGATAGCAATTCTTGTATGTTCTTCCGACACTGACTTGGTACGATCAATGGTTTTGTATTCACCGGTTGTTTGGAGATACGACGAGATTTTCTCGTATTAACACGCTGTTTTGAAACTAATTTGGCAATATGCTTGGAGCTTTCATCAGCAACACCTGTCAAAGTTTACACTATAAAGCTACATTTTCATGCTTGCAACAGAACACAGGTTTTGATAACCCAGACTGCACAGAAGGGCAATTTTACTCTCAAGATTTGTCAGTGACAAGTTAAGTACTCCTGAGTTGTTATGCAAAAATTAAGAGATTTACACAATTTAAGGCATTTTGGTAGCTTAGCACTTTTGGGTTTATATTTTTTAACTTTTGGACTCCAGATGCTTGGGAAAAAACAAGCATAATGTGCAGTCTGGCAGACAACTTAAATCAAGTATTTTTGATTAGTGTTTTAACTTGCCCGAATACTGACTGAATCAGAATGATAAGCATTGAAATACCTAAGGCAAATCAATCCACCAGATAACTTTGCAATATAATTTGTCCATTAAGATAATTTAAAATCATCACTTTATTTTTTAAATAATCAGTCTTTAAGTATTGGAGCCTAGCTTTGAACAATTCATGATTTTAGGGTTTGAGATCAACTTATATTAATTTTAAAAGCCTAAATTTTAAACGTCAGTTAAACCAAACAGCAAACTGGACGCATACCACTAGAAGGGATTCTTTAATAAATTGACCGTAAGGGCTTTTGGTTTCGTATAACTTTAAAAAAAGTGGTATTAAGTAAAGCCAACAGCCCAATAACAACGGCCATCTTGTTCAGAAAACAGCAACAAAAATTTCAAAAACGCCAACGATTTTTTTATATTACAACAAACGCACCTTTCAGTATTAAGGTTCCATTGATCCACATAGGTGAAACGACATCTGGCATTGTTTTGAGAAATTCCAAAGCATTTTCGCATTGAAAATGTTTAAAAGGCAAAGGTTTTCCGAGGACAGCAAGGTAATCATGTTCAATGTCCTCGACACTAAGACCTCTTGGTGCTGATATTAACAGCGCTCTTATATTTCTTTTAACCTCCGGACGCAAGGGAACGTTGTTGCTTTTATTCATGATACCGTCATAAGTCTAGCAAATCTCATTTCATCTAAAGAAAATCTGTAATGTCACCTTATTTTGAAGTCAACCATCACAGACAAACATTTACGCACACGTGTTCAAAATGTTGATTTACGAAATTATACGCGCGCTAAAACCACCGGGGATTCAATACCACCGACATTAGAGCACTCAAGGGGATTCAATACCAACATACGAGAAATGTCCCATGGGTGACATTTATGGAGTAAAAATCATGATAAATTTTGGAATAATCTATTATGATTCACACATTCAAGATCATTGAATTTAAATAGCTACAAGACTCCATGAGTTTTTTCCAACTTTTCTACCATCTTTTATAAGGGATGGTCGATGATGATGGTACAAATAATCCACAATTTCTATGAAAAATAAAATGAAAAGATTGGCAATAGACTTGATGATAATTTTAGTGACAGTGTACAAAAAGTTTTGTAAGACTACCATCAAAATCACAATCCATAAAATTTGGCACAATTTTCTTTAAAACACTCCAATGACTTCGTAACCATGAGGTACATGGTGCTCTACACAACATAAAACCATTTTCATTGTCATAATTCTTTTTATAATACACCATGTTAAATAAAGTTAAGTTACTTTGGTAACTGTTTTGTCATTTCTGTCCAGTCGATAAAATTTTCATCTATTTCACCAGAGGAGTATAATCTGTGTATGGAAAAATATCAGAATTTTGATCTCTTGTGTTTCATTTTTTTCTCTTTTGTTTGAAATCAAAACTTGCCTTTCAATAAGTCGTACATCGTCCTCATTATTCCATTTTATGTTTTCTTTATCATCCAATGTTTGAAAACAAGCTTCGCCAATCCTTTTTATGGCAAACAGAAATAAATCTATTTTAAATCTATTTAGCAAAGAAATAAAACATCCCAACAAACAAATACTAACCATTTTCTTCTACATTGAATAGCATCCCTACTCATGACATATGTGGAAACCTCGTTCCAGTCTATTTCTCCAAAAATTTGAGTGCTAAATTTGGTTCCAGTAACTGCTCTTACTGCACCATGAAGACGATCAATTTCCTCCTTGGACCAATGACCAACTAAAAGCAAGACAGAACATGTCAGTTGTGACTAAAAGAAGCAAGGTCAATAGAAAAAGTCAAAACAAACCTGCAATTCTTTCAGTTGCAATGAATCGAAAAATAACTGACATTGCATTGCGTCCAAGAGTAGTTCCTATCTTTGACCACTTATTTCCATAAATTTGATGCAATCTACAAAATTTAAATTAACTTTGATACAAACACAACATGAAAAGATAGCACCCTCTCCCCAAACATTGCTAAAAATTCTATATTAATGAATCCCAGATAATTTCACACAGCATTAATTAGACTTTTCGTAATTTTCTAACTGCAATTTCTTGCAGTTGCCATTTTATAGACTGACTGGGTTCCATTAATAAGCACATGTTATAATTTATTTTAGGAGAGCTTTTCTTTTGTGTTGGGTTTATTTGTACCAGTGATTCACATCTATTCATTTTTATTCATTTCTTGTTCGTACCCACCTTAACAACTCTTCTGTTTCACTATCTGACCACCTGTTAGTAATAAGAATGATCTCTCTTAGTAAGAATGATACACTGACAAGTTTCCATCACTCAAAAGCAGTAATAAAAACAATACTTAACCTTCCTTGTTTATTTTCATTAAACATGCGTCTCACTTTTTTGTAAACATGAAATAATGGACGATCTATTCCTTTAGCTGAACAAAAATATAGCAATTGAATTTGAGACAATCTTATTAAATTAAAGATTTCAAAATTCAGTTTAATTACCTAAATTACGATAGAAGTTTGTATGTATTGTTTGCTCTTTTGCATTTCCCTCTCTTTTTCCATTTTCAGCAAATATTAAATGTGCAACATTTTCAAGATTATGTTTCTATCAAAAGCATATATATAAAATGGTATTAATTTTTGTTCTTTCCTAAGTTGAGCCATTGGAAATCAAACTTGTTATTACTACATAATGAATATGCCGAGCATAATTATTCTAATTTAATTCAACATAAATAATTATCATATGTGTTTTAAATCTTAGATGTATAAAAAGTTACACAGGTAATTCTAATTTGATACAATTATGAAACATAAAGTTGCACTTTCAATCGTATAAAACTGTAAAAGTGAATCAGAAGTGAAAATAAAATTACAAATAAAGCATGTTGATAAGATTTTAAAACTTATTTCAGAGGATAAATGTATCTAGCTTTGGGTATATAGCAGTTTGCTTCATTTAGTCATTGTGACATATATATTAATAGGCATCCTAAACATACAACAATTTGAGCAAAAATACCTTCAAGTACTTCTTCAAATTTTTTGTTAGTCTGTTTTTCTCTCTTCTAGACCAGCGACCATGTTTTACTTTAATTCCTATATGATACAGAGATACTTGATATCAAAACAAACAAATGTAATTTATTTACATTCAAATAAATACTAATTGGCTGAACTTTATATTACAAAACACACAAATCAGGCTGTTCACTCTGGCTATTCGAGAACAGGGTTTGTTGTACTTGCACATTTGCCAAATGCACATCAACATTCAAAGCAATGCAAAAGCACAAGAATATTTCATACAGAATTCATATATTTCTTTCCAACATTGTTGATGAATTACCTTCTTCATGAAGTGCCACTAGGTCCTTTTCAGTAAAACGCCATTTTAAGAGCAAATCACGACTTCCACCTTCCTTATATTCTCTTTCTTTATTTCTTTTTCTTGTAGTCCATGAATGCTTTTCATTCTTAAATTCCTATCAATAGGCATTCAATAATATTATCCAATGGCAAAGCATAAAACACTTTGCGTATATAAAAGAAATCGCAAGTTATCACATAATTCATATTGGCTTGGTGTTCATGATATAAAATGGCCGCCAATTTGGTTGAATTTGACAAGAGTTATGATTGATTAAAGTAAATGGTTTGAACCCGGGAGTATCGTTACATGTTTGTAAATGTAGATCGTCCAGGTTGGTATAGTCCTGAGAAGGACTGTTTTTATTGTTGTTGACTGACGTTTCGACAAACTTAGCGACTCTGAAGATGACTACCGCTAAGGTTGTCGAAACAACAAGACAGTCAACAACAACAACAGTCCTTCTCAGGACTATAACCTGTACGATCTACGTTTACAAACATGTTATGATTGATTACAATTCAAATATCCTCCAAGATGGACAGGATGATTGTTTAACTTCTAAAGACATGATTGCACTTTAAATAATAATACTTTTTAATTCTTACCTGAGTTACCTCTTCCATCATGAAAACAGTTCCTCGAGGCACAAAAAAACCATTGAGTTCTATAAGACCTCAATTCTTACAAGAATTCTTATAAGAACTCAATGAAAAAAACACGCAAGATAAGTAGGTTAACTCAGCGCATGCGCACTTTAATGGCTTTTACACCTGAGAAATTTTGGGGGTATTTGAGAACCCGCACGTTAAGGTTATCTCAATAAAAAGCGCAAAAATTTAGCGCCAAGCGCAACACACTAAATACAACGTAACATTACAACTCAACTGCAATAACATTAACTTCATCCAACATTATACTTATCATACCTACTATTCAGACTATACTTAAGAGGCCATACACATTGTACATTAAAACACATACGTTAGAAGTATTGAGATATGTAAATCAATGTTCGTAAATTTTCTGTTCAAAGCAAACGTTTCTACGACAACTTTCTTTGAAAATTTAAAGAAATTACAAAAGATTGTTCTCCACAAGAATTAGATTAGTATTAGATTAGATCAGATTATATTAGATTAGCTCCCAGTGAAGACAAATCACATGATTGCAAGTTCTATTGGCAGTTACATTTAAATTGTGCCGATAGTGTGTTCTTTCTTCAATTTTTTTTGTGCGTGTGTGTGTTTTTTCTTATGTTGAAAGCGTAAGTAAAAATAGTGAAAACTTTTTCTAGGCAGAAATTTTCAAAAATAAATATTTCCCGCAAAAATATTTTTCATTGATAACTACTGAAAACAAACGTTCCAACTTCCAACAACACAGCTAGTGGTAGCCTGTGTTGTTAACTTTGCATAAAAATGAAATCGAATTCATATGCCAGCATTATAAGTCTACTCTATTTTTTTAAAAATTCCTGTTGTATGCAAACATATTTTCTGGGAGTAATGAATAGTGAAAATTTTTCGAGCTTTGAGTAATTAAGACTGCACATTCAATAATAGAAATTTTTACCAGTGAATGAACGTGAACTAATCCTTCTACAATCTCATGGAGAAGCCGCTACATTGGTCCTTGTACTATCCCTCGTCAATAACATTCTTAGAGTACTCTTCACACAACACTCCATCTGTGTATATAAGCTTTGCAAAGTAAACTTTGAATCTTCTTGCAAATCTCTTGTGGTGATTGCTTCCTCTTCACTTTCGAAATCAGATTTGTCGTCCTAAAGGAAAGACGCTGCTAGTTATTTCTACACATCTTCAACAACATCATGAACAATTCCCACTAATATACACCAAGTGAGACAACAAGCTTCCAAACTGTATATGTGATACAGCGATATTTCTTTTGAACATATCTTCGGTAGACTAGGTGTTATTATTAATTGTTTTGTGTTGGAACCTCGTCCTCGCTAGAGCTTTTATTGTCGTCAACATGCTTGGAATCATTCCAAATCACGTGCAAAATTTCCTTCACATGACCAAATTACCGTCTATTTAAACAATGTATGTAGCGTAATTAAAAGTTACCTTGACAACTGAAGCAAACCCTTCCATTACGTGATTCACTCATTTATTTAGCTACAAGAGTTTTAAGGCCTTTTCAAACTTTTTTTTACCATCTTTTATGAGGGATGGTCGATGATGACCATCATCACCCTTAAATTTTTTTTATCAAATAATCCGATAGAATATAAATAAAATCACCCTTGAAGGTTTGGGCAAATATAAACCTTTTAAACTCCGGATGCAAAGGGACGTTCTAGTTTTCTCTCATGATACCGTCGTGAGTCTTGCAAATCTCATTTCTTTGAAAAGAAAATCTGTCATGTCAACTAATGAGAGTTTAATTGTAGAGAAAAACTCAAGAATATATTCTACCTGTATTGTTCAGTGTACCATTTCCATGGGCTTAAATCAATTCAAGATTATTGTACAAGTTGCCATGCACTTTTGCCAACTTTTATACCATCTTTTATAAGGAATGGTCGATGATGATGGTACAAATAATCTACGATTTCTATGAAAAATAAAATGAAAAGATTGGCAATAGAATTTATGAGAATTTGAGTGACAGTGTACCATATGTTTTGTAAGATTACCGTCAAAGCCACAATCAGCATAATTTGGCACATTTTTCTTTAAAACGCTCCAATGACTTCGTAACCACGAGGGACATGGTGCTCTACACAAAATTAAACCATTTTCATTGTCATGATTCTTCTATTATTTAAAACAATAACATGTTCAATAAAGTTAAGTTACTTTGGTAACTGTTTGGTCATTTCTGTCCAGTCGATAAACTTTTCATCCATTTCACCAGAGAGTATAATCTGTGTAAGGAAAAATATAAGAATTTTGATGTCTTGTGCTTCATTTTTTCTTTCTTTACCTAGAAATAAAAACGTACCTTTCAATAAGTCGTACATCGTCCTCATTATTCCATTTTATGTTTTCTTTACCATCCAATGTATGAAAACAAGATTCACGCATCCTTTTTACAGCAAATAAAAATAAATATACTGTTTTTGAACTATTGTATTCTGATAATTAACAAAAAAATCCAAACAAACAAATACTAACCATTTTCTTCTACATTGAATAGCATCCCTACTCATGACATATGTGGAAACCTCGTTCCAGTCTATTTCTCCAAAAATTTGAGTGTCAAATTCAGTTCCAGTAACTGCTCTGACCGCACCATGTAGACGATCAGTTTCCTCCTTGGACCAACGTCCAACTAAAAGCAAGACAGAACCTGTCATTTGTGACTAAATGAAGAAAAATAAGAAAAGTGTAACCAACCAGTAGTTCTCCGAGTGATCATAATGAATCGATAAAAAGCAGACACTCCATTGCGTCCAAGAATACTTCCAATCTTTACCCACTTATTTCCATAAATTTCGTGCAACCTACAAAATATAAATTAACTTTATTATACTTGTACCGCAATGATCTAAACATTTGTAATCATTTTTTAAATAGTTTTTGTGGTCACTCACCTTAGCAACTCTTCTGTTTCATCACTTGACCACCTGTTGGCAATTGGAATGATCAAGCTTAGTACGTAGAATTAATAAAGAATGACACTCAAACAATTGACAAGTTTCCATCGCTCAAAAACAGTAAAAGTGATAATACTATACCTTTCATGTTTTGATTCATTAAAAATACTTCTTGATTTTTTATAAATCTTCCTCAATGGACGATCTATTCCTTTAGCTGAACAAAATTCAAAAACTAAAGTTTTAACAATCTCATCAAAAAAATGGGATCTCAAAAATCACTTCCATCACCTAGAGTGCGATAAAAGTTTGTATGTATTGTTTGGTCTTCCACAAGCTTGTCTCTACGCCTTTTTTCCCCCACTTCCTTCTCACCAAAAATTAAACGTGTGGCATTTTCAAGATTGTGTTTCTATCAAACATATATGGAAAAATTGTATCCATTAATCCACCAACAACATATATTGCATACATCAAATGAATATATCCGTAACAAATGTAAAGGGTGAGGATTATAAGGATGTAAATTGCTTCTCAATTTTAGTGGTAAAACTTTATAGCCCCGGAAAAACATCAACAAATCATATCTTGTTTCATGACTGGCTAAATTAAACAGAACAATTCGACAAAGTATGTATTGCACATTTATAATCATGATTAAAAATGTTCATAAAAGCATGAAAATGTATTAAAACATATTATTTGTATCTACACGGAGACATACCACAAATAGCTACCCATAAAAATCAAAAGACGTTTTAGAATTTTCAAGATTTCGCAGTAATCAACCCACAGGGAGATGTAAACGTAATTGAAATGAATTTCATGTTTAGGATGATAACTGTAATAGTGAATCAGAAGAGAAGATGAAATTACAAATAAAGCATGTTGATAAGATTTTAAAACTTACTTCAGAGGATAGCTATATCTAGCTTTGTGTATTGCAGTTTACTTCATTTAGTTGTTGTGACATAATAATTGCCATCATAAACATACAACAAACAATTTATACAACAATTTGAACAAAAATACCTTCAAGTACTTTGTCATGTTTTTGGTTAATCTCTTTGTCTCTTTCTTAGACCAACGACCATGTTTTACTTTAATTCCTTTATGAAAAAGAAACAGTTGATCTCAAAACTGTCTAATATAATTTTCAAGACATTCAAATAAATACTACTAGGCCAAACATTGTATTGAAACTGTACAAAAGGATAATATGCAAAAGCATATTGATATTTCATACAGAATTCATAAACTTCTTTCTAACATTCTTAGTTAATTACCTTCTTTTTGAAGTTTCAAACTTTCATTTTCAGTAAAACGCCATTTTATGAGCAAATCACGACTTCCACCTTCCATAAATTCTATTTCTTTATCCCCTTTTCTTATACTCCACAAATGCTTTTCATTCTCAAATTCCTATCAGTAAGCATTAACATTATCTAATGCCAACACATTAAAAAACTTAGCATTTTATTTGGCCGGTCAAGAGACAAAACAAGGTAATCAAGACATTGGCTGATAACACAGTTCTTCAGTAGTAAAATAATACTTAATTTTCTCTTGCAACACAACATTTATGATTTTATGTACACACATCAAAAAATCGTGATATATCCCTCAACTTATATCGTTACTTGCTTTGCTTTCACAACTTCAACGAAGTGGCATGGGTGCTTCGTGTTCATGTTCATGATACAAAATCGACACCAATTTATATGAATTTGACAACAATTTTGATTGTTTACAATTCAAATATCATCCAAGATGGACAGGATGATTGTTTAACTTCTAAAGACAAGATTGCACTTCAAACAATAATACTTTTTAGTTTAGTTCTTACCTGAGTTAACTCTTCCATCATGAAAACAGCTCCCCAAGGAAGGGAAAATGGGAAAAACACGCTAAACAACTACGTTACTAAGCGCATGCGCACTTTAATAACTTTTACATCAGAGTCTTGAGAACCCGCACTAGAGCTCTCACGACTCCCCAAAACAACCGCAACACACCAAATACAACACATTATAACATTAACTACACACAACCTTTAATACCCACAACAACATTAACCACACACAACATCATACTTACCATACTATCGATACTACTTCGACTATACCAATGAGCTATTCACGTGATACATTATACACGTCTAATGCGTCATACATTATACACATCTAATTACCCGGGGGGGAGGTGTGTTAGAATGACATTCGACTTTGAATCTTCATGGGATTATCTTATAAACTCGTCACAGCAACCTGAAAGTGAAGTTTTCTTTCGAGAAATAGAAATTAATGTTTGTAAATTTTTTACTCAAAGCAAATTCCAGCATTTCTACGGCGACTTTCTTCAAAACTCAAAGAAAATGGATAGATATAATAAGCAAGACGTTACCCATTCGTAGGAAAGTGGTAAACTTTGAATATTTCAAAAACTATCGCTGAGACTGTGAGATGAAACCTGTTTATTCAAAAACTATATTTTCTTAACATTTTTTAGCATAATTCAAGTATGATTTTCAAAAGATTGCTCTCCACAAGATATAACCAAGATATTTTACTATTTGAATATGACCGTCGTAGTTTCTTTAAAATTCTCGGTTTGGCCACTCTGAGCCAACTTGTATTCTGGAGTTACATGTCTTACGTCATGTACGCCTATGTGAGACCTGCGTCCCAAGTCCTGCGTGAACGATCATCTTCGAAGCAAATAAAGGAATATTCGTACTTTCCAACTATTTTGTTGCATCCAAAAGTATGACATGGTTTGCTATGTTTTCATTATCGCTTTTATACAATTGACTATTTCTACATGCAATTCTAGGTACAGATGGGGATGTCTATTGCTTCAATGGGATTAGGATTGTTCTTCTTTTTTGCTGGAAGGATGTATGCTAAGCGGTTAGTGAAGCTACTGATACATATTATCTTCTGTATTCGTTCTGTTTCCATATGATGTCAATAGCGTAAGATTATGAGGCATTTAAAGTAAACCAAAAATTTGTACCTTGTTTCTATCTTACTCATAACACATTCCGTGTAAATAGCACTACCACTTTTTCTCATACTTTATCCTTCTACTAACTGGTAATTCATGTGTCATGTATCCATATTTGTCTTGTAACTGTAAATATCTACGTCATTCATTCGTAATGTTACGTCGAAATATATTAACGTTAAAAATTTCCTCGTTCAATTCAAATGTCTCATTTTTTCTGTTGATAAACAGGTCAGTGCACCAACTCATTCTGCTCAGAAATGGCGCACAGTTAATCGTGAGAACGCACACACTCTACGGTGGAACACAAGAAATCTGCGTGCCTCTAACTGACGTGTCATGCTTTGGTTCTAGGTTTGGTGAGTAAACTCGCACGCTTGTTTAATCTCAGCACAGAAAACAAACATCTTTCTTATTATTTGCTTCTTTTAGATACATCACCTTTTGTTATCCTCAAGATGCGAAATCATTCCTACTACTTCATGTTAGACAAACGTGGTGATTTTTTGCAATCCACATTATTTGACACAAATGTTGGTGTGAAACGATGGAGTTGAGAAAACGTTTAAATACACAGTACAAAAATACATTTATTGTTTTTTAAACTCTTCGTGTGCACAATAAATAAACGTGGTTAACATTCCAAAATTACATTTTTACACAGATATGCACTCTTACGGTCTTACCAAAATTATAGTGATTAACATTGACTTGGAATTCGGTATTTAATTAGGAAAATTTATTGTCGTAAGGAATCTGTAAAGACATCCGACATCTGCATCTTTAATCGAACTGCATTTGCGCGCGAGCTAAATGCAAACAATTTAATGATCAAATAAAATACTTATAATAAAGCTTTAATTCAACAATCTGACGTAATGAAGATGAAAGTAGTTTAAAGCATTTGAGAAATGAAAAATGAAATGTTAAAACTAACATGACTTACCGTATGGTTCCAGCTAGGAGAGGATCAAACGCATACAACCATTCATTAAACTCTTTATCGTTATCATTAAATGGTTTTACAACATATCCACGATGCGTTGATTGAAGTGAAATAAGATGATCCTATATGTAAAATAAACTCCTCAGATAACCATGATTATCCATGAATATCCATGTGACCGAATCGTGAACAAGTCATGTTGATGTATATGATGTTGAACAAGTGTAAACATAATTACCTGAAGTTCGCTATTTTCTTCGTGACAAGAGACTTTTGTGCGACTTAAATTCACGACATTTCGTTCAATCTGTTCAATGACGTAGTTTTTTCCATAAAATACGGATGATTGAACATGGAAGTTAAAATTTAAAAACGAAACAAACCTGATCATGTTCATTACGATAGAAAAAAGCGTATGGACGTCTGACAACCTGGAATTTCGATGTGATAAATGATGACAAAAGGTTTTAATGGTAAGCAATCAGTTTGGAATATACTCAACATTTTTAAATATTTTAGTCAATTTACGTAAGAGGTTGCATTAAGCTGAGCATGGATTGAACCATTATAACAAGTACATGACCTGAGCTGAGAACAGGTGCAAACATCACACAGGTATATGAAAAAGACAAACCATTCTTTCATAGTTTTTGCATTTATCATCATATCGATATCAAAGATATGTAGCTAAGTTTTCGGGATGGTCATATAGCGTGTTTTAAGAGATGAAATTTAAATTTACCCTATACTAACCATGTAAAGTTTCCTCCATCGAGATGAATCGTCTTCCAAGATTAACAAGTATCCTTCCTTTGCTACGACATGACTAGTATAAAAATGATTGTATTTTGTATCAATTATTACTGACGCAATCTTTATTGTAAAAAGCTGAAAAACATTGAATAATACCCAATGGCGTGGCAGCACAACTAGGAACCCGTGGTAAAAATATTACAAGCCACCTCCCTTCGATAACCATATTAAAATCTAACAACTGCCATATCTGGTTTGATTTCGCTGTCTAGCATTTAAATTTAAATTTTTTGTACATAAGTTCACGATGTGCAATTTTTCTTGTTTTAGTCCACAGTATAATGATAATTTTCTAATATGACAGGCCCCTTAGCCCAGGGTGCGGCGTGGGTTTGCCCATCCTAAGCCCATAGTAGTTACGCCAATGATAATATCATGTGTTAACATTTTAGACCATGTGATACAATACATAATATATGACGAAATAAATGTCTATTGTAATTTCTAAAGATGGGAACTACACGTTTGTGAACCTTTTAACAATTTCTCTTATTTCTGTCAACATGCCTGTCACATGACTGCTGACATCATCAGTTTCGACATTCACGTGACGTTTTGACATGTTTCCTGGATCCTAAGACAAAAATAATTTCGTTAAGAATTGCATGATTATGAAAAAATACATTTATGAACAAACTTTTGCGAGTTTTTTCTCCGTTGAATGTTTCTTCAATAAATGAACAATCTGAAGATAAAAATCACCGATTCAATATAAATACAGTCTTTATTTAGTTGTTCTTTTAAACACACCTTGTCTAAAGTGCTATGAACCTTATCGGACATATAATCATCACTGACATTTTCACACTGTTTGAGTGAGCATTTCAGAGGTATATCTTGTCCAGAAAGCTTTGCACGAAGATGAAGCAAATGACGGTTTTTACAAACCTAGAGAAACACGAACATAAATCTTTCAATACGTTCATCATTTTTAGCACATTTACAATGTTTTGTGCCCAATTTAACCTCTTGAACATATGCTATTTTCTTCTGATTTTGAAAATGCTCTTCAATCAAAGATCCACTTCTAGGTCTCCAGTCTTTAAGATTTTCCTCACCGCGAACATACGGTACAGCGGTTGCACAGTCATCTATACATGTGATAAAGAACAAGGACAATATTCACAACAGCATACTCACATGGTTTACACGTGCATGGTTATGCATTACCTGTTTCACATACAGGTGTTAATGATAGTTCATACACTCCGCTGCATTCATTCCTGGTATGAGATAAACAAACAATATTATAAAAAAAAACACTCGAAATTTAAAGTGCAAAGGAGCGTCAAAGATACTTGAATATACATTTCAGGATTTTCAGTAGATTTGGAAGAAAAAAGTTGAGCCCAAATTGACCTGAAATACAGATAGAAATAGTCAAAAAATTGTGTCGTTTTAACAAAACTTTAGTACATGTGGCAAGTAAATACCTCGATGGAACAGTCTTTGAATCCCTATCATAAATAGCAATATAGCATCTTTTCTGGAGAGAGACTGTTCGATCAAAACCATCCAGCTATAAAAGAAGGTATACTTTCTATGTACTGGTGATTTTGACTGCGAAAAAACAAATATACGTTCATACCTCTAGTGAAATATACAGTGTGAGTGAGATCAAATCTCCAGGATAAGTTACTCTATAAAAGACAAATATTTTAAATATTTTTTCGACAAAAATCGTGGACAATGGCCTTTACCACTTCACCTGTCCAAATGACGAGAATTATGTAAAGAAGAATCCCATGGAAATTCAAACTTGACGAAAGAGATAGTGTCGATAGGATGAGAAAGGATGAGCTGGCCTGGAACGAGACGGACCCATGAATTGTTTCCTGATGACGTTGTTTGATAAACACCATCAGATTCTCGTAGAGTCATTGGAAATATGTTTCCTGAGAAAGCGTGAAGAAAAGAATACTTTGTAAAGAAACATGAAAATGTTTTTCTTCTTGTTAACATGAAGTGATATTCACCAATCCATACTCCAGTGATGTTTTTCCATCGTATTTCAGGATAGTTATCATGAAGTATTGTAACCATGATTCGTCGTTGTATACCCTGAAGAGTGACAAGTGTTTGTCACGTGAGTTGATAATAAATAACAAGGGTTTAGCGGTAAACATTACAAAAAAATACGTACTTGATGAAGCAAATATATACCAGAGTTGACGTTACCATGACGATGTTTGACAAAACAGGGAAGGTAACTGAAAAGTCAAAATGAATACCATTGTAACCATGCAATCCCATGGGAGCAGTTACTTTACACTTCAGGAAGTGTCAGATAAAGTAACTGCTCCGATGTGCTTTCGTATACCGCTGGTCAAAAGTCCCAGGTCGCTTTATTTATTGTAAAATACATATTTATGTGTGTCACTTACTCGCCATTTGGCGCTAATTCAAGAAATTGAACGCGGACAAGCAATTCATACACCAAACTAGCATCATGATCCCTAAAAATATATAAAAATGATAATAAATATTAAAATATTGACAACCACAACAACACAATTGTGACCTCAATAATACAATGGTGACCACAACAATACAAAGGTGACCTCAACAATACAACGGTGACCTCAGCAATACAACGGTGACCTCAACAATACAATGGTGACCGCAACAATACAAAGGTGACCTCAAAAATACAACGGTGACCATAACAATACAATGGTGACCACAACAATACAAAGGTGACCCCAACAATACAACGGTGACCTCAACAATACAACGGTGACCGCAACAATACAAAGGTGACCACAACAATACAATGGTGACCACAACAATAATGACAACATGATTGTTTCCGATATTTTTGTAGACGATTCATAAAAACGACAAACACTTTTACCTCTTCTTCAAAGGTAATCGCAACATAAGAGGATCAACTGAAATAAATGAAACATAAAAATTTCATTTTTAAAGCATAAAGAAAAATCATTCTTTCCAGTCAATAACCTTGGGTTGTCCTTTCAATGTCCTTCAAACTTTTGTTTACTTGAACTGGAACATGGTCAGGAAGACTGTAGTAGAAAAAAAATATTCTACACAGTTGTAAATTTTATATAGAGAGTGATAAAAAATAACAAAAATTACCGTGGAGAGCTGGATTCCAGGCGAGAAGGCTGTTTATAATAATGTCCATATACTTCGAATACAAGAGGTTGATATTCAATGTAATGAAGGAAGGAACGTTTTACTACAATACCAATCTGTCGAAAGAACGTGATATCATGATGAGTATGATAAATGATATGAAACTCCAGGAAATTTTAAAGTAAATGGTTTGAACACGGGAGTGTCGTTATATGTTTGTAAATGATGATCGTCCAGGTTATTCTTCTCAGGACTTTATTAACCTGGACGATCATCATTTACAAACATCTAGGAAATTTTCTTACATCTTGTGATAGAAATGTTGTTTCACTGAGGAGAGGTGTGGACTTATTGACAATTTCTGATAGAAATGGGTAGTCTTCTTGGGTCAAAGATATAAATCTGTAAGAAAAATAGAAACAGATTGAACATAATTCAACTTTATTAAGTAATAAGCAAAACTTAAACGAAAACAAAAGGCAAAAGAGAATCAACTTGTCATTGATCAGAGTGAAAAAGTCAGTATGACTCTCTTCGTTTTCTATACATGAAGTATGACATATTAGAGCAACATATGGTTGTTTCGTACCTGAATTGACAGAACACATCGGTATAATCGGGAAGTATATCAAGTATTTCCAAAATAGTTATTCTAAGAACTAAAGTTGAGCCAATCACAAGAAGATCCTCGTTCAGCGGTATTGAACTATCCGAAGAGTCATTACGTTGCTCCTTATAAAGAAGACAAAAAATATAAACATGCAACATTGGAGATTTTTATGATAGCGCTTCAACCTCGCTCCTTGCCGTAATCCATGTAACATTTGACGGAAACTGTTTATCACATTCGGAACTATCATCACCTGAAACAATTGGCACTTTTACTTGCTATTCAATGATAGATAGAACGAAAAAAATACATATTTACCTGCTATTGGTTCGATTCTAACAGAAATTCTTCCTAAAATCTCACATTTTTCATTGATGATGGGAACTGTTTGATCCAATGCAACACCATAAGCAACATGACTAAGAAACACGAATGACCTAAAAAATTAATAAAACTTAGAGGAATGATATATTTCTACCATTTCTTTATATTTAAAAATTTCTACTAAATCCTACCTTCCTATAAAACGATACCACGGAAAATCATCATAAAACGGATCGTCAATGTTCGCGTCACTAAAGTCACTTGCCATCATGATTTTATGATAGAGATCTTTCATTTTCTTTAAACGTTCACTGAAATAAATATTCATTTATTGCAATCCCAAGTTTGAACAATCTCACTATGATATAATAAATTCAAAAGTAGGCAAGAGATGCATCATTTTCATCTGTAATGACCTGAATTTCTTAAGGCTCCAATAATGGACCGCACTGTTCTTACTATCAGAAACCTCGATGGCGAGGACCGTTTGTGAAGGCATGGGATCGATGTCTAACGCATCCGGGATATTGAATGAATTAGTTTGGGTGAATAGGACGAACTGATATTTCACCTAATAAGAAATACAGAAATATGTAAATTATCACGTTATCTTTTCATTTTCAAAAAAAAATAAATGAAGGAACCTTTTTGTTCAGTTCGAAGCTTATTACATTTGCTTCTTTTAACGAGACTGTGTGACTAAGGATACTTTCCTACAAAAGAGAACACGTGACTCACATTATATTGTAAGCTTTAAATTGTAAATATTTCATTGTTTAAAGATGGCTATATGTATACGTACCTTAAAAGAAACGTAACGATACGATCTCCACTTATCAACAACGCATCTCGCAAGCTGTTGTTCTTTTTCAGTCCAATCACACCATTCTGCACTCACTAAAATTGTAAATGTAAACATTGTAACATCGACCGTGGGTGGAAAATTTTCCTGAACAATGATGCAATTAATTCTTGAATATTTTGTGAACTTTATGTCCTTAAAAAATTCATACCGTTGGTAGATAAACTTTCTTGATCGCTTGCCAAGGTTTCCAATGACGGTGGAGAGGAAAGGTTGACCTAAAACAATAATACACGGCTCATCATCAACAAATAAATACAACACAAAAAAATTCTAACAAGTAATATCACCTTTCTTTGTAACTCCTGGAGTTTTAATTCGTAACTCTAAAATGTAAATAAATGTTAACAATAAGTAATAAAACTGTTGCTACAGCATCATTGTCAAAAATAACCTGTTTTTGCTGTTCCAATAACGCGTCTGCAGCCTTCTTTTCTTGTTCAATACGTTCCTCTAGTTCCATTACTCTATAGTAAAACATTCATGACGACAAAGACAACAAAAAGGAAAACACAGATGGTACGCCAAACCTTGCACTAGACGTTAATGATACTGTTTCATCTACTCCTTGTTCACGTCGAAGTTCTTGACATGCATATGACCAGTCAAGGAGACGTTCCTGTTTCCATGGTGATGACTCTGATGATGTGGAAAGAGCTCTGCCTGAAGTGAAACCACAAGAAATGTATACATGACAAATCTTCGATGTCTATTTTTATCCATAGTAATACATAAGCGTTTCCAAAAATCACCTTGGTAAGGATTGTTGAAACGGAATATGTGACTTTCTCCCATTATAATTCGATCACCTGGAAAATTTCATCAATATTTTAAATGAAGCGAAGAGCTCATTTTCGTCACATTTTTTACAAACTACCTGACTGTAGTGCTATTTTCTCACTTAGCAATTTTCCATTAACAAATGTTTTCGCCTCCTCAAATGGAATAATTTTGACATTTCCTTCTACGTAGACGATAAAAATTGCCATGAACAGGGTTACATCACATAGCATTGTATGTACAAAAAAAACAAGACAAATTCAAAAAATAAACATTTACCATCATCATTCGTAAAGTTACAATGCTGCTGTCGTATACTGGAGCCATTCAGCCGTATGTGTTGAGATACACTTGCAGGATCTGAACCAACACTGTTTAGTTCAGAAGAAAGAGAGATCAGTCAGTTTTCGCATGAAACAACCGCTTCCGTTTTCGAGAAAGTTGTATTGGACGAACCTTGTTACTCCCGTTTTAAGATAGTAAAGCAAACATTCCGACATCAGTGGGTCTTCATTAAGATTCACCAAATACGGATACTAAAACGAATATCTCCACACTATGAACACTTAATATTCTGACAATGAACAATGTTGAACAAAAAGCTACCTTTTTCGGTTGAAACAAACCAACACTATGACCATCTTCACCCAAAGCAACTCCCATTTCAGCAAGCGTTGCTTCTCTGAAAAGTAAATAATAATATTGCAATCAAGAAGAACACTCGAAGTATATAAGCCCTTACCTTTCAGCTTTGATTGCCTCGCTTTTCTTCAACCTCTCTTCCCAAGTTTCTGTTAGTTCTGCTACCAATTTTTCCGACTCCTACGACACAAAAACCTTTCTTAAGGTCGAATTGGAAAAGAGAAATTTCTAAGAGAAAAAATCTCTTCATTTCACAGCAGTTACATCCTGCATGCAAAACTTTTCCCTGTAAAAGCTGCGAGAGTATAACTAAAAAACACCTAGGAAAGTTTAAAAAGCAAAGTACATCAAGCAAAGAAAATCTACCATAATACCTGAAGTTTGGACTGCAACGCATTTGTATCTTCTTTAACGGAACTAAAACCTTAGAAAGTAAATAAACCACGCTCAATGTGAGTTGATATGTAAGTTTTATATCTTTTTCCTTAAACAGCTACCTTCAATATTTTCTGGGTCCAGTCCTTCTCTCTGTATTAGGTGACGCAATTTTAAAACTTCTTCTTTCAATTCACGAATTATCTACGAGAAATGATGCGGTTTAAATACATGTAGAACACTGGTGCAGAGACCCAGAGTAACACAGATGTTCAACTCCATCTCCTATGTACGTAGCTCTTAAGTGCTAAAGACTGAGAACCCCCACGTAAACAACAACATATTTTCATTATATCAGGTGCGCACGCGAGTGTTTTAAAAAACTTACCTTGGCATTGGGATCTTCATTCACAACAGCTTTGCATACAATCTGTTTTGCCCTGTCAGCATATCTAAAATGGCAATGAATAAAAAATACATCTATAATTTCATAATGCCTTCATGCATAGATAATTTAAAGATATCAACGTTTGTCTCTTATGATAAACTCATCATTCGTCAGTTCACATACGTACCTTAGTGTACTTAGTGTCTCATCAGTTCACATACGTACCTTAGTGTACTTAGTGTCTCATCAGTTCACATACGTACCTTAGTGTACTTAGTGTCTCATCAGTTCACATACGTACCTTAGTGTACTTAGTGTCTCATCAATTTACATACGTACCTTAGTGTACTTAGTGTCTCATCAGTTCACATACGTACCTTAGTGTACTTAGTGTCTCATCAGTTCACATAAGTACCTTAGTGTACTTAGTGTCTCATCAGTTCACATACGTACCTTAGAGTACTTAGTGTCTCATCAGTTCACATACGTACCTTAGTGTACTTAGTGTCTCATCAGTTCATATACGTACTTTAGTGTACTTAGTGTCTCATCAGTTCACATACGTACCTTAGTGTACTTAGTGTCTCATCATAATTAATGTCGGCTGGACTTATCGTCGCTATCATTGCTGTCTTGGAGTTTCCTCCTGCAAAACATCATGGACAGTAAGGTACAGATAAGAGCATGCTGTAACTAAGCAAAACATCATGGACAATAAGGTACAAATAAGAACATGCTGTAACTAAGCAAAACAACATTCATAACTGCTAATATAACGTTACCAAGGTTTTCTTTCAAAAGCCAAGTGAGAACAGAGTCACGATATGGAATGAACTCTGACCGTCTTCTCTTCTTTAGGCTTGACTAATGTTGATGTAACCAAAATTAAAATCATGATTTTTTAAATAATCGAGCACTTGTTAAAACAAGACTTTTTCTATATTTCACCTGTTCAGCCAAGGCAGATATGACTTTACCCAGCGTTGTTAACGACTTGTTTATGTTTGCTCCTTCCTAAAGGAACAAATCAGCAGCATTGTGTAGAAACTCACGAATTCGGGGGCAAATGTTGCATCTGATTTGCTCAGTAATCAGGAAATGAGTAATTATTTAAGAAATACAACAAAACAACAAACCTTAAGTCTTGATCCCTCTGCACCTGTAGAGTTTGCTCTTTCACTACCAGCAAGATCAACTAAGCTCAATTTGCTAACCTGATTTCACAAATCAATCGTGTTTCATTAGCAAACAAAAAAACTTATTAAAAATAAAACGTGTAGTCTTACTTTTTCACTGGTCAACTTTGTTGGTTGATCAAATCTGAAGAAGACAAAATGTGTAATTAAGAAGTATAAAATAAAAAATAAATGTTCTTCTCATTTAGCTTTACAACCTTTTCTGTGTGAGAACGATGGTAAATATAGCATGTGATCTGCTGCTTGTCTCATTCATATTTGTAGCAGCTACAGTCCTAAATTGTGACAAAACACAAGTAAAAAATCATTTTAAGTATAACATACTTCAAAACATTAACATTTATACCTACCTGTCTTTAGTAAGACGTCATTTTAAGAAAATATACTTCAAAACATTAACATTTGTACCTACCTGTCTTTAGTAAAATGTCATTTTAAGAAAATATACTTCAAAACATTAACATTTATACCAACCTGTCTTTATTTCCTTCATCCATTAAGTTACTGATATCAGCATAAGACATAACTGCAAGCTTTGATAGGTTCTCAACATATGGTCCCATACTTGGGTGTTCCCTAGATTATAAAATTACCATATTCTTGATGATACATGATCTTATAGAAGCTTCATCCTTTTAATAAAGATATTATCAAATACCATGTACCTTACACGTAAATTTTGTTTATTCTTAGGATTGAGCAAATCCCGAACACGCTCGCAATATATTTCAATATAGCTCACCTAGGTATCAACACCAAAATAATAAATTACATAACATCATGAAAAAATAGGTACACACAGCATACAAGTGGATGGCTTGAATTGACAAGAATATGAAATGTAATAAAGTAAATGGTTTGAACCTGGGAGTATCATTACATGTTTGTGAATGTAGATGGTCCAAGTTGGTATAGTCCTGAGAAGGACTGTTTTTGTTGTTGTTGACTGACGTTTCGACAACCTTAGCAGTTGTCATCTTCAGAGTCAAAAAGCGGTAGTAATCCTTAGCAGTAGTCATCTTCAGAGTTCATTTTGACTCTGAAGTTGACTACCACTAAGGTTGTCGAAACGTCAGTCAACAACAACAAAAATAGTCCTTCTCAGGACTATACCAACCTGGACCATCTACATTCACAAACATGTAATATGAAATGTAGTTGACTTTTCAAAACTTTCATTTATATGACATCTTGATTTATTTGTTCTAGATAGTAGTCAGTGAAACAGATACTTTAGCATTCCTTTACTCATGGCAATAGGAATAGCATTACACCAGGTAAGTTTCCGTTGATATTTCTTTGTTAAAAATGGTTAAAAGTACATTATGTAAGTTCTTTGTTTATTTGTACATGCAGTATGAATACAGAGATCAGTAATATACATGGTAGCTGTTGTCTACTTTTTTGCAGTATAACATAGTGGTTAACAAGCGTACAGACTACCACAAAAAATTACTACAGTTGTATGCATAGCAGGGCTTAATTAAAAGGTCTCGCAATCCTTTTACCTCAACAGAAAATGACAGATCTTCACATTCAGAAGACATAAATGCAGTTTTCTCAAAAAGCTTTTCACACAACTGTGGTATTACTCCTTTGTGTTGTGATTCACTTGTTCCCATCATTGTATAAGATTTTCCTGAACCAGTTTGCCCGTATGCAAATATGCATATGTTATAACTAAGAAAAAATTCAAATTACATAAATGTACATCGCAAACAATGCAGAAAAATGGTAAATTTTTCTTTCTTCATACCCTTCAAGAGCATGCTCTAACATTTCATGACCAACATCTTTGTAAACACTTTGTTGAGAAGCAAAATGATCATCGCTCTGTTGAAAAAAATGATTTTATGCCTGCATCAACAATCAAAATCAGATTTACATTAAAATACAAAAAAAAGTTGACTTTATTGAATCTTAAGCTTGCATTTCCAAAAATTTACACCTGCCTTTTGTATCAATCAAAATCATACAATACATATGATAAACTAGTCATACAAAAAACCTAATGTCCATGCACACAAACAGAAAATCCTGCATTGACTACTTGTTTTTTAACTTACTTCTTCATATGACCAGAATGAATGGTCGTAACTGAAAGTCTTTGATTGGTTGGTTTTTGGATTGGTGATTGCTAAAAACAAAAACATTTATTTTCAACTTTCCCAAGCAACAAAGATTAATGGCAATGAGAAAATGACATCAAAGCATGTAGACATTGCTTATATATGGGAGACCAACCAGTTTTATCATCAACCATTTGTATAATACAGCGACTTTTGTGATTAATCTCTCTTCTATTTGAAGGTCGGACCCTCACTGCAACTTTCACTGATGACATGCTATAAAGGGGAAGAAAATGAATTTATACTTTCTTTAATTACACAAACTGACATAAATTTACCAAAGTCAATAAAATACACAACAAAATGAATGAATGAGGTCTTCACTTATCAAGAAAACCTGAACAAAAAATTCTGAAATAACACATACTTTAACTTTTTCAACCGGCAACCACCTTCTACAAATGTGTATACGTCCAATTAAATAGCACTAGCCCATTAAAATCCATTGAAAAAACACAACGTCAAAAGTTGTACAATTTCATTCATTGTGAAAGTTATTGCGAAATTCAGCATTTGTCCGGTTCATCTCCACTAATTTTAAACAACACAAATGTCGATAATTTTCGTAGGTTAATTTAACGAGCAGAGACACTTAATTGTTCACACTAAAATACAATTTTCTCACGCAATCAACACAACGTAATTTAATAAAAAATTGTTCAAAATACAAATAATGAATTCATGTGATTTAATTATTTTGGACTTTGCGCTTCGCTGACTGCCCGTTGGCACGAGCTTAACCGTCACCCCCCGGGAAATGAAATCACATCCAACGTCCCCCGTAAATAAGTTACCTTTGTACAATATATGCTGAATTTTAAAAACTTTAATTTATGACATTGTGTCAGAAATGAACACGAGTAAGACATTACATTGAACAGGATTTCATTTGATGAAAATAATCATTGATCCATTAAAACAATAAATTTTATTTTCACAGGATTACAATATATTTCTATTTAATGTTATCAAAAAAGCCAATATCTGAGATAAATTATGACAATGATAAATACAATTGCAACAGCTGCATATTTTGCATATGCAGTTCGAACATTTAAGTAATGTGCATCTGACTTATATTTTACTGACTGATCTTTTAGTTTTCCAGCTTTGTCGTCCAGTTCTAAAATGAAAATAATCTTTGGTTAAATTGACAAAGTATGTAATCAGAACAGTTCATATTCACTGCACCTGAAATTGCCTCTCCTCTTTGTAGAACTTCATCAATGTTTTGAACAACAATTCTTTGGATGTCATGAAGTTCATCATTTAATCTGTTGATATTTCTTCGAGATCTTGAGTCCATGAAATTTTTCCTACTTTTCTGAATATAATTATCTAAATAATTAGATAATATCTTTAAGAAACAAGCAGAAAGCTATGATGCAATGCTTGTTAATTTTTACAGACGAATAAAAACACTAGTGATTAAAATACCATGCAATACCTACCAAACTCAATGAATGAATAAGGACGAACTACTGTTGATATCTCTGAGCTGTATAGTTTCCAGAATTCTTTTGAAATGTCATCAAGGAAACCAAAAGCCAGTCGACTGGGAAACATTTTTTCGGTAAGCGTAAGATAGCATACCCCATTCTCAATAATGTAACTTTGAGAAAAAACAAGAAAGTCAGTAAAAGAAAAAAAAAGGTTAAATTCTTATGGATGAACTTTTTGACTATTTTCTACTTACTGAAACATCATAGACCCACTTTCAATATTGCATTTTGGAGGTGAACGATCACTAAGTTTTCTAAAGATCTGCTTTGCCTGTGCCTGATACTCTTGGAATTCTCTACCAGACTAATAAAATGCAAATACTATAACTAAAACATTGAAATTAAATAATTACATCAGTCTTCTTATTGATGATTAATGAGCACTCACTTGCTCGTCAGCTTGCATTGAAGCAGCTAAAGGCAAGCCATCCGCCGCTCTTCCAATCATTGTCATTAATACCATTTTAACAGCTTCTCAAACCTGTACACAAACTAATGAAAACAGTTTTGTCTTTACAACATTTTGTACGACACTTTCCATGATGCCATTGCTTATCCTTGTTGCTAAATCCACGTGTACTGCGCATGGCTAATGACGTCTGCATGAATTACGAAAAAAATGTCGTCCGTCATGTGGAGATAAAATCCACGTGAAGATAAAATCGTATTTTAAAGCACTTTTAACATTTATACGAACAAGTGAAGCTTATCAAATAATAAAAAACAGTTTTATGTACTACATAATGTATATTTATCTAAAGCAGCTATTGTTTTCAAGCAATTTTATGATTTGAAATGATACAGCAATTCGACACTTAAGCGCAAAAAGTCTCGCTCAACTTACACAGACAATTTGATGTCTGGAGCATGGTTGGGAAAACAACATTTTGTGCAATAACAATGGAAGTATTAACCATCGCATGGCTCATCATGATTGTAGGAATTTTAATGGCAGCCGTAGTCAAGATATTTAAAGACGAACTTCCCTATTTTATTCAAGATCTTGTTGTATATGGTAAGACGAGACGCCAGGATGAAAGCAGTCGCATGTTACAATTATGGTTGCTCGTTCCTAAGAGGTAAACTGTAAACAAATATAATGATATGCTTTCAGAGTAAAAGTTTGGTCAAAGGATAAACATTAAAATATACTGGTTGGCAGCCATGCATTTATTTTGTTCAAGAGAGAAATCCCTTAAAGTTGAGATTAACTTTTCTGTGTGTATTTGCTAAAATGCTTTGTGCCAGTGCTACCATCTACACATTGGAAACTGCGACACCTGACATTCAAAATTTGCACTAATAAATTTCCTCTCTAGATGGTTTGTACATTTCTACATAATTGGATTGATGAGTAGTTCATCTCTCATGGTTGTACTTATTCAAGTTATCACTAAGGAAACGACTTTCTTTGTTGTGCAACAACTTCATAAATATATCAGGACAGGCAGCATGTCAAATGCAGATTGTTTCTCTGTAGTACTTACATGTTTCTTGATAAATGTTCAAACGTCAAGAAGGTTATATGAATGTTTGTGGGTGTCATCAATGTCTGGTAAAATGCATGTTGGACACTATATTCTTGGAATATGCTTTTACGCTCTTGTAAACCTCACCATATTTGCTGAAATTCCTTTACAGAATATGGAAGGTAAGCCTGATATTCTTGCTCTAATGAAATGTTTATAGCTTAAATGATCTGAAAAGCTTTTTATCTTTTTGAGGTTACTGTGGCTCACATGTTCAAGTACTGGGCCAATTATCAATGACTCAAACAACCGGAGTTTTGTTGTTTTTGTGGGCAAGCTACCATCAGTACAAATGCCATAACATTCTTGCAAGTTTAACATCATGGACATCCAAAAATAAAAAGATTTATAAAATACCATATGGTGATTGGTTTAATTATGTGTCCTCTCCACATTACCTGGCTGAAATATTAATATATATTGCATTGTTAATGACAATGAATGGTCATTGTACTTTGTGGTCACTTACATTAACATTTGTTGTTGGTAATTTAACTATTTCTGCTCACACCACTCATGAATGGTATAAACAAAAGTTTGAAGACTACCCATCCAAAAGATACATTGTTTATCCTTATATCTTTTAATATGCCCTTTGTGATTTCAAATTTCAAAACTAATTTGCCTTTTTGTCATTAATTTATTAATAAAGTAGAAAAAAGGGCTATTCTTTAAAATATAGTCCTGGTCTTGTCTGACTAGAATTTCACAAAAGGCACAACCACAATCTAATGTAAACATTTGCAAAATTTTCCACTCTAGGATATTTACAATTTTGTTATTTACAATCAACAATGGAAAAGTCACATAATAATCTTGGGCTTTTTTCTTTCTAATAAACAATGCAATTTGAGAAAACATGAAAAATTAAAGAATTCATCCAGCAGTCTTTATTCAGCAATTCCAAAATCCAACACCAGGAGCTTTGTTTCCTCGGTACCATTTCGGCTACCAACGGCACAAACCAGTTTGGTGTCATTGCATCGTACTCTCCAGACAACACCACCACTTCCACCACTGTCCAGTTTCACCAGATCCCTTATAAACTCACCATTAAGGCGATCCCACAATTTTACAGTGCCATCATCAGAACTGGTAATGACAAACTTCTTATTAAATTGTAAACATGTGACAGCACTCTGGTGCTTATTGGGACCTGCAAGAGTCTGTAGACATTGCCCGCTTGTAATGTCCCAGATTTTAACAGTGGAATCAGCATTTCCCGATACCAAAATGTTATTTTTCAATTCCATACCACTTGTCAAAGACTGGTGGCCAACTAAAGTGTGAAGACATTGCCCAGTATCCACATGCCACACCCGGATAGATGTATCCAAAGATCCACTAACAATATACACACCATCAAACTGTAGGGAATATACTCGATTAGAATGGCCTTGTAACGTGTGCAGACATTGTTCTGTTTCTGGATTCCACACCTTCACAACGTAATCATAAGCACCACTAACAATACGCCGTCCATCATATTTAACACTTAAAAAAAAGATGAAAGACATGACACATTAGCTGACTATACAAGTAAAGCAATAAACTACACATGAACAAGGTGATAATTGGATTAATACCATCGTACAGCAGCAACATGTCCAACCAAAACATGCAGACACGTTCCATCATCAATATCCCACACTCGAAGTGTAGCATCTCGTGATCCACTGACTGCTATTTTTCCATGAATATCCATGCACCTCACCGTAGACGTATGTCCATATAAAGTGTGAATGCATTGTCCTGAATCTGCATTCCATACTTTAAGAGTACGGTCAGTCGAGCCACTTACAATGAGATTGTTTTCCATTTGCGAGGCCCACACTCCCCCAGTATGGCCAACAAGAGTACGCAAGCACTTCCCTGTGATAGCAGACCAAACTTTCAAAGTGTGATCATCGGAACCACTAACTATTTTATTATTGCAAAACTGTAAACAAGTGATAACATAATCATCATGGCCTTTAAGAATCTTATGAGCATTCAAAGATCCATATCTCCAGTTCATGGCAATCTTATGTTTCGTCAAGAACATTTTCTTAAATGGACTGGGATTCAAAAGTAAACGATTGGCACTGTTTGATGTTTTTCTTCTTGATAATTTAGGAGTGCATATAGGCTCATCATCAATGCCAAACTCAATGCATTTTCTTTTCCACAATCTAAAGAAAGTAGAAGTCTTAATGCAAGTGATATTGCTATGTACATTTTGTTATTAACATGCAAGTAAGTTGAAAAACTTACAGATTATCATCACAGAGAATTCGCCAGTATTTACAAGTCTGAGCAGCTTGAACCAAATCCTTGGGAGAAAGGAAACCAAGCACGAATATTGCCAGTTCTTTCGGTAGCAATGATATAAAATCTCGTTGAAACCTTGGTTCAATTGACGACATCACATGTCTTATGATTGGTGGATTACATCTTTCCATTAGTTCATCCAATGCTCTCTTCTTTTGATCTTGTGCCCATGTATTAAAAACCTGTAACCAACTTTCTACTTCTGGAGGACATGACGTTGTACTTGTATGGTGAATTTCAATGGTACTCATACCATCACTACTGTCGGAACCTACCTCACCACAAATTCTTTTATCAGATACATAAGGCACAGATTTATCATCCATCTTTCGTTTGGACATTCCCATCTCCTCACTTTGAAGCTCGAAATCACTAAACCTACTTCTAAGAGTGCGCCTTGAGATGGATCTATCCTCTCTAGAGTTTCCAGTCTTCGATTTTAATGAAGTCTTTGGAGAAGAAGAGCAATAGAGTAAGTCCTTATTTGAATCAATAAACGTCTCACTAATACCACGGATTGATATCAAATCTTCCACACACTGAAAACCACCTAAAGCTTCTCGCCTGTCTATTATCTCTATAGCTTTTCCTTTACCAATTCCAGATATGTTAGCAAGTTCATTTATGTCGGCTTTATTCAGATCTATACGTTTTGCTCTCCGACTGCGACCGGCCATAATGTATCTTTCGTCAATTTTACTTCAGGAACTAGTCCCTTTTTACAAAACGTATCAAAAGACTCCTCGACGTAGAAAAAACTATAGAAGAATAAAAAGAGACGCACATCAAATTGTGAAGCGAAAAAGTCCAATTTACTGCCACAGGCAAACACGTGTCCCAAAGACACGTCCACCTAATTGGTAAAAATTTTTAACGACATATTTATTAAATATGAAAAAATTGCGATACGAGGAAGCAGATCTCAAATTTTACATCTCGGCAATACGGCTCATACCATAATGTATACAAATTTTCTTTCGTCCATTGCAAGAGCCTGGAGGTTTAAAAGGATTTCCTGTAGCAGGTTAACAAATTTAAACGTTTCGCTCTACAACACGTAGCATAAAAGCATGCAGTAAACTGCTGCCGGTATTTTATTTCAACATGGCTTTTTCACAAAGAACATAACTATCGTGATAGTGAATACAGAATGATTGTACAAAACATTCAAAACGGACATTTACAACGAGATAAAATTACACAAAATACAACAAATAAGATAGAGAAGATCAGCATATCAATCATCGTCAAATACAGCCAGTCGATGTTGGTGCATGAGTCGAAATTCTCAAGATACAATATATCATAGATTTCTCGCGATCACCTCCCGACTAAATTCTTATTTTTTAAACAAATCTCATAAAAAACAAGGATGGTACAGAATAGTTTTTAATTTCGATCACTATTCTCGTTGGCGTTTGTTTGACAACCAAACGTTTAAAACAAATCTTACCTTCTACGTTCAAATGATTTTTGAAACAACCCATACAGCAAAAATGATTTTATGCCAAACTTGTCGTCTTCTTACTCGAGAAACTTCGATTTACAGGAGAAAAATAATTTTCATGATATTTAACATTTCTTCATCCCAAATCGGCTTTGAACAGCCAGCGTCTGCGGAGTGCGGACGAAAATTAAAACTTACCCGGATATGACGTCTTCATACGCTACCACAACGTCGGGGGCGGTAGAACCACAGAACGCGCAATTTATTCAAAACACATAAAACGTTCCCACTGAATGTTTCTGACAAAGCTTTAATCAAATTGGAGTCAACAGAGATAAATTAAAAAAGTCGCTCTTACAATATCCTTCGTTTACAGATAAACGACTCACAATAAATAAACAGTTAATGTTCAAGACAAGAGATTAGTAGCATGCATTACGTTTCATGGGTTATATTAAAACAGAGAAAAACTTATACCATTGGGCCACCAGCAGCTTGCTTCTCACGTGATTCGGTCCAGGCTTTGGCAATGGTTCTCTTCATCTCGTCATCTCCTTCGTCATACATTTTCTTCATGAGATCCATAAGACTTTCAGAAGGATCTTTGTCCTTATCCATATCACTCATCTTCGTTTTCTCTTCTCTAGCTCTCTTCTGTTTCACTTCGGTGGCCGATATTCCATCCCAGTCGCCATCAGTTGCCTTCTTCAGTATCACAGTTATGGTGTTTGGTTTGACCTAAAAAATTTATGATGAAAAGTATAACACATTTTTTAAGTCAGTAGTTTTGAAGTGATTAATTTACAGGATATACTAACCTTATGCTTACATTTCTCAGGGACAATTTCTCCTCCCAACATGGGAAGACTAAGTTCGTACATCTTACCATTGAGATTATTCACGACAACATTAAGACTGCGTTTCCCATAGTCTACTTGTATCTGTTCTTTCTGAAGACTACCAACGTTTGCGAGATCTACATAGATCGTCACCGTCTGCGGTTTCTGCAGAAAACCTAACATAAAACAACCGTAGACCGTTTAATCAAGGTGATGTGAAACACATATAATCTACTCCTAAACTAACATTTAATACACACTTTCTATCAACAAGCTCGCCACTAGTACCACAGCATTTTCTTTTAGCGAAAAATGCTTTTAAAAATCAGGTGAACACGAGACTCTGACCAACGTTATGGGATTACCTCAAAGTAGTCATTGTATATTAAATTTCTTTAGTCAGAATCAAAAAGATTAACCAAGGTCATAGTTAATTGGTATAAGAATATACAATCGTCGGAAATATTGCTGATGGGCAAGAGGTCAAAACTAAAGTCAAGGTGTTTGTTTTCGTTATAATCACGATTTTCTTTATAATGAAAGCATCAATAGATGATTTGAAGTCTAGAACTGGTCTCTGCTTAAATAATTAAAATATTTTCACGGACAATCACAGGTATAAACTTGTTGATGCTAATCTGTCATATGTACATCACACCATGTCGAGAGATTGATTTCTTAATAAAGCAGCATAATCTTATCAAAGGTGAATTCACAGTTACTTCATTATTCGCGCAAGTATATTTGTGGAATGCATATTGAACCTTAGCCAAAAGCTTACAGGTCAAAGAAGCTCCAGATGAATGCAAGAAAATCCTCTTGGTCACAAATGAAGTCAAACATACAAGTGAAAATAAGCACACGTTTTAAAACGATTCAAAAACTTTAATGGAAAATAATTACATTTAATTCTGAATGTTTGGTATATCCATTCGTCCATTATAATAATCAATGTGGAAAAATCAAGTCCCATAAACAAAAAAAATAAGTCTACAACTCTATATCTTTTATAAATTTCAATAATACGCGAGCATAGGTCATGTCGTGTTACTTTATGTGGTCAGATTTCACAAATGAAAAAAATCACTTAGGTTACAAATCATGATATGGACTGCTTATATATTTTAGACAATTGCTGTAATTTTGGTGTTTCGTTCATAAAAAAGTCAGCAACACAAACATGACCATGCTGGCTTGCACTACAATTAAAATACAATATAATATAAAAAAGCTATATAAAAATAACATTTAGTTATGTACTATTTAATGTCAGAGAAAATACACTAGGTTACAAGTAATGATTAAGTACGAAATATTCGACTCTTTCAATGAAAACCTGATTGCAAAGTCATCAAATAAACGTCAATGTTTATCCTGACACACATTATAATATGTGGCTATTTATTCACTACTATATTTCTACAAATTCGATGTCTTTTATAACATAACATGAATTGAAGTATATCAAAAATAGAATGGCAAAAATAATTCGTGTTACAAAAACACTTAAGCAAAAAATATACGGTTAATATAACTTGAATATATATCAATTAGTATTTATCGATGTTTAAAATTAGTAAATATTCGTTAGTACAGGATATATATATGCGTACTACGATTAAACAGTTCATACAATAGAACATGAAATGAGGTCAATGATTTGTAATTAGCACTGTCACAATTAATAATACATCCCACTCTTTAAAACAAAGAATGAAGTGGAAAATACGAGAAGATACTTTGACCTCACTTGAATTGTTTGAATACAAATGATCTTTGTTAATATGTTATTTTTGGTTTAAAAATCGAACTCCAAATGGAGTTAGGTATTGTTTTCCCAATATGGGTTAATCCTATCAACGTAATGATAAAGTTGATACACAAAAGCATTATCAACAATGGTTAGATTGAGATTAATTTCAAAAAATCAGCTGTTATATGTGTTAAGGCATTCGATAAATGTTATCAGTAAATCTTTGCTGATAAATGATAACCTAAGCGAAAATATTTTGAATTATGATAAACTTAGAAACTACGCATGCGCTAATTATTTAACTATATTAATTAAGCTGTTGTTATAGAGTTAATTGATAAGAAAAGTTATCTTATTAGTATCTAATTACTATCATGCAACTATTATTAACTTAAAAATTTCATAAAGAAGCTTTACACAATACTGATATAGAAAACATATTTTGTGATTATTGTAGTCGTTTTATCGAACTCTTGAAAAACGTTTTTAAATCGAAAACCTAAATATTGGTACTGCAATTTAGAAATAAATTGCAACCGTTGCAACCTAATATGTAAAACTTCTATTAAAATTAGTGACAATTTACATGAAATTACGATTATTCAAAAACAAATATTAGTATGTGGTTAGTCTGTTAGAAATCTTCTTTACTTTCAAATAATGTTCATTTAATGAACAATTGGTAATAAAACAATCATATGGTATTCCCCACACAATCAAATTCCCAAAGGACTTAACTTGCCCAAATTATTCTCCTTAATTACAGAAGCGCGCGCCGCCGGTAGATAAAAGCCTGGAAACCCACCCCCATAATACATACTGTATTCTTTCATCAACGCTTTAGAAAAAAGATCCTTGTACAGATAATACTCTCCATGTGGGTACATACTTCGATGATTAAGTAACATCAATCCCATAGGGTTATGCATCTTGGAAGTATCCAGGCAGAATTTTGGTTCAAAATCAACTGTAGGACTTGGCACCTGCTCTTTTTCGAAATGACTGTCTCCAGTTTTTTTCACGCTTTCTTCAGGCTCTATTTTAGTGACATTCTCTTCTTTACGTGCAGCAGTACTGTGGTTGACGCACATGTATTGGTCACGAAAACACTGTCCACTGAACAGTTTCTCGTGAAGTTTCGTATTTCTACTGTGACGATTTCGACTCTTTGCGCAAGTGAAAGATAGACTACATCTGCGTAGAAAAACATAAATGATCCATTGATATAACACGTCATTGATGGCTAAACTTTCATCAACACTACAATCACATTTGAGTGGAATTACCCTTTAACGTGGCATTTAAACTTCTTTAGTTTTAAATGAACTGCGTTGTAATGAGTGCGCATAGAACTCTTATCGCCAAAACTCTTTCCACAATTAGCCCAATCACAAACATACGGTCTTTCCTTTGTATGTTTGTTCATGTGAACCTTCATTTCACACTGCCATCGACAAACATATGAGCATCCGGATGCTTGACACGGATAACGACCTTCCTTGTTGCTTGAATTGCTTTTGCCAGAGTTGTTGGCATTTGAATTTCTAAGTGTGGCATCTGGAACAAACAGATGCATAGCTTCAACACAAAGATTAGCACATCACATCCACAGAAAAATGATTTGCCATAACAGTTCTGGCGATGGGAATTAAAACATAAATATATCCTGTGGATATTGACGAAGACCTCAATTTGAACGCATGTAATTTTTAAGTCATATAAAAATTACTTCCCACCTTTAAGAATACAGTACTTTAAAACAGATAGAACAAAACGAGAAAAAAAATACTTGACAACACTAGTTTAAGAACATGATCGCCTAGGTATGTATGAACTGAAAGGGAAGTTATTTGAAACCATCTGGAGCTTCTTTAAAGGATGAAAAGAAAACTGTGAATTCAAACATAGTTCACACACTCAAGCATTCCTAAAGACTTCCACTATCACCTTTCCGATAGCGCGTTAGTGGAAAATATCAACAGAATATTTTACATATAGTGTATTCCAACATTTGGAAAATAGAAAAATTTAACTTGAAAACCTACAAAAACACATCTTATTCATTACAGGTTTTCTTTTTGCCACATTAACGAAAAGTATTAAGTTTCATCTGCATGTTATTTCATCATCTAATCCTTTTTGGGAGACAGGAACATGCGTGACCTTGTAGAAGACAATGTGTTGACAGAGTTATGCAGATTGTGTGCATGTTGATCAACTGGCATCATAGAGAGTGAAATGTGATCATCTTAATACAGAGGAGCCAAATAAACAACAGGAAACATTAAGAGGCAATTATTGATAAAGATCATCATCAGACTGGCATAAGGCCACCACATACAAATACCTAAAGGGCGTAGGTATCACCTTACACAGACTGAATAACTTTTTTTATACATCCTTTAAATCATCTGAATAGTTTAATCACAATCCAAAGTATGTTTAAAATCACTGGTATGGTTGATGCTATATGATTTGTGAGACAATAACATTTTCTTATTCGAAGGCAAACTATGAGTCATCACTATTATAATTTCGCCTAAAAAAACAAATATGTCAAACCGAGAGAAAAAATTTTGAATATGCTAAATGTGTAGAAATATAACGAAGAAACGATTATATACATTTGTGAAAGTTATTAGATAAGCAAATATGCAAACAAAGAAATTCAAAGGAAATATTGACCCAATGATATAATTTTAGCAAATCTTGATGTCCTGTGGATAAATGATGACAGAATCTGTTCATAATTTTCACCTATTGCAATGACAATAGGATTTCCCATGGTGCTTTAATTGATCAAATTTCACCAAGAAGCATTATGTAGTAAGCAAAGCTAAGTAGCTTTATGGTTAAATAACATATAGTAAAACACTTCATGTTATAGATTTAAATGTTTTGGTAATGATTTCATGATATTGATAACTCAAAATCAAAAATACCAAGATTGTCAAAAACTTTTTCTTCAATACCAAAAAAACAAAGAAATATTTTTAAGGGATATATTGAAGAATTCCAAGTCTTAAATTATAAATGCGCAAACGTTATGTAGTAAAATATTGCGCTAATACTGTTGCGCATTGTTGAAAACGTTAAACAAGAATTCTTTTGTACTTTACGAAGTAACTGATGCCAGAAAATTTAGGTATTTCTTTAGTCAACAACAAGCCAAGGTCACGTTATTATTTGACAAAGAAAGGCCCTCAACCGTCATGGCTGACTTGTCATTCTATTTTCAGCGCACGTCTACTTTCGTTTTGCACCGCACATGAGAAAACTTTTTAAAAATCATAAAAGTATATAGACTTATAAACTCACTTCGCAAATCATAGAAATCTAAAGTCGAATAGGCACTAAACAATGATTGATAAGTGTATCGGCCTTGTCTTGCTAAAGACATCGGCTTGCACTTCTTACCGTAAGAAGTAATTTTGGTTCTTTGAACACGACCTTCTCGCCTTTCAAAACTTTGATGTGTGCTGGGGTTCTCTTTATCGTCACTCTCCATACAAGCGACATCATCTTGTAGTCTCTGCCTTTCGATTTCGTTGATCTTAGCGTCGACAATGCTTAGTTCATTTTGTAAAACCACTCTAACACGTGGACGTTTGGCCTGCTCTAAGAGCCCCTTCAACTCTGTTTGATCGCTTTGCAACTGTATGGACATACAAAATACTTAATTACACTAAAAATGTACACTTTTTATGGTAAAAAAGTACATATAAGAGAAAACAATTACCTCAACTAGTTCAGCCATTTTTTACAAAGTTTACTGCGGCTTCTCAGTTCCCACGTCTCTACAAACTGCCTCGCCTCTTCTGCCCGCTTCTTAGTTTTCACCCGATGGGCCGGGCCATATCATATTATGTTACATGATGTTGTTGATAAGTCCGGAAATTTGAAACATCAAACCGCTACACCTTTACAGCAAATTGAATTATTGTATAAAATCCCACACTGAGGATGTACTTTATTAAAGGTTGATTATATTTTGTATTTTATGACCAATATCGCAAATTATGATGATTTATGATTTTCTACAAATATATATATTTTTGACTTGCTCGCAGTCAAGATGAAAAGGCAGCCAGTTAGGTAGTGAAAACTAAATGATAAAAAAGCAGAGTTTATTGAAATGAAAAGTTGATTAGCATGGTTTATTATATTTATTGCGGCGCATTGTTTGCTAATATTTTATGGCGGGTAAGATAGGGCGCGACAGGTGTTGTGGGTGCTGTTAGGCCATTTTAAACAGGCCCATATATTCAGGCCGAAGAAAAACTGCGCAAATCCATTTCTGAAACTTTGTTGTCCTTTTTCTAGAAATTATACTTAGTGTAGCTTATACGTGTAGCTACGTGTTTCACTAATTTGCTTAATTTTCTATAACACAATTTCACGCGTTTTCCAGTCATCGGCGGAAAGATCACGTCCTTATTGTATGGTATCTATTTTTCCTTAATCATTGTTTTTGACAATCAGCAGGAAAACCCATAATGTCGTCAAAAGCGATGTGGTTGCCAGAAATAGTTACATCACCATCAACATCCTCACCCTCACCAACTGACCAGTGTGAGCAACATGGCCATTATGTAACTCAGCTTCTCGTTATTTCTGGTGTTGCAATAGTGGTTGGTCTTACCATTTGCCTGGCTGGTAATAAAAACGCTGACTTGTACGTACTTTCATTCAATGACAATGACTGTTTCTAACATTTGATTATCTTTTAGGTTACAAGCTGTTCAAGCTAATATTATTCCTTACTGGTTTCTTTGTTGGTTTCTTTGCCACTTATGTAGTTTGTACAATTTACTTGAAAGATGAAATTCATGGAAATGCTGCAAAGTACAAAGATCAGGTGTTGTAACATAAATGATGATTTTGTTAAACACATCAATTTCGTTGATTTTACCATGTAATATTTTGATATAAATAATTCCTTAGATTTATCTTGCCAATTCTTTTGCTGTTGGAATGATTACCGGACTACTAACTCTATGTTCATATTATCTTGGTCTTTTTGTCTTGGGTATACTGTTTTAGCTCATTTTTATGCTGTATTGCTCAAATGTATAATGTAGTATTTCAGAAATATATTGTTTCGTTCTATAACCAGGTGCAACCTTGGGATGGTTTCTTGGCATGGCTTTGGTGCCTGTATTTAGTTCTGAGACAAATTTCCTTTCCAAAAATTTGTGGTTGCCATACTCGATCAATGTTGGTTGTGCAGTGTTATTTGGACTGTTAATCATATGCTTGCAAAAGGTATGGTTTTTTATAGAAATACTAGGTCAAAATATTAAGTTGTACTTAATTATTTCTCATTATGAATTATAGACAATAATTATTTTATCAACTGCCTTTTTGGGATCATTGTTATTTACCAATGGTATTGACTACTTGGCAGAGAAAGGACGCATCATAAATTTTACTGTCAACATTTTACACGGTACTGCTTTAAATTTACTTTCACATTTTAGTTTTAGCTCTATTCTTACAAACTTTACCTCAACTTATTAATTAAGAAATAAAAGATGTTTACTCTATTTGCACCAGGCTTATGCAAACTGAGGAGACCTATGGGAGAACTCAAGAGCAGATCAATGCAAGCCCGAGACTGAAGGTCAAGGGTTGCACATGCTCGAGAGTTCTCACAAACATCTCCGAGGTTTGCATAAGCCAGTGCCAACACAAAAAAACATCTTTTATTTATTTTATAAAATAACAATAATGCAAAACAGACAAACATTTTAATTTTTCCTCTAAAATGCATTCATGATCAATTTGTAAATTCTTGCTGACTTATTGTTTTAATTGATTTGATTGGTTGAGCTCAAATGTGTTTTGCACAGGCTAATGCAAACACAGCTGTAGACCAATCAGCGCATGCATTTCAATGTTTATTTTATAATACAAAATCCTACATGTTTCATTAAGGCAAAAATTATCAACTTCCAAACTGCTGGTATACTTGGCTCATATCGAGTCTCTTGCCATTGTTATTTATTATTGGAGTTATTATACAATACACAAAGACAAGCAAAGGGTCAGATCACAGAATAGGTGTGTATTCACATTGAAATTGATCAACTAAGTGGTTGTTAATAAATGAAGACTTTTCCAATAGCATCTGGTCGTGTTTTGGTTGTTGATGCCGAGCAAATGATTGAAATGCAGACAGAGGTTTGTGTTGCATAAATCAAATAAAGGACATTGTTTTCCTACTTTATCACAATTTATTATATCTCTGTGAGAATAAACACTTGCTTGAACATCTCTATAGTCATACAATCTTCTTGTATGATTTTCTATCTTTTCATGTTGATTTTCATATTCAATTCAGGATGCTACTCCATTACTGTCAGCTGAATACACTTGATGTTGAGAAGCTTTGTGCTGAAGAATAACGTGTATCATGTGATTTTGAACTTTGATATTCAACAGTTTGATTTGTCATATAGGAGGTTGCTGTTTACCATATGTATGTGGTATTTCTTATGTAACAAATAAATTTCTTACCATAAGAATTATGTACATATAGTTTGTTTGGAATGTATAGTTCACTATGATTGCATATAGTTTAACATTGAGTAGGGTATGATGATTTTTTTATTAGTACCTATTCATGTGCCCCACTAACTTCTTGTTCCTATATATCTTCCTTCTCATTGACATTACTGCTAGTCCTGTCATCAGTCATTTTCTTATTTATATTTTTTGATGCCATAGATGCTTTTATTTCGGTTAAAGTTTCAAGTTTTTGACTTGTAATTTTCTCTGCAATGCCATCCTTTAGAGACATGATGTTAGGTGAATATACTGTGTATTTTTGTTTGTTCACTTTGTCAGAACTTTTATCATAATCATTGTTATAATCGTCTGAGTGGAAAACAGCGTCATTTGCGGGGTTTGAAACGTCATCTACAAGGTGGACAAGGTCATCTGAGCTGTTTACAACGTCATCTGAAGGGTGGTCGACGTCATCAGTAAGATGGACGACGTCATGTAAAGGGTGGTCGACTTCATCTGAAGGTGAGACGTCATCTGTGAGATGGTTGACGTCATCTGACGAGGAGACAACGTCAACTGAAGAACGAACGTCATCTGTGAAGTAGGCAACGCTCTCTGTGGAATTAATGTCATCTGAAGGGTGGTGGACATTGTCGTTTTGTTGATCATCAATGTTTTCTTTATTGGTTATCACTTCATTTTTAACAAAAATACCGCTGACTATTTTATTGTCATATTTTGGTGCAGCTGAATCGTCACCTTCCAATCTTTCGTCGTTCACATCAAGGAGGTCATTTACTTTTTTTTCATTTGTTAACGAAGGAGTTTGCCTCTCGTCTAAACGCAGTGACGTAATGTCGTAAAAATGACTACCGTCGTAATTTTTTACGTTGTCCACCTTTCCAACGACAATAATTTCACTATCATTAACATCATCATCACGATGAAATAATATGTTTAAAAATTCTCTTTGTTTGTTGTGAATACAAGTATTCTTCTCATTGCTAACCTTTGTCCTCAATATGTTCTCTGAGTCTATTATTTTCTTTACTTTTACGCTAAAAAAACCATTTTCGATCTTGCCAACAACTTCATGAACATCTTTATTTGCTGACTCACCAACTTCTTTCTTGCCGCCCAAATTTTCCATCATGACGTCATAAAGCCATTGCTCTCGCTGGTCAGCAGTTTCTCCCACTGAACTACTTGATTCTTTTGTCGGTTGAATAGCAGAAAACGAAAAACCAGGTTGATTCACGAATTTTTTGATCAATTCAACGATTTTGTCGACATTCTTCTCTGTTTTCTTAAATGTTTGTGAGTGTAATTCCTGATTTTTGTCTTTTTCAACATCATTTATCATATGACCAGTACCATCTTGAATATCTTGTTGTTCTGATGATACACCTTCAATTGACTCCTTCTGTAAATCTTAACAAAGAAAGTAAGCAGGGGTTTATAAGTGAAGCAAGAAAACATGAATTTTATATTTCCATGCACGTGCTGATGATGAAAAGCTTCATTTCAAGTTTCCTAGATTATCAAATAGATAGCGAGACAACGAGACAAACCATGTTATTTTCCTACATATTACACACCACCATTTACTTAATAGTAAGGAATTTCATGTGATGACAGTAACAAACCTCTTTTTAAGGCCTTATCTGCAAGTCTTACTCTAAGGTGGCCCTGTGTGTTAATTTGAGCGACCTGCATTGCCTTTTGCAGGACTTGTCCTTCATTGTAAAATAAAAACACGGCGGGAATGTTAACATCTTTACTCCCCCCGTCTCCACTCATTGCAAACATCGGTTGACTCTCAAATGAGCTGCCTTCGTTATTATCTACAATGCGAACAACAATTTTGATCGTAAAAGGTATAAAAACATATAAACGATAAAGAAAAATACAAACTAAAGTTTATTAACCAATAATAATGACACCAACTGCACCATGCTTGTCTGCAACACGAGCCTGAAAGATACAGATTTTTGCACATGTTTAATAACAATGATAAGATATACCAAAACTCTGCCTCTTCTAATAAACGTTTCCCTTTATCTCTTCTTCGCTCAGAACTCAACCTTTTCACCTCAATTCTCATAAACGTTATCACCTCTCCCTCATCTTCCATCCTAAACTCAACCCTCATCGTCCTCTTCTCGTAAACTTGGTTCTCTCTCTCCACTCTCTTCTAAACTCAACCCTCACCGTTCTCTTCTCATAAACTTGGTCTTCTCTCTTCTCTTCCATCCTGAAGTCAACCCTCGCCGTCCTCTTCTCGTAAACTTGGTCCTCTCTCTCCACTCCCTTCTAAACTCAACCCTCACCGTTCTCTTCTCATAAACGTGCTCCTCCCCCTCTGAACTCAATCCCCCCACACTTAACCCTCTCTCTTTTTTCATTATAGACTCGATCTACTTACCTTATCAACGAACATACAATCCCCTCGTTGCATCACTACGATACGACGGTTAGCTGCATCTTCATTCTTTAAATCCTCACATCCAGTGAAAGGATCAGCCAAGATGACATCAGCACTAACCCCCATTCCCATTTTCGACAAGTTCAAACCAAACTGAGCTGGACCTGCATTGACGACGATATTCCCATTGTATGGAGGAGATAGTAACTGCACGATGCGAGGAAAGTACTCTAGAGAAAAAACATCAACGTTAGAAATAATCTTGTATAAATTTTTCATTGTTTCGTATTTATGACAATTCAAGACCTGGATCACTGTTACGGGATTTTGCCAGCTCTATCATAGATTGCATAAACGTGATGCCTTCAGCAGCCATTTCGATGTTGTCGGCCTTTATAAGACATCAATATCCTAAGTGTTAATCTTTTGTATTTAATATTTAAAATTCAATAATACAAACCAAGTTTGAGTCTTGCATCAACTGAACTTTGCCATCAGCCGTCTTGGAGACAGAAATTCCCATGGCTTTCAATATGAGAATGTGATCCTTATTTCCAGGAATGAAATGCTCAGCACGAAGGAGAGGAGCCTTATTCCTAAAGGTGATCAAACTTATTATCTCACAAAGTCTCTGACTTCTCCACAAATCCCTCGATATCGTCGAGATTTTTTAAAAAATTTTCACTTTAAATTACTTACTCTTTGCGTAGAAAAACAACATTCTGTTTTTCTTTACTTCTTGGACAACTGTCAGCTGAATTTGAGTTTCGAATTCTCCGACGAATTTCTTCGGCTAAGTTTAGAATGCTACCGTCTCTTGATGTAGATCGTGGACACGAGCGATCGTGAAGATTCTCGCTATCGTAGACATTGTTCTGTAACACACAAACAAAAATAAACACAATGATAATAATGGCCATTGATGGTTTGTTGTGTGGATCGTCAATATTCCAACCTGAATTGAAGAACTGTTCCAATTTGACAAAGCAAGAGGCAATAAATGCGCTTCAGTTGTAAAGACAAAATCATGAAGATCAATCAAGAGATCTTTTTTATCCATGAACAACAAATACAAATACTTTAGAGTCTCGGAAAGAAGGAACGAGTCCATCCTGACATAAAGGAGAGAAAAAACACACGACTTTTACAGTCACGAAACAATCACTAGAAATATTGTTCACTAATTCTCGTCACTCGTTCAGTTCATTTACCTGTTTTCATGAGTCATGGTTCGTACATCCTTCACAGCCGCAAATCCACAGGGTACCCTAGCATACTTGTTCAAATTCTCCACAATGTTTTGACCAACTTCAAGATAGTAAGGATCTTTGGTTGCCTCGTACAAGAAATATGTACTTTCAACTAACTCCGGACGTAAAAAATGCTGGCCCCAATGTATTTCAAAATTTGTCGTAAAAGCCTAAAAAACAATGACGAGGTTTCTTGTATCAAGGTATAAAACAAACATTTCATAGTACAACTGGTCACCTTACTTCAGGAAGAAATGTATGGCGTTTAGCAACGCTATAAAACACCTCATGAAGTTCTATTGCTGACTTGATATCTCCCTTTAGTACCTGTAAAACCGCTGACCGTTATTAAGGCTTTTGCAAACTTTAAAAGTTGCTTTTGTGTAGTAAAACAAAAATACAGACCTGTAAACCAGGCCAAAATGCCTGCAATGAATCCATGTATGATACGGAACGTTTATTTGGGTTGTTCATGTGAACATTAAGAAATAATGAGTTTCTGTTGATGTACTGCATCACTGCTTTGTAATGCTGTCAAAGGAATGATCAAATGATGAAAATTCATCACTGCTTTGAAATGAAACTTTCTTGCAAGAATTATAACATGGCTTTCAAATGAAATTGAGACCTGATTGAATCTCAGTAAATAATCCTCTTCTCCAAGTAAAATATAAGCCTTTAAGCAATACTCATAGTAGGAATCAATGCCAGCACCAACTCCACTATCTATAACAACAATATAAATACAACATCTATAAACGAGAGACATGTTATATTTAAATACAAACAATACCTCGTCTGACCCAATCTCCATTGTGAATATTGATTACAGTACCAACTAGATTACTTGATCGACTTCGATATGTCCACAATGCCTTCATAGCTCTATGTGCTGCTGTCTGTATCAATTGCACATATTAATTAGTTGAAAATTAATCAATATGGCATATTAGACAACAGAATTAAGAAATGAATCGAATGATCTCTTATTGTTTTGTCTTATCTTTTGTTGTCAGTTCTAAGAGTATCAAGTATTAATTAAGAATAAATTATGTTTCTCAAAAGAACCCCCACCCCACCCCAGCTTTATGAGCTCATGTTAAAAGACAGTAATAAATCACCAAAAGAACCCCCACCCTATCCCCCAGCTTTATGAACTAATGTTAAAAGACAGTAATAAATCACCTCATATTTATCATCACCAGTGAGACGACTCAAAGCTCCAAACTCCATGATCATAGTACCTGCACATGCTGTACAAGTTGAAGATTCTGATCCAGTCCGCGACCTTGGATCAATAACACCATACTTAAGATTAACCTAAGTAGAAAAGAAAAAGAAATTGCTTCATTATATACAAAGGCAAGGCTTTTAAAAATTCTGGTCTTGAAGCCGGGTGGCACATACTTTAGGATAGGGAATACCAGTAGTTGTATTGAAAGCTGGTAGCAATCTATCACCAATATCCCTGGCCATATCAAGCAATTCATCTTGATACCAACTTAATCCAAATCCTTTATTCTTTAGTACATTTGCAGCAACATGGCCCCCAAGAAGACCACTTAAAAATATGAGGATTTAGGATGATTTTTGCTCTCATAACTTAATATAATTTACATATTTCATATTTCACTTACCCCAAAACTCGAATATTAGTTTCAAATGTAGAAACAACTATATCATTATCAAAGTTAACATCAGCAATCACCAATCTGACAGCTTCATCAAACTTTTCAATTTCTCCAAAAATCTTAAGGTCACAATAAGAAACATTTTCATGATATAAATAAATACAATTAATGATAAAACAGATAATTTACTTACAACAAGACTGTCTAATGAGTCAATTAATGTCATCGAAAAACTAAAAAATAAGATGACGAATATGATTGGATTAGTGTTATGATCTCACTATTGAGCATGATTTAACAATAGACAGACATCACAAAATTACTAACTTTCCTAATACATCATCTACATCACCACGTGACGGTTCCATGTCCCGATATCGACCTTTACAGTTCAATGGCATCAGTTCGTCAGCAGGATAAGCATTCTTCTACAAAAATCATATTTGGGTTTAACTCAAGAACTTCCCTTTATGGCAACAAATGCAAAGAAATTTCATAAAAAGTAAACAATTTCTTATTTTTATGAAAACTGCATTTAAATGAGCCGTTATGTTATTAACTGAACGAGATTTTTTGATGAAATAATAAGTCATTGATATTAATTTATGTGTATATCATTTTTACATTGTTCTATCTACAAGCTCACAAATTCATCTAAAACAAATACCATGTAAGATTCATACGCATGAAGAAACATTTCTTTCACAGTTTCACTAAAGGTACAAGTATACAACATTGTTAGTCCATGTAAGAAAGTATAAACATTAGTTACACGTATTTATTGATATACGTGTCATATAACCTCATTTCAGAACGTTTCTTGGTGTTCATTGAGGCAACGTATGAAAAATACAAAAGAAATATAAGAAGCTGACGAATGAAAGTCATATTGGAGGAGCTCTCCATGAGGAGGGCCTCACAATACAATAAAATCCAGTGAATATCCTTTTCTCAATGTCGTCAACCTTCTGCCATATTCATGTTCTATTTACCAACAAATGCAACTGCGCATGACCTAATATTATGATCGCAAATTTTGTAAATTAGTTGTGGAATTGGAAAGTGTGAATTGATTTAATACAAACGATTATTACCGGGTAAATTGCTTTGATATTATATGTACAATAACAAGAAAACACTTCGATGAAGCAATGTTTTCTTTTTTCGTGATATGTAACGCCTATGGTCTATGCCAGGGGTCTCCAAACTTTACAGCCAGAGGGCCACATCAACTTTCATCCAGCATGTTGAGGGCCGAAGAATATAAAAAATTTCCACGTTATCCTTCAGCTTTTTAAATTTCGCAATGTGCTTGAAACGGAAGTAGGAAGTTGGAAGAAAAATTGACGTAAGCCACTCTTGCTAGTTGGCTTGCGACATAACGTGAACTTTCTGCGCAAAGTTTATTTTGTTTAATAATATTATTATTTTTTCTTAAGTGCCTCTGCGGGCCGGATTGAGAGGCCCAACGGGCCGCATCTGGCCCGCGGGCCGTAGTTTGGAGACCCCTGGTCTATGCTATAAAATTAATTCACATTTGTTCAAGTTCTTGTCTTGTTCTTTGAACAATTTCTTCTTTCACTTCTGGTTTCAATAAATCCTTCTGTACAAGAACAAAAAATAATACTTTTGTTACTGACATCTCTCTGTTTACTTTAATGTACTATTTGATTCTTACAATAGTGTGTTTTTCTGATGCGGTGACAGCATAATCAAGACTTGAACTAAAAATAAGCATTCTGTAATCTGCCAAGGCCAATAAACAGTTTTTTAACCTCGCCATCTTTTCTCGATTTTCTCGTGAAACTACTTGTGGCTAATACAAAGTAAATGAAAGGGAAGTTTGAGAAAGTTAGTCATATCTATAGTTTCCAAGAACATTCAAGAAGTAAGAACCTGATTATTTTCATCAGGATGTATCCATATATATCCATTATTACCAATGATCACACTGATGCCACAAGTTAAATTGTGAAAATGGGTTTTGCATCTTTTAACTAAAGAAGGTGATACTTGCACCAAAAGTCCCTGACCAAGCTATAGAAGATCAAAATTAATTATGTATTGTGAAAAAACTACACCAGCTACCTGCTAATGCATAAACTCTAGTAAAAAATATGATCAAAGTATAACCTTGCCATATTTCTGACTTCTTGTGTGTAATGATAAGGAACCATCAGAAAACACAGATTGAACCTCTGCCTGAAATTTTTTTGAACAATCTTACTTCCAAATCATAAACAATATTATATACTTAATCTTGCGCAACTCACGCTAATTAGATCGCCCTCAGAAAGCAAATCTCTCATCATAAGCTCATCTTGAACTGATCTTCTTCTCTAAAATAAATACATTTGAAGTCAAGACAACTATCATTGTTATGAAACAATCAAAGAACTCATTACCAGTTCTCCTCCAGGTAAATTAACAGATGATAACATCAACACGGAGTCCAGTTTTGAAAATGTATCAACTTTCCAACGTTTCTGACCAACCTACATAATGTAGCATGGAAAATAGATCTTTAATAAAAACGACAAACCACAATATAAAACATGGAGTGATAATGTACCTCATTTATTCTTCCAACTACAACATCTCCAACTTCACCATTAAATCTGAAAGTTATCACATCATTATTTCAATAATACACTAACACTTTGATCATCATCTTAGGACTTTGCTTACCTTGTCTTCAATGGTTTTACAGATATTAATTTGTTTACAACCTCAACTGTCCCTGTAACAGATGCTAGAATTTTTTCATTGTCGACAAATGTTCCATGTCCTCTAAGAAAAGACAAGTATGAACGTTCATTTTCTTGAATACAACCCCATTCTGTCATTCAACAGTTATTCACACTGGTATCTCAGTCAGTCTCTGTCATGTCATACCATTCATGTGACACCTCATTTATTTTAATCAGGTCAGTCTGACAATACATCATTATGTCTGTTGGCCAGACTGGAAAGTTTGTAAACTGCGCAACTAAGACTAGAAAAGGGCATGCATAAAAGCATTTTTTTCTCAAAATTGCGCACCAGAGACCTTGGGTGTGTGCCTTACAAACTTTCCAGTCTGGTCAGTTGGTAACCATACAATCTGCCTTAGTATTGTTTGTACCTCATGTAATCTGAAGCCTCAGTAATAACATCACCAGGTGAGACTATCTTCTTTTTTCTCACAAATTCTCTTGCAACAGACGATATAGGACGCTTTTCGTATTTCAAAGGTATTCTAACTTCAATATTGGACATATTTTTAACAACAAAAAGTTGGTGTGGTTTATATCGGATTATCTAAGTATATCCAGGCCATAATCAATCACTCGTACCAGGACCACTCACAAAGGTTGACATTAATCATGGCGGATAAAGTGAAGGGAAAGTCTGATAACTTTCGAAGAACATGGAACGCTGAGGAGTACGAAAAATTGGCTAAAGTAAGATTAGAAAATGAAAGCAAAGAAGCAGCACCAAAAAAGTCCAATATCCCTGTAAAACGCGAGCTTTTAAAGCCGCGTGAGCACGAAGTTGATTTGGACTCAAGTTTAGGGAAATCAGTTGTTATAACAAAGAGTACGCCAACATCTCAACAAGGTGGTTATTTTTGTAATGTCTGCGATTGCATCGTTAAAGATTCAATTAATTTTTTGGATCACATCAACGGCAAGAAACATCAGAGAAATTTAGGAATGAGCATGAGAGTTGAACGATCAAGTTTGGACCAGGTTAAGAAAAGATTTGAAATGAACAAGAGAAAGTTGGAAGAGGAGAAACGAAAAAAAGATTATGACTTTGAAGCAAGAATGACAGAACTAAAGGAGGAAGTGAGTAAGATAGACGAAAAAACGTAGTAATTCCCCTGTACGGTAAATGAACAAATAAGAAAATTACAATAAAATCCTCGTCAATTCAATTGTTCATGTTTGTCGAACATATATCATTTTTATGGCTAATTTTTTTCTAAAATATTTAACCTAAAACGATCATGATTCACACAATCAAATTTAATATTTCAATAGACTTTAACCTCTATTTTTTAAACCTTAAAGGAAGAACGTCAACGAGAGAAAAGAAAGGAAGCCAAAAGGAAAAAGAAAAGAAGAGTTGAATTTGAAACTGGGACTAATCTTGATCCAGAAATGGCTGCAATGATGGGATTCACTGGTTTTGGTGGAAGCAAAAAGTGATATTAATAGCTTTAGTAAAGTGTCAATTTCTATCTGACCATCTGGAACAGTCATACGATGGCATGTGACTCACTTCATAAAACATCAACAGAAAATGCCAACTGTCTGGCTAAGCATAAGATGAATAATCTTTGAAACACTTGCTTACTCTATAAAATTCTGTATGCATATTGTTTATAAATCATTTTATTTATAATCGATAACAAAGTCATATGTATAAAATTCACAGCCAAAGTCTTCTATATTCAGTAACTAGAACTGATGTCAATTATCAATCAACAGAAACACGCACACAAGATACTTTACAAGCTTTATGCTGACTACTGACTTGATAACCAAAATGCTTATTTCTTTGTCTGTGAACACTATGTATGAAATATATTTTGTATGTTGTATGTATAGTTCTATAATCAAAGATAAAAAGCTCTTGAAATTGCATTTAAATCAGCATTTTAAGAGAGGTTGCAGTTTAACCAGCAAACATCACAATAATTGTTTCATTCTTGTTGACATTGTCATCAACAAGCTTCATATTTTTTTCTTCAGCTAAATTCATATGCCACACATAGCAATCTATAGTGTTTGATACGTTACTTCCAGCAAGATTATAGCGCAGTTTTGAATTGCTTCTTCAACATTCTTTGAGAACAACAAAGATCTTCATCAGCCTATATCACCCCAGAGTATTCTCAAATGATGCCATAACATCACTTTGATAGTTCATATTAATGGATGCTGCTTGCTGTAAAAGAAAAAAGGATTATAAGCTACGAGAATATAGGAAAAATTTTAAGTTTTTACAAGACCCTTGGAAATCACTGCATTCTGCATTCTGTTGAAAACATAATCATTCTTTGCAATGTTTATAATCCTGAAGTTTCCTTTGTGGTGAAGATTGTTGATTATAATGAACAACAACACAAATAATTTTCGTCAAGTGTTTAAACGGACCAAAATAGTTCGTTGGTTCATTTTTAAGTGACATGCGTCGCCAAATTAGACAATTGTTCATTATTAATTATTCTTCACCAAGAACAAGGCAAGAGTGTGTAAAAACTTTCCTGGAAACTACAATTGTCCTTCATAGCTATGTATTGCAAAATGCGACGCATGTATTTATGTCTGAAAAACTGTGCATATTAAATGGATGACCTCACAGATGAACAAACAAACATACATCATTTAAACCATTGGGTTCAAACCATTTACTTTAAAAAGAATTTAATCAATTCAAATGACTCACAGCTTGTCGTTTCCTTCTCTCCTCTTCTCTGCGTCGTTGAATTTCTCTTTGACGTTCCCCATCGTCCTTTGCGCCGTCCGTTACACTTTCCTCAGTGTTTCTAATAAAACAGAAAACGTCCACCATTTTAAAAAGAAAATAAATTAAAACAATTAAACATAACTATTGCTTAACAATAAAGCGTGAGTATCATTCAACCTTGCTAAATTTGGTTTTTCCGTTTCTATTTTTTGTTTTTGATGGTCATCTTGGACTTTCAAGGCTTTTTCCTAAAGTGGAAAAGGCACAAATAAGCTTGATTTCATTCTCGTATTATAGTACACAAAGTTACACAATACATACCCTCTCAACATTCTCTTGAGCCTGTAGTTGGAACTTTTTGAAGCTGTTCTCTATTGATGTGGAGACAGGTGTAGGATTTGGAACACCAGGAGAACCAGCGGACCCAAAACTAGACCATGATGTCGGCCGTAATTTCACGTCCTTTTTTCCTGGATCAGGCTTCGATGCTGTAAAAAGAAGCAATTTCTTCAGGATGAAACAACTTCAATAAAATACACGTAAATATAAATTACCAAGATTAGCGAGAGAGTTGGGAAGTTCACCAACAGCATACGACAAACCTGTTCCTATGAACGCATATCAAAATGATGTCACTTGATATCAAAATGAAAATGATAATATGGTATTGAGTAAGTTGATGTGTGAAAAACCACATACACTGTAAATTATACACTACTGCTGCTCAAAAAAAAGTAAACATCACCTGGTTTTGTTGTCGGAGGCTTTGGTGTGGGCAATACAAATCCAGTCTTATCTTTTGATATAGACTTGCTTTCTTTTCCTACTATCTTCTCCTTAGACGATACTCTTACGGAACTACTTGAACTTGGTAAGATAGTTGCAAGAATATCTGAAGGGTTCGTTTGTTTACCAGTAATATTTGCCTGCTTACCAGAAGAGCTCGTTTGTTTGCCTGAGTTGTTTGTAGATACTGCAGTTTTTGAAATGTTTTCAGATTTCAATGAGTCGACTGTAGAAGTGGCTACAGGCTTTGCAGGATTATCAGATAATTTTGCTGCTCCAGGACTACGCACAGGAATTGTTTCCGAGGTGGCCGGAGATTTAGTCATAGATGTTGGTGCCGAATTTTGTCGAAGTGGTGGAAGTTTAGGTAATGAAGCGTGAGCGGTAGATTGTTGTGGTTGTGGAGTAATGACGGCTGTTGGAGGTTTTTTTATGGGAAGTGGTAAAGGTTTTGGCACATTGGATGGCGAGATACTTGAAGGTTGAACGACTTCTTGGGGTGGTGAAGATTTCATTGGAGAAACTACAATAAACGATATTTACAATTCATTTCTGTTGACTTATTAAAAAAAAGTAATTGGATAATTATTACCTGTTGATGTAGTTGATTGTTTTTGTTGTCCCATTTTATCTGATGATTTCTTCGAGTTTTTCTAAAACACATTATCTTCTTCATTCGCAAACCCCGATAAAACATTACTTCATAACGACAATGTATTACCTTGCTGTTTTCGTTTGACTTTTTGTCCTGTTTAGAAGTTTCTACAGAACGAGATAATTTTCTCTTTTTCAAAAATTAAGTTACTCTTAATGGTTGTCGATATCTCTCTATCCAGACAACCAAATTGATAGTGCATGTATTACAAAGGAATGAGCAAAAGCCAGATTATAAAGACGTTTTTTAAATTGTAAGAGAAAACGAAAAAAATCGTGTTCGCCATTGTACATTTATACTTAACCCACTCTAAGTTTGACTAAATAGTGTGGCATTGATAAAAAACACGAATATTTCTATATCTGTTTGTATGGTATGGTAGCTGCTTCGTTCAATCGTTCAACTATAATTGATCATCGATCGTACAGCATGTAAGTTGTAAAGCAAAATGAAACTCGTTGGTGACACAAAACCAAAAGACAAAAAAACACATCAAAAATAATTGACATGGAAGGTACTTCTTTTTATTTACATAGGTACAAGTACATTGATAATTTTACACAGTCCCATGTTTTTTCATAGTTTGTGAACAATCACAAAAAAAAAGTCTATTTACAGCGAAAACCAACAACCACAAACACCTTGGGAGGGCAGAGTTCCATTTTGCCGTTACAAAATACAATGTGCTTGCATATGTGTTACTCGTTGACATTAATCACTTCTAATCAGGATGCATTGTATACAGATTACTAAATACGCAAAATATGCAGCAGAAAATAAAATACGAAATACAAAATTATACACTAAATATAAGAGGAGAATGGACGGAATGTAAGTGAGATAAGTCACTTGCCCTACTTTACAATATAACGAGAGTTACCATGAAATAATACAAACAATAAACATGAAATAATATAAACAGTTTGCATCAAGAATCAAACCACAAAAACGTTCACACGCAGACAATGCATTAAACAGACAGAATCTACGTATATCCTATCCACATTAATCCCCTGTTACTACAATGCATCCTAGTAAAAATCACGAGTACAACTGGCAATATACAGACATACTTTGTAACGCAAGGAACTAGTGCCAGTACTTAAAACTCGCTTCCAGTCTTACACAAAGTATTCATTTTAATCTGGTGTGATACGAATATAGCCTGGTAGAATTGAATGCTGGTGGTTTGTGGTAATGGGCTTTTTTCATAATCCTATCAAACTAATTCATATCTAAACTATAATCACGTTCAGAAGATCTAATTATTGAATGTTCTATAAATGAGGAACAATGGTTGTTCGCACTAGATCTTTAACTACCTGCTTCAGAATCTGAACTTTCCGACCCAGATGAGCTTGATCCAGAACTAGAGCCAGAACTACTTCCTGAACCAGAGCCACTGCTACTTTCACTAAGTCTTGATTGTCGCATTTCCTCACCCATTGTTTCTGTCACTGATTGTATATCACCTAAAGAGAATTGAGAATGATTTACTTATCATTTTTCTTGAGATTTAATACAAGAATAAAAAGGCAACATTGTCCAATCTCCATGAAAAATTGTTTCACCTTTGCTGGCTTTAGAAGATTTCTTAGCACTTGCTCCACCAGTTAGTTGACCGTTGCAATTCTAAATTTAAAATAAAGATTCCGTAAAATATGATGTGTGACTGTCTTTATACACACAAATGACTTAATAGAGCACTACCTCAAGTTTTTTCTCTAGTTCTCCTATTCTTTTAACAGCATCTTGTTCTCTCTCTTCTTGAGATTTTGCTTTTCTTAAAGCTGAGAAAGAAGGGAAACCAGATATATCTGATTTAAACTTAACTACAAATACATTGCCAACAATTGGTACTATGAAGTAGGAGAATGCCATGATTTAACTTTGCAATTAATTCATCCATTCCATTCCAACATTGCATAAAACATATCAAAACACTTTAAAACATGTTTCAACAGCCTTACGTGGTGGCTTGTGCTTTTTCTTCAAACACGATTGGACATACTCCTCAAGTTTTCTTAAAGTTGAAGGTTTTAAAGTTTCAAAATCGATTTCGATTTCATCAGGATTGGAGTCCTGAAGTGTGGGTTCACGAGACTGTATTATTGTGACAACACGGCCCAGTTTATCACCTGCAATTAAATGCAATACAATTTGTGACACATGTACATTACTAAACAGGACAGAAGATTGACATAGGTTAATTTCATACCAGGTAATTTATTGATATCCAGTGAGAGTTGACGTTTTTCATCATAAGTCATGGCTTTCAAGTCTTCCTCTTCATCACTTTCAATTTCTTCTTTCTTTTTTTTCTGCACAAGTCTAAAAGCATTTCTACAAACTTTAACTAAAGTGAACCATATTCTGCTATAGGTACAGATGTAGCTAGAAAGCAACTGTTCCACAAGAGGTTGCATTACTAAACATTTGTGCAGAAAATATTTTTTGAGATTTTCAAATTCCTATTTTTTGATTTGTAACATCAAAAACACATACTTGCTTTTCGATGAACGTTTCGAAGCTGACTTGGTAGACTTTTGAGATGGTTTAGTTGCTTTAGACTCCTTGGTGTTGGAATCCTTGCTTTTAGATTTAGTCTTTGATGTTGAATTCTTCGCAGCAGATGTTTCTTTTTCCTTTTTCTTCGTTTACCATCTTTTTCAGATTTCTTTTGTTTTTTACTTTTCCCAAGTGTACTTTGTTCGGTGAGCTTACTCAACTGCTCAGTCACAGATAGCAACTAAATGAACCAAATTTTGAATTTGAACTATTTTTCAAAGCTATTTCTGTTACTCATACACCAAGACAAACCTGCTTTTTTAAATCATCAATTTGTTTGCTTGCATCCTCACTCTCTGATTGTGCATCACCCTCATCCGACTCATAACTATGCTCTGATGCTTCTTGCTCTTCATCTGAAGATCCAGCCCCAGTCTCTGTATCCTGTGATGCAGACGATGGCTGTTCAGGAGGTGGAGGCTCATCTGGCATTTTTGCATATCTCATTTCAAAAACATCCTTTACAAAATTCAAAAAACAATAGTAAGTCAAACTGTCTCAAACAATCATCACTATTCAATTATAAAATCACCTGAAGTTTTCTGCCCATCTTCACAACATCATGATCAGGAGGATTATACTTATAACAGTTTGTAAAAATCACTCGTACATCGGCAGCAAATTGTGTTGGTGTATCATACTCTCGATTTTCTAGTTTATTCTATATCAAAAACATTTACTTAAAAAACCTTGCCATATAAATTATTCAATTATGTAACTAACATAAATTTAGCTGAATATCTTAAAGTGTACCTTCACTGTAGTTAAATCCATTGGAGTTTTAATTATAGCAAAGTAGTCATGTAGCCCTAAACCTTCAGCATCTACTGGATAATAAAATGGCCAAGCATATTCCTAAATCAAAGCAAAATATCTCTGTTGGTAACTGTTCATTTCCAAACATTATGAAGACAGCAACTAACCTCATGTTTTTTAGATTGAAGCTCTTTCAATATTGTACTGCAATATTTCAATTGTTCTGTCAATGGCTTCTTTTTTGAACGATGCTATAAACAAATCAACAGAGATAGATTACACATTGCTAACACAAGGTTCTAATGAGTGATAGGTGTACAAAATTGCTACATACTACCATAATTACCTGGTTTGGTAACTCTGGCAAATCTCTTGTTGGTTTCTTTATTGGTCGTGTTGATCCACGTCTAGCTGGTATTTTTGCTGCTTTTGGTGCAGGTTGCTCAGAAGGATTACCAGGTGTTGTTGTATCAGCTTGTCGTTTTTTTGTTTTAGATGAAGGCGGTATAGTTGATTGAGGTATTATATGAGTAGTTTTAGATGTTGAAGTCACAGCTGGTATATTTTGAGTTGGGGAAACAATGGCAGGTTTTGGCATTTCTGTTTTCTCAACTTTTATAGATGCAACATCTTTGTTGGTCTGTTGAACTGGAGGCGTTGATGGTGTACTATCTGCTAAAGCTACTGTGATAAATGTATTGAAATACTTAAGTGCAAATATACATCTACACGCATAAATCATTACAAAATTTACCTGTAGTTCTCTCCATGAGCTTGGGTATTCTTTTGGACTTTTTAGCTTCTATAGGAATTGACGGAATCTTTTGCAAACTGGGTCGTTTCTTAGCATTTAGATCAATTTTTGTTTCCTATCGAATAACAAAAATTACGATAATTATTAGCCAAACAGAGATAGTTAATACAATAACTTCAAGAAATCTGGCATTTCGAATTGAACAATAAAGAAAACAATGAAACTTATTATTTACATCTATAGATGCTAAAATATAATGTCCACTTTTGATTGAAACATCAAAGTACAAAAGCAAGCCATGTTTAATAAACACAGCAGCCAAAGAAATATTAATTCAACTTTACCTCTGAAGGCATGTTGACCAGTTTTTCTCTAAAAGCTTTCTCTAATGCCTCGCACATCAATACCACATCCTAAAAATCAAAGCATGTCAAAGACCACAATGGCTTAAACAAAATGAAATTGTAACAGAATATAGTCAATTGAAACAAATTCAGACATTCTGTCCTACGAATAAACCACAATGTTCCTAGTTAACAATGCCAGACACCCACATTAAATATTACTTTGTATAACATCCCTAAAAACACCAAATAACAAATTTCAATATCATAAACTAATAACTTTAGTTTATAAAAGTGACAACAAGCTGGATGTGAATATATTGCATGACCAATATATTCCCCCACCTGTCTCAATGACTTTTGACATTGCAAAATGCTTGACACAGTATAATGTTTAATTTAATTTGTCAAAAGCAGTAGTCTGGAAGCTGACCAACAAAGAATGAAAGACTTTCATTTTTCGTCATTGGTTGAATGCACTTGTCAAACTCATGTCATGGTAAATAACTGATACTTCAATGCCAAAAAATATTGAATTGGAGAACTCCAATCATATGACTATCTCTAATAATTTGGTGTTCTACAATTACTGACCTCGCCTGGTTTATTATAAGTATAACAATTGTTGAACATTGTATTAAAATCTTCAATACATTCTTTAGCACAAGAGTAAACATTTTTTTCCAACTTTCGCTTGATTTTGCCCATATACATTGGATGCTTGATTATATCATAATAATCCTAACAAAATAGTTATTTAGCGAAGTGAGCAGTTGTAATTTTACAACACGACATGATCAGTATATTAAACCACGTTTATTTACCGGTAGGTTCAATTTCACAGCATCGACTGCGTCCAAGAATGGCCAAGCCATGCGATGGCGCCATAACGATTTCACCAAAATTCGCTGCAAATATTGCAGTTGATTTGTGGTGAATTGTTTTGGGCCATTTTCTGCCTCTTTCCCCTCAATTTGTTGTTGATTTCTCTAGAAACAACCAAGACGTTCTATAGCCATCCGCTCACATGACATTTATGACCCGCCAAAAAATTAACATGGCGCTCATATCTACGTATAAAACGACGATGAAAAAAAAGGGACAAAAGCAAACTATATACCGCGATAGGTTCGTCGAATCCATCGTATTTGTTCGAAAGCTTTCTCACGCGCTTTCCCAGGCCATCATAAGACTCCGGATAGTTCACGGGAGACTGTAATTCATTACTTGTAGACACAGGGTTGTCAGAAGTTATACACGTTCCTTGCCTACAGGATAGCACAAAAGAAAGCTAACGAAAACCTGTATACTGTTAGAGATTTACTTCCAACGTTTCCACAATGACCTTCGCTAAGGTAAAAGGGTTAATTTACACATATTTTTAGACGTTTCAAGGAAGGGGAAAACGAAAAAATTCGAGTCGAATCCGGAGATTACGGTAGACGCGTCCTACACGTACGAAGTGTTGTTATTTAATGCAATTTGCATGGTAAAAATATCGCGAACTCTTGCAACGTTTACGACCAATTTGCCATATATAAAAGGAAAATCGTTCAAATATTATCGTCCGTACCCTTGTGACAACAGATGGCTTGTGCTTTCCATCCAGGGCGACGGATTCCCTCATGACATATATACCTTTCTTCTCAACATGGCGGTCGTTCTTTCTCACGGACTCGCCTATTTATGAAACTTCCATGAGCCCCCAGCAGCGCGCCATTAGAAGCACGTCAACGTACAACCACGTGACCTGAATTATTTCGCCATGATTTCGAAGTATAAAGGGAAATAAAATCGTTTTGAGTATTTAGAACCGAAATTTTCATTTTGCTTTGAATAGTTTTGGAAATATTAGGACTTTGAAAAAATTTTCTTTTAATAAAACGAATCCAACACAAATGAAATGTTACCGTTTCATACAGAATGCAATAATTGAATGATTATGACAACTGATATTGATACATGTCTCATTAAAATCTGGTTTTAGTAGAACAATAATCTGACAGCAAACTTAAAACCAAACACTAAAAAAGACAGAACTATTTTCATATATTACACAATTGCAACAGAAAACCATAATTGACTATAGATAATCAAAACATCAATAAATTATTCACTGCCATTCTAACCAACATTATATGTATGTCAGATCAGATTGCAAATGAAAGAACTCTGTTGTGAAATGCCATCAATTTGTGTTTAATAAAACATAATGGAAAAACAATATGGAAATGCTTTTGATACATCAACGTCCTAAAAAATATAAAATATGAAGATTGTCATTCATATATTTTAGGTTACAACTAAAATGAAAACAAAACAATTAAAAAGCTAATTCTAATGATTTAATTGTTGATGTTTTTAACCTTTTCCTGTTCTTGGACGACTTGATGCAGAGCGACCCCTCTGAGCTGCAGCTTGTAGCTGAATTTGGTATGCCATTGGGTGAATTTTGAAACCAAATAACCTGCACATACATGATAAAGAAATATCAATAAAACCTTGCAGACACTTGGAAAATAAATGTTATCCACACCAACCTTGGAACAAATTGGTTGGGACTCGTTTTGGTCGATATTCAGGGTGGACCATAAACAACATGTGTGGAAAACCCGTACCAAAATATGCACCATCAGTATGGTGATGGCGTGATGACTTTGGTGTGTAGACATCCATACATTTCGGACAATAAAGTTTTACCATAGCTTCGCCAGGGACATCTGATAAACCTAAATGAATAACAATATCCAATTACAACAACAAACTAAGAAATCATTATGAACCCAAGAATTTACCAATGGGCAAAACAGGTTGATTTTCACAATATACTCTGTAGCAATATCCAAAATCACCATTTTGATATTTTTCAAGCTGAAAAAATATAGATAAATTGAAATCAAAGCACAAAGCATGAATATTTTAAAAATACAAATACCATCTGTGCTAGCCCTCTGTTTGTTAACACATATCGAGCATGAATTAAGCCATACAACATTTCCGCAGCTTGTTCGATTAAATCACTTTGATTTGGATTGTCCTCTAGTTCATCATCTAGAGCAAAAAACGAAGAAATCATAAACTTCTGGACACAATTATAGAATACAATGGCACAAAGACTCTCAACAACAATAAGGCTAGAAGGTAATTACATGTTGCAGGTTCTTCTATAATTACTTCAACTTCAATATAAGTTTGCCCAGTGCCTATATGTATATATATTCATTTATGATTAGTCAACAAAAGCATCACCTGGTTCCATATCAAGAATCATATCCAGTGCTTGTCGATAGTGTGGAACTTGCTCATTTAATCCTGTCAAATTAAACTTGTCCTGAATATAATCTTCATCCACCTAAAGATTAATTTCATGCGAAATTAGAAGACAATTATATGAAATACGTTATGTACAAATTTGCTAACAGCGTTTTTGAAATAGCAACAGTCCACAGCCCACAACAAGATTAACTTACAGTCTCCTTTCGGCATTTTACAAAGTATGTTATTTGAAATTCAACTCTAGAAGTCAAGATGCGTTGATGTTCGCAACCTCTGCCAATAAACTTCATACCTCGCAAAAGAATTCGTTTCCGCGTAAACCACAGAACCAAGAAATCCACGAAACCTCTTCTGAACTGCTCATTCCTAGTTATTTCAGCGAAAAAAATAATTATCTAATGCTGTAGTTCAGTTGTTAGAAGTTTAATAACTCTGCTCACATATATACAATAACCGTTTTTTAGATAGCCATAGTTTGACAAATAAATAAATAAAACTACTATAATCCCAACTAACTTGATCAAACTGTAAGATGAGCTAAATATGAAAAGAAATATCTATTGCAGCCAGAATCTTCGCGATTTGTACTATCGTTTATTTTATTAACTCATTAGAAATTCATAATTCACCAAAATAAGACTCCCCCTTTCCAACTTCCACTTTTAAAACTTTTTTCATCGTAAATATTTTTTTGTTGAATGGAAAGCATGATTTGAGAGGGACAGGTATGTAGGTATAAATATTAAAGATTTTTATGGCATAAAGAGTATTAAAAAAAGAATTTTTTAGGCAAAATATACATTTGTGCGTGATATTTCAAATAAATAAAAATAAAACATTCATTGCAATGGAAGCATCTGGCGGGATTGGGCGGGAAGGTTAACTGCTTAACTTGTTAACCAACATGGCGGAGAAACAAACAACTTGAAACCATTTCTTGAAACATTGAAACACAACTTATACAAGTACAACTACAAAATATATAATACTAAAGTTATTGAAAAAAACTAACATAAATATCCTGCCTCGTTTCATATAATCACGAAAAAAGTTGTGTAAAAGAGACTTTGCTTGTGCTCTGCTCTCTCTTTATGTTATGGCTGAAAAAGCAGAGGATCTTAACCTTCCAAATGCAGTAATATCACGTTTAGTGAAAGAAGCCGTATGTATACTACATCTTTAAGAGTTGAAATTTCTTTTATTTACACTCATGTGATGAAACTGAAAACTATCTATTTTAGCTAGGCGATGGAGTCAACATATCAAAAGAAGCAAGAACTGCCATCAGCAAAGCAGCAAGTGTATTTGTACTGTACTGTACATCTTGGTAAGAAGCAAATGGGACTATTGCAGTTTAGCAGACACCTTAGATGCTGACCCAAACCCTAACCAAAAACAAGCCCGTTCTCCACATATAAGCTGTTGCAGTGTCTGCTAAACTGCAGTCTAGCCGAAGCAAATATTTTATAAAGGACAAAGGTTGCTTTTATGCATGTTTAATGTGTTTCAATACAGTGCGAATAATCATGCAAAAGAAAGCAACAGAAAAACTTTAACTGGTCACGATGTTATTGAAGCTTTGGATGAAATGGAGTTTTCTCAGTTCATTGAACCTCTAAAAGAAAGCTTGGAAGGTAAGAATCATTATTTTTACAAATATAAACTTAATGTATATGTATTGAAGATATGAAACTTCGATTTCAAAATTTCGGTTTTTAGCATTTAAGAAAGATCAAAAAGAAAAGAAAGAAGCAGCGGCAAAGAAAAGAAAAACAGAAACATCAAGTGAAGACTTGGTCACACCAGACACAAAGAAACAAAAAACTGAAGCTATTCAAGAAGATAATAATGATAAAGAAGACAAGAACAATGACGAAACTTAGAAATAAAATACATAAACATTCACACATCGCATAGATTATTTTACCTCTTGTTATTTTGTTGGCTATGTCCAAAAGAACATAACCATTACTGTATTTACAGTTCTTAGTTCATCAGATGGTTTCAGGTATTGACAAATGCCATATATATTAATAATTAATGCTGTGAGAGGCATTGATGAGCAAGTAAATATCCTCACAAAATCTAACATGCATAGCAAATACATGCAATTTCATTGCATTTGATCAGAAATGTCTCAACATTTTAGTAAAACTCTGCGATGCTTTCCCATTAAATAAAAATGATAATGCAATATCGAATTTTCATTTCAAATCCAGTAAATACTTTATGTTATCTCGGCAGTTGCATTATCATCAGATGATTTTTCATCATGATCCTTATGCTCAACCACAACTATATCGGACTCTTCTATCACTTCAATATCTCCATTTTGTATATCTTCGGTAGGTTCAACAAGACTAGGCCAGCTTGATGGTTGCTCTAATTTACTCATTCGTTCATTCAAAGCTTTCAATGCCTTCTGTCTAAATATCATAAAACTTCATTAAAATTTTATTCATTTTGATAGTGCATGAAAATAAACATACCTTCTTCTTTCAGCATCAGCAGGATCCATTCCTGGAAGACTAATGGTTATTGCTGATGGGGCCCCAACATCATATGTTCGAATTGGTTTTGAACAAATGTTAAATTTGACAAGCCAGTTAAATATTAAATTGGCAATGGTTGATATTGGTGATCTGTTAAAATGAAACAATAGATTAAAAAGATTGGTAAGAATTTGCTTTACAAACATTGGACATACTGGAATGGCTCAGGAAAGAATGTAGCGAATGCAAAGCCATCTCTCATATCTCCTTTACCAGCTTTCCCTTTTTGTTGATAAAAACGTAAATAGATCCAGCCAAGCATCACACCAGTGATGGTAAGAATAACATTGATGAGGGGTAACAGGTTAATGATACACAATGGTATGCTACACAATACCATGAGAGATGGTAGGTACTAAATCAACAAAAAAATTCACATTAGGTGAAACATTTAAAACAAAAAAATTGTTTAAGTATTTCATATTGCTGATGAAAAGTTGACAATCAAGTGTAATTACTTTGAGTTTGATACTTATTACAAAAAGCTTGATTTCTGTCTCTGGTACAGATTGTTTCAAAGCTACGGTAATACCAGCAAGAATACCATTCATTCCACTGAATGTTAGAAACCTATAACAGATTGACATATGCACAATTGAAATCTTTCTTACAACAGACAAATTATTTTAAAATGCAATGAAAATTCTTACCAAACATCAATATTATTTGTTATCAGGCAATATAATAAGCACAGACCAGAACCAATCAAGGATGTGCCCACGTTTAAGATCGCCACATATTTCTGTATAAAAATACTCCAGTTAAAGTACAAGGTCTGCATATGTAGCACAAGAACAATATGATGAAATGATAGTGAGATACAAACCAAGAACTCAAGAGCTCCCCAAAGAGGCTCAAGAATTTGTCCACATGAAACAAGCACTATAACATCAGCAATAACCTAAAAAATAAATGTAGAGTAACATTGTCATCTATGTTACATATTTATCAAAGTACCTCACTTTAACGATATTTCAACGAAAACTTACGTTCCATATTCTAAATTCAATAAATCCTCCAGTCAAGAGAGTCCATATTTTGAATTTTGGAGGTATGAGTCTAAGTTTGGAGAGAAAAACTTTTTTTGTTATCGAACCGTAATTTTAACACACATTCTGTAAAGATACTGTATCTCAGCAAAATTTCATTTGTTAATGCAAAAAACGCTTAAACCGGTGAACTTACGAGCCAGGAGTAATAGCTAAGAAGTTGTAGACGTGTGGAATATAGCCAAGAACATAAAATAAACACACAAGCCCAGAGGATATTTTTACGACAATTGAAGCATCACCTAGGGCTTTATTGATCTGATCCTACAATAATAGGTACTGACTTAAAAGCAGTTTTCAATGGATACAATCAAAACTACAACGTTACTACAAATACCTTTATTTGATTCAAGTCATTCAGAGAAGAAGCCATCTTTGGCGTTTATAAGCGCATGCGCACTAAATCCATTTGACGTGTCAAATGATCCAATTATTATTGACATTAATTAACGATTAAGATTAGGGATCAAAGATGTGGAGTCGATCCACCAGACAATTGATTAGGACTTAGGACGCGAACAAAAAGGGTTCAATGTTGCATTGCAGCCCAGAATGCATCATGAGTCGACATAAAGCATAGTGGCAGGTCACTGGAAGCTTTAGAAGAACTACTGCAGTTTAACGGACACTTTGGACGCTGATCCAAACCCTATTAAACCTATAATTCTAACCAAAAACGAGCCCGCGCATATAAGTGCATCGGGTGTCCGCTAAACTGCAGTCTAGGCCAATTTTTCACCAATATTAGTTAAAATAACCTTGTCTTTTTTATACTATACGCGAAATCCATCTTAAATAGTACAATGAACGGATAGAAATATCGTGGATTAACTCACATAACTTTTATTTAACTTCTATAAATGATCAAAAATATTTTTCAAAATGCTTCTATCGCTCTGTTCATTACAGATGCCTGGCAAATTGCATCAATATCTAATGCATAAAGCATATCTTTGTGAGCAAGGCAAAGGCAAACAGCAAAGGTATTAACTTTGGGGCAGAGTCATGGTACTTCTTAAGGCACGTTTTTATGACACAAAGCTAAGTATAGTTCCGTTCAGCTTCACTTGATGTGGGAGAGCACACCAACAACAACTTGCAAAGTTTCTCTAAATTTGCATAAAGCTCTCACACTAGCAATGACATTGCACACAGTTTATGTCTGACTTCACAAACATAGCAAACTGGTGAAAAGAGGTGTTCGGACACCCAGTGCTTCCAGAGCCCCTGCATAAGATAGTAGACATACAATGTCAACGACAAAAAGTAATATTTCCATCATATCTATAACAATATGTAATAATATGTCCATCGTAGTTTCCCCAATCTTACTCATCCATGACTGCATGCACTGTCAAGTGGGGATGCTTAAAGATCATCGCACACTTGGCCATAATGATCATCGCACAATAGGCTATGGGTTTTAATTCATTGCATTTACTAATTAGTTAAAAAAAATTATCCGTCTATACCACGAGCAGCCATCACTTCACGAGGTAGAAAGTACCGATGAGGCATATCTTCTAAACTGTGATGGACTATTTTTCAACATTTATGTTAGCATGCACGAGTCATTGAAGCGTTTGATCATTTGTGGTCAGTCGTTACCACATTTGCATACCTTAAATCATGTTTAATTTCTACACTATATTATGCTAAAAATAGTTGTGCTTAAGAGCAACTGGGAGCAACATGCATTTTTAAACATCAACTCTTGTGATTCTATTAATCCACGGTGAACTACCAATGATCAACATAGAAAAAAACATATATCTTCATAATAAGATGTGCTTAATTTAATGGTTTAATGGTCAGCTTGTCAAGCGAGACGCCAGGTCGCGCCCTCTTGCCACCTGTGAATGGTAGCACGACATTCATTCGTCCGAGAGATGTTTTCATTGGCTAGTTAGAGCATAAGAATTGCAAATTTTCAAACAGTTGTCGCGTAAAATAGGACAAACCATTTCCTTTTCCCCCATTTTGGTTTACTGTTGCAGAAACGAAGACAAAGCTCAAGATCAAGATATTGAAAATGAAATTTTTAACCATTTTGTTGTTGGTTTGTTTGAGTGGCTGCGAGGCCCACCCTCTAAGTAAGTGCTGCTTGTTTCTTTTGTTTAAACTGTTTCTAAAAACCAAGTATTACGGACTCCAAGTTTCAATGTGGCAACGAAGCGCGATCCAACAAGAGGTGTGAATTGCATACACCCTAGTTGAATGCGTTCCTTTGAGAATTGCATTTTGTTGGTAGTTGTACATTATCTACCTGCCAAGATTACCACTACTTAATAAAAACGTTTGAAATTGATATGGCTAGACATGGTATCGACATTCTCCAAGAAAATTTCTATTCACTGTTTAAATCCATCTGATCGTGACATTCTTTACAGTTTGTCTGCCTACAAACAACATGATTCCATAAGCCAATGAATTATTTTATCATGCAGGGGGGAAACGGTCGTATCCGTGGCACAATATGAGAGACTTGGAAAATGATGAAAGTGAATTTTTACCACTCGAGCCAACTAAGTATTTTGATGATGAAATCTGGAAGGATTTGTTCAACCAAGATGAAGCATCAACCATCACGACAGAAGCACCAACATCTGAGACAAATGCACCAGAGGAGACGACCGAGCAACCGATGACAGAGACAGAAGCACCAAGCGTAGAAACAGAAGCACCAACATCTGAGACAAATGCACCAGAGGAGACGACCGAAAACCGACGACAGAGACAGAAGCACCAAGCGTAGAAACAGAAGCACCAACATCTGAGACAAATGCACCAGAGGAGACGACCGAGCAACCGACGACAGAGACAGAAGCACCAACAACAGAGACAAATGCACCAGAGGAGACGACAGAGCCACCAAAGATAAAGAGCAATGCAGTTAGGTAGGTCAATAAGTATTGCACAGTCATCGCCATAACAATGACGATAGTGTTTGATACATTTCATTAATTTATTCAGCGGATACTGGGTATTTCTTAAAGCTCATTGGTCAGAGAACGTAAGGGGTAAATTGATCGCTGGTGAAGAGGTGCAGATCGTCTACGATAAAGCCAGGCTACCTTACATCGATAAAAGATACGGTCAAAGAGCTTGGAATATTTTTGCTGAATACAAGTTTAATGACGAGCATACCGTACATCAAAAAATGTTGGATGGTCCAGAGAAGATAAAAGGTACAAAAAGAAATAGTTAAATTTGTTAAAGATATAAAATAGTCGCTTTTATGATTTGACCTTTTTTCTTTACGAACAGATCTTGAAATTATGACAACAAATATCTTCCTTCCCGTTGGAACGTCAAAATTGACCATTTGGTTCAAGTATTCTGGTTATTACCAAACAAAATGGGACAGTGACTACGGTAGAAACTATGTAGAGTCCGTCACGACTACCGCGACGAAAGTCTGATAAATTACATTGATTAATCATTCATATGCTTGCATGCAACCGAAGTGGAGAAAAAATGTAGACAACATTTCGAACTATTACAATAAACGCATTTTTTGACTTAAGCATAATTGGTGTATAATTAATCAACTATTTTCTTTTCTCAATTCGCTTTCCAGTCATGCCGTGCTGAGAACAGATTAACTGTTTACTTTTGTGAACGACAACTGTGTTCAACACAAGCATAAAACTCTTGTCAATCCTTCAACAAACCATTTGTTCTTTTCTTCAATCCAATCAATCCACCAAACAGTGAGCGCAAATTAAAAATTTTGTAGGCGGACTTTAAATAGACGTTAATCATAGTATTGCAACAAACGATTGCAAATTACAGGTTGGGATGATACATCCATGCAATTCTACAGAACCATCAACTGCATACCATCATTCGTTATGATGTACAGTTCAATGCGCAAACTGAAACGCTAAAACCCCCTATTCTGCAAACTGACAAAGAAAGTGATGAAGCATGAAACATTGAGTAGTTATTTTAAACCATGGCTGGTATACTGGCTCAATACATAAATTATTCTAAACACCACGAGCGGTAAAAAATTGTACAACGTGAGAGAATTGTAGTCCTCAGTTCTCGTGCGAGGGACGTCACAACCGTTAGTTTGCTTACGTCATACAAAAGTGGTGAGAACGTCACAATAGAAAAAAATACTAATTGGGAATACATAAAAAAAGTTTCGAGCGCTGAAAATGAGCGATAACTTCAGCAGTTTAGATGGCTCGCAAAGAATGGATTTAATGAAACAGACGATGTCAAGTGACTTTGTAAATGCAAGCAATTTTCAACCCTTACTTCCACCACAGTACTTCACTCAACAAATGTTCTTTCCGTACGTAAATCCATATTCTCATTTGACAGAAACGAGCGGAAACATTCAGGGGTACGGAAGCGATGGTAAGAAATAAGACGTTTGAATTATCTTTGAATGAGTAAGAAAGGAAGTAAATTTTCATTACAATTTTAAGCATTGATATTCTTCGTGTTATATGATTACAGGACGTCCCAAATTCCGTCGTAGTAGAACGATTTTTAATGGCGAACAGCTGGAGATTTTAGAGCACTATTTTGTGAAACAAAAATACCCTGATGTCAAATGTCGCAAGGTTATTGCAGATGAAGTCGGTCTGCCGGAGGAAAGAATTCAAATCTGGTTTCAAAACAGAAGAGCAAAAGATAGAAGACAGTTAGATCAAGATGAAAAAGTACAAAAAATAGTTCACGAGGTCATTAGTACAACCTCAATGGATTGCACTCGCAAAACGGAAAAGAGAAAAAATGGTAGGAAAAAATGACAGTTCTAAGATCTTAGTTGCTTAAAATAATTTACGAGTGAACTAACAAAGAACTGTTTTAAAATGTCAATAGGCGAGTCGAGCGATCAAAATTGCCAGAACAAAATGGATCATCACACAGAAAGGGAATGCGAAATAAAAAGACAAAAACAAGGTGGCAGTAATGGTGTGATTTCCACGCATCATTTGCAAGAAAATAAAAACAATCCGCCAGATTATCTTAATGAACAAGAGGATACACAAAAAGCAATCCAGAACATAGACCAGGAACTCTTATTTAACGTTGCACAAATCCTATCTTCTAGCAACAATGCAACACAGCTTATTTCAGATTGGTCTCACTCTCCATCAAAACTGAAAACCAGTAATTTGGAAGATCAACTCAGGCATTTTGCCCAGTGTCATCAAAATGTTTTGGCTGATAACTGCGCAACTAGTGCAAGTCACAATAGCTGGGACCAAAGTCAGTAAAAATATTGTAAAATATACATTTAAACCGTAGGAGACAATTGCTGTAATCGTTGTATATTAAATTTAAAAAAATCAAGTACTTTAACACAAATTCAAACCCTGTACACAAATGAGCAGGGAAATAATAAAAATAAAATACTGTTTACTCGAAGTGTTTGTTGTAATTTGCTTTGGTTTTAACTCAGCTAGTTTAAATAAGTTCGTTCAGTATCGGGCTATAGTAATAGTAATCCAACAACTTACCAAATATTACGTCGTTAAGAAAAACGTCTTTTTATTTATTCTATTCCATGATTTTCATTGCTCCAAAACCTACGAAGTATAACGAAATGCACTTCGATGTATGTATAACACAACGAAAAAACACAAGTAAGAGAAGCTTACCTTATTCACCACATTTTATGACTTGTTTGACAAACAACAATATGACAAAAAAGGACTAACATGATTACATTGTCAGAAACATCGAAAAACTCTGTTGGCCGAAGCCTGTGCCGAAGCTAAATTCTAAAAAAGAGCCCTTAACAACACTGATCAGCGGACTACTTTTTTGTCGTAAAAGAAAGAAAGCTTTAAAATGGCCGACACGGAAAGCCTTGTTTCACTAGAAGACAGAATTGCTGTCCTTGAAAGACGGATTATTTCTTCTCATCCTAATAAAAATAATAATTCCGTACGTATCGATTGTAATTGCATATTTAATTTCACCACAAACTTTTAATTTCGATGTACGAATGATTACAGTGTATAGATATGTTGACTAAAGTCCAGCAAGATTTAAACAAAATAGCCACGCGATATTCAAAGCTTGGTTTATTGTGGAAAAGACGTAAGTGTCGAGCTTTCCAATCTAAATTTAAATATGTTTGATTACTCACAGTCAAACTGTAATTGTATTTCCATTTAGTTAATGAGCTGCAAGAGTATTTGACCCCTGAATTTCTTGAGAAACTAAAGTTAACAGATGATGCCAAAACTGATATTATTTTGGCAGGTAAGAGGAGATTACTAAGAATTTCATTTGGACCAATTAATATATTTCATTTATTGTTATCAGATGAGAAGAATTTACTTGATGCAGCCAAACAATTGGAGATTCTTGATAAACTAAAGAATGTACCAAGCGAGGCAACATTTAAAGGTGCTTAACTTTCATTCAACTGTTTCAAAGCAAAACACCATGTTGTTAATCTTTCTTTTGCTTACTTTCATGCTTCAGACATTCCAGAATGGTCAGAGAAACTTCAACCATTAATTCAAGTGAATTTGCAGCAATTGGTTTGTATATGAAGAAAGACTGACGCACAGTCATGCTGTATGTGTTTATCAAAAATAATTGATGACCTTTTACAGGAAGATCTCAACACTTTGGATGAGGAAATATGCAACTTAACGACAACATACAACAAAATTGTATCCTTTTGAATGTTAATATTGAACTTTGAATGGAAATTTAAACATTAAAAGTTCCAAATGCATTACCTTGACATGTTCTCATAGATCGTTGACTTATCAAATCAATTTAAACAATGGGAAAATATCATTTGTGAACTGGAAGAAGAAGCTCAGAAATCCCATGAATAAATTTTTATATATAATTTAATACATCAACGTTGTCATAGATATTCTTTCCTTTGTACTGTGAACTTTCATAGTTTTAGGCACTGTGTAACCCCATATATATGTCCAAGTATAATTTATACTAATGAGAAAAAAAGTCGAAGCCAGGTTGGTCTTTTAGTTTGGCAAAGCATATTTAAAAAGAAAATTCTCCAATAATTTCTTTAAATTTATGATTTTCCTTTGAGGAGCAGAAAATATATATACATAGTGAATTAAAAGACCAAGATGGCTACGCTGCCATTTACTGCTGAAATCACTGAATTTTTACAAGGTTTGGTCCCAGTACTTTCATAGCTGCACCAACTAAATGTAGACTGCCAGTTATAACGACTTGCACGTGATCAGCACGCGGTGAAATACGCGAACTGTCCGCATTGATGCGCAGTGATAGCTCGCGTTCCCCAAGAACAAAATTTAACGCTTCAGACACAGAGGTAACCACAGACGAAGTTGGCACTGCCATAGTCCGAAATCTCTTATCCAAATCATTTAGTGACAATAACACCGAATCTTTCTCACCTGTAAGTCGTTTCCAGATTTCGTGGTTTTCATGACAGCGCTTGAGCGTGGAACTCAAACTGTGTGTGAAATCTGACAGATCTAAGATAGAGCGAATAGATAGTTATAGATGTAGGTATTATGACAATATCTTTGCTGTAGAACGTCACGATGAAATCGAAATGTATAAAAAATAGGCGTCGAGTAAAAATTTGTGGTTTAGAAATGAGTGTCGTTCGAGTGAACTCAATGTTAATGCGGTCACACGCTATTCTATGAATGAAAAACAATGGAAGCAATGAATGGAAAACAATGGAAATAATGAATAGAAAACAATGGAAACAATGAATGAAAAACAATGGAAACAATGAATGAAAAACAATGGAAACAATGAATGAAAAACAATGGAAACAATGAATGAAAAACAATGGAAATAATGAATGGAAAACAATGGAAACAATGAATGAAAAACAATGGAAACAATGAATGAAAAACAATGGAAACAATAAATGAAGAACAATGGAAACAATGAATGAAAAACAATGGAAACAATGAATGAAAACAATGGAAACAATAAATGAAGAACAATGGAAACAATGAATGAAGAACAATGGTAACAAGATATAAGATTCAAATTAAGAACTTTTCTTGAAGATCAGTTGGTACAGAACAAGGTAAAATGCAAGACTAAATTGACATTACAAATATAGAGTTATCGCCGGTACAATTGAAAATCAAAACTCGAAAAACTTTTCGTGGGCTGTATAAAAGACTTAAAGTGACTATACAGCCAAAAATACACTATCGAATAACGAAAGATTTAAAAATTCACTACCGTCAATACAACTAATGTTAAGAAAAAGAAAGGCAAAGTTTGTGCACTTGGCTATTCACAAACTATAATTGATTAAGTATAATAGCTACCTCAGTAAATATTTTTCTTCATCTGCTCTCTTACGAAACCATACTGCACTAGCCTTTATTACGAAATAAAAATTCACCAGATGTTAAAAAAATGTCCGTTAATAGATATAGTTGAAGACGACCTAACTCCATTCCTCCTAAAGATTCACTTACAAGGATACTTTTTGGTGTGTGCGCTCCATCCAAATACAATGAGTAGTTCTCGCGGGATATACAATGCGATCTACCTGGCCAATACGTTTTTTCTAACGCTAAAATGTGGGTCAAAAAACTTTTTAGCTTGGTTAATTTAGTATATAAGAACAACTCTAGAAGAATTGTAAGATGTGGTTGATACCATTTCTAAAGGTTCCAGAAATAGGAAACGTTTCTGCAACTGTTATGACGCCACTGGCTGTAGGGGTATCACTAAATATTTCATTACTCCTGTTTTCACAGTTGTTTTCTGTAAAAGACAAATTCTAATAAATAATCAACAATATGCGATTTTTTACACGATGTGTTGAACATGTCATGTTGAACAAACCTTCCCAATTACGCTGCAACCAAGTGTGACATAATTGTGCAGCAAGTGAAGCATTTTGAAACTGATGTTGACCTTCGATTCCCAACTCTACATAATATTAAAAGTTCATTGAAAGGTACTCTGCATTGCAGTTTATACATCAATACACACTTGTTATCATTTCTCCAGGATAATCGCACATCTTGGGAACAACTTTCAATGGAGCCTAGTTGGAATAGATCGTCATTAATTAACACTTACTCTTTCATAGCGTAAACTAATAAAATGCCAAGAAAGTAACCTTTAATTCCTTTGCTCTTTGAGACAAAACTTTCATGGAAATCTCATCTTGGGGTACTGTAAATGCTGGGACACTGCACTGAAGAGTTTGAAGTAAAGTTTTCTGTTTATCTTTCAGACATGTTATAACATAAAAACTCAACATGATTACTAACTTTGAAAATGCCAGCTTTATTCCATGCAATGCTCTCTGTAGTTCCTCCAAGGACAGTAAGATGATCGCGACCAAGCAATGTTACCCCACAAACCCATGGCCTCCTAATGTATTATTACACACAAAATTACACACCAATCAAAAAAAGTTGGTAGATGTCATCTCAAAACCACCTCAGGATATTTGTGGTATCATAAGCTCCTCCAATACCAACTTCAATAATGGCAACATCAATCTTGAATGAAAAAATTGTGAGAAAAAAGCAGAAGTAAAATTGAAAAGCTATGACGATAACACAAACCTTTTCATGTAAAAAAATATAAAAAGACATGATAGTAAGAAATACAAAATAAGATGGCATGTCATTGGCACAAGCCTAGAACAAAAATAAGAGAATTGTGTTACACAGTTCTGTTGACAAGGAAGGGGCTTGGTGCTCCAATTGCCTGAAAGACTGTCCTTGTGAAAATATGAAATCCATGTAGAAATCAGCAGTGAGAGCTATCTAACATCTCAGATCAGGTAAGCATGTTTCTATACATCTTCCTAACACTGGGCTTCTCAAGCTTGAGGTCTAGCAACTCAACTCAACTCCACTGGTCTTACATTAAAAGTATTTGGAGTAAAAGAAGTGAAGTAAAGGCTGACCTGTTGTAGATTATCCCAGCTTGTCCAGAAATAATGAGCAAACTTCTCTTTAGAAATCAGCTTCCCGTCAATTCGAATTCTCTCTCTTACTTCGACCAAATGTGGTGAACTAAACCACCAAGAGTCATTCAACAAGGCTGCAGGTGTCAATTTTAAAGTTACAATGTGTTATGCAATACAGTACCTATAGAAGCCAGTTTTCAATCCATGTTCACGCAGAATCCTGTCACAAAATGCACACACAGACCCCTAAATGAAGCTACATATGTTTGTGTGCAAAAGATGACCTTGTTGGAAAGTTGAATCTCAGGTAGTAAATCTCATTTGGCGATTCCCATTTTAATAGCTGTCATTACCTTTCCTTTGGTGCCACTGACATGAATAGCTTTTAACATATCAAGTTCATCAATGGGAACTTTTGCTCTTACACAGAACTCTTTGGCTTTTTCAAATCTATCATTTTGATGTATCTGGTTGCTTCGACTGACTTCTTTCAAAACAGATGAATTTGACTGGAGTGTGTTCAGAGCTTTTATTGCACTCTAAAGAGATAATAGAATATTCCACATCGAGCCGAGATTGCACATTATTGTGAGAAATAACACAGTTAATTGCAAAGCTAAAAATCATATTTTTCCCAAAATGTACTTGGAAACTGTGCAACAATTATTCATAAATCTCTTAATCACACGTGGTTATCAACAACAACATAACGTGCTTACTGCATTCGCAAAAAAATCAAACATTTCAAAAACGAATATCGTAAAGAATATTTGCAGATATTTGTATTAGGTAAAAAGATCAAGCGAAGTTACCTCGTACGTCCTGTTCATAATTATTTTGTTGGTAAATCGCCTGACTTGTGTACAGGCTCTGATAAGCTTTGTCAACATAAGTCATGAGTACAAAAGACGTTTATGTAAAATACCATTATAATTTATAAACACGTGGGTCCGCTGTAGGGAAATGCAGAAGTCATGGCTGAAATCGACGACACGACAGCTTACAGAAAAATGTTCGATATATTTATTCATAATTGAAAATTTGCAAAAGTAGCATATCTGTTATAGTAACAATTTTGTTCACAGCAGAGTGCACACTGACTAAATATGTAGTACACAAAGACAAATAAGGGGTATATTGCCTTTTTTTCAACACATTTTTACGCACTATGCAAAATATCAAAACCGGGGAAACATATATGTTTATAATGATTAGTTTTTGTAAATTTTACCTATCCCATTCATTAAATATTCCCATTACTTTGAGAATTTCAACAGTTATAAAATATTATACATGGTCGCATTCCAATGATTTTAATACCATACCCACTAAATACAAACTTCCAGTTACAAATACTTGCTTGTGTTTGTGTAGAGAAATGCTTTCATTACAAGATGCATGGTGTTTGCCAAGCAGTGAAGATGGATAGTTAAGTAACCAAACTATAGCATCTGAGACACAAGGAAAAACCTTTGATGGTGGACAATAACTGGGATGGAGTAGTCTCCATATCTCTTCATTTCTGTAACATTGTTTTTTATCTTCTTCATAATTTTGAGATAATCTTAACGTGTCTGAGAAGTTTGAAGAAACCTCGAGCATTTTACACAACAAAAACAACAAAAGAACAAATTTCACAATAACTTACCAACAGATGAATATTGATGCTCATTGCTGAGAATATTAGGACAAAAGACAGCGAAGTCAAAGTTACATTTCTTTAAAACAAAACCAAAGTAAAATAAAATATTGTTCAGCCATTTTTGGATGGAAATAATGAAGCTCAACTATTTTCACTTACAATTAATGGCTCAAGTAAAGACCTTCCATTTCTATTTCCTTTAAAATTGAACAGTAAAACCTTGCTAGTGGAACTATTACTAGATGAAACATTTTAAGATTCAAAAGTTTAATACATGAATATAAAATAACTCAATATACTGATTCCAACCTCATTTCTAATTGATCCACTGCTGATTTCTCACAAAACCATTCTACACATGCCTAGAGGAAAAGAAGACAAATTATCAATATAACATCACTACTATACACTATATAGCTAAGAGCAAATCAAGTGCATACCCTAACCTCAACACTTTTCCTTGTATGTGCACCATCAAGATAAAATATACAGTGATCTTTTTTGACACATTGGGTTCTACCAGGCCAAAAAGCCTTCTCGAGACCTGTCGTAGATACATTTTAACACAACTTAAAAAACTATGTGAAGTGTTTTTTTAAGAATCTTTACCTTTTGAAATGAGGGTGGCATTGGAAAATTTTTTGCTACAGATAGTAGGGAACTGAATATTGATGACTGAGATACGTTCTTCTCTTGATTTTGAGCTAAAACAGCTGCAAAAATGCTACATAATGAGAAAATCGTGAGAGAGATTATCAACAAACAATATAATTATCATTCTACATTTTCGTTCAATCCAAGCTTGACAAAGATGTGTTGCCAGGGATGCATTCTGGTATTGATGTTTTCCTTCAATACCTAAATCTAGGCAAAAACAGTGAAAATTGTTTCCAGCTACTCTACTGTGAACAATTTTTATTGTAACATACTAGGATATAAGCCATCAGAATTTCTTGGTAAATCTGAAACAACTTTTAAATTGATCCCTTTGTTTTCAGCTCTGTCTTCAAGAACTTTTATACAGGATAAATCTTGAGGCACTGTGAATGCAGGAACACCTGACTGAAAACAGGCATATTTTGACATTTGTGTGATGTAATACCTATAGGGTATTGATTAAGCAAAGCCAGCTTCTAACACTTTGGTTCTTGAAATTCATAATACTTACCAGTTGGACCAATATAAAATTCAAAATGAAATGTATCATACATCAAAGTATTTATACCTTGAATATTCCCGCTTTATGCCATGCAATACTCTCCATTGTGCCACCAAGAGTATCTATGTGATCATTATCTAACAGTGTTATGCCACAAACCACTGGTTTTCTAATGACAAAAAGAAACAAGTTCATTTTTTATGTAAAAATTAGTTTTGATACAAAATTAATAGCAGTAAGTTAATGCATCAGAACATCCACCTGAGAAGATTCGTTGTATCGTACTCTCCACCACAACCAACCTCAATAACAGCAACATCAACCTAATATAGGATTGTGTCTGGTTATTATGAAAGAAAGTAATCACATCCCAAAATCAAAAAATTTACTTTCTCTTGTAGAAAAACATGAAATGCCATAAATGTAAGGAATCGAGTATAATATTTTTTCTCAACCTAAAGAAAAGAAAGAAAGAATAATGAAATGATTCTTTAAATACATGAAAATCTTCATATGCATATACTGTAAATTTTGTCCAACATTCCCAAAAATAATGAGTAAAAGTTTCTTGAGAAAGCGGTCTTCCATTAATTCGAATTCTTTCCTCACTTCAAACAAATGAGGTGAACTAAAATGTAGTGAAGGTCCATGAATCAAGACATCCGTAAACATTTACATTGATATGAACACAAAATTTCACCTGCCTATAAAATCCAGTTTTACACCCACTGTGCCTCAAAATGCTCTCACAAAAAGCACAAACAGATCCCTATAGAGAAAAAAGTCAGTGACTCATGTCATTTATTCACAAGCAGATATATACAAGCAAAATTTGATTAATTACTTTTCCTTTTGTTCCAGCAACATGTATGGCAAAAAGATTATCAAACTTCTCCATCTTTAAAACAACACAAGCAACCATATTTCACCATAATTTATTTTACATATAAATAAACTTTTTAAAAATACAAGTCACCGGAAAATCTCTTAGCTCATCAAACTTCTCCTTTTGTGTTAATGGAGTGTGGAAGCGGTTTTCTATTTTCCCATCCTTCCTCTTCGTCGTTTGAATTGTGTTCAACTGTTTTACTGCTTTCTAGACATTGAATGAGTAACCTATGGCAAATAAATACAATCTTGTTCGTCGGCATTGCCATTACAAACACAAACCTCATACGAAAGACGCTGACAATTTTTTCTCTCCATGTGAGCATTAGCTGGGTAATTTACTACAGACTTGACTGAAACTTGTCTATATTTCGTCCACCAGGTATAGCAAATGCACCGAAACATGAATTTTTTGTTATTTTACTATTTTCAAGCAGTTGATGCTTCGTACATATGTAATAAATTAAATTATAAAGAACATATCTAATAATTCATGGGAATCATAGGTGCCGCCGATAATTTAGAATATGACACTCGATGACTTGATGTCGGGGGATTCTTAGGATGTTAAGACCCCCAGGAAGACCCAGGCACCCCTGTCTTAGGGTGGTTCAATAATTTATTCTAGCTTGCGTGCAGTCCAATGGAGAGAGAGAGAGGGTGATCAGTAGATGTTTTAAATCTTCCTCTAAAAGTATTTCAGCAGATTGAAAATTTTCCATTTATAGGAAGACTCAGTCTTTGAAGGAAAGAACTGGTCCTAGTTTGTTCGTTGCACATCTAACAATTTGTTCTATTTGAAAGCAAGTTAGCTGTAAGATAATGCTTATGCACAAACTTGTAATGTCAACGGTTCCCATTTGATAAAGACCTCAGTTTTTTTTTCATAAGATGAATAAATATATTTTTCTCACAAATAAACGTTTTTCCTAAGTAAAAGTTATAATCACATAAATTTCAAGCTAATTTGACAAATAAAACACGGTAAGAAACGAGTGTAAAAGAAATCTAGACCAAGAATAACGACCACATCACTTCATCCGTTTAACCGACTGCCCAGAAATGTCTTTCTTCAGGCCATATTTACATTTACTTGTTTTACAAAGACAGAAAAACTCAGATTTCTTCACGGTCCAAAATTTTTCACCGTAGTTAGAACTAGAAATGAAATAAAGACAAGTAAAAAAAAATCATATATTGCAAAAGCCATGAGAACATATCGTACCAAATTTCTTCATAAGGATAAATGTCCCTCGCAGCAAAAAACGCTATCCGAGGGCAACACTTGACCTGTAAATAAAATACATTTATTAAATATATCAATTCAGCTTAATGATCGTTGAAGTTATACAGATGCTATAACAAACCTGATGATCAGTAAAAACGCGCACAGGTAGAATATTAGGATCACAGGAATGGTTTATGAATCGAGTGATGTTCCCATAAAACTTTGCATCAAGGCAGAATAATGCAGATTGACCCTATAGTTGTAGGACATAATCAAAGCTGATACATGCAATACAAAATACGCGTCTTATTACGTCAATCAGCATACCAAAGAAAGTGAACGGTTTGAACCCGGGAGTATCGTTACATGTTTGTAGATGTACATCGTCCAGGTTAGTAGAGTCCTGAGAGAGATGACTCTGAAGATGACTGCCGCTAAGGTTGTCGAAACGTCAGTCAACAACGACAAAAACAGTCCTTCTCAGGACTATACTAACCTGGACGATCTACATCTACAAAAATGTAACGAGAAAAAAACTTACTAAATAATAGATATCTTTCTATAATAGTCGACTTTACAAATCAAAAGTGTAACATTCCCTTACCTTAAGATCAAGATCAAACAAATAAGAATCATCGTCGCGTTGATTTGCCTCGCTATCAGTTAGTACCTCGCCTATGTACTCGCAAACGAAAGTTCCTTTAGGTATAAGTTCCTGAGTACGGACAGCCCAACCTGATAATGTCATTGAAAAGAGATCACGTTTGTTCCAAATAAAATAGATGCCGAGATTCTTTTATGTCAATTCAAATGTATAGATATTGTTATATAATGATAATATTTCAACACCTTTCTCTGCTGTTTTGAAAAGTTGTAGAGCTACGTTAATACCATGTTGAACCACACGTTGACGACACGTGGACCAACATTTACATTTCATGTTACATTCATAAACGTATGGACGGTCTTCTTTAAAAATCTTACTGCTGATTAGACCAGCCTATAATAATGAAGATTCATAAATAAGTAGAAGAATAAAAACCGTAAGAGTAAATTTGCTAGTTCAGGGTTTTTTATTGAAAATTGCACTGTACAACTTATTAGAAACACATTTTAAAAGGAAACTGCCGAACATGTCATCAGACCAAGTCCTTGAGCTTCACATGCTTGCTAACAGTGGAACGTTAGTAATGTAATTTTTACCTCATTATACCAAAAACGCCTAGGATAAGACAACATGACGCAATCACATGCACTCTCGTCTGAACATCCATCTGAGCAGTTGCAACCCTGCGTCAAAAATGTCATAAATTTCACCAAAATACAATGAAATTAACATGAAATTCTTTCCTTTCAATAGATGCCATGAGTTGTATGATACCCCCTTCCAGAAAGTGGCAACCAAACTTGTTTTATACTTCTTGACGATGAGGGAAATTGTGGGAGGGGGGGGAGGGTTGTAAAGACAACTACTTACGGAAATTCCACGAACAAAACTTTGACTTTGACTTTCCAAATTATTACTGACATAAACAAAGTGTTCTGGAAGATCCTCATCATCAACCTGAAAATTAACATCAAAGAAAAACCACATGTGGTAGCATGGGGGAGAAAATTTTGAATCTGAAAGGGAGGTACATAGTATACATAGTATACGGTAATAGTGTAAACATCAACTTTCATACTTCATTAATACAAGGTATTGGTCGTTTTTCCAAACCACGAGAGATGTCTCTGGAGAATACATAAATGAGAAATAGTTAAGATGATTGACTAAAAAAATTCAACCATTCTACAATATGACTAACACAGACGATCAAATATGAGCACAGAGTAACACAGAGGATGAACCATAATCACAGAGTAACACAGAGGATGAACCATAATCACAGAGTAACACAAAGGATCAAATATGAACACAGAGTAACACAGGGGATGAACCATAATCACAGAGTAACACAGAGGATGAACCATAATCACAGAGTAACACAAAGGATCAAATATGAACACAGAGTAACACAAAGGATCAAATATGAACACAAAGTAACACAGGGATGAACCATAATCACAGAGTAACACAAAGGATCAAATATGAACACAGAGTAACACAGGGATGAACCATAATCACAGAGTAACACAAAGGATCAAATATGAACACAGAGTAACACAGGGGATGAACCATAATCACAGAGTAACACAAAGGATCAAATATGAACACAGAGTAACACAGGGGATGAACCATAATCACAGAGTAACAAAGGGATGAACCATAATCACAGAGTAACACAAAGGATCAAATATGAACACAGAGTAACACAGAGGATGAACCATAATCACAGAGTAACACAGAGGATGAACCATAATCACAGAGTAACACAGAGGACCAGCTATGATCACAGAGTAACACAAAGGAAGAAATATGAACACAAGGATCAAATATGAACAAAAAGTAACACAGGGGATCACTATGATCACAGAGTAACACAGGGGATCAGCAATACTCCCAGCGTAACACAAAGGACCTGCTACGAGCAGAGAATAACGCAAAGGATGAGTAATGTATTTCCTCTGAACGTTAGAAGATTGAGAAATTCGCTCATTCAAATCAATGAACCTTTCAATCAAAATAATGAAAAAATTTAGCCTCTGCAACAAATTACAACACACCTAGATATAAGACGCTGTTTGCGAGAACATTTTGACAGTCTTTCTAGCAACTCCATGTTCTTTAACTGTATATGACACGGGGACCCCACTGGTACAAGCTAAAAATAAACCCATGACAAAAATTAACGCAAAATTAGAGAGAGTATTTACGAAAAATTTCTTACTTCAATTGGTGTTTTTTTGTCGACATCTTGAATGTTTAAGTTAGGTCGATACATTGAAAGAATTCTTAAAAGACAAAAAGTTCTCGTGAGCTTATATGACAAATACATGCATGTCAAAAAACCTTTTCAAGCCGACAATTTCAAAAAATAAAGAAAAAAACACACTCCAAAAACATCATCTTGTAAACTCAAGATTCGAGTTATAACAGCAAGAGACATGATTTAAAGCAATATTTCGACTTTATTTCAAAGTCATTATCAAGCTAAATTAAAATGTTGTCACTTTGTGTTATGACCAGAATCATGAGTTTACAAGATGATGTTTCCTGGAGTGTATTTTCTCATTTAAATACATGCATCTCGTGTAAAGTTTTAAATGAACATTTTCATGATAATATAGTGAGCCTTACTTGATATTTTCAAGTTTCTCTTCTCTGGCTGATATATGCCTAATACAAACATAAATACTTTTACAATTTACGTTACAAACAAGTGCGTGACACACGACAGGAGACTTACAAAGCCGTAGCGTCAAAAATATTTTTAGCATCCACGTGAACGCTTTTGTTGAGAAGCAATTCCATAATATGAATATCTCCAGCTAAAGCAGCCCAATGTAGACATGTATTTTGTTCCTGTAGTGAACAATCATTAAAGTAATGATAGACAAAATATTTTCACAAAAAGTGCAGAACGACGTTTGAAAAACTTTCTTCGGATCATTTTACTTCGCACTCACATTATCCAGGATGTTCACATTTGCTCCCCATTTCAACAAACATTCCGCAGCATCCTTTCGCATCCCTTCAGCAGTCCACATCAACGCCGTCCATCCGCCGTTATCCTGTTCGTTGATGTCAACTTTACGTGTCTCCAGGAGCAAGTTTATAATCTCTACCGATGATTTTTGAGCAGCAAAATGAAGAATTGTCATACCCTGACAATCCTATACAAAGACCAAATTATCGATGGCGATTATAGCTGAGTGAGTTTCTACGTTAAACAAGGGGAGCTATCACTCTTAAAGATTTAAAGGCCATTGTACTCAAGGGCGTAGGAAGATTGGGGATTTCAAAAGAACTTAACTCGGTATATCATGAATATATGAATATGAGCCTCCCTAATTATCGATCTTCCTACGTCCATGATTGTACTTAACAGTTCTTTGCAAGTTGCGGAATAAATTGAACAAAACTTTAAAGGAATGGTTTAATAATGAAAGACTGTACAATGCAGGACCCCCCCAGTCACCCCAATGAGAAACACAGCAGTGATGTGGCTATCCTGAATAAATATAAAATAATAAGAACGATGATGATTTGAGCACGACGATTTGACTGACGTTCATAACTTAACTAATAAAACACTAGCAAAACAAACTTTACGCAGTTGTAAATTCAGACAGGATCTTCAAAATTACCTTCAGGTTGAAGTTCACAGTATGATTAATCAAAAATTTCACAGCTTCAGTTTTCTTGTGTTCAACAGCATCAAACTTGTACCAATAAACACACAAAGTAATAAATCTCAACTGTACAAGAGATATTTTACATTAATGGTAAAAACTAACAACGGCTTACCAAAGGTGTTCGCAGACTCGTATCAAAGGATGAAACATTTCCACCAACCTGATATAAACAATGCAAGTGTGAGTGTATAATGAAAAATGTATGATGTAAAAGTGTATTATATGTCTTTCAATGCTTTACTAGCAGAACAAAGTACTCAAGTACTTGATAAAATTTAATGGTTTGTTAACGTCTTAAGATATCTGACAACAACTTTATAAAAATAACTTTTCATTTAAATGTACAAACCATGGAAAGTATTTTTAAAACTTGAACATGACCAGCAGCAGCAGCTGCATGCATGGCCGTTTTATGTTTCTCTTGTGGTATGGTTGCATTCACATTACATGACGAAGAAAGAACCAATACTTGCAAGACTTTGCCTTGCTTCGCAGCAACGTATAGTGAACGTGACGAAGCACGATAGTTCTTTATATTGCTAAAAGATCGCAAACATACAAACAATAGTCAATTGACAGTTCCACTTCCTTCCTTCTTTCAAAGATGTTTTTAAAACAAAGCATTAAAACAATGACCTGTCTCGAAACGTTTTCCTCGCGATTTCAAGTATAACATCGAATTCGCCAAGTCGCAGATAGTCGCCTGTAAAAAAATTTTAAGTTATTGTAAGCAACATTGATGGAGTTTTAAAACATACAATGTACTAACATACATAATATATTAATCCTAACACGGTTTTTTTTAACATGCACATGAAAAACATGTGACTTGGACGAGATTTGAACTCGCACCTTCGGGATACCAGTCCGCCGCTCTACCTGTTGAGCTACCAAGCCCACAGGAATTGGAGACGAGTCAAATCTCTTTTATACTGCGTATGGACGAGATATTCTCACCACTATAGCAGTTTACTGGATAACACCGTTTTTCGACTTTATTCCAAAGCCATCATCAGAGTATATATATAATATATTAATATATTAGAATTAATATATTATGTACTAACATGAATCATGTGTGTTTGCACTGAATTTTGTAGCTCTATCTTTCATATCAATGGAAAGGACTCCTTTGGATGTCTTTTTGTCGGAATAATGAACATCTTCTATTTGTTTTATGTAACTCTCTAAAGGTCTATAATGAAAGAATGTGTGTAAAATTTCAAGTTTGGCTAAACAGAAATTTCTTCAATACATAGATTACTTGATCGTTTGTCAATTGGCAGAATGGCAAAAAAAAACAACAAAACATGAACCCTGACCAACAATTATTCGCATACCGTTTACTAAGATTGAGTAATGTATCTGGACTTTTTAAATTGCTTGGCATATCGCTGATTGTCATTCGACGTCGTTTACCTTAAAAACAATGACAAGAAATCACTGATTAAACAATTATTATTTTAATTATTATTATTATTATCTTTAGGTAATTACCATCTCGGTCTGTTTTCACTAAATTTTTCGACACTCTAGTTTTGGACTTTCGTAATCCATAGTTTGATGACGGAGGCTAAAACAGGATATTAATTTCATGAATTTACACGTGAATACTTAGTTAACACTTAATGTACCTCACAGTAGTTGAAAAACAGCCTATGAATTTACACGTGAATACGTAGTCAACACTTAATGTACCTCACCGTAGTTGAAAAACAACCTGATGATTTCAATTAAAGTTTACAAACTACATATAACCGTCTTTAGATTAACGTTTTCGCGCGAATAACAATATATACCTTTTCAATCGATTCCTTTTCTCTGGTTTCAAAACTTCTACTCCATCTTACAACACCAGTATGGCGATCTTTTTCACTGGTCAGTTTTATTTTTAGATCTCTACCTACATCTGAATGTCTGTTGCTAAATTCAACGTTGTGAAAGGTGTTATTTGACGTCAATAGTTGTTGACTCGACGATTCAATTATTTCCTCGTCAACAAAACTTCGCAAATTTCGCCGACATTTCAAAGCACTGGTGGTAGGTAGTGAAATATCTGTAGTCTGGACGTTATTTATTTCATCACCAATTAAAGGTAGCTGTGTTAAATCTTGCTTAGCGAGAAGATCGTCTAAACGTTCACTTATTGTCTGCAATTGTTCGTTCTGTTTAAAACCATTTGTTCTCTCAAAATTTATTTGTGCATTTTTATCTTTTTTTCTTCTACGATTCGTCCATACACAACGGTCGCGTTTTCTTTTTCTTTTACGTCCAAACTTTGAGACGTGAGAAATGAGTGATTTGTCTGTGAAATCATTAGTGGAAGAAATTTTCCCTGGAATACCAACTTTAGAATCACATTGATTGTCTTCACCATCAAAGATTGGCGAACTAGATCTTGTATACTCTGCAGCCAAATCTTTGAACTCATTTAATACTTTGCTGATTTCTGACATGCGCATAGGTTCAGAATCTTGGATGGATGAAGAAATCATTGATTGTTGATTTGCCGGATTGCTACGTCTGCTCGTTGTCCTTCTTCGATTAACTGGCGTAAAGCGACTTGCTGGTTTCGTTTCTACAGATTTGATGAATGTACCAACAGATTCGCGAGGCCGTTCATTGCCAGTTGAAGTTAGAGACACGTCAAAACACTGACTATTTGTAGGGTTGGTTTCCAGTCCTCTTGCGGCATCATCTGGACATACCGTCTCCAACGACTCATCCAATTGTAAACGAAATTCATCATCACGACAATCCAAGTCTTCGTTTGATATATTATGAAAATTTTCGTTATTTTTAAATCTCATGTTCACCTTGTACTCCTTGTATTGCTTGCGTTTTGGTATACGTGATGATTTTCGTCGTTTTTTTGGTGATTCTTTTGAAACATTTAGTGAAGGAACTTTTCTCTTTCGGGGACATGATGCTAACTTGCCGTCACAGTCCTTGTTATTGTCCAAAGATATTTTAACACGCGATAAAACCGAATCGTTTTTACATGCATCTAATTGCTTCGCAACAATCTTAGAAATATTTTCGCTATCCTCCAAATGCTTTGAATTATTCTTAGAAAAATCTTCGAAACACCTTTTTTCTTTGTTTTGACTTGAAGACTTTTCTAAGTTCATAGAAAAACCTATTTTCTTTTGTAGAAACTTTTTCAATTTCTGTTTGGAAGTCTGTTTGTTTTCATTGGTAAATATGGGTGAGGTAGGTGGTACTTTAGACTTGATATCCGATGATGATGTAATGCTTAACTTTGCAGGAATGACTGTTTCAGGCTTACTAGTATGATTGATTACATCTTTGTTGTAACTAGTTTTCTTATCACCAATCATTGATCGTAATGAAACTTTAAATGGATCAAATTTTTTGTTGTCACTATCCTTTTTTCCTTTCTTCAATTCTGTCCGGACATCATCAAAGGGCTTATGAGATAGTTTATCTACAAATGAGAAGGCATTCTTTACTGATTTTTCTTTCTCCGTGAATATGTTGACCGATTCATATTTGTCAAATGACTCCGTACTTTCATCGGCTTTACTGATATTTGAAGGTGAATAAGAGTCCTTATGTATACCATCATTTTTCCCAACCAATGGTTCGCCCACAGTTCTCAGTTTACCATCATCCCTCAGTTCAACATCATCGCTTAATTCACTATCAGCTGGTAGTTTACTGCCAAATGTCACTTCACAATTAGCTGAGTGCTTACTATTACATTGAATGTTACGGTTTGTGATTGGTGTTTCTTTTTCCATTGATTTTGAATATGAAATGCGGTTAATATCTCTCGTACGCTTGTTTTTCTCTGTAGGTAAACCATCCAGTACTAACACATCTACATGCTGTGCCGTATATTCTTTATTTAGAACACTACCATTAACTTGTACAGCATCTTTACTTAAACCACCATCATTTATTGTTACACCTTTTTTCTTCGGAACACGTTCTTTCTCAAAAATATCAGAATCTTTCTCAGAATCTTTCTCATGAAAATGATCATCTAAGAGAAAACGGTCGTCTCGTGGCACAATACCATTTACTGTCGTATTTCTTTTCTCCGTCCCTATTGGATAAAATTTTTCAACTACATTAGCATTGGCTGGTACAAGTTCTTCCTCGCGCGTACAACCAAGTATTTGAACTCTTTTTCCTTGAGGCTCGCCATCATCTATTACAACATATTTATTCTCGGACACACCATCATCTTGTGGAGCACATAATTCTTTGGGGGAATCGTAATTTACCGGGAAATGTTTTTCCACAGAAACTATATCATCTACAGGAAAACTTTCGTCCTGAAGTACACCATCAGCTACAAGAACATGCTCTTCCTCAGGGACACCACCATCTCCTAAAACACCTTCTTTCTGAAGTACAATTGTATCTACTGCAACACATTCTTCTTCTGGCACACCATCTATTGGTACAACATCTCTCTCTGGTGTACCATCATCAATTGCTACACCATGCTCTTTCGTCACATCACAATGCACTGGAACGCAATCACGTACAAATAATGCAACATTTTCGTTCGAATCATCATTGACTTCATATAAACCATCATTTATAACATGTATTACTTGTTCTATACTCATTGTTATCTCAACATCTTCAACCAACTCCGTGCTGTTATTGCGGTTCTTTTCGGGACAACCGTTGTTTACAGTGGAAATTTCATCATGAGTATCGTGGCTGTCTTGCTCACCTACGATTTCTTTATTTTTCACGATCATATTATCCAATTCACTAGATGGTTGTAGATCTGAAGTAGTGTATTTATCTGTATTTTTCTTTCCAACAGCTACATCGTCTTCTTTCATGAATACATCGTTTTCGTTTGAACCTACATCGTTTTCATTTAAACCTACATCGTTTTCATTTGAACCTACATCGTTTTCATTTGAACCTAAATCGTCTTCTTTCGTAGCAACATTGTTTTCTTTCGTAGCTACATCGTGTTCATTTGTAGCAACATTGTCTTCTTTCATACGAGGTGAATCTTGCAAGCTAAAAACGCTAGGTATATTCGCTTTTTCGTCCACCTGTTTTTCTCACTGGAAGTGACAGCATTTTCTGGGTCATCTCTTTCGATTGCATAAGTGTTTGATTAGTTTCAACTTTTTTGAACTCGTTTATTCTATAATCACTGTTATGTGGAAAACTATGGTCAGCTTTTGGTTCTGATTCTTCAGATTCTTGTTTTGACTCTGTTTGGTCCACCTCTATCGGCACAACCGAACTATCTCTGACGTCGTTATTTCCCATCGCTTTCATTGGTTGTTCTTCACGGGCCAGGTAATTTCCTTTATCAGTTTCACAACTCATTATTTCATCGGAAGAGAGACATTGCTGTTCAAAACGAATACAAATACCATTCCTTATGCCCCTTTCGTACGTCTTTTTTTCTTCGTCATTTTCCGAGCTTCTGTCACGTTTGTAAGTGTTTGGAGAATTACCTAGCATCAAACCAGGAGTTTCGTCAGAGTCTTTACTGGCATCGATCCTACTAACTATGTTCACTACATTATCAACACATTTCAGAGTGTCAACACAAGGTAAAATTTCCGTCTTAGTTGAAGGAAGTGTTACGGGAGCTTTAAGAATGTTATTGTTATAGAACCTGTTGCCATGAGACACTTCTTTATTATCATTAAAAGTTGAAGAATGAGCTTCAACAGTTTTGACATTTCCATTGTTATGACATGTTACAATACCAGGAGCTTCGTAAACTTTAACTGAATCGTTCAATGAACCTCTTAAAGAACAAACGTCCCTGATAACAACTATGGCTGACTCAACACTAAGGCTATCTGACGAAACTTTATGCGTTGGTAGGTCTGTATGTGCCTCGACATTGCAAGATTCATCATCTTTATTGGATACAGGAGACATTCCTTCAACTTGCTCCAACCATTTTTCACTGACTTCTTTGTCGTTCAATGTCTTTGAATTTAATAAGGTCATCTCATTAAAAGTTGTAGATAAATTTTTACTTGGGCATTCGTTTTCTTCTTCTTCTTCTTCTTCTTCTTCTTCGCCAGTGACCAATTTATTATTTTTATCACCAGTGATGTCTGTAGTGTCTTCCTTTACCTCTATGATCTGTAAGCCACTGCCAACTTCAAGAACATGTTCACTAGCATCTGAAGTAGTAAATACTTCATGTTGTGAATTAGGATGTAACTTCATTAGTTCAGAACGAGATATATTATCATTCAATATAGGTTGTACATTCTCATTCTTAAAAAGCTCATTTCTCAATTCGTTAACATTCTTATCAGTTTGTATTTCTTCATTCCTATTGCAAAAATCTGTGGTATCTTCCACTTTATTTCGAATATTTTCCTCAAGATATTTCAGCAAAGGACTGTCAAATGTTGGTGATTCACTTCCAGTGATTACTAACCCATTTTGTTTTGTAAAATCTTCATATAACTCTTCACTGTTCAATGTATTAGAAACAGTTATACTAGAATGAAAAGTTTGATTGAATTCTTCACTTTCCGCATCAGACAAAGTTTCTAGATCATCTTTTATGTCATCTGCAAGAATTGTATCAATTGATTTTTGATGAATAAATTTGCTTATATATTCACCATTATTATTCTTTGTAGCAACACCTGTCTTCTCTTCTTCTTTAATGTTAGATGGTATTGATTTGACTTTATCTAAATAAGCACAACCTTTTTCAATATTTGAAGAACAATCTTTATTATAAAGAATACATCATGATTGTTTACCTTTCATTTGATTTTTTTCATCTCCTGGCAATAAAAAGTTACCCATTATCACATCTAGTTCAACATCCTTATTTACTTCCTCCAAAACATCACTATCTTGATGTGATCCAGTTGAGTTCACAACACTATTAATTGAAGCTTGGCTTGAAAATGATATAGAAATATTTTTTCTAACTTCTTGAAAATGCCCATCAGTTACATCAGTTTTTAACAAACATGGTGAATTGTTTACAGAATCTTCAGTATATGCGGGCTGGGAGATCATTGTTTCTGTTATTAGAATGCTTCAACAGGTTAAACATTCTCTCAAATATGTTGAATCTTGAGTGAGAAAATTGAACAACTGACGTTTTGCAGCATGATTTTTAGAACTGCTTTTCCTATGACAAAAAAATGACTTACAATATGGTATTTAGCAAGTTTAAGATATATTTTCATTCAAGTCATTTTTCAAAATCTCTGTTGTACATGGAAGATTTCATCCTCTACGTTGAGAATAACTGTCTTCACAATGTTATGCTTAACATATAATGTACAACAATTTATCATGTATAATATTACAATACTGTTTGTCTCTAAAAGAAACACATTGTTAGCTAAGCAAAACAAATTTTGACGAACTAAATATGAAGAACAAAAATACATCAAAAATTATACTCTCAAGTCTTCGCGAAATTCGTATTGGGTTAAAAAAATCGTCACAATCAACATAAACAACAAGAATACATTATAAAATCCAAGTGTTCAATAACTTCGATTAAAAGTTTTAGGGTTATAAAATGTATGTTAAGAAGATAGAACAACTAAAATGGCACTTACGGGCAACCATGTAGAGATTATTACATCCAGAAAGCATAAAATAACCAATATGAAATAAGTTCAATAAAATATCACTTCATTTTTTCTACCGCCAACAAAGAAGCATGCATCGTACATTTTTCATGCACTAATAGAGCGGTAAGTCAAAGATTTGCTAACCTTTTCCTCCCGGGTATAGTAAATAAAATATGTTTAGCGTATGGTCTTAAGTCTAAACACAAAAACCGTGAAATATCGGCACAGATACACTTTGCCAATTAAATTTTATTTTTGGGGGTAGTTGACTAAAATATAAAACAATGTTGTGAATGTCAGGGCTTAAGACATTGTCTAACGTTTGTTACAGTCATTATGGCAAGGTGTTTTGCATTAGAAATGGAAACTCTGCAAAAATTCACTTTGTCTACCGAAGGTACAACAAAATATTTAAAGATAATTTACGAGGTTTGTTTCTTGCTGAAAATAATCAAAGTGAAAACCTGAAACTATATCTTTTGTAAGCAATCTCTCCCCCCGGGACAAGAAATGCAAATTATAAACGCAACACTGTGTTGCGCAAATGTTACGCAACGTTAAGTTAGCTTCGTTGTTTGATTGGCTCATACATTCATTCGCATGCTATTATTGCAGACATTGTTCATTTCTCTTGTTCCTTATCTATAAGTGAATTATTAAGGCTGAGGTTATGGATGATGAACTTAGAACGATCGAGTCATGAATGAGAACATTGATCCCAAATTATTTCTATAGTTCTTTAATTATGGCTTTGCGATTGAGTCTTATATGACGTTGGTATGAGTTTTTTGAGTGACAAAGAAAAATTCTTTTCGAAATAAGTATTCTTGTGATTCCGAAAATATTTGTCACTAAAAAACTAAAGTCAAAGACAACGCTTTTAAAGAAACATTGGTGCAATCTGTTATAAATTTCATATAAGTAGGGAATACAACCTTTCCTATATTGCTTACATTGACTCACTGTAAGCCAAGTAAGATATCAAAATGATCTATTTTCATCTATAGTTCATCATCAAACAACATAGTAATTAAAAAGTAAGCCAAGTAAGATATCAAAATGAACTCACTGTAAGCCAAGTAAGATATCAAAATGAACTAGTTCATCATCAAACAACATAGTAATTAAAAACAACATTATTTATCGCCATCTAGAAAAGTTAAATTGAAAACAATATAAATTTCTGTTCAAAAACACACAAACATACTGGAAAAAGAAAATTTATGATGGTTTTTAGATTTTATTTAAGCATCGCCGTCTTTCCTAATATATGAGGTTTTTGATTCATTCATTTATAGACACGCAGTGTTGACATAGTTTTAAGCAGGTGTTTTAAATCATAAGGCAAAAAAAGTGTAAATTACATCTTTTATTATTGATAAACAATAATTTCACGACCTCGTTTTCACAAATAGAGCAAACTGGTTAACATTAGCTAAATAGGCAACATTGCTATAGACAAAATATGGCTGAGCATCTAACTTTCATCAAATAAAAGAAAGTAGAATTTGATTGATAACTTATGACTGTGATATACGTATTTATAATATAATCGCGAAGATAGTTTCCATTAATAGAAACGCCATGAAAAAAACTGAGCTACAAGAGGACAAAAGACAGAAATCATGTAATGAACAAATGAGAGAGTCTAAACATTTAATCAAGGGCAGTCTTTAATGAATAGATCATTAAAAACAATTAAGGCGAGAAATTTCATTGCATTTTTTTTGTCGGTGAATATTGCCAGGCCTGGTCAATAATGAACGAGTAGAGAAAACAGGGAAAATGGAATTTTCCAAAGACCTGATCGGATCATTTCCTGAGAGAATACGTTAATTGTTTTTCACTGGAGTTGACTGGAAAATATACCATCTGGAAACTATTGCATGAAAATGTCAAACAAGAATATTCTCTTCAAACAAATAATAAACTTTGTGGAAGACAAATTATTCAGCTACTCAGAAATTAAAACGCTCTTCAATAAAATATGATGCGCCATCTAGTTAATTAAGGCAAAATTTTAAAGGCAAGCTAGGTAATACTCAGTGGTTAATACGTATTAAAGTTAATATAAAAAAAAAAGCGGAAGAAAATAGATTTAAGGAGGACAATGCACGAATCTAACCACTATAAACGGAAGAAACTTATCATATCATATCTCATGGACGGCTTCAGTACTTATATCAGTGATAAAAAAATATGTGATAAAAATGAGGGAAAAAAACAAAGAGTCTCAAAGCGGAACATTAACGATGCATGTGGGGTGTAGCTCAAAGGAAGACGAAGCAACAAATTTATAAAGGCTAAAAGCGCATCATGAAACAGTTACTTTTTTGGCCAACGTTTGAAAATAATGAGAAATGAAAAAAAAGGACAACTAGGGAGATCACTATTACATGGCCAAGAGCCTATGAACGTAGCAGGAAAATTGAGATAGTAATTAAAACATGCAATGTTCTTACTGTTCGCGTCTCTTTATTGTATTAAAAGTAATATATATTAAGGGCACAATTTTGTTTGGTTTTTAAGAATGCTGGCAGATCATATGTCGCCATGAGAAACGGTAGTAAAAACAGATAATGAGTTAAAACAACAGAGATATTAATCTTGTAAAAAGTAGGCGATTATTTCAACTGATGAGTCATATTAAAAGGTCATGAATACAGCACCAAGCAGCTGCATCTCTACACATCTTACTAGAGAGTGAGAAGTCATTTTTCAATGCCAAATGTCGTTATTCAGTTTAATATTAAAGTTTTGGCGCCCACGTCTAGATTAAAATCAATGTAATGATTTCATCTTAACTCCCTCGCACGTAATAAGAACATTGACTCTAAATTATTTATAACTCTCATCTCGTGCAACAAAAAGGCGCACAAGTAATTATTGTTCATTCAGATTACCATCTTAATCTGATAAAAAGCCAAACGCTATAGTGGTATAATAGCTTTCAGAGATATATACTTTTGAAAGTTTGAAATCGAAACCTTCCGCCGGGAAGGCTTATATATAAATCGGACAAGTTGCGTCTTTAATCATTCAAGTACTAACCTCCACAATTTGGTTCTGTTGTTCTTATTGGAAGAAAGACTTAAGCTAACTCGCATTCAAAACATTTGATCCTTTAAGGTAAGTTATTTGACAGACAATGAAAATGTACTTATTTGTCTTCAAAACCAAAGATTTACGATTCATTTCTGTTTCATTATATCGGACCACATCACACTGAACAAAGAAAAGCTAAAAATCCATTTGTAGCACGCTTGTTACTTTACGGATTCTAAAATGTGCCGGACGAGAAATTTTCATCTCAACATAGTAAGAGTGGATACAGTTAATGCTGGTCAAAGTACTTTAAGAGAGATATCAAAGACTTAATGAAAAGTTTGTGAAATCGTCTTCATTGTTAATCATTACATAATTCCCAGAAATAAAATTCTACACGGGAATAAAAACATAAAAAGAAGAAAGATAATTGTTTTATTTTCAACTTGTTTTTGTCGGCAAACACCTGTTCGAATGTTGATCATAGTTGTTTTGCCGCTTTGCCATCATAACACAATGCGTTACGGAGGAACGATAACATTGTCTGCGCATGCGTTTATAACAAACTTCCTATATAAATTATCGACGATCTGGACAAAATGGCAAAACGACAAACTTTATACACGCTGAACAAAAAGCATTATATTCGTTGAAATACCCTTGAGATCTTAAAGTGTTTATACATGGAAAATATGTAACAGAAAAATGTCAAATTGAGTGCGGTGACGACTCTCTTATCGTGTGTGAATATCACAAAGCATGTTTTAATAGCAAGACAAGGCATTGACATTGATAAAATGAGAACAACGATGAATTTGTTCGATTGGAACGTTGAGCAATGATAAAATTTTTTTAGTTGTTTACAACCATCTTGTCGTGTTTATGTCTGATGTCACGGTTATAGCACTTTCAAAAGCAGCATGATACTTTAAAGGCGGATGTCCGACAAAAAAGTTTCAATCGTTTGAAAAATTCCCAGCAACACCTGCGCACTGCAAACTAAAACGGCGATTAACGACTGCCATACAAGCGTTTGACAAAGAGGAGTAAAAATGAATTTTGATTTCGCGTTGAAAGTTGACAATTTTACCTCGTACCGCGCGTTTGTCATATATAGGTATATGCTGTTACGTCACACACAATAAGCAACTGTAGACACATCCTTTCTATTTTGTCTATGCTATGAAAGCTGAAATCGATTTATGTATGTGAAAAAACGACAAGAGGATGAAACATACGTTGTTAGGAAACGTTTTTGATGACTCAAGAGTCATGGCTGTGTACATGGGCACATGTTCCTCTTATCAGTCGCAAAATCACTGACAGTCTATAGAATTTCAAAATACATGCACATAGGATGAACCACACTGAGTCTTTACAAAAACATCACCCTTGTATGGTAGACTGAACTGGCAGCTTCGTATAAATCCGATTAAATTTGCTAAAGATAAAAACAAACATCACAAAGACATGCGGTTAAGCGTTAATTATCTGTGGTTGAAATAGATAACATTTCAATCATGATTCAAGAGTGCTTGCAGTTAGCTGTTTGTATCGGAATTCTTTGTGTATTTTTACGTTCAAAATATAAGTAACATTTATTTATTTGTGAGGAAAATGTTCTCGTTTATTGCAGTAGCTGATAAGATGGTTGGTTGCATCGGTTTCTTTTGTTATTGGAGTGACGTTTTCCCCCAACGTGTTTTCCAAAAATTATAGAGATGTGAGGAATATTTAGTTCTTGGCTCTCTTTAATTAAACCATTGAAAAGAACCCCAGGTTATTACAAACTAAACGTATGCTTTTGGGTATATTACTGATGATCAATTACATGTATCTAAACCTCGAGAATTTTAGTTAAAAGTTCCTCGGGCTGCGCTCTCGGTTTGTAGACCATTTATTCGCTAATATCCCTGAAAGCATGCGCTAACTTATAAAATATATACATATATATATACCGTATCTATCAATCAATGGTTTATGCTAACTTTCGAAATTTTCTTTGGACATTGACAGTTCTCATGGCAAAATTATTTTCCATTCATTTAGATGACATCAACGAAATTCATTTTGGCAATTTTTTTCTTGGCAATGATAACAAGCTACACTTACGCAGCGAAAAATTGCCCACATACGCCAAGATGTCGTTCAGTCTACGATAGATGTCTTCAGTATTCCCAAGGCTTTGCAGCGTCGACGGCTTGCCAAGAATCTTTCAAAAGTTGTATGAGTCCCTGTACTTCGGGCAAAAGGAGTTTCTATCCTTATGAAATAAACCCCCGATTCAGACGAGAATGGAGCATGTAACAAGTTGAAGAAAGAACAGAAACGTACAAATATAACAAATTAGAACTGACATAGAATTATTTAGATATATATTTAAAGTAATTATCGTAACCAGACTTGTTCGTACAGCTAATTGAATAATTTAAATTTTAGGCCTAGATTATCCACTAATAATAAATTACATTAGATCAGATTTTGTCGTATGTTTTGCCGAGTGTAGTTTTTTCAAATTGTTGATCATGAATGGAACAAGTAATTTTAAATCGTAGAAAAGAAACTTTCTCAAAACGGGTAAAAAAGTTGGGTCAAGTGGCTTTAATGCAGTTTGAGGAAGTTGTTTCGAAATTGTTTTTAGGTGACATCTACTCATACAAAGTTTGAACTTCGGATATTCTCATTCAAACACACGCCACTCGTTGTAGTTCACACGTGTCGACATGCCAATTATTTAGTGACGAGAAATCATCAGAAACATCAATGAGTCGACGACTATTGACTTCGAAGCACATTTATCTTTGATAAAATCGATATAATACTTCAAATTACCTTTTGCGGTTCGTGTACTATAGCTTAAAACATGGCTTCCTGAAATATTATTTTAAACGCGCGCGGAGAGCGCCAACGAAATTGAAAAGCTATGAAGTGTGACTAAGATAATCACAAAATGCATTCATTAATGAAGTTATTATGCAGGATATAAGCATGAAGCAATGTTTAACATAATTATGCAATTTTGTTTGATCAATAGTGCAGAACAGACTGGTAATTACAGTTTGTGTATGTTTCTTGATCAGTTATCCAAGGGTAAAACTTAAAAATCAGACCGTGTCAGCAACAAACAGTTACAAACCAAAAGGTAGGTATACAATATATCACAACAGATCGTCAAAATAAGAACGCCTGCTCGAAAGACAATGCGAATCTCTGCTCAAGACTATTTATTAAGGAAGTGCCTCAAATAAATATGTGTGTCAACAAGTAAAACAAGTCGTCGCCACCCATTATTGCTAAGAACTCAACATAACTATAATCATCACATTATTCACGCTACTGTTTGATATATTCATTTTCATTTTTTCTGTATATGTTTTTACAAGCAGAAACTCAAGATGCTTTCACGGGAATCTACATTTTTGTAGGCGGGCTCGTCTACCATCGGACGCGACAAAGCGAAGAATTACGTAGGCGAGAAAATTAAAAGAGAAACTAAAATCACAAAAGGATGAACGGAACGAGAAGTTGTGGTACTCAATGTCAGAGCAGCAGTAGGAATACAGGAGTTCAGACAAAACGTCTTTCTACAGAAGGTAAAACTGTAAAAGTATGTGAAAATTTAAGACAGTATTCGATACATGAGTAATATGCCAACGATCAAATGTTAACGTTTCTTTTCATTTTAGAAATAATGTTAAATGTAGAAAGCAGTCACAAATACCTAATGTTTAAACTGGCCAGCGAATTTCCTAGAGTAATCTTGATTGTGTCAAGCAATAGTACTTCATAAATTCACTTACTGTTTTTTTAGAGATGCGTTATTACACAAAGATTGTAGAAAAAGAAAAAGATATATTGTTGAAGTACATCCAAACAACAAAAACCTTTCTACCGAAACTATCTTTCAAAGTAAACTTTGAACAGGTGCACAAAACATCAGGATCGGATAACATGGATACGAACAGCAATCGTGAATTTGAAGATGCGGTGAAAACAAAAGCCTTAAATTGCCAGACAAAATATAAAGAAAATGGCTATCCTATTTCGTCAACCAGGTTAAATGATATGAGGCGAAGCATCAAAATAAGATCATCTCCTGCCATAGATGATCATGAATATGACTACAACGAAGACTTACTATCACATGATCGAGCGAAATCACGGAAAACAAAGCAACCAAGACGATACACGAGATGCTTGCAGGATGGCAAAGAAGGTTATAAACATTTGAACGCTGAGAGTTACCTTGATGAGCAGGTAGGAATAAGTACACAGGTGAGCATAGCTCACCGATATGCAATCACGAATGCTTGTATTATTCTTTAGAGCATTAATAAAACGACTAACGACCAAGAGAATGTTCCAGAAAACTTTGAACACTCAACACCAGATCTTTCTCCGTCAACCACGTTGGCGTCACAACTTCCATTCAGTCTTTCATCGCAAAGGAATTCTTCAGAAAGTGCAAGCAGTCCGTTTGAGGAGGACGACACATGTTCTGAGGAATCTTATTTCAGCTCTACATCGGAAGATTTCGACGATAATGTTTCAAAGTGTTCTGAAGAATTCTTCATCGTGCAATCGAAGCAAGATGTTGTAAATGGTAAAAAAGGGCTGACGGCCACTGAAGAATGGCCTAAAGCAATGGATTCATCAGATAATGAAGACAGTGAGGAGAGTAATATAAAAAAACTCGAGGAAACGAGTAAAGGTGAAATATTGTCCAAATCCGAGATTAAACACAATTACATTGAAAACCAACTCAACATACTGAATAATGAAGATGGCACATCCATAGCAGAAATAAAAACGTCAACAGTTCAATTTCCCAACAGAAATGTTCATGATTTAGAAGTACCAATTTATCAAATTCATTCCTCAAATGACATGCATATCCCTCACCAAGTCACCAGCGTTCAGGGACATCCCTCAAATGACAGACATATCCCTCACCAAGCCACCAGCGTTCAGGGACATCCCTCAAATGACAGACATATCCCTCACCAAACAACCAGCGTTCACATACATACCTCAAATGACAAGCATATCCCTCACCAAGTCACCAGCGTCCAGAGACACCCCTCAAATGACAGGCATATCCCTCACCAAGTCACCAGCGTCCAGAGGCACCCCTCAAATGACAGATATGTCCCTCACCAAGCCACCAGCGTCCAGAGACACCTCTCAAATGACAGATATGTCCCTCACCAAGCCACCAGCGTTCAGAGACATCCCTCAAATGACAGTCATATCCCTCACCTAGCCACCAGCGTTCAGAGACACCCTTCATATGACAGACATATCCCACGCCAAGCAACCAGCGTCCAGAGACATCCCTCAAATGACAGACATATCCCAGACCATGCCACCAACTTACGTGTTCCCTCCAACAACGCAAGTTTTTTTCGTTGCATACCATCGGCAAAGTCGTCAAATGTATCCTCAGATTTTCCTGCTGTTTCACCACATCTATCCAGACTTTTGTTGGGAGAAACTCAAGACTATAAGATACCAGTAACACAACAATCCACGTATGAACACATTTACCCCCAACGAATAAGCCATAGAAGTATTGAAACAACGGGCATGAGTGTAACAAAAGAAAAACCTATGCATTCAAGTTCACAGATCATATCAACTTCAACAAGGTCATACTACAACAATTCTATGGTTACAAATGGTATTTCCTTACAGAATAATCACCATGTCGACGTGCAACGTAAAAATACACCCACTGTCACTAATACTGATGAGAACAATGAAATAAACGATCCGAGGAGGCAAGCATTAGATAATGATAGTGAAATGTCCAACCAAAAACGCAAACGTTTCATCTACGGAGAAGATGAACCACAAAAAAAGAAAGTAATTTCATCGTTACTTACGCCACTCTGTGAAAGGGAAGCAACAAGATTGGCAGACGGAATACATGAGATCAATATGCAGTACTTTCCTTTACGTTCATTGGCTCAGAAAGCAGCCAATCGTGTGTCAGAGGATGCCGGACACTTTTATCAATTCATTGATCAAAAGATTCAACTGAAGACGAAACTGGAAGATGTCGAAAAAGCCAGGTAAGTACACAAGCAATGTATTAACGACAATGTGTACCTTAAAAAGTACTATATATTATAACTGTATTTCTAGGAAACTTCTTAAAGATATCTATGATATGGTGTTAAAGTCCAAAGAAATCGAGGATATTCGAAATTTCGAACTGGTTTCTCATAATTTTGGTGTGAGAAATATTTTGAATCATCTTAGTCTTGTTGATCTTTATTTTGATGAGCTTGGTAGTGAGATAAATTCTAAAATATAGCGATATTTGTACTCTTTTTGTAAAGTCGTCACGCATAAATACGCTTATCACTTTATACTTGCTAGATCACGATCTACAAAGATCGAATTATTGTTGTTTAATGGCTCTCGACTTCCGTTGATAATAAAATGATGAGCACTCTGTTGCAATACAATTCTAACGTAGTGTATGATTATTATGTTCGATGTTGAATTCACCTGGACTTGACACGAGTCAACAAATGTAAACATAATCTAATGTCAATGAGCTAACATAAACGTGGAAAATAGAAATGTTCAAGTTGTGATTGGGAACGCAACTTCACTATTGTGTTTGCAATAAACACCTTCAAACCCGTTCATTATGAGATTAGAGATAAAAAGTGTCGTTAATTATGCATAGTTTGGTTATACTCCCATTTTGCCTACCTTGCATAAGATTTCTCATTCGAGTGGTGGAAAGGCATTAATGATTTCTTTCACTTTATCAAAGATCTCATCAGGATCTTCTTCTGCTTTAATCTAGTAGGAATTATATTTGTAAATGACGAAGCGTTGAACAGATCATACGATACATAACTTTTTGCACATCTGCACGTGATATCATGTTTAAAAAGTGGAGTTTCCTAAACCTTAGTTGTAGGTTTAGGTCACTAAGACAATAAAAGGGAACGCCAGGGATACCTGAGGATCAACACGAAGTCAGTTCCCACTAACGCCTTACCTTGTGTAGTATTCCCTTTTCTTCAAAATATTGAACAACTGGTATGGTTTTCGAGTAGAAGATTTCCAACCGTTTCTTGATTGTTTCTTCATTATCGTCCACACGACCGCTTGTTTCCGATCGCTTTAATAATCTTGTTGTCATCGTCTCTGATGAACATTCAAAGTAAAGCACACACTCGCATGACGTAATCTACAAAGGAAACGTAATGACGTAATCTGGAAAGAAAACGTAACGACGTAAACTACAAAATAAACGTAATGACGTAATCTACAAATGAAAAGCATATTCTATTATGATATTGAATAGACGGTAAAATCTGAAAGCAGTGACGCCTTCAACATTTCATGCACAAGTATTTCAACTATCCTCTAAAATCCATATGTGTACCTCTCTCTCTAACAGAACTGCCTGTTCTTTGTCTCGAGGAAAGCCATCAATCAGAAATCCTTTCCTGTTCGGTTTTTTAATGATCGCATCCCGAAGAATTTCCAACATTATTTCCTGTGAAATAATTTCAATTTCACCGAAGCGAGATTTTGATTTTTTACACGTTGTCATGTCAGCTTACCATTGGTACCAGTTCCCCGCGTTCCATAATCGCGCTCAAATTTTCACCTCTGGACGAGCCCGATGATATCTCTGACCGAAGTAAATCCCCAGTTGATAAATGTACATAACCATAGTTGCTCACAATTTTTGAGCATTGCGTACCTTTTCCACACCCTGGACCACCTACAACATTTATATACAACTATAAAGGATAACAGAACGATCCAAAATCTTGAAACTCTTCAAAGTTTTTACCTATGACGAATATAATGCGAACTTTGTCAAAATCATTTTCTGGAGGTAAGGTTGTTTTTAAATCTCCCAATGGAACCGCTTCTTCCATGGCAATGAAAGGCTCTTCCACAAGAATTTTCTTAGTCCCATTTGCATGAGTTTCATATGATGATTTGTTTTCGTCATGAGCATGCGCAAAGTCTGCCAGATTGGTATCAACAGAATCTGACACTAAATGAAGATGATCGATGAAAAACAAATGAATGATGCCACACAACGTTATTCGAGATAAGAAAATTTTTTCAATCAGTTTCAAGAAGGTACACAATAAATAGATAAGAAAATTCCTTTTGAAATTTAACTATCTACCTTTCTCTAATCCTGTTATATTGTCAAATCGCGTACACACTGTTTGAAAAACATCGTCAACGCAGCCAGTTGCGTCTATCTACAAATGCATTATTACATCAATATTTTCATATGCTATTTTCATGCTTGAGAGAGAGAGAGAGAGAGAGAGAGAGCGCGAATAAACGACGATACGAACCTTTTCAACTTTTCCAAGCATCTGATAATATTCAATAACGGGTAATGTCTTCTCCATATAAGTTTTAAACCGTTTCTTTATTGTCTCAGAATTGTCATCTGACCGCCCGCTGGCCTCACCTCGTTTTAGCAATCTTTCCTCCAAAACAGCCTCCGAACACTCAAAGAACACCACTTTGTTACATTCTGCAATCTTCAAAATGTAAGTAACTAGTTTTTATGAGGCCAAGCATAGAGAAGAGTTATTTAAAATTTCTTTTTATTTTCTTATAATTCCTTTCCTGTTTGCTTACATTTAAAATTTAATTACATTGATAGATTTATCTTTTCGAAAATGGCATTCTTTTGAAAAAAGTAATCAAAAGTGCTCGGGTGGGAAAAAAATCCAGACAGATTTATCCACACGGAAGTGCGTACCTTCAATATAAATCTGACCAACGCCAAGCCAATCCATTATAAAGTAAATGGTTTGAACCCGGGAGTATCGTTACATGTTTGTAAATGTAGATAGTCCAGGTTGGTACAAGCAAGTCCAGATCGTCCAACCCATTATGTTCAATACAACGCAACATCGACTAATAATAATAAATAAAAAGTACCTCGCTTTCAAACTGCTTCGCTTGTCCAATTTCTCTAGGAAAACCATCAATAAGAAATCCAGGGCTTTGGCTATTATCGTGCATCGCGTCTCTCAATAGTTCAACAATAATTTCCTATTGGCGGTAAAAAAAAAGACAGACTTATACATAAAGTAGCTAGTTGAAAACCACCGACAGAACACCAGATTCCAATACATATTTATATAAACCCTGAAATTCTTTCCTTATCTATAAGCCTCCATCTTAATTCTGGTTCAGGGTCAGAAACAAGAAATATACACATAAGGTGAGACTTATAACCTGTGGCACTAATTTTCCCTCATTCATGACTTCTTTCATCATTTTTGCCCTTTCTGTATCTTTCTTAACTTCCCTTCGCAGCAAATCACCAGTTGAAAGATGAGTGTATCCATATTTATCCACAATCATCGCACATTGAGTGCCTTTACCTGATCCAGGACCGCCTGTAGGAATCAAACGCAATACAAAATTACAGTTAGATGGAAACTCGACCGCAAAAGTCCTATAGAACATTTTCAATACAAACCTAGAACAAAGATTATCTTCTGATTATTTAAACTTCGATGTGATGTACCTGTTGCTTGACTGGCTATATAAAACGAAAGGCAAACAGTATTTAAACGTAAAACGAACTAAAAAAGCAACCACAACTGATGAAGAAAGATTCCTAGACATGTAGAGATCATTGGGATGAAGTAAACTTAACAGGAGAAACAAAAAAGAAACCTGGTTTTAGCTCATCGTTGCTTTTCTTCGTACATAACTGAACTACAGATGAATGAAATAAATCGCAAACATTTTTAAAAATATCTTCAACATCGCGACCTGCGTCAATCTGTGAAAAAAAATGTTTCATTATTTGGATTATCATACGCAATCATGGAAAAAACAGGCCAGCAATTGTAAATGTACCTTTTTGAGCTTATTAATCGACTTATAATATTCAATGACTGGCAAAGTTTTCTCAGTAAATGTTTTAAATCTTTTACGAATTGTTTCAACATTATCGTCTGATCGTCCACTTGTCTCAGCTCGTTTCATCAAACGCTTTTCCATAACATCTTCTGAACATTCAAAGTACAACACAAAGTCACATTGAGTCACCTGCAATATAGAAATTACAAGTTTCATAGAATTGATACACAGGTTAGAGGAAAGAAGTTGACGATCAAGCGGTTGGGCATTTTGCATAACAAACCTCCAGCTCAAACTGTTGACCCTGACTTATTTCTCTTGGAAAACCATCAATAAGAAATCCGGGACTTTTAGGGTGGTTCAACATTGCATCTTTCAGTAGTTCTATGGTTATTTCCTGTAAATATCGTGAATCAAATAAACAAAGAAATTGAGCATTTACACAGACGTTAAATCGTACAAACCTGGGGAACAATTTTTCCATCTTTAATGAAAGCTGAAATTATTGACGCTCTTTCAGAATTCTTTTCAATCTCTTGCCTTAAAAGATCTCCGGCGGATAAATGTATCAGACCAAAAGCCTCAACAATTCTGACACATTGTGTTCCCTTTCCTGAGCCAGGACCTCCTGAAATATTAATCACGTAGGCAATCTAGAGAAAAGCGACAACAAATAAAATAGAAATTAGAAATAGTAATCATACCTAAAACAAAAATGATGGTTTGATTTTTAAATGAATCCGCTTCCTTCTCAAGGGCCATCTTGTGGAGAAAAGCTTCCTTTTCGATAAAATCTTCAACATCATCATCGTTGTTAATCATTATTTCGTCAACATTATCCAGGTCGGAACTCTTGTTTTCACAGTCTTGTCCAATGGACGGAAGTTTCGTTTTTAATTTCATTTCTAAAATTGGTTCTGTCTCGAATGTTGGAATTACTGGCTCATCGGAGAAGCCAAAGCTTTCTGACCTAATGGGACCATCATTGACCTTGGAAATTGGAGGTAGTGGTTTCTTTCCAAGAAACGTGTCCCATTTGATATTTTCCGTCGATTTTGCAGCATTTATGCAATCCCCAAGAAATTTCAGATGGTCTTTAGGTTTGTTGTATAGTAGTCCGGTTAACATGCTCTGGAAAAGAAAAATCAAACAAGAAATTATATCGTTATTCATTGAATTTGCCGAGCGCAACAGCAGACAATTAGTTGGCAAAATAATCACTGGAACAAATTAGAATCCAATGAAATACAAATTAGAATGAAATGATATAATTAGAACAACATTTTTTATTCTTTTATTGCGGGAGTGCAATTAACACACATAAATAAGATTTTTTAAGAATATTTGAAGCAATCGTCATTTATCCAAATTTATAAACAAACATGTTGAAATAAAGCGCGAACTTTAGAAGCTAACGCAAACAGTTTCTTACTTCGAAAAGTTGTGGAATTTCGAGGCGGTTCATATATTCTTTGACATCGTCTGTTGCCATGTTTGTGAACTAAACACGGTGAAAGAATCATCAGAAAGACGAGTACTTCTTCAAATCTTGTGTTAGTAAATTTGATTTGACCTCACCGTGTTGTCATAGCAACAATCATGATATTTAAATCCTTAACTTAAATAAGGCAACCGACGAAACAGATTTTTGTTGATTTAAAGTCATCTTAAAACAAGTTTTCTTTTGAAACTATTTGGAAATGTTTAATCAAAAGGTTTTTAAAACTTTTGCAGTATTTTATAAACTTTGTAATAATTTATAAAATTGTATAAACTTTGCTTAGTTCGTCTTATCTTCGGAATCTGACGGTAACGGCGATTCGAAATTTTCAAAATGGTCGCCGTTCAAGAGTGGAGAAAAAATGTTTTTGTTTTGTTCGTCTTTCATTTCTTATTTTGTTCACATCAAATCCACGCAAACTCTCATGAATTTTCGAAAGTGTTTTCATCAAATCATACTAATAACTGGGCTGTAATAGTAGGTTTTTTTAACAATCACTTTTTCAAATTGTTGAATGATCTATAGATGACTTGCCTTGTTTACGTTTTGTTGGCAGGCAGATAGATCCCAAGAGAAGTTAACCATCGTTGCTAGTGTTGTCTAAAGGCACTCGACCAAATCTGCTTGCCAGCATAACGTAAACAAGGCACGTCGTCTATATCATTTGACAAGTTATTTACTATGAGCATATTTAAATGCATTCTAGGTTTGTACATCGCGTTTTTGGTTTAATTATCGCCATGTCGCTAACAGTTTGGCAATATATAGGAGTGTGAAAAGACTTGGAATACCTGATAGGTAAAAACCAAGTAAATCTTTAACTGATTTTTGTTCAGTAATCTATTTGACTATTGCAAGACAAGTCATCCTAATAATCTTTATCATCCAATACATTATTTAGCCATATAATTTTAATGCTAGCTGATGATATGGCTTGCAATGCTCGAAATCCAAGACCAGGTAGGAAAGCCCAGTTTATGATAATCATATTTGATTGTAAAATTTTTACCTCGATACGTGGTTATGTCCTCTTACAGGAACTGTATTTAGTAATTGGATCAACAGACCAATATCTATGGTGATGATGTGGAAGTAGATTACCGAGGTTATGAGGTCACTGTGGAGAATTTCATTAGAGTTATCACTGGTTTGTAAATTGGTTTGACTTAGACCAAGAAACTGTGTTTAAGTCTTGATTGGAAACTGGCAATTCAGATGAAATATTTGAAAAAAAAATTCTTTCATGTCAGGTCGCCTACCCCCAAGTGTACCACGTTCTAAACGTCTGCTCTCAGATGATGGAAGCAATATTTTATTGTACATGACTGGTCATGGAGGTGATGGATTCTTAAAATTTCAAGATTCCGAGGAAATTTCTAACATAGAGCTAGCAGATGCTATGGAACAAATGTGGCAAAAACAAAGGTAGTGAAGGAATTGGATATTTTACTGAATGATGCTTCACAACACTAGCAACAATGGTTAACTTCTCTTGGGATCTACAAATTAATCATTGCCTATTTGTCAGATATCACGAGGTATTTTTTATGGTGGATACATGCCAAGCAGAATCAATGCATCAGAAATTCTACTCGCCTAATATACTTGCTGTAGGAAGTAGCAAAGTTGGGCAAGATTCATTATCGGTGAGGATTGACCAATATGTCTGATAAGTTTATCTTGTCTTAATTCAAATACCTTAAAAGGCACTTTTGTTTTGTATTCACCATTCCAAGCATCACAGAGACTCTGACATTGGGGTATATGTTGTGGACAGTTATACATACTATGTTCTTCAATTCTTGGAAAGAGTTGTTCCAAGCAGTCGGGCTACCATTAATGAACTGGTATGACTTAAAACTGGTATTTATTGATAATTTCCCTTTTTCTTTTCACAATATCATTCATTTCAGTTTCAATCAACCACACCAAGTCTTGTTCGCTCCACGCCAAGTGTAAGGAGTGACTTGTTTGAAAGAGATGTACAAGAGGTAATGATAGGTAGCAGTAGCATATATTTGTACCTTAAGCATTGTTTGAAACCTCCTTTCAATCGTGTTCTATTTTTTAGGTACTTGTAACTGATTTCTTTGGAAGTGTTCACATGGTGGAATTATCCAGTTTCAGTAATCTAGTCATTAACAATGAATTAAAAGAAAAAACAGGGAGTCAAGATGAACATAGTAAAATTACAAAACGATTGAAATTACCAAAACAATTTCTTTGGCAGCCAGAAGTATGTTTGTTAGCATATGTCAAATTTTAACAAGGAAATACACAAAACTGTTATGACAAGATTTTTCTCTTTTCATTTAGGAAGTGTCAATGGAATTTACGTTAACATTTTCGTGGATTTTTTACGCGCTATTTTCCATATTTATTGGAGCTATTATATTGTCTTTGATTTCCCTTATAGTGTGACCTTCATCACATATGTAAATAATAGACAAGAAGCAATTAAACGCGCCATATTAAACTCATTAGCATAATTTGCGCAAACATTAAACTACGTGCTTATAGGTCTTTACAAGATCAATCACAAACAATATTTTATATTTTTAATACAGCAGATATTTATTCGTTAGAGTTCTTCTAGTTTTATAATGCATTCTTTTACGAAATTTAATCTAAAGTTCAACTCACTTATGATTGATATAAAAATGGTGTATGTAGTGCTGTTTGTTTGAATGGAGATTTATCTGCAAGTTCTAATCACTAAGAGTTTTAACTCATTATTTTGTATATATGTAATAAAACAATTCATTCACGTCAAATAACATTTCAAATACAACAAAATCATTCACATGTGTCATGAACGTACGTGCACAAATGACGTAACGTATAAACATTGCAATGAAACCCACTGTGAGAGACGGGATGGGCCTTGTTAATCCAATTTGTGCACACTGCATGGTTGCATCATACATTAGTTTTATTGATATTTCTAGGCTAAGGCAAAAATTCCGGCTATGCAAATGAAGAAAATGCCACTGTCCCCCTCAACAAATCCTGTCCAACATAAGGTTTTTCTCCCAATATATTCTATATTTGATCATAATGGTTCAAGTTTACAAACAAGACATCATCGGCGTCAATCCTTCGATAATTGGGGGAACCATATTCATATATTCTGCTATGCCTGGCTAATTTCTTTTCAAAATAATTTTACTTTCAAAAGAAATAGCCTGGCATAACAGAATACATGAATATGGTCCCCCCCCCAAATTATCGAACGATTGACGCCCATGCAAGACATCATTTTTCAATGGTTGTTTTGACTTGATTTCCATACACTTATAGGGTGTAAATTGTACACAGGAAAAAATAATACCTAATCTATTTCTGAAATTTTTTAACTGTTCATGATTTGCCAAAGTAATGTTCATTCCGCTACTTTGTAGGTGCTGCATTTATTTAAAAAAATCGCTTTTTCCTTGTGTATTTTCATGTCGCTACTCGTAAATCCCTCCAACAAATATTTAAATCCCAACGTAAGCAAAGCTTAAAAAAAAGGCGGGAAATTCCAGTTCATGTTACAAAGCATAAAAATCACCGAGTAGAGACAAATATACAGCATTTTAGCTTTAGTATCATTAGTTTCTTACACAAAATATCAAGCTTTTGACACAATATGTTAAAATGAAATCTGATCCTTTTGGTGTGAATACGGTGAGTTGATATAATGAGAAAAAATAACGAAAAGAAAGTGATAAACGAAATCCGGTTTCCTGTATGCTGGGAAAATGACGGCCGTTGATTGGTCAATAAGTTCACGTGATCCTCCGTCTCATTAATGAATGGAATGTTATGTTTACGTTATACTACACAATGATGATCGTGTATATTTCATCATCCACGTAGAAAGGAAGCGACATGTCAACCCTTCCCATGTATTAATAGCGTGTTGAGATAGTTCGGAGCGTACATGAGTTGAAAATTGTCGAAGAATGATGGCTAGGGCCAGTCAATTTAAAAGATTTTATTGTTTAAAATGGTTGGCCATTTTGAACCTGTGCGTAATTTTTACTACAACGAAAGCGGAGTTGTCCTTATACATCAATCGCCGATTCGCAATCGATTATATGGGATTGGATATTGAACATGACATTACTTTGATCAAAAACGGTAGGAGGAATCAAAACCTAACGTTATTCGATGAAACAACACACGCCTTGCCTTCAACGTTAAACCGCATTGAACTAACATGGATAACACACAAGCACGACGTGAAATATGACTTGCGTCTAACATCAGGAAATCAGCAGATACTAAAAGCCAAAGTTGAAAATGTACCAATGAAAGGCATAGTTTCTCGAGATTTGAAGACCTTTGAAGTTATTTTTAAATGTTCTGCCACCGGAGAGGTCAAGGTTTACTTCTCTTTGAACTATACACATTTTGTAGATACTTCGCAAGAATCTTTTAAACTATTTCATCTCGTAATGCCTAAAATTTGTCATGTAAACACCAACTCGACAAGCAGTGCAAAATCCGTCAATCGAATCACGATTTTAACTGTTAGCACTGGTTTGGCCTTGCTTATTAGTGGCCTTATTGCATCCGCGTGTGTCTACCTGTTGTTGAAGCGGTCTAGAAATGATTTTAGTCGGATTGAAGAGCCTAGGGAACACATTTCTCCTCCCATAGAAAGCTCTCCATCGTCTAGTGTTTCGATACAAACTTCATCAAAAACTCCAACTGTTGTGTACTCGCCTAAGAAGACGTCATCAGGTCAACTTTTTACTACACTTACCAAACAGGAGAGCCTGCGTAGGATAACTACACCTAAACCAGCCTGTTGCTCACCTAATGATCGCAAAGGTGAACCTGTACACCTTGTCTCATGCAATGCCCAACCATCAGGTTTAAATTGGGAGTTTAATTTTCAAATGCTTCAGAGAAAACTGCCTTGTTGCGGCAGGAACATCATGACTCATCAAAACCTATCAAAGAAGAAAGTGATAAGTTACTGGCGTTAGAAACACTGAATGAGTACTGGTCAGAGGAACTTGGCGATTCTATCAAGTCATCCGACGTTGTTGAGATTCGCAGTGAAGTTCTTGGAGAAGGCACGTTTGGTCGTGTCGTGCGTGGAAAGTTGATTGTTTCCTGTGAGCCGTCGGAAAATAATGTTGATTTAGCTGTGAAAATATGCAAGAACGAGATTGAGTTTGATCGTATGGTTTCATTTGTGAACGAGGCGATAAGAATGAAGTGTTTACGGCATAAAAATATCCTCGACTTAATAGGTGTCGTCCTTAAACCCAGTTCATCACCATTAGTTCTTACACCATACATGCAACATGGTAGCTTACATCAATTTTTGCGACATTCTCGAGGTATAGGTGTTAGACGTCAGTTGATTTCTTCTAGACAATTGATCAATTTTAGTTGCCAAATAGCCAAGGGTATGGAGTATCTTGCTAGTCAAAAAATTGTTCATCGCGATTTGACTGCACGCAATTGTTTGGTCGACAAAGACCTCAACATAAAAATTGGATCGCTTAGTCTAGCCAGAGAGGTGAATCACTTTGTTATGTTCAAAATGGAACATTGGACAGAGTTGACAGTGAAATGGATGGCATTAGAAAGCTTATTGTATTATATCTTTAATGAGAAAAGTGATGTATGGTCATTTGGTATTGTTTTATGGGAACTAGTAACACTTGGAGCTCAACCATATGCTGGTTTGGACAATAACGAAGTGCTGCCATATCTTGAAAACGGAACACGTTTACCAAGGCCCTTACGTTGCCCAGATGACCTATACACTATCATGCAATCTTGTTGGTATTCCTTACCAGAAGAACGACCTTCTTTTAGTGTTCTCGTGCATAAACTTGATGGCTACGAACTTCGTTTGCGCCCGTCATGTATTACATTTGAGTTTGATGAAGATACCATTGAAATGTGTGACGGACTGGTTTAACTACAATGATGGTTAACATAGTTGAGAAAGAGAAATATTTATGCCATGTTGAAGACTACAACCACCATAATATATATGATGTTCATACTTCCATTGATAGGCCTTTGAGACACTATATATTTATGCCATGTTGAAGACTACAACCACCATAATATATATGATGTTCATACTTCCATTGATAGGCCTTTGAGACACTATTAATTGCTTAGGATTTTGTGTAAGGATGAATTGCATATTATTATATGCACGCCTTCTTATAAATATTTGTTTGAAATAATGTGTGTATAGATTTGATGTATAAATCACTCGTGAACATCATACAGAGTATTAAAGTGAGAGCAAACTCACAATTGTGAAACTGAAAAAGATGATTTGTATATATTGTAAATATTGTATATTATTATTTTCTGGCAATGTTCATCGAAAACATCTCTTGAGTGTAAATACAATAGTTTATTTTTTACGCAAATCTAAGCAAACTAGAGTTTTTAGTTAATACCAATATTATTTTTAAAGATTGAATGTGCAACGTCTATTTTAGTCGTCTAATAGCCTAAAATTTCTGTGTTTAAATTTAAAACTGTAACCCCACCTCAAACATCTTATTTTACATAATTGGATTGAAAGACGCTTCGTCAACAACCAAACAACGGGCACAAATATTTTACGTTCGTAATCAAAATATTGTAAAAAGTGCATGAAAAAAGTACACTGTGAAGATGGTTATGGTCAACTATGAAGAATGTTGACCTGTACAGCTACTTGTATCTTTCAGATCACCTTCAAATGGTAGATAAGGATATTAGGAAAGATTCTCGTAGTTATTTCTTGTTTCTACTACATATTATATCCTGCTGAGTGATTACAATTTTGACCTTCGCTTATCCTCCAGTCACGAATTTTTTTCTCGAGCATTATCTTCGTTTACCCATGCAGTTTCCTCATTTATTTGTCAATACATGATCGATAATACGGTGGTATTAATTTTTTATTATAATCTCCAAGTACTTGAATAGATATCTTAATATTAAGTGGCTTGTCTTCTAGCTAAGATGTTTAATTTTGATAAAATAACTAAATTGAAATAAATGCCTGGCTTTTTTAATGACCGTCCGTTGTTTGTTTTTTTCCGTGCGGCAGACAGTTCGAGTTTTCATATGATTTTTTTGTTGCATGACATTGGCAATAAGGTATCCGGTTCAATATCCTTTCTTTATTTTGTAATAATTAATGAATATATCGGCTTTCATAACAGGTCACAGACAATAGCTATTGACGTCATCTTGAAAAAAGAAACAAGCAAAAAGCCGCCGATTAATCCAAAATAAAACAATCAGGACAAAAATTTTTCAAGTACTTCTTAGATACATAAACTAAGTTAGCAATGGCAAAGAAAATGATCACGATATTCTCTAGAAAACAACTTTCTATCGTCAATATGTACACAAGACCTGTCTGCCTTTTTTTGAAAGTTGCCTCCAGACATAAAACACATGCAAAGATTTACAAAACATTAAAGCACTAATTATTATAATCATGATAAAATTATAAAGACACTAAAAAAGACAGGAAAATGCTACCAGCCTATTCCACCTGTTTTTGAATTTTTAATAAGACATCTCAATGTCCCATGTAAATGTTAACTTGTGGTATTTCTTAGTTTGATGAATCGAATGTTTTATTTGCCAGGGTCACGAAATATCAAATCACAACAGCTTGTAATTTAGCACAAGGAGACGCATTGTTTCATTTTCATTTTACATCAGCAACTCAATTGCAATTACATAAATTTTCATATACACTCAAATTTAACCTCGCAAACAATACAAATCACTGCATTGCTTGCTTTCAAGAAGTAACGATGTAATACGTGAGGACTTGATGTTTTGCACTGTGAAAAATCGCCATATCTCAAGGATCAAAGAGCCGGAGTGTCTGAGAAGGGGCTATATGTGGCTATGTCAGTGAACTATATAGCTATAGGGTATAAAGTCCCCTCGATATTTTGCATATGAAGAATGTTTGTGTGTACAATGAGTTTTGAGATGTGATGAGAGTGAATCATTGAGCTCCCTCCACCTACAATTTCCCTAAATCTTTTTGTTTTGGTTTTCAGCGTTACTGCCGAAGAAAAAAGTTTACGTAACCTGTCGACGTAACAGCTTTGCTAGTGTGAAGCAAGATGCGCGCCAAGCCGCCGGGGTCTGGTAACAACGCTCAAGATGGAGGACAACGAAGTACAAAATACTTCAAGGAATATTGCGATTTTGTATGGTTCTCAAACCGGGACTGCCGAAGAGGTAGCGGAAAGGATTGGACGCGAGGCGAGAAGAAGATACCTGGTTCCTCGTGTAGAAGCAATGGATGATTATAATAAAGTATATATTTGGGATAATGAATGGCACATTGGTACATTGCTGTATTCAAAACTGCTTATGAAGTTTTGGCACAATTTTATTTAGGTTAACCTTATATACGAGCATTTAGTGGTATTTGTTTGTGCAACCACTGGAGATGGAGAAGAACCAGACAACATGAAGGTAATATCCTCAATTATCCCAAATGGTTCCTCATAAACTATTCAGTCAAACAATTGCTTTTTATAGGGATTTTGGAGATTTTTACTACGCAAGAATCTGCCTCGGGACTGCTTGCAAAATCTATCCTTTGCTGTTCTTGGACTTGGTGACTCTTCTTATCCAAAGTAATCAGGCATGCCATTGGTTGTGAACAAATCGTAATTTGAACTTTAACAAGACCTTTTTTACACCTTACAGATTTAATTTCATAGCAAAAAAATTGTTCAAACGAATGTCTCAATTGGGAGCACAGGAATTGCTTCATTTGGGATTAGGTGATGATCAACATGACCTAGGGTTTGTTGCTAGTTACATGATTAAATGTCATTCTTCACGACATAATCTTAAATTATTCAATTTTACAGTCCAGATGCTGTAATAGATCCATGGTTGAAATCATTATGGGAAAAGATTCTCGCCAAGATTCCCTTGCCTCCAGGAAAAAATATAATGGACTTCACAACTAAGTAGTGCATGCTGAAAAGGCTGATGAAAATTGACAGGCCTTGTAATTTTAGCTTGTATTTCAGACCAATTCCTCGATACAAAGTCACCATTTTAACTCAAGATATGAAAGCAAATGGATCTTTTTGTAAAGAATCCTCTTTGAATAGTAAGAATGGAAACTGATCATGTTTTCAAATCTGTTCAACAAAAAATAACAGTCCATTACATAACTTGGTTTAGAAAAGGTAAAAAACTCACAAGATGCTGAAATCTTTTTCACCAATATTGTGGAAAATAAAAGAGTTACAACAAATGATCATTTTCAAGATGTCCGGTTAATAACGTTTGATATAACCTCATCAGGTATGAGGTGAGGCACTACTATTTGAGCATGCTGTGTATTTTACTAAGGAAATAAAGAGCATCTGACCTTTTCAAATTTTTTCCCATCCAGTTACAGCCCAGGTGATGTACTAATGATCCAACCAAGAAACCTAAGAGAAGTGGCAGACGACTTTATAAATTATCTAGGTTTAAATTCTAATAACGAAATATTTCTCTCTCAAAATTATGAAGGTAACAAAAAAATTTCCTGTTTCCATTTCATAAGTTATTGCAACCTACGTTGATGCTGTTGTTGTTGATAAAGAATTCATGAAAATATTATTTTTTATGTACAAAAAACGACATTTCTTACTTTTAACGAGCTTTCCGTTGTCCGTGTGCATTCTTCGCTCTCTTTTGTACTTATTTACACACATTTCATTTGAAAATACCTTGAAGAAAGAAGAGAAAGTTGCAGACATTTTATTTGCTTAGCTTTCTTCGCTGTTCAATTAAATTTCCCGCATAAAATAGGAACATTGGGGATACGGGCGGATACGAAGGAATGCGTCATGAATAAGCTTAACTAAATCGTGTTAGACACCCAATTGTACCTCATATTCCTAAACAAATATAACATTTGCATTTTATTCGTATGAAACGAAGTTTCAAGAACTTATTTCCATTACTTTGCCTCACTAAAGTTTTTGTATCACAAGGACTTTTGCATTGGACATTTATTTTCAAATAAATACGTTTTCTACGATTTATTATTAAAAATTAAATTATGTGAAAACATTGTATTTTTTCTATCTAAAGACATTCCTCTACCGAAAGAACTTCCACAGCCTTGCAACGTAAGATATTTAGTGGAGAATTACTGGGACATACAAGGAGTACCGAAGCGATATTTCTTCGAACTGCTGTCTCATCTTACGGATTCTGAACTCGAGAAGGAAAAACTAAAAGAATTTACGACTCCAGAAGGACAGGTTTTGTATTAATGCTTTGACTTACTTGTGATTTTTATCAAAAAATATCATGAAACGATTGCTGTTTTTCTTCTTTATCCTAGGAAGAACTTTATTCGTACTGCTATCGACCTCGAAGAACAACATTAGAGGTGAATAAAACATTGGTTATTTCGATAACATTTGGATACCAAACACGTTTAAAACTGCACCAAGAGGGCCAAACTGAGAGGAGATCTTAGCTACAACTGCTGATAATTTGAAACCATTTTTATTTGAAATATATTTTTGAGTGGTACATAGATCGTTCTGTTGTTCAGGTTTTGAAAGATTTCCCACATACTATCAAGAATATAAGCTTGGAATACTTATTTGACCTAATCTCTCCATTAAAGCCGAGGGCATTTTCTATAGCTTCATCCGTCAAGGTAAAGTGCCTTTATCTAGTTCAATAGTTAACATTACCCACGAACAATCGCCACATTTTTTCATTCACATAAGGCACATCCAGATAAAGTTCAAATCTTAATGGCCGTCGTTAAATATAAAACAAAACTTCACAAACCCAGAACTGGCGTATGTTCAACATGGTTAGCATCCTTGACACAAAAGGATAAGATAAGGGACACTAAGATACCTGTATGGATAAAGAAAGCGACAATTTCGTTTCCCAAATCGTTGGAAACACCTGTAATCTTGATAGGCCCAGGTAAGTTCGATGAAAACTTGACATGCCTTCATTTGTTTAGTAGTGAGAGGTCAGTCATTTGTTTTCAAGGTACGGGCTGTGCACCATTTCGTAGTTTTATAGAGGAGAGAATTTCCAAAACAGAGAAGGGTATAAATTCATAATCATTCTTTGTTACTTTATTATTTAACCTGATAGTGAAGCCATTTTATGTTTAGGAGGGAAATGCATTTTGTTCTTTGGTTCGAGATGTAGAAACAAAGACTTCTTCTTTGAACAGGAATGGACACCACTTCACGATGCAGGTCTGATAACGTTATTCACTGCATTCTCGCGTGATCAGGTAATATTTGGCATTTTAGCTTGTTTTAAAAGCTATTTTTTGATTGGCTCACGTCCTTTATCGTCGTAGAAAGACAAAATATACGTTCAACATCGTTTAAAAGAAAACGGCGGGCTAATTTGGAACCTATTAAACAAAGAAGAAGGATACTGTTATTTAGCTGGGTAGGTTGTGGCTTTTTTACTCTAATGCAGCTCGTTTTATTTTTACTTCAACTTGTGTTTTTTTTTCTGGCAGAAATTCAAAACAAATGCCAATGGATGTTTCCGATGCATTAAAAGATATCTTTATGTGCGAAGGAAACTTATCAAAAGCAGAAGCTGAAAATTATATGAAACAATTGATTCAAACTAAAAGATACCAACGCGAGACTTGGTCTTGACACGAATACTTGAAATATACACAGTTTATGCCACAAAAGAAATATCGTTCAACGATATAAATTTATTATACTCATGAAATAAATAAACAAAATAATATATATTTACCTTATCCAGTGAGGCTTTTTCATAAGTACTCTGCAAGGTCAATTTAAACTCGCAGCAAGGAATCACATCAATAATTCCACAAAGATAATCGTCACTTTTTACATTCGACAAACATTCGTTGAATATATTCAGTATGAGGATGGTTACGATTTCTTGGAAATCCTCAGGGATCACATTGAATGTTATGTGTATAAGATGTGAGAGTAAATGACATAAAATTGGGTATTTGTTTTCCTGAAATGAACGAAACCATGGGATTTTTAAACCTGATTAAAAAACACATGTGTACATATACTATAAACGCATTTCAACGCATGGCAACGCATTTCACCCCATCCAATCACATTAATCCACCCACTAATCCAATTAGACGCTCTAAACGTCTCCAAGCTAAAAGCACGTGTAAATAAATAATATCCTCATTCTGATGAAGGCTCGAAGCAACGAGTCGAAAGCTCAATAAAAATCATTTAAAATCCGGAGAAACTTTTATCTTTTATGTACTAAATGCCCGGATTACCAATTTTCAAACTTATATACTATAAAGGATATAATCCTAAATATCTTGATCCACATCTTTCCATACCTGTGACGTAATTCGTGACAGTTCGTTCATAAATGATACATAATTCCTTAGCGTGTTGATCCACATGAATGCTTTCCATTCACCAAAATAACACGAGATATCGCGAATCATTAGAAACAATAATTCTGATGTCTTTATTACAATATTCCAGCAGGGAACATCTGGTACCTTGCATTTCATATCCGTTTTCCATTCCTCGGGTAGATTCTGCAACAAATTATATGAAATGTGAATTTTGTGTAGCACGATTGTTAAAATGATAACAAAAAAATCAAATTGTTTAACAAACCAAGCTTCCAACGATCAACATCTCTTGAACGATATTTAATACAAAACGCCAGTGTTTCAAATTCTTAAAAGGAAGAATCTACGTGGAAAGGAAAAATCATGTTACCGTAAAAGACGCAGCTAACACTGAATAGTATAGAAGTCAAGGTTTTGTACATGTACAAACCTTGGTCATCGCACGTAGAATGTCCGTGGCGCTCGTATCTTTTATAGAAATTTCTTTTATCTTTGATAACAATATATTCACTATATTGTCATGGAGACATGCTTTGAAGAATACATCCCAGAACGACTTTTCAACTGTTCAACGTTGATAAAATACCATGAAAAAGTATTTTGAATAGTCAATTAGTTCATCTGAAGCATTTTTTCATGGTCCAGAGAAGCAACTGCTTCAAAACGACTTAATTTAGTCGTTTTAGTTACTTTGCTCGCATGCTAGTAAAATTATACTAAAACAATCATTCACTGCACTTTGTCTGTATAAATAGTTATCAATAAAAATTGTGCAAGATAATCATTTTGGTTTATCTCATGTAAACATTTTACCAATTTCCGTTTCTTTCACATTGAAGTATTCGGAGATGAATGGCATCATTGTTTTAGGAGATTTGACGAAACAAATTTTGAAAACGTCCATGTGTAGTAAAGGTGACACCAACAAAGGTGTATACCAATCTGAAGAAATAAAACACAAGGGTAAATAAACCAAAAACTTTTGAGTAATGATTCTGCATTCTTTTTAATCAAGATAACAATGAAAACATAAAATCTCGTTCCAATCAAACAATATTGATGAAAGTTGATTTTTTCTAGCAGTTCTAGTTATAAAATACGACACTTACCTAGTTCGTCAATTTTTTCTTGTACATAAGACGCCAAGGGACATCGAGCTTCACCATGAAGATTCTCAGTAAGAAATGGAAGAAGATAATCATCTAAAATCTCTAGAATCTCTTTCATATCTTGCCAGTTTTCATCCAACAAGCCATCAACAAAATCTTGACTTTTTACAACGCTTTCAAAGTCATCCCAAAACCATTCGATGTATTGATAATGTTTCAGCAAGATAAACAAAACGTCAAGTAGATTTTGTATTTCCATACTATTCTTGTTTGTAGACATAATTGAACTTCCAAGACATTGCTTTAGAATACGTAGCAAGAGATTAAAGGAGATCTCCTTTCCCGTCTCAATTTCTTCATTGCATAATTCAGGGAGAACAAGAAATTTGGTTATTTCAATGGGTTTTAAGAAAGCGGATTCCTCGAATCCAAACAGCGGATTTCTATACGGCTGAAAAATATGTATGCAATTTATCAGTCAGTAATATTGGTCAGTAACCTGCATCAGTTAGCACATCAGTTAACTAAAGATCTAAAATAAACCAGCTGTTGATTTACGCTTGTTTGTTTTAAAAAGCAAAGCAGCCACGTTTCAAAAAATTAAAATGTAAAAAAACCCCCATTCGCCTCTTCGAGAAGGAGTGCAAGTCTTCAATATTTAGCTATACTGACTATTTTTCATTATAAAAATCACTTCTATCCCCACAGACCTGCATCAATGCTTCTAAAACTTTCACAAACTGTACACATCGTTTTGACTGGCTGAACCAAAAAACACCATAAGATCTGATACAACATGAAACAGCAGTTTTCCACCGTCATTACAGCGAATCTCGACAAGCCAAGGTATGTTCTGAAGTAACTTTTGTTGTGAAAAAAAAGAAATAGTTATTTTTGAATCAATTGATGTGATTCATAAATTATTCTCGACTAATCGTCGGATAAAATGAAATAGGATTAAAAAATCTATGAAATGGCACTTTCAAAAGAAATGCACGGAATCATATAGTTTTTGTTAAAAGCACGATAATCTCAAAAAACTACGATAACAACGATCTATGTTAAAGACAAACTTCATGTTTTACCTTGCTTAAAACTTTTTCATATCCATTTTGTCTGCAAGCTTGCTTTAAAAGTTGTAGTAGAGTAAGATAAGGTGACATTAAACATCCTTGGATGATACCATCAATGACATTTTTACTGATGATTGTCGATGAATCATCGACGAGTTTATTTAAGATTGACGTTAAATGAACCACGACAAATCTCTCGTCGGATTTTTTCTCGTGATTCACAAAAAAGGAATTTTTGTAGCAGTCAAAATGATGACTTGTTAAAAGGACGTTGTACAGAAGAATTTCTTTCTGTTCGGGAAGAGTGAAAATGGGAATCAGATCCAAAACGACCTGAGAATAGAAATCATCGAAGATCAGTCAATATCAAAACACTCACTAAAACAATATAAAATTTTCGTTATAATAAGTATTAAACAAAGACTTCATGTAACACAGTATAAACATCATGACACAAATTGACGATAGAAATTAGCTAATGACATCACACACGTACCAACCTCTTTCAAGGCATTATAAGCAGACTCATGGGAACCTTGTGCTAAGTCATATTCTTGAAACAAAGCTAAGATGTCCAAAAGCATTTTTACTCTCTTAATTGTTACATAAGCCTTTGAATAAGTTTGAACAATGTGCAACCATCTCTTGTCAGTGTAAAGTTCTTCTTTCATCAACAACCAATCAAAACACACTTCATGACCACAGTCAATGTTTTTAATACACTTCAAGGCATTTTGGAAATTTTCTTCCAGAGTACCAAATATGATTTCTGAAACCAAATGGAATTAGTTATGAATAAAAATAAAACATGATGAAAAGTACTAATTGATAAATTATACCTTCTTTATTTTCACTTTGCTTGACAAGTTCATCTTTTAACAAAGTTGATGCTTCAGTTGTTGCATGTTTTTGGATATATGGTTCGAGAACTTTGGTGAGCTTTTGAAAATCAATCAAGGAAACATTGAATCTTGTCTTCTCTGAACAAATTATGACAATTTTACAGGTAACGTACAACTCAACAATGATGTTGTGAATATTCTGATCATGTATGTCCACAATAGTTTTCTCATTTAGTCTGTTTAACTCCCATTTAAAGGATGACTTTAATTTCAATGACATAAAATCATACACACATTTCACAAGACCAGAAATAGCATGCCAAAGTTCTTGATTTTGAGTACAATTGTCTTGAAAAAATGTTTCACAAAAATCTTGCGTTGAATCTCCAAATTTTAAATTTCCAGTAGATTTTGTAATAAGTTTCTCTTTTACTAGAAGATTTTCTATATTTCCTGTGAAATGAGACTTGATTTCATCAAATTCCAAAACATTCATTTTCTTTATGAATATATTGCCAAATTCTTTGCGCATGTTGTTGAAAGCCTTGACAAGGTTAAGCAAATGATCAGAAATTTGTTTCAAGAGCAGATGCAAATGTTCTTGTTGGTTGATGCCCATTAACAATTGTGTTAAAATATCACACAATTTACAATTTGACATTTTCAATGAATCATCATCAATATTTCCGAGAAAAAAGAGACAAAAATTGATAAGCTTTTGCAACAAACATTTTTTACCATTTTCTTCAAGTTCCGAGAAACAGCAAGAAAGTTCGCTCACCAACATCTCACGAGATTTTCCACTTATGTAGGAGAGACACTAAAAAATGTAAAATTAGGAAACTATACAAAATTTGATATAAAATACGATGATCAAACTGCTAATATCTGTTCAGCAATTCAATAAGATTCATTCTTAAAATTTTTAATTATTCTATGAAATCTTAAATGTTAGTCAAATACAACTAGAATATTTTAAATGTTAGTATTTCAGTATGTGAAAACTACTAATCATAGAAATAATAAGAAACTTTATCCCCTTCTCATACATGTTAATTCACCACCCTCCCCCCAGTCTCTTACTTCAACCTAAACACCACCATTTTCCACTTTCACAAAATATTTTGTCCATTAAATGTAGTACTATAACCTGAAGTTTTGTTTGAATACTCATTTTTAAAAATTCACAGCTCTTTAAATATTTAGATCTACCTGTATGGTATATTTCTCAAGTCCACAGGCGGTTATCATGTCAATATAAAAAAGAGTACCAATGGCTTGGAAATCAGTCCTTGTCTTAAAAGTACAGTTCAGTTTTGAATTCATCCACGACAAGAAGAACCATCCATGAATTCTCATCAAAACATAATCCTTTTCTTCCATAAAATTCCCATTGTCAGTAATATCTTTTGTAATCTCTTCAAAAACTGGAACAATGTACTCTCTGACTAAGAAACGACTCTCACTTCTATCAAGGTTTTCCAACGTGTTTTCTCGACTTTTTGCAATTGCCTTTGATAAATGAAACTTTATAAAAGTCATTTCAGGTATGGAGAACATTGAATTGTCGAAGAAATTCATTTTCTTGCGAAAAAATAATGAAAATATTAGAAACCAATTGATCAGAACAGCCAGAGGTGGATATCGGACACTCAAAGTTCGGACCACTTCGGTCCAACGATCGTTAAAACTAGGTACGCTCGGCGCACAACAATTTAAGTATAGATAAATGTTCTCACAATCTCCAAGAACCAACTAAAATTAATGCGCGCTAAGCGTGTATTTGAAACAAGTAAAAAATCTTTCGAATTTGGAAACAAGCACTACCTAACCCTCCTCTACCTTTACTCACAACAAGTCAATGTAATAGGAACAATCGCCTCCTAATGTAGCCTGATTTCACATATCTTTGCACTTTACCTCTCCAACTAGTTTAAAAAAATAATTAATTATAGTCAGGCTTTGTCGAAAATGTTCAATGTGTGACATCAACAGCTAAATTGCCTCAACAAAATTTATTCCAAACGAAGATATTTCAATGGAATCATAATGATTTAACCATAACAACATAATTACATCATCGTGTCATAAATTTAGTAAGAAATTCAAATCACATCTTCAGAGTTTAGTTCATGCACGCCAAATTTCAAACGCAAGACGCATATGGTGATAGAAGTTAAATAAAATGATGATGACGATCAATTGAAATCACACATCTTCTTTCGTCACCAATATGGCTAGCTTTATGGTGCCATATTTTAGAAGTCTTCAATTTACTGTGCATCTTCAAGAAGTTTTTAAATTATTCAACATCTTCCTCACATTTTCTAATTCTGTATTTAATTGAGCAACCTTGACGGATGAAACAAAGCAAATAAACCCAGTTACAAAATGTATGAAAAAATATGGCAGATTTTAACATGTTCCAACTCTGTAGTGTCAATTTCATATTTAAAAAAAAACTTAGAGTACTTCCGATACTAACCTTTTCCGAATTCTGTTTTTGAACATTTTCTGGTACCTAGTTGTAAAATGAATTGAGTATTTTGATTAAACTAAAACAAAATGTACTTCGATAAATTAAAACAAGGAACCTTGGTTTTGTAATCGTCGATTTTTATTGAATTAAGAAGTTTTTCAAGCTGATTGTTAAGACTCTCTTCTTTTTTTTCTAACTTTCCAATTTCTTTTTTAAGATCCACCAAACCCTTAAATAACAAATGATACAATGAATTATAAATTCTGAAAAGACATGAAGTCCACATAGTGATGGGTACATATTAAAAGTACCTTCAACATGACATAAATTTCGCATTTATCTAAATACATGCCAAATGCGCAACCAGTGGGAACGTCACCATTCGCTAAGAAATGAATCCTAACAAACATTCAAAGAAATTTTCCAAAAAAGTTTCCAAGAAGATATGGTGTCATCTTTTACTTACTCGTTCGATGAGCTAAGGGTGGAGATGAAGTTAGTGAGGGGCTGCACAAGTTCACAGTCCGTTGTCTTAGTAAATTTCAAGTACACTAAAACACAAATAATAATGTTGTCTGCCCACGGTTTCTTAAAAACAGGCTAAACATAAGGAGTCAAACTGACCATCTGCCTTCGTCTTGTTGAGCATGTATTCCTGACGTATTGATCGAATAATTCGAACAATTCCCATGGCAGCATCAACTTTTTCTTCCAAAGTCTGATCTCGCCAGGGAAGCTGAAGTTGTAAACATATACATATGAGAAGACCAAACACATCAAATGTATTCTTTATTCAGAACATATGTTAAAAACTTTCACGCAAGCAACAGCAGTAATTGTTCAGTAACAAGTTCATGTTCCAATATTTTTAATTCAAGCGTTTAGAACTTTGTAAAATACCTCATTAGGGTAAGAAGTCACACAAATACTTGGAGGTGAATCCGCTGATCGCCGTGGTAATCTCTGATAAAGTTCCTCGGTAATGAAAGGCATGTAAGGACTGAGAAGGAGTAATCCCTGCTCTAAACATGTATACAAAACATTCCTTGCTGTTTTTATCTCCTCTTGATTGCTGCCCTGCATCACGGGCTTCAGGTATTCCTAAGATATAAGTATATCGTGTAAGATCTACGTAGTGCCTGCATAAAACCAAGGTAAGACCTACGCATGACCTGCGTAAGACCTACGCAAGGCCTATGCAAAACCAAGGTAAGTCCTACGTAAGTTAGAATTGCGGAAGATCTATGTAAAGCATATTTCAAAATATGTAAAGCCCATGTCAGAGAAGCCTGTGTAAAGGAAGCAAAGAATGCTCCTCCGTTCCTCTTTTGTTTCAAAAATTGTTTCAAAAATACGTACGAGATAAATGTCACAAAGCTCATAAAGCCAGAAGTTATAAATAGCAGTTGTGCTGGATGGAAAGTCGTATTGCTTGAAAGCACTATTCGAAGCAGCTTCAGCAGAGGACAATCGACTTAGGATCCATAAATCAAGAAGACTTTCATTGCCACGAAGCTTCAAAAAAAGAAGTAAAATCACAGGTTTCATCAAAATAGTATTTACCGGAGTTTGAAATGAATTAAAATACCTTCAACTCTTTATCGGGAATAAAATCCGGGCCAATTGCATTCAGGGCAAACTTTGTCGCGTTCCAGAGTTTATTTCCGAAATGTCGATATCCTTGTACTCGTAAAACGTCTAAATTGATGTCCCGACCTGCATATTTGATATAGTAACATAAGGAAACCATTACATTTATACATATAGAATACAGCCATACCTTGGGCAGTGTATGCACATTACATTTATACATACAGAATACAACCATACCTTGGGCAATGCGTACGCATTACATTTATACATACAGAATACAACTATACCTTGGGCAGTGTATACACATTACATTCATTTACACAGAATACAACTGCATACGCATTACATTCATTATAAAAACACAACTATACCTTGGGCAGTGTACGCACAAAGAGCAAATCTTAATGCATCAGTTCCACATTCAGGAATTCCGTTGGGATAATCTTGTTTTTGTCCTTCTTTAGCTTTGTTGATTTCTTTCTCGTCAAGATTGCCACTTTCTAATGTTTTATGTAAGTTCTGTAAAGCAAAGCAAAGGACGACTTCGTTTGTATTCTGACAGTTTCTCAAGATCTACTGCAACGTTTCCAACTGTTTAATAAAAAGGATAGTTCTGAGTATGGGCAGTTCAGTTGAGCAATTTGAAATTTGTCTTTTGCCAAAAATAAACTACAATATCCTACGATACCGCACAGTTTCAAACTTTCCGTTCTTTTCACTTAAAATTCAAGGCAATCTTAAACATGTTTCATACATTTTTTAATGGTTTACATTTTCACGATATTTAAGTCTCTCATTTTGTGTTTGAAGCATTATGAACGAAAGCAATCGCAGACTTCGTGGCGAACAAAGATTATCGTTTCTCTCATTTAATGTTGACTATTAATAATTCAAACGTTTTAGTCTATTGTCTAAACTGAACCCAGCATTCATCCCTTATGTTAAGAAAGTTTAAAAGCCGACCGTACTGCGCAAACTCGGTAATTCATGATTCAAGCGTCACAACTATCGTGAAGTAAATTATCATTTCTCCTGCATTACAATTATGTTGAATCTAGAGTAAAAAACGATTCTGCAGCTGCGATTCTTTTATTTTCATTTGACAACAACGAATTTTTATCAGTCATCACAACAGTGCAGATTTATTGGAAACTACGGTAATAAAAAAAACGTGAAAAATTTACCTCCAATGAAATTCCCTGAATAATGTCAACAGGATCGACAACATTTCCAAGTGACTTACTCATTTTACGACCGTGTGCATCGCGTACCATTGCATGTAAAAACACCTGAAACAAATAACAATCAAAGGATTCCAACGACATACACTGAACATTTCGGGATATCAAGGTTAACATGAGGACATCAGTTTACGAGAAGAGATAATGGGCAAACCTGAAACAACTACAGTATGAAAGGGTTCAACGGTATAGGCTGGATATTTTGGTAAACATGGGGACATCACGGTTAGCATAAAGACATATTAGGGTACAAGTAGGTAGAATTGGTAAACGTATAGATATTTAAACAACCTCAGTAAACGGTAGCTTTCCAGTTAGCTTTCGACCCATCATGACCATACGAGCTACCCAGAAAAAGAGGATGTCGTGTCCAGTCTCCAGTAAGGACGTCGGGTAAAATGCTTTCATATCACTGGTCTACAACATAGACAAACGGAATTATTTAATTATGTGTCTATCGTGAATAAAGGAACTCGCAAAGTTTTACATCATCAGGCCAACCGAACACAGAAAACGGAAAGAGAGCTGAAGAAAACCACGTGTCCAATACGTCATCATCTAAAGGAGAAATTCATTAAAATGTTATATGGTAAACACGTACATTGAAAGTGTTTTATTTTAATAAATGAAAGGTCTGTCACCTTGTCGAAGTGATATTTTATCTTCAGAAACGTCAAAGCGTTTTGCAGCTTTTTTCTTGGCAATATCTTCGTTTGCACCACTGCAAGAAACAAGCAACAAATACATACGTAAATATGACAGTGAAAATAATAAATCACCAAACATAACATAAATAGAACTACCTGACCCAATATTTATCACTCAAATCCTACAAGATACATAAATATTCCTTAAAACATTACAGTAAAAAAGTGATTAAATTACTCCAAGAACTCTACATCACTCACAGAGTCCAGTGGAACATGCGCGCCTTCAATAATAACATAATAAGCAGGAATTCTGTGTCCCCACCACAATTGACGAGATATACACCAATCTCTAAAACATTATTTACTGTATAAGAGTCTTTCAGACGAGATATACACCCATCTCTAAACAGTATTTACTGCATCATATCTTTCAAAATATAAAATAATTTTTATTTACCTACAATTTTCCATCCATTTGAACCAAGTTTTTTCGTGCATTGATGGGATTATTTTAAGTTCACCATCACGCACGACCTAACGATATAATCAAAAGAAAACCGCACAGTGAGCTATTAAGACCTTCACATAAGTTTTATCGCGTGAAAACAACAAAGGATTTGATGTACGTACAAACCTTTACAGCATCTGCTGCCATATCTTGACAATTCACGTACCATTGCGGTTTTATCAATGGTTCAACGATATCTTTAGAACGACTGAGGAACAATATTAAACACGTGATGTTATCACGTGATGTTACAAAGTTAAGTAATTGCAAGAGACGCTCACCTACATACGGGAATTACCATTGGATTTTCGTCCGTTCTGATGTACAATCCTTTAGCTTTTAAATCTTCTATGATAACCTTCCTCGCAATGAAACGTTTCACACCCTACACGATAAAATCTTCCAGTCAAATTTTTTTAGCTAATTCATAAAACTGTATCAATTTGCTTACAATGTATCGTTTGCAATCATCATTAAAATCTCCCACATCACACACATTTCCATCATCATCCATCATCGATATAAATTTCAGATTATGACGAAGACCAACTTCGTAGTCATTATGATCATGCGCAGGAGTGATCTTGACAGCACCTTAAAAAAATTGCTATATTTTGTCAGCATCCATGATACAATGGAGTAGATAGAAAAATACTAAAATAATATAGTCCTGCATATGAATATTTGTACCTATATGTACCTACCTGTTCCATATTCAGGATCAACAGCACTATCACAGATAATTTGAAGTTTTCGATTACAAAATGGGTGTTTGGCAAACTTTCCATGAAGATGCTTAAAAATTAAATACTTAAAGTCAATTTTTAAGTCATTATCGCTTACCTTTGTATATTTTGCCATACTTACAAGAGTGGTACTGACCTTATATTTAGGATCATCTGGATGGACTGCAATACCAGTATCACCAAGCATTGTCTCCACTCTGGTGGTTGCTACAACAACCTTATCATCACAATCATCTAAAGGATAAGCAAAAAGAACCAGAACTCCAAACTCAACTTTGTCTTTATATCCTGGTACAGGAAGCAAAGTTCGACCAGAGATTTCTTTCTTGTCAACCTTTGAAGAAGTGGAGCATATTGTTAGGTAAAAATACATGAAAACCAGAAAATTTAATGACTTTAATAAATATTTGACAAACCTCGATATCTGATATAGCAGAGTTTAATGTACAAGACCAGTTCACTAATCGCTTGCTACGGTATATAAGACCTTCCTCATGCAATCTAACAAATGCTTCAACAACAGCTCGAGATAATTTCTCGTTCATTGTAAAGCTTTCTCTGTCCCAGTCAGTTGAAACACCCATACGCTTTAATTGATCATAAATTCTGTGACCTTTTCTAGAGAACACATTGTCCAGGTCATACATGAATCATATACAATTTAAGTAACACAGTTAAACATACTCATTTTTCCACTTCCAAATCTCATTCACAAAATTTTCTCTTCCCAAATCATGTCTGGTAAGATTTTTCTCTTTTCAGTTTCTTCTCAACAACCACTTGAGTTGCAATACCAGCATGATCACAGCCAGGTACCCAGAGTGCAGTCTGTCCTCGTTGTCGGTGCCTAAAAGAAGATGCACTCAATATTACTCAAAACTTAAAATAAAGACCTACAGAAGTTTTCTCTCAAACCATCGTGTTAGACAGTCTTCCACAGCATTAGTTAAAGCATGACCAACATGCAATGATCCTGTAACATTTGGAGGAGGAATTACAATTGTAAAATTTCCATTGGGATTTTCGTTATTCATATCCATCTAAAGAAAACATCAAGTCTGTAGAAAATATGTAAGATGACATAAATGACATTCATTATCGATAAATTGTAACTTACATTGTATTCTGGTTTGAAAAATCCCTACAAAAATTGAATTAATGTAAAATGCGTAATTTTCACCAGCAAAGTAACAAAGATCAACTGAAGAACATACTTGTTTTTCCCACCAAGGATACCAAGCTGCTTCAACATATCGTGGGCAATAGCTATCAGGCATATCGCCTGAAACATCTGATCAATAAATATAAATTTATACTTCAACATGGTAAGAGTTAGGTATTTTAATGACTGATCATTCACAGCAATATTGTATTGTGAAAGACTAAACATAGATGCCAAAGAATGTTGTGGCAAATTACTACATCGCCTTCATAAAGTAAAGTAAAAATAATGACCATTTTAAGCCATCAGGAACGTGACTATACATTGTTAAAAGCCCAGTAACTCCAGTTTAAAAAGTATTTCATTATAACTCGGAATTAATATTCTCTACTTCATATTCTGCTAAATAATTAAACAATGCCATTAGGATTTTGTTTTGGAGGGTCAAAACACTCCCATTGTTTGACATGACTGACATTTTTAAGTAAAATAGATAAAAACTTAAGTATGGGAAATGTTAGGGGGGGGGAATTTCCCCCTTTGCCACACCCTACCAGTGCCTCTGTTCATAAGTTAAAAGAAAGTACCTTTCTTATCTCCTGGAGGAGTATTTTTTTCATAAATATAAGACTTCTTCATCTTATCCTTCTTCTTCTGCTGTAAAATCAATACAGCGATATAAAGAAACATAATTTTCTTCGACGTTAATGTCACAAAGAGCTTGTATTTAACCTTATCGATCTAAAATCATTTTTATTGCTAATACCTCGCCTTGCATCTTCTTTTGGGCTTCTTGGGCTCTTTTCTTTTCTTCATATTTTTTCAGTTTCTCTTCCCTCTTCTTTTCCTTCTTTATCTGACTGGCAGTTTTGACGACCTCACTTTGACCTTCAGTCTTCATGTTGTCATTATTTTGCGTGTTATTTTCCATACGGGAACAAATGATACCTCTTGAAATAATCCTAAAATGCTCTACTTTCCTACCAGCAACAACTTGAAAGACTTTCTGACACTTCTTGAGGGAAAAATCAACAAAATTGCACCAAAAATGACACGATTGCATGAGAATATGTTTCATGGAGTTGACCGCTGTTTGATATCGCGGGCGAATTTTTACCAAGTGCTAAGCAGGCGAATTACCATACGACCACCATGCACTTTTTTAATCACGCCACCAGCTCAAAACACAAATGTAAACCAATGTGAATTCATAGAAGAAGAAATGCCTCTTGAAAGGGCGAGATTGATAGGACCCGTGCACAAAATGTGAGATAACTTTTGATTAAGTTTAGGGAATTTTGCCAACTCAGTAATACCTCGTTTCATGACCCAATACGAAATAAAACCAATTGTTTCTTATACATTATCATACCGCATAGTTGGTAGAGAGTTGGTAGAGACAGTAGTTAGAGATAGTTGGTAGGTAGAGACAGTGGGTAGAGATAGTTGGTGGAGATAGTTGGCGGAGAAAGTTGGTGAAGACAGTAGGTAGGGACAGTAGATACAGAGAGTTGGTAGAATTGGTAGAGATAAGAGGTGGCGACAGTTTGTGGAGACAATTGACAGAGACAGTTTGTAGCAACAGTTAGGAGAGAGAACTGGTAGAGACAGTTAGTAGAGATAGTTTGTAGAGACAGTTGGGAGAGGACTGGTAGAGACAGTTAGTAGAGACAGTTTGTAGAGACAGTTTGTAGAGAGGACTGGTAGAGACAGTTAGTAGAGATAGTTTGTAGAGATAGTAGGAAGAGAGGACTGGAAGTATAATACACAAAAAATTCTTTAATTACAAAACAACTAAAAACAACTTTCAAATGAAAATGAAAATAAACACCATGAAAACTTCCATTTCCACGATGTAATTTATCTATCCGTTTTGATATCAACCAACCTACCGTCACAATGGTTTCTAATGTCTTTTTTACAAATATTTCTGTTTAAAATAGTTCACGAGAATCAACGATTAATTACAATGAGTATTTCACCATATTGCTATGGTAACTCACCAGTCTTAAGTACATAGTAACAAAAACTCTATAAATCTTTTCTTACGTTTTTAGGTAGAATGATTGCAAATGCAATTACTTTATATACAATCGAAGGAACGTGTTCTTTTACGTCATGCATAAAGAATAATTGCGAATGCAATTACTTAAATTATAACTCGAGTGATGACATCGAAGTTTTCAAGAAATATTCGCTTCATTACTATTTGTCATGATGAAGCATCACCTTCATTTTTTTATACTTATTTTTCACGTGTCTGACTTCCAAATTTTGATGGTTTTATCGTCTTCTAAAGCTCCAGATGCAATGATGTTGTCCGTAGGATGACACGCACAACATAGAACGACATCTAAATAAAAATTATAAACTTAAGTAGCTACAAAAAAAAGTACCTACACAAAACATTAACATAACAAAAACGTTGTTTATATGAACCTGTATGACCAGCAAGTGTTTGTACAACTTCTTTCGACTGTAAATTCCAAATGTACACCAAGTTATCTTCGGACCCAGACACAATCCACTATAAAGAAAAAAATTTGAATTTTACCGTTGTTGAAGTCACGCAGAATTTGTAAATTTCATGTATATAAACCTTTCCTCCAGTCACGGAGAAGTTTGCGAATACGCAATATTTGTCATTCTTGTGCCCAGTATAAGTCTTTAAGCACTACATTTTAAAACAAAAGTCAGGCATACAAAGTGAACGTCGAATAATTTTCTTGGGAAATCTCGAAGATAAAGTAGTAAAAATATATTGCTTACCTTTCCTTTGCTGTAATCCCACAGTTTCAGTGTGCTAAATGTGGTGAATGAAAATATCAATTATAGAGATTGCATTTCATCGCGCGGGCAAATCTAGCTATGCAAGCAAACTTAATAGCTATCTTGATGCTTGTATCTTTGCACGTTGTCCTGTCTACAATCGTTCAAACCCCATTTTAAATCTTGTCATTGTGTCAAATTCTTATGCAATGAATATATTTCAAATATTCGCTCTGTGGTATGACATTTTTGGTAAGGAATTATAAACATTTCTTACTTGTCTAACGTGGCAGCCAAAATATATTTTCCATTAGGTGAAAATTTCACAAATGAAACAGGAGGATTATTGTCATCTGGTGTGTTAATGAAGTAATTCATAAAAGGAGAGATTATCAGAAAACGAATGATTTTGGACGAAAGACAGATCAGTCTGGTTACCTATTAATGTCTTTAAACATTGACCAGAAGCTGTATCCCAAATACGACTATAATCATTAACATTTCAATAATGATCCTCAATGAAATCAAATCAATTAACACATTTTAGCTTACCATAAACCGTCATAACTACTTGATACTATTAAAGCTCCATCACGGTTAAAGTGAACCTGAAAACAAGAGATGACAGTTAAATTATGTTGCAATTTCTAATAAATATTACATTTGAACCTACGTACAGCAGTAACAGGGTCTGAATGAGCTGGTAAAGTCTTCAAACATTTGCCAGTTTTAACATCCCAGATACGAACACTTTCATCAAACTAAATAAAAACACCATGTAAGGTAAGAATTCTCAAATCGTTATCCTCAAAAAGTCACAACTGATCAAAGTAAACTACATAAACAAACTTGATATATCAACAAATAAAACACTGCAAAAATAATAACTACATTTGTCATTGTCACAGAACTGTACATATAAACTTTGTCTTGGTTGACAGGTGTCTCACAACTAACTTGTTTCCCTAACTCTCAACTAGGATTTCGTTTTATCTGACATCATTTAACAGTATACCATGCATGCTATCAACTAAGGATGAATGATGTCCTTATCAATTTCCAACAAATAATTAATAATACAACAGCAGAAAACAATACGTTTGTTGAAATTTTGTGGACTCACCGAACCAGAAACAATTAGATTTGACTGTGGATTAAAGTTACAGCAAAATACATAGTTACTGTGTCCTTTCAATGTCTTCAAACATCGAGCCTTAAATATTATATCATCAAGATAAATATGATGTTTTAATAATGTTCATTAATATAAATCAACAAAAACATACAGAGGAAAATTCCCAGATTTTCAATGTTTTATCATCGGATGCTGAAACCAAAAGCTTAGAATCAGATGACCAAGCCACATCTGATATTCCCTGAAAAACAACATTACATAAAATATAACTTTCAAAAATGGCAAGGAGCGATGATAGATAGCAATGATAGGCGATGATATCATATGATAGACAATGACAATCAATGATAGATGATGATAGGCAAGTATATGCAACAAAAAGAAGGCATAAAACAAACCAATTTATGTCCTGATATTGTTTTTTCAAACTTTCCATCATGAGCTCCCCAGATTTTAATCATTTTGTCAGCAGCTACAGAGTGAATCAATGCCAATGAGCCACTGTGATGATCAAAGTCCCAATCAATAAATTGATACTTACATGAAGTAGCCAACCATTCACCACATGGACTGAACTTCACTGATGAGATTGCTTTTGTATGACCAGCCAACGTGTACTTGATTATATAATTAGGTTTCTAAACACAGTAATAAATTAAAATAATTTAATTACTATAATACATTCTTTCAATCATTTTCTAAATCTTGCAATATGACTGGCTCCCTTGATTGGTGACTTCTTGCAACATAACACAAATAGACACATTGTGTATTGATAGATCGTGCATTGAAATACTTGCCCCATTATGAAATTGCAGTTTTGACAACATTTATCTTGTACAATGATTTTCAAACAATTTGACTATTTGCTCTCAATTTCTTCCTTCCATCAATGAACGCAAAGAAATTCAGAGCAAACAATCTGATCTCTAAGTAAAAATGAGTAAATCAAAGTTTTTGTATTAAAATGTCTTCAAGCACTAACAAAGACAATAAAGCTAACTGTTTTCACATTAACACGTGTTTCAATAAAAATTTTTTACATTACATTGTTTGTTGTATTGACAAAAATTTGGCAGTACCTTTGAATCTGTGGTAGTTTTATTCGTCGTTTCAGTTGTATTACCACCATTACGGTTGCTCTGACTTACTGGTGTAGTGCTCGTAGGAACTGAATTTTGTACAGTTGTCGTCGAACTTGGCATAGGGTTCTTTTCATCGTTAACACTTTTAGGTGGGCTTTCTGAGCTATCGTTTGTGGCCATTTCACTGCTTAATATAGTGATCTTTTATATTTGAAGAAAAAAGAAGATTAAATTTTGCAGATATGTATTTCAAAACTACATTCTGAAAGTAATAGAGAGCTGTATACAAACAAATTTTATAGTATTTGTATTACACAGTCTCCCGGTGCAATATGGGATAACACCTCTGAACTTACGTTCATTGATAATGCTGGCGCAGTCTAGTGTACCCAGTGAACTGTGATATAAACAGTTCACTGAGTCTACCAAAGAAATCCATTACTGGGTAAAAGAATAGATGAAAGTCTAGAATTCGCTCCTCCATGCATCTTTATAGATCTAGCAAATACTCCAGTAGATTGTTACTAAAAGCTTCTAATCTAACACCACAAGCCCCAAGCAGCGAAAATTCAGTCGGGGTATGGAGGGATCAGGAGTGACTAACCTTGTGCTGTTTTGTATTCTTGAACGGCATTTTAACCCATCCAACCCCCAAGATAAAAAGTGCAAGTTTTATCCCTTGAAATAAAAATTGTGAATAAGAATATAAGAATCCACTGAATCTTACCAGGCAGGGATTAGAAAGTTACATAACGATGTATGATAGTTACATGACAATTTGTGTTTATTTTGAATACATAGGAACAAGAAGGAACATTGCAAATCTCCCGCTGAAGTTGCATCTTGTAATCTTATTGGATGATTTGCACCAATGGCAGGCTGAATTAACCAAGTGTCAATCATTCCTTTCTTGTTGCATTTCTGGAGAAGACCCCAACTTCTTCATTTATTACAGTTCTTCAAGAAGACATAACGTACGAAAAATTTTGACGAAAATTTCGAAGCTAAATCACAGAAAGAAGAAGAATTGGTGAAATTATCTTAAAGTGGCTTAAAGGTAACAACTACCTTGTGGTAAATAGGATTTTTTTGCTATATTTTGTGGTATTTTTAAGGTAAAAAGCGCCCAAACGTTCGACATGTTTGTGTCTTTCGCCAGAACTTTCAGAACGATGAATCTTATTTTGCCGTAATATTTACCATTCCAATTTTTTTTAGTAAACTTGTTTGCAGTGTTGCTTTGTTTTGTCCTTCCTTGAATGCTTTGGAAAGTTTGGAAGTAGGATGTACTTGATATATTTCGTTTTTTAGCAACAAGTTGTGACCACTTCCATACGGTTTGCGCGACAAGCTAACTCGAGCGGTTGTCCCATTTCAACGCAAAAAAACCCAACAAACTCGACGGGAAACGAAGAGTGTCGACTGACTATAATTAAAGGTAGGATGTGAATGAATTTTTTTCCATTTATTTGAAGTTAAAAGCGAGTTTTTCTACTGAAAATACGAAAGTTTCTTGTGCGATATATATCATGTTGTTGAGGAAGAACAAATTTTGGCGCCAATTTCTCAGAGCGAACAATTATATAGAGACTGGGCACAAGTTTCGCCTAATTTAAAATTCAAATGAAGACAATTCGACAAAAATGACCGGAGATTCGAAATCTTGATGAAAGAAAGTATGTTTGCGCTTTCATATTTTTGTTCAGTGATCTCAAACCGAGTTAAAACAATAAATTTATATGGTGTATAGAAGTTTTCGCTACCATAAGATAAAATGGCCGATCAACTTTTCGTTATTTGAAGTTATGGAGGCCAACAGTACAGTATTGAACTTGCAGTTTTGTGATTATCTTCGTTATTTTTGATGAATATTTAATTGATTTAATTTCATAGGAAGAAAGGGACAATCAAGATTATTGACCGATTTACTTGTGCACATATTTTTTCTAACACAAAAATTTTCGACGTTTTTCAGTTCAAACTCCTCCCATACAAGCTAACACTTAGTAAGCCTTTCTTTCAGAATAAGGTACAATGAATGAATTCTTTATTACATAAAAATATTAACTGAAAGGAAATTTTGTTTTATCTATTTATATATATGTTTTTGAGAGCTATATAGGCTTGACAAATATATAAAATGTCTAGCCTAAACAAACTGCATGGAGTCGGCTACAAAACGCCTTAGACAAATTTTTTTTTCGATGTTTTTCAGTTTAATTTCCTTACCTGAGCTAAAACTTTATAAGTCTTCTTCTCAGAATAAGATATTATAATTAAATGGTTAATTAATAATATGTTAAATTAATTATTTGGGAAAAGCTGAATTAAATGAAAGGAAAAGACAAAAGATGACAGCAAATGTCGTAAATGCAAGACAAAAAATGATGACAGAAAATTTAAAGAAAATTCCACGCACATGAAAACACAAGGACGAATTTGCAACTGGTAAATGAATTAAATGAAAGGAAAAGACAAAAGATGACAGCAAATGTCGTGAGTGCAAGACAAAAAATGCTGGGGTAATGTCCTCATTGGTTCAGTTGCTCTCTAGCAACTTTTTCCTCCTCTTTTTGCGTACGGTTGCATCATGACATCGCGCAGGCGCAGCATCTGCTTTATTCGGTTGCATCATCACATCGCGCAGGCGCAGCATCTGCCTTTTTTCGGTTGCATCATCACATCGCGCAGGCGCAGCATCTGCTTTTATTCGGTTGCATCATCACATCGCGCAGGCGCAGCATCTGCTTTATTCGGTTGCATCATCACATCGCGCAGGCGCAGCATCTGCTTTTATTCGGTTGCAGCATCACATCGCGCAGGCGCAGCATCTGCCTTTTTTCGGTTGCAGCATCACATCGCGCAGGCGCAGCATCTGCCTTTTTTCGGTTGCATCATCACATCGCGCAGGCGCAGCATCTTCCTTCTTTCGGTTGCATTGTGCAAACGCAGAGTCTTTCCTTATTCTGTTGCTTTTTTGGTATTTGTGAGAAAGAACTCAGGTAGAAGAAAAATTATTTAAACATGAAAATGGACATTGGAAGTAAGATCTACCTTTCACAGAAGACTCGCTAAAGAGAAGAATGATGCAAAATGGGGTAAAATAGTTACATAACACTTTCATCCTAAAAGTGAGACGTCAAGAATGATTTTATGACGCTATTTAATTCAGCCTGTAAAATGTAAATAGCTTGTATGTTTAGCTAATATAATGTTTCTCTTCTCCCAAGTTTTCTTTTAGTTGTAAGCCCAATGAAAGTTTTATATAATGAATGAATGACAACTACTTTGCTCCATTCATTAATATAATATATTACTAAACGCATAGGCATAACAATTATATTAATGTTTAGCCTAATTAACTTGGTACAAGCTTGGAGTACATACTATATGAAATGACCGCTTTCGCTTGATAAAAAATAATTGTTTAGCGCAATAAACCTGGTATAAGCATGCATAAAGTACATTCATTGAGACGAAAGTAACCAACATGAACTGTAAAACGTCTGTCAAAAAAACACTTTGGTTAACTATTCAATAACTTCTGTTGTATTGTGCACAAGTAAATCACTGTCAATAGCAGAAGATGAACAATTGATATCGACATCGATGAAAAGTACAGAAATGACATGTATAGTTGTCATCAAATGGTGTTTGTGTCGCATCACATACGAACTTTGTCATCGTTAAATCGGAGTAAAAGAGAATTGGAGTAAACTACCATCTATAAAAACAATGCTCGTAAACGTCATGTATCAGCTGGAATATGGGCTTGGTGTAATCCTGTGTAAATATCATACTCGTTTGAACACTTTCTAAATCAATATTTGTGTCAAACTGCATGCTGGGAAGATATAACTCGCCGTACATTCATCAACACGTGCTAATTGGAATTAATCAACTGTGGTTTAAAATATAAGAACAGAGAACGAATATTCAACATTTTCATGAACGTTGGCGAGTTTATATATTGTCCCACACAGAAATTTACACTTTATCGACCGTGGCATCTGCATCATTGCTGTACGTTACTCAACTGGCTGTTATCAGCCTTGATCCTACAGGTATGTGCTGAAGTTTTAGGAACGTTGTTCATAAAATAATGTAGCTGCTTAAAAAACATACAACTTTCAGAGACCTTTTATAAATAAAATGCTAAAATTCTCTTATACTTGTTTTAATGTTTTCACATACATTTTCATTGGTATAAAAAATGATTTCGCAAAAAAACTTCACCAACGCACGTTTTCATTTTCTAAAACAAAATTTTTTATGTGTAAAGGAATGAAGCATCAGATCAATGAAATAGATCATGGAAATCACATATCTTGCCGTGGATTATATCATGGATCGTATCATAAATGTCATGGAGTACATAATGGATATCATGGATCACATCACAGATATCATGCATGGATCACAATATAACATGGAGTACATTATGGATATCATGGATCACATTGTCGACATCATGCCCTATTTTATGGATATAATGGACATCGTGGATTATATCGTCAATGTCGTAGATTACGTCATGGATGACGAAAGAAAATCTACAATGATGACGACGATAAAGGTGCCATAGTTTACATTTTGTTAATATCCTGGTGATCAATATTAGCGTGAATATAATTGAAAAAATGACTAAACTTATTGACTGTCTTGATGCTGTTAGTGTTTATGCATTTTTCTTACTGATTTCAAATAATGATTGCAGAACATCGCCGATGATTTCAGAGCAAACAGTTGTCTGAAAATGACGGCACATATTGTACTGCACGAGAGCTTTTACCTAGCTATCGTGCAACATAAAGATGTCATCATTTACGGGCTTCTAACAATGTCTAATAGTTTGAGTGTTAATAAAATGAACTGTTTTTATAAGTAAATTTTTTGATCACCAGGATACACGAATCTAAGTTCAAGGAAATAAGCATGGGTTTCTTTGAATTTTGATCGTGCGCATGAATATTTCAAATCCAACGCGTAAACTAAAAAGCATAACTAAACATTAAAAGTCTGAATGCCTGAATAAAAGCGCGATACGATCACAAAAAAAAAACGGTCAAAAATATGGCAGATTCCAAAACATGGCAGAATCCAAAACATGGCAGAATCCAAAACATGGCAGAATCCAAAACATGGCAGAATCCAAAACATGGCAGAGTCCAAAAACATGGCGGAAAACAACAAAGCAAACTTCGGCATCTTGGCAATGCAAGCAGCTGCATGACGTAAATTAAATTTAAATAAAATTATAAATGCCTGAAATATTCTTGCTTGATGATGCTCTTCGATTTCCACGATTCGTTTTTAAGTTAAAATTTTCAACCATGCTAAAAAAAAGCTTTGTGTCAAAGAAAGCGAAAAAAAAGGAACAACTTTAAGTGTTTAAAAATGTTTGTCGTTAAAAAAGGAACGACCTGTATCATCAAGATGAATATGTCTGTCGTGAAAAAAAATCGTCTGATGAAAAACAAAACAGAATAGGTGCATGATACTCTGGCATTGCTTTTGAATATCAAAATCAATGTTATGACAGTGGCATGCTCGTCTCGAAATCAAGTCTAACATCTTCATCGATTTGCAGAAGAAAGATGATTTGATAGGGAGACGAACTAATCGGCGATACATTTAGAGTAGATGTAGGTAGAAATAATTGTAAACGGTGCCAAACTGGTGCCTAGGTGATCGAGTGTTGGACACAAGAAGGATTGGTTGGCACGCCGTTTGGTAATGTATAAGGGCCCAGGGAAGCGGTTCCCCATCCATTAGGTTCCAATTCGGCACGGGTACTAATATTGCTTTGCAGGTGTCTCATCGTCGCAGGTTCGTCTCATCGTGGAAAGGTTTGCTTTGATTTATTTTATTTTATAGATATTAGTTAAATCATGCCACTGATCGACAGGGTTACAGCTAAGGCTGCGCATACGCAAAAAAACGCTGAAGTCAAAAGCGACTTAAAAATGGCAGTACGTAGCGGATTCGGTTCATTTTTACAATGATGTATGTTGCTTTGATCACCTCTTTCAACAACTTTGTACAGATAGAGGCAGTCTACATATTATTGTAAACATAACTAAGGACTTATGAATGTAAACATGAGTTTTGTAAAGATAACTAGTAAAAAAATAAACATGGTGATCATAAGCATACATCCCACGTTTTCTTGAGGGTTTTCCTCCGGTGTATCGCCGGTTTCCCTCAATGAGTATTCGTTTGAATACTCTCAAAAACAAAAAAGGGTGGCCATGTTTGGGACCTGCAGGAAACAAAAAGGGTTTGTATGGTTATTGGGTTAAATTCCCAATCCACTCGTAAACAGCCAGCTGAAAGAAGAATAAAGCACTTTTTTAAACTATGGATCACGTTAATTCATCTTGGAAAGTCAAGGTAAAAATATTTTTACCACAACTGTATTCATGTAGTTATTTAGAAAAAATAAATAATTTGTTGTTGTTGTGTACTAATGTTTGTTTTTAAATTTTTAAGGCATTCATTTTGCAGGAAATGACGTTCCACTTGTTGCATCACGTGGTTAAAATACATGGTTCCTTCTTTTGGCAAATACATATATATTAACAAAGGATTGATAATGCCAAAAAATATTTGCCAATGAAAGCTTCACACATTGCATGAATCACAACGTCACATACACAAAAGAGAACATTACGCATGCCGTGTGGACTCCGGCGTTTAAGAATAGACCCACCGTATCCTCTGCGTGTCGTAAGAGGCGACTAAAAGAGGTTGGCGTGAGAAAAAGCAACAACAAGATGTTATGTGGCAAAATAAACATGAACAGTTACGCATTGAAAATGAACATGAAAGTACTAAAGACCAGTTGTAAATTAGCCGTGAAAATTAGAAAAAATTATATTTCCAGAGCACTTCTGAAAGTGGAAAAGAAGTCATACCAGTGGCCGCCATATTTATCACACATCATGGTAGGGTGAACTCTTTCACTCTAAGCGGTAACATAGAGCATAGAGTCTTGAACAATGCTTTTGAATTTAAAATATTTTTCAAATAATCCAGTTTCTATAGTTTGCATGAAAACTTTACACTAAACCCCAACCAAACATTGCCGGGCTTAGATCTGACTTCATTCGTACGAATGTTCAGTGAAAGATGCACATAAACAAAACAAAACTTGTATTATAATACCTCAAAATGATGGTCTAACCAATCATCAAAAAGATTTTGAATCACTGCCTCTCCCCAATCCCATTAGCAACTATTCTTCAGGGAAGGCGGGGTGAGTTTCCATAGTTCAATGACGTCTAGAATTACGAACAATTGACAAAGATGTAAATTTCGATGAAACAAGCGTAATAGAAAGTAAACACTATAGCTGCCTATAGCATATAATCACAAGAGACTTACAGTACAATATAGTGTCTAGCCACAGCTGCACGGTGCCTACAAACAGAAAGAGAGCTTTCAATGCATGCTGATGTATTAACTTCAGCTAAAAATTCTTCACAACCTGTTCAATCTCATTCAACAGTTTGAATTGATGATAATGTATCTTGCAAGCAAACAGTAATAACAATCGAAGATTGAACGAAACTGACACCAATTGACCAACACTACCAAAATAGTACACCAATAGCCGTAATTCAAACAAATTCATTAGCAATAAAACATCTTTTCGCGCAATAGAATTTTTTTTTCTCTTCCACATGATTTTTCAGGTGTATATATTCACCAAGGCATTCCCTAAAAACATGTTCACTTTTATTCCGAGAAAATACTTCTTTGACAAAACATTTTGAAATAGACGTAAATATTCACAAAATTATAGATAACAAATAAACAGCCGGTTTGAGAACCTTTCAAAAATTATAATATCTATCTATATATGAGATTATCATAAAGGACTTCGTCCAGTCAACATGCTAATAGTTTCCTCCGAGTTGCACGTGACATCAGCGTTATTTAAGAGCTAAACAACAAAAACCTCAGCTAATTTCCCCCCCAAAAAATAATCTACCTCTAGCGACATATATGTTCATTTACAATAATAATTTAATCATAAAATTATCTCACAATAACGACATGAAAATTTTCTTATAATAAATTTCAACAATAGCTTCCCTTTGCTTCATCTGGTTTGTCAAGCATTTACCCCAGGAGTAAATGACAAGCGAGACTAAAAGAAAAAAATGTTTTGCTAAGTATCTTGTAAAATAAAACAATCGCAAAAATAATACTGAAGACTCATCTGATAACTACACTGATCGCCATTATATTCTTACATTATCTGAGAATGTAACTTGATAGTTATCGCCATTAATATCATCCACAGCATCTACCGATGAAAATCGAACTGCGTCATCATAACTCATTTCACGTCGTCCGGAAGTCAATCGCCCCAGTCTTAAACGCAATTTACGCCAGGCACGCGATGTTTTAGGTTGTACAGAAGACTGGTTGTCATTTAACTTTACTTCATCTGTTTGCTGTCTTGCAAAATTTATAAAAACCTGCAAAGAAAGTCCATACATTAAACACTCATAGTCTGTATTATGCTATTGAAACAAAAAAACTGGTGGCTTTCCTCTACACACATATTTTTTTTGAAATTTTGAGCCGCAAAAAGAAATTATTTTTACGACAATGCCGTTAAATGAGAAATGATCAATTCAGAAGAATTTGAGAAACATTCAAAGATAATGCATAGAATAATAATGCATAAAATATACAGCCAGTCCCTGATCCTTTTCTAAACACAATACTCACATTATCAAGGGTCGTTTGACTCACTGAATAATCTTCAATTTCTAACTCATCCAGATGATTTTCGATGAGTGAAAAAACTTTTGAAAGTTTTAATACATTTGATGGAAGATGATACTCTATCATATTACGATGTTTCTCCTAAGATTTGACAAAGAAACAACCGTCAGAAGAGACAACCAAAGTACACACACAACAACAATTGATCCCATTTATGCACGTACCTTTAAGGAAATATTTGGCATATTATACTCAAAGAAACTCGTTACTTTTTTGAGATCTGGGTTCTCTCCCTTTATTCTTAAAGTTATCATATAACCACTGCCAAACCTGTTTCAAAACAAATAATATAAATTATTAAATAAAAACAACACAACGCGTGCGGTGATTGGTCTATCGCTGCGTTTACTTTAGCATGTGCAAACACAGTAAACATCTTTTATTTCTTCAATGAAGCAATTCAACTTTTATACAAATGGAAAACTAAAGTAATGTTAAAGAATGTTAAAGACTTTCACCTGTTCTTAAGATGTTGGCTACTTCCCAGGCATTTGAGTTGTCCATTCACCATGATTGCTAGTCTTGTGCACAAGGCTTCACATTCTTCCATGCTGCATTGAGATTTAAGCGTTTCTTTAAATTTACAAAGGAACAATAATGATAATTGCCTTGATGAATGACAAACCTATGTGATGTCAGAACAACAGATCGACCGTCTTTTACAATACTTAAAACGGTATCCCACAAGAACCTTCGCGCTTTTGGGTCCATGCCGGTGGTCGGTTCATCCTACATAGTACATTAAATCAATGAAGGGCATCAACCTGACAGCACCTGAAAGTACCTTAAAGACCTTATTTACCACTGTTAACATGTTTACGCACACGTATACTTGATCGTTATTGATAGAACCACCAAGCTATACTCGCCATTCACAATTAAAACACGCTCTTTAGAGCAGTATTTTAAATTGTCATGTTTAGATTCTTTAAAAATAAATATCGTACTCATACGCACCAAGAAAATAATGGATGGATCTCCAATTAAAGCAATCGCCGTTGACAATTTTCTCTTCATTCCGCCACTTAAGGTCTTGGATGGTTTATCAGCAAACTTCTTTAAACACAACTTACCGATAGCCCAGTTTACAACCTGATAGAAAGAACGTCGATGTTGACGATGTTGAAGATGAAAATGAAAATTTTATCGTACCTGAGACAGTTCTTTTTTTGGAACGCCACGTATTCTTGCATACATCTTAAGATGTTCAGTTACAGTCATTTCATCAATCAAAGCATCAAACTGAGGACAGTATCCAATACAACGATGCACATCCAAAATATTATCACACACACTAAAATCACGAATTGATATGTTACATACAGTAAAAACAAACTATGCCAAAAAATCAAATGAACCAATCCAATACCACTCTAACTCCTTCGTCCTCATTGAGACTATATTCCTTTACAAAAGTAGGAGGACACTATACCTATGATAGTTGAGAAATGCATCTCCACTTGTAATAGACGTATCACCAGTTAACATTTTAAATGTTGATGTTTTCCCAGCACCATTAACGCCAAGTAGACCAAAACACTACCGAAAAAAGAACCATATCAAACACTACTTGAACTTCAGGAATCAAGGCAAACTCTCAGAAACTGACCTCCCCTTGTTGTATACCAAGACATAAACGATCAACAGCCAAATGGTTGCCAGTTCTCTTTGAAAAATACACCTAAAACGAGATGAACATCGTAGAATTGTGAAAACAAGATGGAGATAAATATAAAAATAAGATGGATATCGTAGGATAAGCACGAATAAAGTATAAGATGTATATACCTTGGTTAAATCTTTCAGACAGATCATATCATCGTCAGCATCACCTGACGTCACTCTTTCACGTTCTTCAGCCACATCTTCATCTTCCACTTCGTCCTCATCAGTTTTGCGCAATGAATATTTCATATTTCTACAATGTTAACTATGCTTCAGTACAATATATTCCAAAGTATTCAGCAGCTACATGATTCTCGTTGAAATTTAACTGCATTACCTGACATAAACACAGAATAAAACTAAGTGCTGCAAATGGTAAGGGTAACATAAATACATACGTAAACAGTTAAACACTCAGCTCTAATTACCAAATATAGGCGTAGATTACGTCATGGATGACGAAAGAATATCTACAATGATGACGACGATAAAGGTGCAATAGTTTACATTTTGTTAATATCCTGGTGATCAATATTAGCGTGAATATAATTGAAAAACTGACTAAACTTATTGACTGTCTTGATGCTGTTAGTGTTTATTCATTTTTCTTACTGATTTCAAATAATGATTGCAGAACATCGCCGACGATTTCAGAGCAAACAGTTGTCTGAAAATGACGGCACATATTGTACTGCACGAGAGCTTTTACCTAGCTATCGTGCAACATAAAGATGTCATCATTTACGGGCTTCTAACAATGTCTAATAGTTTGAGTGTTAATAAAATGAACTGTTTTTATAAGTAAATTTTTTGATCACCAGGATACACGAATCTAAGTTCAAGGAAATAAGCATGGGCTTCTTTGAATTTCGATCGTGCGCATGAATATTTCAAATCCAACGCGAAAACTAAAAAGCATAACTAAACATTAAAAGTCTGAATGCCTGAATAAAAGCGCGATACGATCACAAAAAAAAAACGGTCAAAAACATGGAAGATTCCAAAACATGGCAGAATCCAAAACATGGCAGAATACAAATTATGGCAGAATCCAAAACATGGCAGAATCCAAAATATGGCAGAATCCAAAACATGGCAGAGTCCAAAAACATGGCGGAAAACAACAAAGCAAACTTCGGCATCTTGGCAATGCAAGCAGCTGCATGACGTAAATTAAATTTAAATGAAATTATAAATGCCTGAAATATTCTTGCTTGATGATGCTCTTCGATTTCCACGATTCGTTTTTAAGTTAAAATTTTCAACAATGCTAAAGAAAAAAAAGCTTCGTGTCAAAGAATGCGAAACAAAAGGTACAACTTTAAGTGTTTAAAAATGTTTGTCGTTAAAAAAGGAATGACCTGTATCATCAAGATGAATATGTCTGTCGCGAAAAAAAAATCGTCTGATGAAAAACAAAACAGAATAGGTGCATGATACTCTGGCATTGCTTTTGAAAATCAAAATCAATGTTATGACAGTGGCATGCTCGTCTCAAAATCAAGTCTAACATCTTCATCGATTTGCTGAAGAAAGATGATTTGATAGCGAGACGAACTAATCGGCGATACATTTAGAGTAGATGTAGGTAGAAATAATTGTAAACGGTGCCAAATTGGTACCTAGGTGATCGAGTGTTGGACACAAGAAGGATTGGTTGGCACGCCGTTTGGTAATGTATAAGGGCCCAGGGAAGCGGTTCCCCATCCATTAGGTTCCAATTCGGCACGGGTACTAATATTGCTTTGCAGGTGTCTCATCGTCGCAGGTTCGTCTCATCGTGGAAAGGTTTGCTTTGATTTATTTTATTTTATAGATATTAGTTAAATCATGCCACTGATCGACAGGGTTATAGCTAAGGCTGCGCATACGCAAAAAAACGCTGAAGTCAAAAGCGACTTAAAAATGGCAGTAAGTAGCGGATTCGGTTCATTTTTAAAAGACAATTTTTACAAGGATGTATGTTGCTTTGATCACCTCTTTCAACAACTTTGTACAGATAGAGGCAGTCTACATATTGTTGTAAACATAACTAAGGACTTATGAATGTAAACATGAGTTTTGTAAAGATAACTGGTAAAAAAATAAACATGGTGATCATAAGCATACATCCCACGTTTTCTTGAGGGTTTTCCTCCGGTGTATCGCCGGTTTCCCTCAATGAGTATTCGTTTGAATATTCTCAAAAACAAAAAAGGGTGGCCATGTTTGGGACCTGCAGGAAACAAAAAGGGTTTGTATGGTTATTGGGTTAAATTCCCAATCCACTCGTAAACAGCCAGCTGAAAGAAGAATAAAGCACTTTTTTAAACTATGGATCACGTTAATTCATCTTGGAAAGTCAAGGTAAAAATATTTTTACCACAACTGTATTCATGTAGTTATTTAGAAAAAATAAATAATTTGTTGTTGTTGTGTACTAATGTTTGTTTTTAAATTTTTAAGGCATTCATTTTGCAGGAAATGACGTTCCACTTGTTGCATCACGTGGTTAAAATACATGGTTCCTTCTTTCGGCAAATACATATATTAACAAAGGATTGATAATGCCAAAAATATTTGCCAATGAAAGCTTCACATTGCATGAATCACAACGTCACATACACAAAGAGAACATTACGCATGCCGTGTGGACTCCGGCGTTTAAGAATAGACCCACCGTATCCTCTGCGTGTCGTAAGAGGCGACTAAAAGAGGTTGGCGTGAGAAAAAGCAACAACAAGATGTTATGTGGCAAAAATACACATGAACAGTTACGCTTTGAAAATGAACATGAAAGTACTAAAGACCAGTTGTAAATTAGCCGTGAAAATTAGAAATAAATATATTTCCAGAGCACTTCTGAAAGTGGAAAAGAAGTCATACCAGTGGCCGCCATATTTATCACATCATGGTAGGGTGAACTCTTTCACTCTAAGCGGTAACATAGAGCATAGAGTCTTGAACAATGCTTTTGAATTTAAAATATTTTTCAAATAATCCAGTTTCTATAGTTTGCATGAAAACTTTACACTAAACCCCAACCAAACATTGCCGGGCTTAGATCTGACTTCATTCGTACGAATGTTCAGTGAAAGATGCGCATAAACAAAACAAAGCTTGTATTATAATACCTCAAAATGACGGTCTAACCAATCATCAAAAAGATTTTAAATCACTGCCTCTCCCCCCCCCAATCCCATTAGCAACTATTCTTCAGGGGAAGGCGGGGTGAGTTTCCATAGTGCAATGACGTCTAGAATTACGAACAATTGACAAAGATGTAAATTTCGATGAAACAAGCGTAATAGAAAGTAAACACTATAGCTGCATATGGTATATAATCACAAGAGACTTACAGTACAATATAGTGTCTAGCCACAGCTGCACGGTGCCTACAAACAGAAAGAGAGCTTTCAATGCATGCTGATGTATTAACTTCAGCTAAAAATTCTTCACAACCTGTTCAATCTCATTCAACAATTTGAATTGATGATAATGTATCTTGCAAGCAAACAGTAATAACAATCGAAGATTGAACGAAACTGACACCAATTGACCAACACTACCAAAATAGTACATCAATAGCCGTAATACAAACAAATTCATTAGCAATAAAACATCTTTTCGCGCAATAGAATTTTTTTTTCTCTTCCACATGATTTTTCAGGTGTATATATTCACCAAGGCATTCCCTAAAAACATGTTCACTTTTATTCCGAGAAAATACTTCTTTGACAAAACATTTTGAAATAGACGTAAATATTCACAAAATTATAGATAACAAATAAACAGCCGGTTTGAGAACCTTTCAAAATTATAATATCTATCTATATATGAGATTATCATAAAGGACTTCGTCCAGTCAACATGCTAATAGTTTCCTCCGAGTTGCACGTGACATCAGCGTTATTTAAGAGCTAAACAACAAAAACCTCAGCTAATTTCCCCCCAAAAAAATAATCTACCTCTAGCGACATATATGTTCATTTACAATAATAATTTAATCATAAAATTATCTCACAATAACGACATGAAAATTTTCTTATAATAAATTTCAACAATAGCTTCCCTTTGCTTCATCTGGTTTGTCAAGCATTTACCCCAGGAGTAAATGACAAGCGAGACTAAAAGAAAAAAATGTTTTGCTAAGTATCTTGTAAAATAAAACAATCGCAAAAATATTACTGAAGACTCATCTGATAACTACACTGATCGCCATTATATTCTTACATTATCTGAGAATGTAACTTGATAGTTATCGCCATTAATATCATCCACAGCATCTACCGATGAAAATCGAACTGCGTCATCATAACTCATTTCACGTCGTCCGGAAGTCAATCGCCCCAGTCTTAAACGCAATTTACGCCAGGCACGCGATGTTTTAGGTTGTACAGAAGACTGGTTGTCATTTAATTTTACTTCATCTGTTTGCTGTCTTGCAAAATTTATAAAAACCTGCAAAGAAAGTCCATACATTAAACACTCATAGTCTGTATTATGCTATTGAAACAAAAAACTGGTGGCTTTCCTCTACACACATATTTTTTTTTAAATTTTGAGCCGCAAAAAGAGATTATTTTTACGACAATGCCGTTAAATGAGAAATGATCAATTCAGAAGAATTTGAGAAACATTCAAAGATAATGCATAGAATAATAATGCATAAAATATACAGCCAGTCCCTGATCCTTTTCTACACACAATACTCACATTATCAAGGGTCGTTTGACTCACTGAATAATCTTCAATTTCTAACTCATCCAGATGATTTTCGATGAGTGAAAAAACTTTTGAAAGTTTTAATACATTTGATGGAAGATGATACTCTATCATATTACGATGTTTCTCCTAAGATTTGACAAAGAAACAACCGTCAGAAGAGACAACCAAAGTACACACACAACAACAATTGATCCCATTTATCCACGTACCTTTAAGGAAATATTTGGCATATTATACTCAAAGAAACTCGTTACTTTTTTGAGATCTGGGTTCTCTCCCTTTATTCTTAAAGTTATCATATAACCACTGCCAAACCTGTTTCAAAACAAATAATATAAATTATTAAATAAAAACAACACAACGCGTGCGGTGATTGGTCTATCGCTGCGTTTACTTTAGCATGTGCAAACACAGTAAACATCTTTTATTTCTTCAATGAAGCAATTCAACTTTTATACAAATGGAAAACTAAAGTAATGTTAAAGAATGTTAAAGACTTTCACCTGTTCTTAAGATGTTGGCTACTTCCCAGGCATTTGAGTTGTCCATTCACCATGATTGCTAGTCTTGTGCACAAGGCTTCACATTCTTCCATGCTGCATTGAGATTTAAGCGTTTCTTTAAATTTACAAAGGAACAATAATGATAATTGCCTTGATGAATGACAAACCTATGTGATGTCAGAACAACAGATCGACCGTCTTTGACAATACTTAAAACGGTATCCCACAAGAACCTTCGCGCTTTTGGGTCCATGCCGGTGGTCGGTTCATCCTACATAGTACATTAAATCAATAAAGGGCATCAACCTGACAGTACCTGAAAGTACCTTAAAGACCTTATTTACCACTGTTAACATGTTTACGCACACGTATACTTGATCGTTATTGATAGAACCACCAAGCTATACTCGCCATTCACAATTAAAACACGCTCTTTAGAGCAGTATTTTAAATTGTCATGTTTAGATTCTTTAAAAATAAATATCGTACTCATACGCACCAAGAAAATAATGGATGGATCTCCAATTAAAGCAATCGCCGTTGACAATTTTCTCTTCATTCCGCCACTTAAGGTCTTGGATGGTTTATCAGCAAACTTCTTTAAACACAACTTACCGATAGCCCAGTTTACAACCTGATAGAAAGAACGTCGATGTTGACGATGTAAAGATGAAAATGAAAACTTTATCGTACCTGAGACAGTTCTTTTTTTGGAACGCCACGTATTCTTGCATACATCTTAAGATGTTCAGTTACAGTCATTTCATCAATCAAAGCATCAAACTGAGGACAGTATCCAATACAACGATGCACATCCAAAATATTATCACACACACTAAAATCACGAATTGATATGTTACATACAGTAAAAACAAACTATGCCAAAAAATCAAATGAACCAACCCCAATACCACTCTAACTCCGTCCTCATTGAGACTATATTCCTTTACAAAAGTAGGAGGACACTATACCTATGATAGTTGAGAAATGCATCTCCACTTGTAATAGACGTATCACCAGTTAACATTTTAAATGTTGATGTTTTCCCAGCACCATTAACGCCAAGTAGACCAAAACACTACCGAAAAAAGAACCATATCAAACACTACTTGAACTTCAGGAATCAAGGCAAACTCTCAGAAACTGACCTCCCCTTGTTGTATACCAAGACATAAACGATCAACAGCCAAATGGTTGCCAGTTCTCTTTGAAAAATACACCTAAAACGAGATGAACATCGTAGAATTGTGAAAACAAGATGGAGATCGTAAGATAAATATAAAAACAAGATGGATATCGTAGGATAAATATAAAATAAGATGGATATCGTAGGATAAGCACGAATAAAGTATAAGATATATATACCTTGGTTAAATCTTTCAGACAGATCATATCATCGTCAGCATCACCTGACGTCACTCTTTCACGTTCTTCAGCCACATCTTCATCTTCCACTTCGTCCTCATCAGTTTTGCGCAATGAATATTTCATATTTCTACAATATTAACTATGCTTCAGTACAATATATTCCAAAGTATTCAGCAGCTACATGATTCGTTGAAATTTAACTGCATTACCTGACATAAACACAGAATAAAACTAAGTGCTGCACATGGTAAGGGTAACATAAATACATACGTAAACAGTTAAACACTCAGCTCTAATTACCAAAAATAGACAAGGACGGGAATTTCCAATGATTTTTCATTTTAATCTCTTAGTAAATGTGCAAGAAAACTTACTTTGGTTTTCTGAGCCGTTTTGATAAGTGCTCAACAACTAATGTCAAAACAAAAAAAACAAAGCCTTCTGCAGCCATAAAGTAAAGATTCCGTGAAACGACCGACCAAGATGATTGAATGTCATACAGTTGACCTGAAATATTTGGTACAATAAAAGGAGTTTATTACTTTATAGAAACATTAAAGTGTTTGATACATAGAATTATAGTTAGTACAATCAAATGCTACACAAGCATCTTTCTTCACCTATTCTTCTTTTAAAATCGTTGTGTATTTCATTATAACCTAAGTCCATTAAGCCTCGTCCAAGACAGTAGTTTGGAAAAAGAAGTGATATCCAGCCAAGATAATCGTTAATATTAGTAAGAACCTTCGAAAATAAAGAGTAAATTTTAATCAAACTACAACAAATAAACAAATATCGTAAATAACAATACATGAAACATTGAAACTAAACAAGGCATACCATTGAATAGCCAAAATTTATAATATGCTACATAATTAAAAGCTTACATACATCATCATCGATAAAGAATTGCAAAATTGATGTCGAGACAGTCGTAGTGACACCAAGAAAAAGATTGGCGACTATCATTGCCACGTAAGCGCTACTCGGAACTTTAAACACAAATGTTGGAGGATACATCAACGGTGTTATAGACCACCTAGATGAAATGGTGTGGAGAAATAAGTTTTTACTTTTCATAATCAACACAGCCACAATAATCATTAATTGTAATCAGGTCTTTGTCAAGAAACAAACTTCTTTGCAAGAAAAAACATTGCGGAAAAATGCCCCGAACAAGTCGAGCTTAACGCACGAAGTTCTACATTCCTCTACATACGTAGACAACAACCTGATAAACTCACCCATACAAAACAAAGAGAGCAACAACGACAGGAAAATTCGATGGCGATGCGTAAGATGGAACTTGAAACAAATACAGTATAGTGACACAAACAGCGGCTGGTATCAAATAGTTACACTGAAAAAAAAACAACAGAAAAGATAGTTCAACGAATGTAAAAGCAATTTATGCATGTTGTATATCCATACCATGTCCCAGACGTAATTTGAAAGCCAATATATGATGGGGTTGAGACCACAGACAAATTGAAGGTGCTTTGCACCAGTCGAACGTTCTGTGACAAGAAACACGACAAAACTTGCAGGAACAAAGGACATTGCAACTATTACAAAGATGGCAATCACAACATTTGTTCCAGAACGCCTATAAACGTAAAAAAACCCCGAAATATCAAAATGAAACAATATGAAAACATTCACATATTATGGATATCGCAGGAGAAATATGAACACAAGATGGATACCGTAGGATATATAAAAAAACAAAATGGATATCGTCGAATAAACATAAAAATATGGAGTTTATGTCTACCTGTATTCCAAAGAGAGTGCATAACCAGTTTTTTCAAACGGATAATTCGCGACGCTGATGCCTAGAAATAAATAATAGTTCTTCTCATCCATTTAAATAACACAACACAGTAAATATACCACAGCAAACATGAAATTTACCATAAGCGCCTCTGTTATCTCCATTATGAGGTAAATAATGTCTAAGAACAGCGTTGTCCATTGCATTGAGAAATACAGGTTGGGAGTGATAACCCTTGTTATTGTACAAAGCCTAAAACATATTAAAATTTCTAAGAAGAGCTTCTATTTTTTTATAAGTATTTAGACAAGACTTAAATGTCCTGAACATTAAAAGCTTGTTCTCTCGAGGAAATAATTTTAAGTTAACTACCTTGACAGCTTCTTTGACGCCTAGTCGTTTAAAGGAGTCACAGTTGATATTCTTGCAAGTGAAATTACTAAGGGAAGCAGGAATACTTGGAACCGACTCACCAAACACCAAACCACCATATCTATGATGGTAAAAAAATACTCAGACAAGATGACAAATAAGTTTTTTAACGCAATAAGCTTTAATTAACTAGATGATACACTAACCTAGCCATACGAGTAGCTTGAGTGGTAGATAATAAATATTTGCTAACATCTCGACCAGTTATATTCCGTAATGTATCGTGAGTTGCAGTCAGTATCTCCTTAGAGGATGGAAGTAACATCTCAAATGGACAGATATATTCAAGTCTGTAATTGGAGCAATAACATTTTGCTCCAGTAGCGTTTTGCTTTCCGCGATCAGCACTGCTCTTCTTAATCGTACCATTTTGACACAGTCGAACTCCAGAATAATCCCTTTGGCGACATTCTTTGTTGAATATATCACGAATTTCTTCGTAGTTGACCACAGCATCCTTATGACAATCATAACTCCATTTTTTCAGGTTTTCTGACGTATTGTTGACGACACAAAAACTACCAATACCTGATGGAAGTTTTAGTGTGGACTCCATATCAACTGCAAGTGAATTGCTCGAGTTTACATTGGTATGAGGCACGTAGTTAGGTCGATCAAACATATTCGTATTTAAAGGCAAACGTGGAGAGTCTTCGAGTTTTGGAGCCGATAATGCGAATACCATAGCGATAGTGATAAAAAATGAAGGTAGAAATATCTGCGATAGAAGACCTTTGAGATTTCGTCTTGCTTGATAGAAACGTTTCAAAATGAGAGCATGAAATTGATGGCAATACAATAAAAGTCCACTGATGGTGTGACTACCCGAACCCCGTCCTTCTGCCTCTCTGTTAAGCCCATCGTTATTCACGTGATTTGCATGGATACCGTTGCTACATACACCATTTCTATGAATGTTTACTTTAGGGCAAGTCCTTCCAGGAATTGATATAGGTTGACTTTTTTCTCGTGAATCTAGACATAAGAAAAAAAAAGATATTTAACATGGACGTTACACCAAATCTTTTCATAAAACATAGAGGACAGAAAACTGTGCTCATTGAGGAACAAAAAAACATCTTTTATTTCCTTTATTATACAACAATAATGTGAAACAGATAAATATACGACATACGTTGTAATTTTTTCTGTAACATGCATTCATGAGCAATTTGCAAATTCTCTTTGATTAACTGAGCTCAGATCGGTTTGCACAGGCTAATGAAAATACGGCTGTAGTCCAATTAGCGCATGCGTTGTATTGTTTTTATTTTATAATCATACATGAAAGCTAAAAAATACTAACCAGAACTATTTCTCGATGATTCTCCATGTTCTACGTTTAATAAAGAGTCATCCTCACCCATCCCATCATGTCCTGCAATGTCTATTAGTTCTACATCATTGTTGCTGGCATTGGTTACCTTGTTCTCGTGACCATACATTATGGTCGTTTCACAAGCAATGTCACTTTCGTTATCTCGACTTTCGGAAAGCGAGTCAGTTTCATCGTCTCGTAAAGATAAGTCTGTGACTTTAAGGAAAACCTGTAAATTGTTGTAAACAACAAAAATTGACAGTTCTTTTTTTCCAAAGTACTAAACGTGAATGGTCAAATCATTTATTTACCTCTTCGAGAGGAGTTTCAGTCACTCCAAAGCTTTTCAAGCCGAGAGATTCCAAATCTTTCTCCAGATGAAAAAAGAAATTTCCGAATCCATCACGTTTCACGACACTATTGGGTAATATATAAGAGAGTTGATGGCGATTCTCTTGAGTCAATTTCGCAGAAGGAATGTAGCTTTGGATGAATGATGTCACGTTTTCTGTGTTTGCTTCAGCTATGGATAAGGTACTACCTGAAAGAAAGATAAAGAATTAATAAAGCAATGGTAAGGTACTCCCTATATAGGAAGTGAAAGAATTAAGAACGCAACAAGCTTTGTAAAAGTAAGGGATTCAAAATAACAATATTTAAATACAAAAATCCATCAATGTAAGGCAGAAAGAACTTACTATACTTACCTCTTGGAGATTGCTTGCACAGCTTGGACACAGGAGAGTGTCCAAACGCACGAGGATTATTACCTAAACTTGATGAAAGCAAGCTTTCACTTTGTGAAGGGCTACCCTGGACAGAAGATGTCGAAGGTATCCGTTCTGGAGTTCTCATTGGAGGTGTACTGGCAAGAGGAGTGTTATTAGGTGCGTTCGCCCCCAAATTAGAGGACGAACCACGAGGAGTGTTTGAGAAAGAGTCTTGTAAACTTCCAGTAGTAGATTTCTTAACTAATGTCAAGTTGTAACCATCACCAAAACGACTTTTCAAGAACATCGATGAACCAACACAACGAAGTCTTCCCTCTGATATAATCGCTATTCTATCACCAAGAATATCTGCTTCATCCATGAAATGTGTCGACAACAATATAGTACGATCTAAAATGATTATTATAGTTGAGCTCATTACACCTGTCACTCCAAAAAACAACTATAGAACGTAAGATGATGCATGCAACAGAACAAACATCACACAGAAAGAAATTCGCCCCGAGATATTTTTCGTATAAATTTTAAATAAATGAATCCCTCAATGTAAAAACAGCACTAATTAGACAAATAGAACTTTGCTGACAGCAATGTAAAGAATGGGGTCACTTGTGCTTTAAAAAAGGACTAATTGCGTCCTAAATTCTAAACTACCCAACTTTAAAATCATCATTAAAAGTGGTATAATCAGTTTCACTCATTATTCATGAACATTATTCGTTGGTATCCTTCATCTCACTTATTTAGCATTTATAATAAACTACATTTTTTACAACGCATTACAACGCAATAACTGCGTTGGATTTATTCAAAACAATAAAGTATAACGACACTAGAAAAAGTGCATGGGGCTCAACATCAAGCAACTGATAAAAACAACAAATCATATGTATTTAGATCATTGCCGTCACACCTTTCTTATACTTGTTTAATAAATCCCAGATTGCCCTGCGAGCATAAGTATCTACTCCAGCAGTCGGTTCGTCCAATATAACCATACGTGACTTGGCAATAAATGCAACAGCAATTGACAACTTTCGTTTCACGCCACCAGAAAGAGTATTCACTAAACTATGACGTTTACTGGGCAAATCCAGGTCCACTAACAATCTGAAATGAAGTTGGTAATGGAAAAATATAGAAAACAAACGACTACTAAAACTAGAAGCCTTTGTTTACTGCAATACACTTGGTGTAAAGCGTAAAAAATGGTAACAGTTGATAGGATGCAAAAGTTGTTAAAAAAGTATATTCTTTGACGATAACGTGAAGAGGAGGATGGACGTGTGAACAAAATAATAATTTACCTATCTACTTCTTCCCACAATGAATTAGAATCCATTCCTTTCAAACTGGCGTAAAACCACAAATGCTCCTGAACAGTTAACCTGTAAACGAAATAAGAAACGAATGGACGAGTGTCCTCGTTCCAATGTTTTTTATCAATCCATCAAAATTTATTTACCTATCAAACAGAACATTGTGCTGTGGACAAAATCCAAGACTTTTCCTTATATCATCCATATCATAACGTATATCATTGCCGTATATGAAAGCTGTGCCTTGACTGGGAGGGAAAAGACCAGTCAGCAAAGACATTGTCGTGGTTTTGCCTGCACCATTATGACCAAGAAAAGATGTGATTTGACCTTCGTATAGGTTCAAATGCAAATTGTTCACAGCTCGTTTGGAACTAGACTTGTACATCTACAAACAAAAAATACAAATGTTTCCTCATCTAAATAGCCAGGATCTCGTTTTATCACAATGAAACCATTAAGGTACACAACGTCAATATATTAATGAATTTATGTCAAGAAAGTCTGTTCACTTCATTGCTTAATCAAATAGAAATGAATGAACTGAGTAGAACTGACAACTCTACCTTCACCAATCCATCGATGACCACACCCAGAGGCAGGTCCACGGGATCCTTTTCGCAGGCTAATAATCCAGATGCACCGTGGAGGTTGTCTTCGTCATTTACCATCATATAACTACGTGAGAATTTTGGACATGATCTGGTGTTGTGACCAAACCAATAAGATGTCTGTAGAGGAAAGTACCAAGGTCTGGGAAGACCATATGATCCAGGGTGTACAGCTTCAATGTACCAAACCAATACAGCATAAACAAAAGTGTCAACAAGCAACATGTAAAATATCTGACGGATGTTAAAGTCGTCGCCCGCCAACTACAAAAATAAATGTTCACAGTGATTAAAAAAGAAACAGAAATATAGCGGAGAGAAGGGAGACAAACTTACTGGACTTTCATCAATATTGGACCATTGGACTCCTACTGATTGCTCTTCATACAAAGCGAAATATCTGGATGCCAAACCAAATGCAGTTGTGGAGAACAAACTGGCGAATCGTTTGGTGAGCCCACTGATTTTAGCAGCAGCAGCGTTCTCGCGTATGGAGATGAACACAAAAGGCATGTAGGTAAGAAAATAGAGAATACCAGCACATGCAGCTGCCATTTTTGCTTTCGAGAAAAACACGGAGATCAAAAAACAGAACATGATTGTAGCCACAGCAAACTCCATTAGAAATAGCCAGACGAGAAACGGATTACTGTACGTTAAAATCTTACCATACTGGAAAAAAAACCCAACCATGTACATTTGTCTGCGGGGAATTGATATGGATAAATTAGTACATAATTAAGAAAAATACCTTCAATATTAAAGTGAGCAATGCAACAGTGACGGATATACTAATTAAACTGTTGATAAACCAAGCAATCCAATGTATGAAATTACTCAATCCCATCATCTTCATGAACTCCTTTAAACGCAGCTCTTTTTCATAAACGATACTTTGGACAGTATAAGACACCGTGTATATCCACGATATAACCATGCATAGTGGTACCATATGTTTGATCACAAACATAAAACTACGGGAAAAACGATAAATCCAACGATAAGATTAAAAATGAAAGTCGTTTTAAGATCACAAGTAGAAACTACGTATGAATCTTTGTTGCAGTATGTATTTGGAGTCCAAAGTAAAAAATCTATTGCGGGCAAATTTCATTGCAAGCAGCTAACATTTTTCCTATGTAATAACAACACAGGGTGTATTGAAAAAACACATTCTCTTTGAAATCATCCGACAATAAGAAATATGCATGATTCAGCAGGAGACCTTGGACTCAGTGTTGAATTGAATTACTTCGGATTTGCAAATGAAAAATAGCCGCAATACGTTTGTATAAGTGTATCCAAGAGCGTTTACGGCTCCTCGATGATTGATTACTATTGAATAATGCAAATTATAAATGTCCGTTGATTTCAAAGATGAGCAGTTTTTTATACACACTGTACGTGTCCAACTCGACGATCAAGAAGCTCACCTGTCACTCATATAACACGGATATGGGATTTCCTGTAAATACGTGGCCGGGGAAAGACTATCACTTCCGTTGACGAGTTGATCTATGATGGCACGATCAAACAAATCTTGGAACCAATCAAATCCAAAGAAATAATATTGCTGAAAATCACATTCGGGTCCAGGCTGCCAGAAATTGCTTTTTATCTTATTTGTGTCTTTAGTGAAGGTACTATTCATCCGTATTGCGTACTCTACGTGTGCAGGTAAAGAGCCATCTTCATTGGTATTGTTAAATACAATACCTGAAAAGAGAATAAACACAATGGTATGTGGCCAATACAGAATAGTAAGGAAGGGTAATGTTGACATTACAGTCTTACTTACCTGCTATGACTTTGCGGCCATTATATTCGGGATAAGAGCTTTTATTCTTGACAAAATTCTTCAAATCATCAGAAGTTTTGAAACCAAGGAAAACATCAAGTCTGATCTCTCCTATCTTATCCAACCAAGCATTAACGACAAAGTCAGCAAATTTCAATCTCTCTAATGTTGCGTTAACATCAAAGTTGTCAATCAAAGAGCGATCGTACTCAAACAATCCCTTTTGATCTAATGCATCCTTTGCTTGGTTTTTCTTTACCAGATTAAAAAGGTTCTTAGTGTTATCGAGTCTCGAGCGAAATCTTAGACGGCTAATAATATTTTGTACTTTTCGTGAATATTTGAGCCACCAGTGACCCGCATCTATGCTGTCTGCAACTGCTTGAAACGTCCAGTTTGCCTAGAATTACATGACGAAATTTTTATCCTTCTTCAATAGAGCATTATAAACATCATGATAGTAATATATTGAAGGTACTTATGTTATAAACAAGTGAACACAATCTCCCTTATACACAAATCATCGTCAACGATGTTAGCCAATTTAGAAGTCAATACGAACCCTTTTCACAACAGCGTCAGCTTCTGTTCCTTTTGGAGAGTAAGCGATGATTGGATTATTGGTCATAATGTAAAGCATTGTAATTAGCGCTCGAGAGTTTGAAAAATGAGTATAGATAGATTCAGGACAGGAATCTTTTTCATAGAATGTTGGATCTGGACCACATAACACGGGACTGATAACCTAAAACATTATTCATGACAATAAACAGGGGACGAATTCATACATTTTATGAATACATTGTGAATACAATTGCAACAAGATTAATATTAAGTGTTCAATTCATACAGTAAATTTTCAATCCACCAACACGATTATACACGTACCTTCCAGATTTTTTTTGCAAGACGGACATTTTCATTTTCTCTCATATCCTTTTCGCTAAATTCCAATTGTGAAGTGTTTCTTATTTGTAGAAGTTCTGCTATTGCAACAGCTGCGTTCAACACCTCTTCATTTTCTCGTAACGCCTTTATCTGATAAAACAATTTCCAAGAACTAATGACCCGAACAAAAATACACAATTTAGAATCCAACGCTTTTACTCACATTCTTGTTTAAAGACATTATAGAATCGCCGTACTTTTCTTGAAAGGACTGTATATAAAATATAAATTAACAAATAATCAAATACACGGTGACACATAAAGTGCGTCATTTCTTCTATGGTACTACCCACCTGTGTTTTATCTGAAGTCGTATAACCTTCCGCAAGCTAAAATGAGAATACAACGTTTTATTTGTACCAAAGCACAGGAAATACAACAGGATTTCATTCAACCTTGTTGTAAACAGCATGTCTATCAAGTTGTTCATTTAGTACGTATGACAGTTTCTCATCTTGTCGGTCTGACAAATGGCAAAGTCGCTCTCTCAGTAACTCCTATAAGATAAATAAGCAAACAAAAGTTGATAGTACACACATTTTTTGAATACTTTGAGCAGCTAGACATTTCGAATTTCTTTTATTAGTGAGTAACATTGTGTTCAACTTATGTCATATAACTAGTGTCTGAAGAAAAAAACACGATTTACGTATGTATGAAAAACTTTAGGTCACAAACTAAGCTTTTCTGAAATGTGATTGGTGTAAACAGTGAAATAACACATAAACAAATAATTACCCAAAACCTATTAATGTGACGTCATTAAAACAATAATTCTGTAAGAACATGACCTCACGTGACATCACCACAAAAGTATTCTTTTACAACATGACGTCACGTGACGTCACTACAACAATAATTCTTTTACAACATAGCCTGATATGACATCATAGTGAAAAGAATTCTCCTGCCAAATATTTATACCAGTTTATTTACCTGCTGTTTTGCTGTCCCATTTGTTTGAACTAGAGCTGAAAATGTTGTGTTTGAGCAAGTTATTTCATGTAGTTTTTCACTGCTGTAGAATTTGCTCTGAAGGAATAGACAAATATTTGAAAAATTATGCAAAACAAGGTTGTGAAGGAAAACAAAAACAAATCTACAAACTAACAAATAATATCTTGGAGATGTTTTGATTATCATCACCAAACATTGAATGGGCAACAATATTTCCAACATTTTCTGGATTTGTCAAAAAACCTGGATCAGACAAACCATGAAAGAACAAACTGCGTGGTAAGTTGCTCATCCTTTTTTGATATTTTTCAGAGTCCTGGGCATACATTCCAGCATTTAACATTTCCATGACCTAACATGATTTCCAAGAAACACAATAAAGATAGCAAAAGTTACATCATTATGCCAAAATGGATTCTCCACTACCTTTGTTCCTTTAATGTGAGCATTTAGTAATTCATCTGTCATGTTTATAGGCAAGGACATATTGTTTATCAAAAAACCTCGAAAACTATTTGGATCTCGAAGAATATCTTTGAAAATAAAATCTGAACAAAGGATTACATACAATGATATTAAAAGACATGACAATAATAACAGGTTCATTGTAGTTGTCAAAAAATACTGATCTTAGTGTACCTGAAATAGAAGGTCTAAAAGTTGCATTGTCATTAGTCAACTCGTTAATCATTTCTTCGTAATCAATATCATAGTCATAATCTTCATCAAGAAGAGCAGATAATCTGCCATTATTATTATCGGCATGCTTTATGATTATCATCAGATTGCTTAGAAGTTCTTCAGTCCTAAAACACAAACAGATATCTTAGAAGATATTTTAAGAAACTCAAAAGGATGAGTGGCAAAGCTGTCAAACTGTTCATCTCAATTCACCAGAAAAACAATTAAAATCTTGCTCAAAATAAGCATAGAAAGACTAAACATTGACACTCAATAGAAAGCTGACTACATATGAATGAATTGGCAGTTTAAAATACATACTTTGATTCAGGAAAAATTGGAAAGCCATGAGAATTAGTTGTTTTATTAGGACAAAACATTTGTAGCAAAGGAATTATCCCGGCTGATGGCAGAGCTTTCACAGAAAATGTATCTAAAACAAAAACATACTAAAATTATTATCTGAAAACATACACACACTTTCTAATAAAATTATGGAAATTATTCACAACAAAACAACAGAGACTTTCATAAATCATACAACGCTCTTTGATTACTCATTGGCTACGGTAAATTAACTAAGGTGGCATGATAAGTACCCCCCCGCCCAGGTAAGCAATGAGCCGTCAATTTATACAAAGAGAAAAGCCAAACCAACAATGCTGGTTACACAAACAAACACGTTTATAGCATAAACTCTATTTACATGTTACAGTTGAAGGCAGGAGAATGTCCTTCAATGAAAGTCTTCTATTATATAATTTTAATGGCTAAAACCATATTTAGGTTAAGTCTAAATCCTTTACATTAACAGTAAATACATTAGTTCATATCAAATTCTTCTTAGACATCTACAATGACGAAATTCTTAGAGTATTCACAATTATATTAATTTCTAAAACACTATCGTGCAAAACCCTGCACAATTCGAGATATTTGGAGAAGTACAGGTCCTGTTTCTGGATCAGTGATATAATGTCCATTTGATAAAGGATTCTCCAGCATTTCCTGAAAAGCTAATAACAAAATGATGATATTCTATGTAGTCATATCACCACACTACCAATTTTTTGTCATGAAAGATAGTATAATTTGCTAACTTTATTTAGTGCGCTGTTTAGGCAGGCAGTAAAACAAAAAAGCATACACATTTGACAGATCCCTAAGTGGTTTAGTTTCTTTCAACAAGGGTTTGATCTTGGCCATTCAATTTAGTCTCTTGAAGTTTAGGTGGAGAAATTCCCACTTTTTGACTTATAAAAATACCATCAATTATTGTAAAATGTGCACAATCAATATATGGAAAATTTGTAAAATGTACAATGTTGTTTAATGACAAACCTGCAAGTATTCTGGGATTTGTTAAACTCAGCTGTACAACAGGATTCTCCATGATAGCTGAATACAATGGACTACACAATGGCCAAAATTTGTGAATTGACTGTTCTTAATACATCAAATACACTAGCTATAATTTATTTACCTTTCTGGATCTAATCCAGTTTCGCTGTCATCAACAACATCATGTCTTTCCCCCAGTAACCAATCACACTAAATCGTTCAATTTGCTAACTATGAGTGGAATTAAAAAGTTAAATTCAAAATACAAAATTAACAAGACTTACGGCAGCTCTTTGATTATTTCCAGTCACTTTAAGGGCTTTGACAACATCCTCTTCAGGGAAACCCATATCTTTTAATAATTCAAAGGCCTGAGCAAAAAATAATAAAAATACCATTACAAAAATACATTCATCTCTCTAATACCAAAGGCAGTGTGCAAATTAGTTCAGAAAAAACAATGTGCAATTTTTTTGACAAAAGCGTTTTTTTAGAGGCATAATCAAATCAATATTACGTTAATTATTATATAGCGCTAATTGCTAAATTATTATTTTTAAAGGTGAACAAATTCATATGATTTACCACAGTGTTTTTCATTAAAACCGCTGATTTTTGCACATCGTTTGAAAAAGTGATGTGCAATTGTCTTCATTTCAGCTAAAACGATGTGCAAATTGCACATTGCACACCGTTAATTCGCACACTAACCAAAGGACTTCTTCAATTTGACTTTCAGGAAGATTCTTTTTGTTAAAGTCAAGGATTGCTAACAGCGAGTTAACATTCTTCACCTTTTTATTTGGTACAAACTCCCTTCTGTTGCGAGTTTTACTGCTTTGAGGTTTCGCATCACCTTTACCTTCATCTGGTTTTAAAGGTTCATCAATATCTGGATCTGTTTTGTGTTGTAAAAGCCATTCCATAGCGCCTTCAACACCTGTTCTTCTAATATATATAAGCAGATCAAACAAATCATGAATATAACATAGACAAACATGTTCAAAAAAATTATCATTACTTGTTTAACTGAAGTGCTTTTGTAGCTCTAACTTTGTTAAATCCCATGTCCATCAATTGCTGTAATTGATCTTCATCAACCTCATCATTAAAATCACCTACAATGCAGAAAATGAGAGATGCAGTCATGAAAAATGAAGAAGAAACTATATAAAAGAATGTACAACGTAGAAAAAATGCGTGATCCGATATCAGGATTATACATAATGCAGTCAAACGTTTAATGATATAAAATTTTTTCCCAGTTTCTTGCTAGTTTCAATTTATATCAGTGAACGTTTAATTGCATAATGTACAAGGTATTACCTAGGCAGGACTCTGGATTCTCTTCATCTTCATTAACAAATTGAACAAGATGAGCAGCATCAATAAGTGTGTTGAGTATTCTTTGTAACTCACGATTAAACTAATGAACATTTAACATTGCAGTAAGTGCCAACACACAATATTGGTTTTTTATATTATATACTTCTTCAACATACATCAAAATGTGGCGCAGCCGCTCCAAAGTCTACACCTTTGTTACCCTGAACTTCTCCAACTTCAGATGTTAGTTTAACAATTTTCGATGAATCAGGTCCTTTTGAAGTGACAACTTCATCCTTAGAGTAAATAATTCCAATCATTAATTGAATTAAACTACAATCAATCAACGTGAATCATAACTTCCACAATATCTCCATACTTTGCTGGAATTTTTTGGCTTCCTTCTTCTCACAAGAAGTAATTCATCTAATATTTTAAAAGGAATATGCATTGAACAAGCAAATATGAAATAATAATAATAAACAATAATAGACCCCATAGGGTATCATATCATGGAATAAATAACTAGTATCGAAGTATACCATTATCTTTTATTCCTTCTTCAGCCAATGTTTTTTTCTCGTCTAAAATACGGTTTTCGCTCATTGAAACAAGTTTATAATGCACGACATCTTTTGGGTTTTCGCCAGATACTCTTTCCTTCAGATTTTGTACAGATTGATTAGCACAAATACAAAACTCCAGTTCCTTTCCTGACGCATTTGTGACTTTGACGTTTAAACTATTTCCCCCTTGTAATGCCTTCTTTAGTTCTACGTCTCTCATGATCGATGTTTTTAAAGAAAAACAAAGAAATATCTTATGTTTTGCTTTCTTTCGACAACGACGTTTGTTTTTATTTAATTCTGCAAACACAGCGAGCGAACGTTCCGGTAGACTGGAAACTAAAGAGTTCTCACTCGGAAATAGTCGGAAATGTTATGATGTCACTTCCGTTGCATTCAGTTTACGTGTTTGTTTTTGTAGATTTTTCAAAAAAACCATTTACCATTTCAAAAGATCAATTAAAAAATCGTAGCCTTCAACAAGGTGATTTTTACTAAATAATGCCGATAGAAGTTTAATTTAAATTCTCTCTAAATGGCGAAGGGTGCGACTTCAGAGGTCCCTGGTGCCATACGGCTCATGATTAAAGTTTGGGGTGCCTTTTCTGCTCTTAGTAAGTTGGATTTTTCTAATGATTTTAGGATATCAATATGCCATTGTTGGCAGCCGATGTGTAATATGAATTACGTTGTTATATGTTAAATTCTTGAAATGTGAGAAATGCAGTCAATTTTTTATGAAATGAAATTTTTCTGTGGCATAGATTTTACAAATACGATAACAACATGAGTATTTTGGACTGATTTGTTTTGTACAAAATAATATCACGTTTTGGTGACATTTGAATTGTCTCATAAATTTCATAGTGAAAAATGATACTCCTTTATTCTGAATTGGAAAATTCAAAATAGCCCCACACATAATCCGTCGTTCAACAGCCATGTTGGATTACATATTGTTGAAAACATCACTTTCCCCCTTAAATATTTCTTTCTTCGTAGTGGACATTGGTTTTGGTATATTTGTTATGATATCAGTTACCCCATTATGTCTAGCTGCTGGAGCAATAATGATGTATGTATTCATAATTCTGTAATACAACAAGGTTACAAGGGTCTTTAGACATTTAAAATAAACAGTGTAAGTTTTCAAAAAAAGTTTTTAATAATTTGTCATTCATTTAAAATGTATGTATTCCTGTTATTCTTCTTCTATTGTGTGTAATATCAGCCACATCATCTAAGTGATTTTTAATTTCATACTTACAGTGTCTCTGGCTTACTTGTATTGTCATTTGAAGCACCAGTTATTTGTTCTAAAATCAAAATTGTGGAGGAGACAAGTAAATGGATTGAGAAAAACCTCAGATTTTGGATCCGTGCTTTTATTTACCTTTGGTAAAGATAACTTGATTGAAAATATTGCAAATAAATGGTTAAAAATAATCAATCATTTTTGATGTACTTTTCCATTGTTTAGTTTGGCATTGTTGCCTTTCTTAATGTGTCAAGAATTATCAACTTTCATAGGATGTGGTGCAATAATGGTAACGGCCGCATTATATGGTGTTTTGGCCATTGGAAAGAAGTATGTCTTTGATAAAATAACAAAATGATGTAAAAGTTGTGTTAATATCTTAGTTTTCTACTTCATTAGAGGTTCTTTACAATCAACATCAAATGATGATGATGTTGAAATGAAAGAATCATTGGTTAATAATTCAGAAGATCCTAAAGACCTTGGTTCTTCCACCTAATTAATGGTTAAATATGAAATGCTGGTTTGCTTTCTAAGATTTCACTAATTCCATAAAGCCAAGACATGTAAATGCTTATTTGTCACTGGTAATCATATTAATATAGCTCAAATGTCTATGAGCTATGTCCCAGAAGAAATTATTTAATATACATAGAAAACATGCAAAAATGTTTTAAAATTAAAAAAATTCAAAGTAATTAATATATTACGTAATGGCCATGCTATTGTAAGATTGGTACAATAATGAATATGGTGAAATTTTATTATATAAACAGTTCTATGCAAATTCTGTGTACTTGGTGGATTATACTACATAAATATTCACATTCCTTTTGAAGCCTGGTCAAAGAGTTCACGGCTGATAATCATTCTTTGAATCTGTGCTGTGCCCTCGTAAATCTAAATAACATTTAATACATAATATGATGTTTAATAAGAACTGGTGAAAAAAAATTAATGAGCAAATTGAACATTTTATGATGAAGATATAATTACCTGGAAAATTTTGGCATCTCTCATTAATTTCTCAACTGGATAATCAGAATTGAAACCATTGCCTCCAAATACCTTTGAAACATTTATAATGCATGTAGAGTTAAAGAAAACAACAACAAATGACATCATCCTCTTACTTGCACAGCATCAGAAGCACATTTGTTAGCAACATCACCAGCTAAACATTTTGCAATAGAAGCGTAGTATGTATTCTTGATTCCCTATATTAAAAAAGGTTTCAGGCAATATCCACAGTGAGTGCAAATTAGATAACAGTCTAAAAAACAAGCTCAGGTTTTTAACTGCTAAAGATTCTTAAATCAACCTTATCTATTAGACAAGCAGCCTTGAGAGTAACTAATCTTGCAGATTCAATTCCAATGGCCATATCAGCCAATATAAATTGAATGGCCTGATGCTATAAGAAAGTACAAAATGTTCTCCTTTTAGTGGCTGACAACTGTCAGAACTTTGAGATTCCATAAATTCCCAAACCATAGCAATAGATTTTCCCATAGTCTTTCTTTCCATTGCATACTTGGTCGCTTCTTCAAATGCTCTTTGAGCAAGTCCCACAGCACCAGATGCAACTGGAGGTCTTGTCCTATCAAATGCACCCATTGCAATCTTGAAACCAAGGCCTTCCTCACCTAGCAAATTCTGAAAGATCACAATATTCACCATTTTATCATTTCATAATTGACCAACATGTTACAAGTAACTACCTCTTTAGGTACAAGAACATCTTCGAAATTAACAGCTCGTGTATCTGAAGCTCTTTGACCCATGTTCCATTCCTTTCTACCAACTGAAACTCCTGGCGTGTCACGATCTACTATAAAGCCTGAGAATGCCTTTCCAGTTTTAGCAGTAGGATCAGTTTTTGCAAGTACGAAATACCTGTAATGAATTATTCACATAACATAAATGATTGATGCAATGATACAAACATAAGCTAAAAAAGAATGGAATCAGCATTTTTTCTTACCAATTTGCATGCCCACCATTGGTGATCCACATTTTTGATCCATTTAAAACATACTAAAATGGATACTTCAAAATGAGCATAAAAGTCCATAAATTATGAAATTTACTCACATCATAAACATAATCATACTGACATGATCTCCTTTCTTTTCAGCCTTGGTTTGAATACCTGCAACATCTGAGCCTGCAACAGGTTCAGTAACACAATATGCCTAATGTAACAAAAATGAATGTAGTTTACAATAAAAGTTGATAGACTAATGCAGAAAATTTTTTAATTTATCGTACAGCAATCAGGGGTTCTTCAATCATCTTAGATAAGTATTTCTTCTTTTGTTCATGGTTTCCTGCAAGAATGACTGGAGCTTCCTAAATAAAAATAAACAGTGGGAATACTCCTATTTAAGCTACAAAATCACATAAACTTTGAAGCTATTATGGACAGATAATCACATAAAGATCTTACAGCTAAGCCATTTGCTTCCATAGCAGTTTGAACTCCAGTGCAAGCATAAGCTATCTCCTCAGTAATCAAACAACTTTCTGTTGACCCAAGATTCAATCCACCTGTGTTAGCAACACATTGTTCATATCCATTGTTTAGGGAAAATTATAACGATATAAGACCTACCATATTCTTCAGGAATATGTGTGTTCATCAAGCCTAATGAATGTGCTTTTTTTATGATTTCCCATGGATACTAAAATGATGAAATGCATTTCTTACTTACATGTAAAACGTTTATTATGACTGTTTTCATGATTTACAAAATTTCAACAAACCTCTCCTTTTCTATCAAGTTCTGCTGCCACGGGTAATATTTCTTCACGAGAAAATTTTCTTGCCAGGTCTCTTAACGCTGTCAACTCTTCTGACATATCTTTAATTAAAAAAAAATAACGTTTTTGTGATCCTAGTCAAGACAAAACAAAAATATGCAGAACTTACCAAACGAGAAACCTGATGTGTTTTCTGCTTTGACACTGTACCACCGTTTGCCCTGTATGAAGAAAATGTTATTGTTATACAAAAAATAAATATTAAGATACCTACACATTAATAATAACGAAAGCGTCTGCAAAAACTTCGTATGAACATCATATTTTTTCACACAAAATCCATCGTATCAACACAGAGTTCAAACGAGACCAAAGTTCAATATGACTTTCCCAATCAATGAATTGGATCATTTACCACATTGCGTAGAACTCTGTTTATCCTTCGTAAAGAGTAAAGATTTCTAGCTGCCATTTTATGGAGTGCAGCAGAATCAGTTGATTGTCAAATATACTTTATGCTTCTGTCAGCATTTAGAAAAGTTCACTGTTTATGAAAGTATAGAAACAACACATTACACAATAATATGGATGTCATCAAACTAGACACCAGGCTTTACTGGGCTTTACTCACCGCACGACCAAACCCAGCACAAGCCTTGTACCATCAATCCACAATTTTTCTAGCAATGTGGAGGCCTGTTTATTCAACCAAAAAATTTATCCAACAAAGTGTACACAGTGCCAGTGGCTCCTTCATTCACTTGCTGTAGCCTTCTTATCACTTTAATAACGACACCATCGTGACATACTGATATATTGACGCCTTCAACCCATTCTATCTTTAGCGCAGCTGGGAAGCAAAACATTGAAAAGCAGCGGTTTTAAAAGCGCGAGTTTCAAAAAATAAATTCTATGTCAATGGTAAAGATGGTGGAAATATTCGTTAGCACGTACCGCTGATGACATAGCTCAGAAATGGAGTCTGACCAATATATGAACGTTACTAAGTTACCTTAGAGGTAGTAAATGCTACCCTTCTAAATTGGGTCCAAATCAGAGCCCCCTATATAAAATGCGCTGATTACAGGCAAACCCCGCATAAAGATAAATGAACCAATGGCTTAAACACAACCACTCCTTAAATAAATTGTTATAGGAGAATCAAGTTGTATGCCATATTGAATATCGTTTTATTATTGAACAATGTGATTCTTCACGTTAGTGACTCTCAAAAATTCATGGCAAAGGAGCCATAAATCTAAAGCACCTAACTCCAAAAACTATAGTTCACGCACTCAACCCCAAAAACTATAGTTCAAGCAACTAACTCCCAATGACTATAGTTCATGCACCTGACTCCCAATGACTACAGTTCATGCACCCAACCCCCAAAGATATAGTCCATTCAACTAACTCCCAAAAACTATAGTTCAAGCAACTAACTCCCAAAGACTATAGTTCACACACATTACTCCCAAAGACTATAGTTCATGCACCAAACTCCCAAAGAGTATAGTTCATGCACATAACTCCCAATGACTATAGTTCATGCACCTAACTCCCAAAGAGTATAGTTCATGCACCTAACTCCCAAAGAGTATAGTTCATGCACCTAACTCCCAAAGAGTATAGTTCATGCACCTAACTCCCAAAGAGTATAGTTCATGCACCTAACTCCCAAAGAGTATAGTTCATGCACCTAACTCCCAAAGACTATAGTTCATGCACCTAACTCCCAAAGAGTATAGTTCATGCACCTAACTCCCAAAGACTATAGTTCACGCACCTAACTCCCAAAGAGTATAGTTCATGCACATAACTCCCAATGACTATAGTTCATGCACCTAACTCCCAAAGAGTATAGTTCATGCACCTAACTCCCAAAGATATAGTTCATGCACCTGACTCCCAAAGATATAGTTCATGCACCTGACTCCAATACAATACCACAATGTTGTATGACTATGGCAAATAACTGAAATAATATATTATTTCAAAGAAATAATTCATCAGTGTTATTTGCATTATAGACTATGTATAAATATAGCATATCTTCTAGAAAATCATATAAGATGAAGAGTTTTTTCTTTACCCACGGAACTTCTTAAGAACAACCTAAACAGGAATAAATGAAAAATGTGAAGATCATGTTGTATTAAGTTTACATCAACCAAAAGCAGCAATAAAAACGCACAACTGCACCTAAACTCACAAGTAAATATTACCGGAAGGGCATTCTCAACATGAGTTCCAGTTAGATGTTTTTGTCCACTTTCTTGGCAGTTCAAATTTGCCTCAATGGCAAGTGAACGTAGAAACATCATATAATTCAAAAATATCTTTAAAGAAATAACAATTAGAAAAGGTTTATGCTATCATAACTTCTTTCTATTCATTTGTACTTCACTTAATACTCATATAAGAGTGTTATTCTTTGATGCAGAACTACTCACCAAAATATCGACATTTTTTGTCATTTTAATTTCTTTCTGATAGCTTTTTATTATTTTCTGAAGTCTAGAACGTGGAAATCTTCTCTTCATAGCGTTATCGTTGTGAAGTAAACAGCTAAATAAACAACAAGTTTCGAAAAACTTCCGCTAATTTGATATTTTTGAATTTCCCTGTTTTGTTAAGAGGAACCAACTTTGCCCTCTTCTATCCATGATAGTCGCATGTTATCCCGTAGTGACCTTCAAATTCGGGATTTTATCATAAAGGAGACACAAAGTAGACATAAAGGTAGACCTAAAGGTAGACATAAAGGTAGACATAAAGGTAGACATAAAGGTAAACACAAAGGTGGACAGAAAGATTGACAAAAAGGTAAACATAAATATAGACATCAACAACGAAGGGACAACATAAGCGTTATTTTAAAAAGACGACATGAACGTTATTTTAAAAAAATGGACATTTTCAAAAGACAACATGAACGACATTTCGAAAAGATGACATGAACGGCATTTCAAAAAGACGACATGAATGACATGGACAGACAAAGGTAGACATAAAGGTAGACATAAAGGTAGGTAGACAGAAAGAAAGACACAAAGGTAGACATAATGGTAGACAAAAGGAAAAGAAAAGGTAGACGAAGGTAAAAAAAATGTTGACAAAAAATGGACATTAAAGTAGACAAAACGATAAAATAGGTAGACCTAAAGTAGCGATAAATGTTAACACAAAGGTAGACAAAAAATAGACACAAAGGTAGTCCCCCCCCCCGTTCCTACGCTCCAAATATGATACAATGTTTTTGTTGAATATCCGTATTTAATACAGATTTATATCTAAATATGGTACATTGTTTTTGTTGATATCCGTACTTAATACAGATTTATCTCAATTTAAACTTTGAACTTAGCTTCAAATTTCTAAAAAAACTAGAAATACTGATATCCATAGGAAAGCAATATTTTACATCATTCGGAAGATGTATATTTCATATTTTTTACATTTTGTATTTGTCCTTGTGGTGTTCTTTTTTCAGAAAATCTGTCCACCTACCAAAACTTGCATAGGAGACGCACCAAGAGAATTTTTCACAATTTTTGACTGTGACAATCGTCTTTTGAAACTGTGGCGTTGTTTTGATTCTTGCAATATTTGAGTAAAAAATGAACCAAACGCGATAACTATGCCTGTTGTAAATACGATTGTTCCTGCAACATCCATTTTGTTTTAATTAACAACGATTGAGTTACGACGGTTGGATTGAGTGTTTCTATCATTGCCCGCTGATAAACACTCTTCAATTTAAGTTGGCGTCAAATTAATGCCTTCTACAAGTAATGCGCAAGTATAACTAATCATTAATTTATAACATATATATTTTAAAGGAGGACGTTTACAATTTATGAAATGCAGAGAAAAAGAGAAAATGTGAAAGCCATAGTGCAAGGAAACACTCAAGAAACTTAGTTAAACGTACCTACCATAATATAAAAATACTAAGTCAAATTCAGAAGTAAACTAGTGAACTGAACAGAAGCAAATAGGAAGCAGGTAAAAACAGGTTTCACAACCTGTTTACATGTATCAATATAGTGCTGTTACCATTGTTACTGACGATCGACGATGACAAGTCCATAACAAGAATTTTTATTGGGTGATTTTATTTACAATACTTACAAAAGGTGTTGAATTTTTTTAAGAAATGCAAATTTAAAATTTACCGATTGATTCTATTTAATTTTCGTTAAAAACTAATTACAACAAGGTGTCGGAGTTTTAACATAAATACACCTTAATAAATATTTTAGATATGTGATAAAAAGCATTTTACTACTACGTCACAATTATGTTCTATTAAACTAATCTTCCCATGTTCTAACTATTTTTACCTTTTGTGCAATTAAGTTCCAGCGAACGTTCTATCAATCAGGGCGTTGTACTATACACCACGTGACACAAAGAAGTTTGTTCGAATGTTTGAAGCATTTATGAGTATGGAAGTCCTTGAATAGCAACTTACACCTGCATCATCTTTGACGCCCAGACAAAAAATTGTCCATATCTTTTAAATAGGCGATGTTCATTTCGGTTTTCAAGATCATCATTTGACGTTGATTGGGTATGGATTTTCAATTCTCTTCATTTTAACACCAATCATCTCCATCATCAATATCCTGCAGTCCATATATGGCATACGGACTCTTACCACTTCTGATTGCCATAGCAATGTGCTGATTGATACTTGGATGGTAACCATTCTCTGAGATATCGCTGTCCCCAGCAAATCGTGGCACAGGTGATGAATTATTTATTGAACTGTGTGAATGCTGCTACATAAGAGTAAAACAATGACAATCTCATTGATGGCAAGAAGCGGACAATGCCTCCCACGATGCCTCACTCACTTACCCTACTTTGCGGCGATAATAAGGAAGGTGGTAAGAATCTTTGATGGGAGATATCTGCAGGAGTAGCAGTGGATTGTAGAGGTCTCATTGGGATATCCTACGTTCGTTTAAAGAAAGTCAAAACTGTGCAAAACAATGCTGTTGGTTTTGTAGCAATTGATTAAAATAGCTTTGCAAACACTGACCTCCCTTCTCTCCAAATCTGGACTATTATGTACATTTCTAAAACCATTACCACCAACAAATCGATTGAAAAGATTAGCGCCATCCTATAAATGCGATTTTATCCACTTAATATGGATTACAATACTCTAAACGTAGATGAACTTGGCAATCATACCTGAGCGTCCCCTTTCTTTTTCAAAAATTTATAATTTTCGTAGATCAACTTTGCGCAGTATATTTTCCCTACAGTCATCTGCATGGTGCCTGCTTAAGAAAAAAATCTTTGAGAAAAAATCTCTTTAAACAATGGTTGCGCCAAAGCATGATATTACTATTTCTTGGTGGTTTTGGTAATATTTTGTCTAAAGTATTCTTCGTGAGCTTTGGCCAAGCTTTTTTGAGTAACGCAATCATTTCTTTATCGTTCTTCTTCAGATTATCTAAATCAGATAACAAAGTAAATGGTTTGAACCCTGGAGTATCGTTACATGTTTGTAAATGTAGATCGTCCAGGTTGGTATAGTCCTGAGAAGGACTGTTTTTGCTGAAGGACTGTTTTTACAAACATGTAAATCAGATAAATCACAAAAAACCGTACGACTGCGCTTAAGTAATTGTACAGTTGCATTAGATTTAAGTAAATGCACAGTTTCATTAGATTTAAGTAAATGTACATTTTTATTAGATTTCATAAACTTACTATGATCTGTGAGAATACCAAGTGCAGTTCTCACTAAAGCAAACAATGTCGCCGTAAACTCCACTGTCCCATCTGCATCAAGTGGCATATTCATCTTAATAAGACGCTGTAGGATGCAGGACACAATCAATCATCAAGTGTTCATGGACGAAGTAAAAATGCAGCAAATCTATGTGGGTTCTAACCTTATACGCAACAATCTTTGGACATTTCATACCAATACCAACAGGCGGTACCATTTGACGTAGTAACTGACAAACTTCTGTATGTTTAATACGACCTCTTTAAGAAATATTAGAGAAAAATATAAGAGTCATGTACGTCCTTTCCGGTTGCACCTTCTAGCTAGATTCTAAAATAAAAATAGCAGAGTATCTCACGTTGCAGCTGGATCAAATTCTGCCCAAACTCTTACAAACTCGTCCAAATGATGTGGACCGAGAATGGATTCATCGCGAGTAAGATATTCAAAGTTATCCATGATAACAGCAACAAACAGGTTTAGCATCTATAAATATATTTAGAATCAAGGGATAAGGACACTATTAAATACGCTGAGAACGGAATAAAAGAAACATACCAAAAACGAACACAAAAATACAAAACTAATGAAGTATAGATATGTAAATGGAGTGCCACATTTTTCCCAGTCATCGATGGGACTGCGTCATTTGTACATGGAGCATTAGAGTCACACGCTAACATGATGTTATGCCAATTTTCACCAGTAGAAGCTCTAAGAAAATTAAAGTACAACACTCAACATACTTCGAAGAAAACATCCATTTGGTAACTCAATATTTATAAGCTGTTAATGAAGAACACTAAATTTCCTACAATTTAATTATACACCAAATAACACTTATCTCACGGTGATTAGAAACGAAAAAAGAAAAACAAAGAATATTATACCGAAATAGAACTTGTATAGCAGGGAAGAAACTTCTAAAATTGTTTCTAGATGTTATATCCTCGGAGTCTGTGGCGATTTTACCAAATAACTACAACCAAAAAAACATACACAGCAATAGTTTTGAGTTAGTGCTTAAAAAGTATTTCTCTTCACAAATCAAACCAACACTCGAAAAAGAGCTCACCTGCATACCAATGATGGCATAAATGAAAAATAACAGTGCAATCATAATTCCAACATAAGGAAGAGACTAGTGTACAGAGGCAAAACAATAATTTAAATTGACCATCATGATTTGAGAAATCGATCAAGTAATGATTACTTACTTTAAAAGATTGAAGAAATGTCCACAACAGTATTCGAATGGTATAACCTCGTTTTAATAACTTGACTAATCTCGCAGCACGGAACAATCTGAACATGCTCACGTCAAAGGGAAGGTCGCCGCTCGGCTAGTAATATATAAATATTGAATTTTTCACTCCTTTTAAATTTATTAGAGAATCAGAGATAACACAAAATAACTCTGTATTATTTATTCATATAACAATTGTGATGTACATTTTATTACATACAGATGCATGAGTCAATATAAAATCCAACAGACTTCCCAATACGATAACGAAATCAAAGCAATTCCAGCCATCACGGAAATAGTTCTAGAAACAAAGTAAACGTGGTCAGTGAAAAAATAACATCACAGCAACAAGGAGAGAAATTACATTAACTGAACAGAAAAGTTGAGTAAGCAGATTGACGAGGCAACATGAAGTTAACCTCAGAGTTTAGCAGCTTCCAATTAGACTTACCAATCTGAAAACATACAACTTTAAAACAGCCTCCAACGTGAATAAAAAGGTAAAAACTTCATTAAATCTGTCCAGATACATGCGATATGTAGCAGATTCATTGTAATACTGGAATACATAAAAGAAACGAATATCTCAGTGTTTCAAGACATGATGCCCTCCGCGTAAAAAAAAAAGAAAAATAATCGCATACCTTCATCATCATGGTCAACGTGTTGAGAATAATAAGTAACATAATGAAATATTCAAATGGTGCTGAATCAACAATTTGCCATACACGATAACGAGGCGCGTTTGGATTATCCGGCATGAAACGTTGGATTGGTTTCTTTATTATAGCAATATGAAGACAGTCGCGCTGAAACATCCAAATTAAAACCGTGCAGGGATTACTAAAAAAAACCATAATTTATGTATCGTAAACAATACCTGATTTCTCTCTAGTTCACAGTTCCCCTGCTCCTTTTCTTTTTCGTCTTGGAATGTAAGAATAATTAAAGCGACAAAAATGTTGATGAAGAAAAATGAGAAAATGACGACGAACAGAATGAAATACAAAGACACTTCGATTTGATTGTTCACGATTGGTCCTCGGTCGATGTCGGTGGCGTCAATTGCCGATTGCATCACACTGAATGAATGTTAAATTATTACAAATATGCAAGCAAGGCATAATTTCTAGACTATTTAATCATTCATATATTCATGTGTTCAATATTAGAGAAGGAATAATTTTTACTTACGCAGGCCATCCTTCGCCTGTAGAAGAAGCAAACAGGGTACTCATAGCGTAAAACACATTATCAAAATGCCAAGCTTGTTTTGACCACTTCCGTGCGCTATCCTGCAAGTATATGGTGAAGAACAAGATGAAAACAGATCATTGCCATTTTAGTGGTTTTCTATTTTTAAAATAAGATGTTCATCTCAACAAGCTGTGTAAATTCACTCGACAAAACAAAGTGACTTAAACTAACCGTAGGATTATCAATATCACTAAGGTCGCTCTTGTATTCGAAAAAAACACCTCTAAATGAATATAATCTCAGGTTAGATTTTATCATTTCTTCTTAAGAGATCTGTTGAATAACTCACTTGCATTCTTCTTCAGTCATCTTGGACTTATCGTTACAGGAAAAAAATTTTCCCTGTTGAAACAAAAAAATTATATTTTAGTGATGTCCAAGGACGTCAATTCAAAGTTAATTGAGGGCGACGATATTTATATATTCTGTTATTCCACAAGTTCATTTCTTTTGAAAGTGTAATTGTTTTGGAAAGAAATTAGCCACGCATAGCATAATATATGAATATGACCTTCAAGGTTGAAGCCAATGGTGATGTATAAAACGTTCCACATAAGAAAACAGATCAACTTACTTGAAAGAGTTGAACTCCGATGCAAGCAAATATAAATAAGAAAAGCATTGTAATAAGTAAAATATTCATGACATTCTTGAGAGAGAAAACAATACACTGGAACACAGCCTGCGTTAAAAAACATCAAATACAACATATTCAATATCTGTAAATCTCAAAAAGTTCAAAGATGTGATCACCTTAAGATTTTCAGATTTATTCACAGCCTTGAGAGGACGTAAAACACGAAGAACGCGAAGTAGTTTCACGATCTTCTGAGCGTCTGGTGAGGAATTTGGATTTGATCTATAATAAAAGAGATTTAAAATTTATATTTCTCTAAGTTATCATAACGTAAAACGAAGACTTTATGAATATGTTTTCAAGATAGCCGAGCAATAAGTACAGAGTCTTTGATTTAAGTATGTAACCCAATTCTCAATTACAACAAAAATGAAAAAAAATACAAATTGCTTACACCAAAACTAATGAAGCAATAGCAGCGCACACAACCAAAGCATCAATGAAATTCCATCCGTCTCTAAGATATGAACCTTTGTGAAGCACCACACCATAATCGATCATCTAAATAACGAGCCCGCGGTAAATGCTCGTCACTTTGTTTTACGTATTCCTAGTTTAAATTGCAAGCCCGAGGCAGTTTATGACGAAGACTTTTCTCACCTTTACGACAACTTCAAACGCAAATATAGTCGTGAAAACGTAGTCAAAATAAAGCAGAACCTGAAAAAGATGAATGATAGTAATTTGAGGATTTAATTAATATGACGCTGATTTTTTACGAGGCTCGTTTATCTTTATTTGTTGAATAACACAAAACATAATGGTATTTTAGGAATGACAATTAACAAATTTATTTAGATAAAATCATTATAGTACAAATGACAACAAATTCGATTCATAATTAAAGTTCATCAACCAATAAAGTAAAATTTTTCCAGGAAGAATCTTTGGAACCACTAACCTTGTTAATTTTAGCTTCTTCATTGACGACGTCTTCACAAGCCAATAAAACGCTACTTATAAGGATGCAAACCAATATTGCATTGTCAAAATTTGGAAAATTCACTATCCTGTGAGTTATTCTACGAACACTGAAAACATATAATCATTTTTAAGTAAAATAAGTTCGCAATTTCAAACCGAAGTCACAAACTCACGGATTTGTTGGAGAGAAGATAAAAAACGTCTTTGTGTTGATTATAGATGGTTCCGTGTGAAATGGAACAATTCTTTCGGGGTTCTTCAACGTTTGCATAATGCTTGAATTTCGTAGTTGACCTATACATAAATAAGATTCACGTGTACTAAAATATCCTCATTCATACCGACGTGATCCTAATACTTACGAACCATCATCGTCTTGTTCAAACTCATTTCCAGTCCTTTGATGACCATCAATATCCATTGCAGTGTTAGTAGCATGACCATTGTTCCTGGGAACAAGACATGCAAAGATTATAGCATGATGAGGTGCTTTATAGGACAGTGTACTTGCAGCTACCTGATTGTTTTCATGAATTCCGCCTTGATCTCTCGCTTTTTTTCTTCCCTGGCTAGTTCCTCGGCTTCTTCATCCTCGCTCAGCTGCTGAGCATTTGCCAAATTATCTACTGCGATAGCCAAGAAGACGTTCAATAACGTATCTGTAACAACATCTTAAGGTTTATAATAATATAATCTCAAGTGTAGTATACATGAATCCAACATCTTCCCTTGATGTCACCAATTTAAGCAAACCAACTTTGAAAAAAGATTATAGTAAATTTAAAAGATACAATTTCCCAACACAACCAGAAGAACAAAATACAAGGAAGCAGCGAGTCCAGCTGCAGACTGCGGTCCGCCACGAGAAACCACGCCATCATACATCACTGCATTCCAGTCCTCCCCAGTAAGAATTTGAAAAACGGCCAAAATGGCGTTTCCAAAGTCATCGAAATTCGTACGGGGATTTTCCTCACGATACAACTTGAACTGTGCGCCAAATAATTGCATTCCAAGTAGCGCAAAAATAAGAATGAAGAGAAACAAAAGGAATAATAAACTGAGAATTGACTTTATGCTTCCCAGTAGAGATGTTATAAGATTACGAAGTGACGACCAATATCTAAATAGACAAATAACATTTTTACTACACGATTTAAAAATTCTCATCGCTATATATTTTTTTAATGCTGTAAGTAGCGATAAATTACCTTGTAAATTTAAACAATCGCAGTAAACGAAGTGATCTTAGTACTGATATACCAAGATTTATTCCTTCAACTTTGGACAAAATATACTCAACAATACTGCACCAAACAATCTAGAAACATTCCAACAAACACGTTAATAATGCTTTGGTATCTGTTGCTGTAACTACTTCATCCCAACAACTATTAACTTACGATGAAGTCAAATCTGTTAAATTGGGAATTGAAATAAATTTGAAATCCAAGACCATAAATCTTAAGGCACATCTCAACAAAAAAGAAACTCAAAAATATCGCTTCAGCAATATCTAAAAATAATCACATCAAAAATCCATCAAAAGATACATTTCTGCCTTCTTCACGTCCTCTTTATTGCCTTACCTTGCATTTGTGTCAACCAATCAGGTTGTTTGTAATGTAACATAGCTACGCTTACAGTGTTGAGAAACACACACGTGATAATTAACCAATAAAAAGCTTGATGTTTCACCACGTGACGCATTTTTACCCGCCATCGCTTATTGCGACGTATCAAATTCTTCCAAAATCCTTCACTGTACGTATAACATAAAAATAAAAGTTTTTTTTACTACAACAGTATCTTTGATGGCAGATCTTCAGTCGATGAAAAAAAGCAAACTTACTCAATTTTGGCATTATGCCTTCTTCGAGCAAGTACATCTGACGTCATGGCCACACCTCCTTCGTATCTTTCAAAATCCATCACTACAGCGTGTTTAATTAAAGTATGTCACAATTTAAGAGAATTGAGAATGTAATTAAGAGAATATTTGTGGTCATTGCGTCGTAACAAGGTACCAACCATCGCCATTTTCTTCCTCTTCCATTATAATATCCTCTGAATAAGAAGAAAATTGACAAAATGAAAAAGAAATTTTGTACTTTTAAACCATTTAAAATTACCTGCTTTACTCAACCAATCTAAATAACCAGTAACTTGTCGCTCAACTTGCTCTGATCTTCTTACTTTCAAAAATGCTTTACGATTTTCTACTCTCTCTCTTTCCTTTGCGAACTCTCTAAACACCATAAAAATTATTACCACAACGCAACCAACTTTTGATATTTTTCTATCACCTACATCATTAACTTACCCACTAAGAACACCCAGAACCAAGTTTAACATAAAAAATGAGCCAATAACAACGAGAGAATAATAAAAGAACCAAAAGTAGTAAGCGTTGTCATCTAACGCATTGAATGACTAGAAAACACAAAAATGAATGTAATGAGAATAGTATAGGTGAAAAACGACATCTTTTTCATCAAACTGATCCTTCTAACAAAAATCTTCAAATCATCACAAAATGACCAACCCACCCAGTACATTATATCTGTCCATCCTTCGTTAGTTATAACTTGGAACACAGTAAGCATTGCAAGAAATATATTATCAAAATTCGTAATGCCATCATTTGGTCCCGCTTTCCATAGTTCTTTACATTCTTCTCCGTCAGGACAATTCTTTCCATAACCATTCTTTTTACCACATATCTCAAGGTCGTCCGCTTCCGGTAAAACAGCTATGAAAGATCAAATAAATAATTGTGTTTGACCTTTAGATTGTGAAGCCGCATATTCTTAAGTGAAATTTGTTAATCATGGCAAATTCTATAAATTTTTTTCTTATAAAATTAAAATACAAACGTTACATACTTGAGTTTTCCTCAACACACACTCGGTGAAAAGACCCATTCAGAAATTGTAAACCAATGATGGCGTAGAGCACGATGACGAATCCAACAAGAAGACAGATCTGAAGCAGCGGGCTAATGGCGCACATTATAGACTTCATAACAACTTGCAAACCTTAAAAAGTTAAGATTTGCAAGTTTAAAATTCAACTAAAAAAATTCTTAAAAAATGTTGAATAAATATTGCTTTGCACTTTACTTATGTTCGCATGAAAACTAGATTATGAATGTAAATCAACCAGATAACTGCAAATAAACAACTTACTGGGAATGCCGGAGACAAGCTTCAATGGTCTGAGAACTCTTATTGCCCTTAAAGCTTTCAAGCTTCCAGCATTTATATTCAAAGATAACTGTGGCAGACTGAGAAACCTATAAAATAAGGACAATATTTGTTATTTAAGTATTTTTTAACCGTTTCGTTTGTGTTTGAAAATCATCAATGTCACATTTAAAATATTTCAATACGAAATAAGGTGTTGGAATAAATTGTTAATATCTTGTAAAAAGCGTGTTTTCAAAAGTTGATGATTATTATTAAGTTAAAAAAAGGCGTGTTTTAAAAGTTGATGATTGAAAGTATGATGATTACTGAAAAAACAATAGTTAAAATGAGCAAACAGCAGCATTTAAGTGGGTGTTTTGATGCTATATTATGGAGCTCTCATAAACTATTAATTCACGATAATTATTCATGCAGGGGTCGAGAGAAAAATACTAGAAACGAGAAAAAACAATTATGTTTGAACGAAATTGTTATGGGAAGAAGGTTATCAACACAAATTGTTGTAAATAATTACAAACAGTGTAAATAGTTATTTTAAATTTATAAATTTCAACAATACAAGTATGCTTTACAAATCCATGAACAATTATTGTTCACGCACATGATGATTTTTTTACTGATTACATAAAGAAGTTATAATAATGCAAAATGAGGACACGATTTGATGTTTACCACCACAATTTTTCAAAAGAATTATGTTCGGATGGATGATTTCAATACTAACAATACATTTATTAATGTCTTTTACACAAAGGATCTTTCTTCGTTTTGTGTAATTAACGTGAATCAACGCAGTCGTTAATGGTACACAGAATGTACTGGACATAATCTACTCTCAACATGTGTGCCACAATTTTACTTTAAAGATTCAACCCTGGATCGTTATATACAAACAGTATGAAAAAAAGCGGTAGTGTCGTTGTATCAAAACCTATATTTTAATCTAAGCCCGTTACTGTCGAAATACAAAGATGTTCAAACACTTTAAAACATTTTCTGCTGCACTTTAAGATTTCCTACATGTTAGCATTTTAAATTTTACGTTCGTGTGTATATGTTTATAGCAAGCTTTTAAATTATTCATCACGGGAAATTTTATTTTTTTGAATCGAATTCAACCTTTGCATAAACAGTTTCACAATTTATCTATCAATCCCAAACTTAGGTCTAACTAAAAATTTTCCTCTTAAATTCCTTGAAAGCAATGATAGTTAATGATTTCAGTTAATAGCTTGATTGAATTCTATTCCCACAAATTATAATTGTTGTCAAACTCGATCGTAAATGAAACAAATGTCGCTTTATATTCCAGTAGATTAAAGTCGTGAAGGACTTATGAAGCTAACCCATAATTTACATTTCACGGTTTAAAACTCTGAATGGGATGAAACGGAGCAAATTCATTATCTGTTTCATACCATTTATTTTGACAACATATCATACATAAGCAAATATTCTATTGAACTAAATACATTTTACAGGAGGACGACGAACTTGCGACACACAAGATGATTTGCCGGATTGCGTGTTCACGATTTGAATATAACAAATTTCAGGAATATTCAATGATGAATGCATGATGTTTGTAAGGCATAAAAGGGGATTTGTCATCGACATCTTTTAAACTCTAGTCCAAAAGGGTTGTGTGGATTTTCTATGAATTAAAAGCATGGACCGTCACAGTAGATTTTTAATAAGCTCACCCTGTGATTACTACAACAAAGTCTAAAACATTCCATCCATTTCGCAAATATGAACCAGGATGAAGTAGAAATCCAAATGCGATGATTTTCATGATGCATTCAAAACCAAAAATTGCCAATAGGTATATTTCAGCTTTTTCCTACAAAAAGAAAACTTTACTGTTCGATACATTGTAATCGATTAATGGCATTACGATAAAAGTACAACATGAAAATGCATACAATTCTTTCGTTCGTTTCACTTTTGTCGTCTTTAGGAAGAGGTTTATTCATTGCTAGTAAAACACAGTTTGCAAATATCGTCGCCAAGATAAAATAATCGAAAGGCTGAAAAGTTGTTGAAGGAAAATCGTGAACTTTACTCTATAACACTTCATTAAAATACGCTATAATGTAGAAACAAAACATCGAAATCTTTAAAGGCAAATTTAAGCTTGCATTTGTTAGGCTTATGATAAAAGCATTAAAAAACTGATTTTGATATTTATTTTAAGGCTATATATAATATTGTGGTAATATTATTAATTTAAGCTCGAACAGGAATACTATATTTGAAGAAGTTTTAGTAATTTTGAGATAGAATAACAAGGTGAAAATGGAAAACGGGTACTAAACTATACTAAAGTATCCATTTTATTATAATCATATATTTAAGAACATATTTTTATTGAATACTCCTTGATTCTAGGGGTCTGTATGTAAAATTTTACAGATAACACACAGCACATAAAAAATGAATGGTGTTTGTTAAATGATAAAGGATACTTTAGACTCGACAATATTTCTGCATCGAATTCGGAATGGATTTGTTTCTTTAAACAACCATAATGAAGTGTAAGATTTTCTAGTAGGTATGACCTCGGCTTGTGACCCAAACCGACGCTCTTGAAAATCCATTTCTTCTAAAGTATTGTTTTGAACATCGTCGTCCATATTGTCAGAAAAATACGGCTGTCTTTTATCATCCATATTCGGTACAGAAACGCGATGAATAACGTCCTCAAAATGTATCGTTGTACGAGCTTCCCTCCGGCGACGAAAATATACCTACTGTTAAAAAAAAGTGGAGCAAAACTTCATTCGCCCGCGTTCATTCATTTTAGCTTTTATTCCGAAGTTTCTTTGCAAATAATTTAAGCTTGTGATGAATGCTAATTATTTGTAAATGCAGACCAATGGCGAAGCATACAAACCGCATATCACGTGGGACATAATACTGAAGAAAACGGGTGGCTTTCCAAACAGTTTATGCCATATTTGTCTCCCTAAAGTGGAAAAAGAACTATCCACCTGCACTAAAAAAATTAAGCACTGTCTACGAGTACAACCGAAGCGGAAAAGCACAACAGTAGTTGTACAAAGGGCTGTTGCTCGTGGTAACCAAACAAACTAAAAATATAAATATTGTGAAGTCAAATAAGACGTCTGAGTTATTAAAATTCTGTCTGCAAATTGACATGAATGGGCACTGAGAATCTAATTTAAATCGTTCAAAAATAGTTTAACACCGCATGTATTCGCCTTTGATTATTAATCAGTGGCAATTGGCAAATAAAAGCCCTAAACGACAGGCACAGGGTTATGTATTAATGAGAAAACAAAATACATGTGTACTACGAGTATTGCGTCGACTCATAGAATTTGACAAGTTATTTCGGAAATGATGCACTTCTCCATGCTATGTATTTATGACGGTGGTAGGTCATACACCTGTTCAAGTGCCATTAACATCTTTAAGCTAAGTACAAAAAACAATTTGTAGAAAGGAATGCCTTAGAAACTAAAAGTACAAATGAAATGAAAGAGAGGTTTGTACCTCTATTACCTAACAAGAGGTGATAATTATCAAAATAATTTCAATAATACATAAGTAGTAAATGAGTATGTAACATATAGAATAATTATATAAGAAGGAAGGCCAGAATAATTTACACTGCTGAGGTAATGTGCGGTTTACATATATTTAGAGGATCTCGAACATTTCATAAACACCTTTCAACAACCACGTCGAGTGGATCAATTCTCAAGAAATTGTGAGCTAAGTTCGCAGAGACGTCAAATCATATGATATGGTGTTCAAAATGTTTTTTGATAATCGTTGTACATCCCAGGCTGCGTTGCAAGCTTCATCAAGATAGGGATGATGGTTGTACGATTGATTCTTGAAAAAAATCAAATGGAAATGCGAATTAAATTATTAAAATATTTGTCAAAATAAGATGGACTATTTATCACAAAAACAATGGGTAATATGAAACAGGATTTTTCATCTTACGAAACGAGATTGGCGATGTTTAACTTTTCGTTTTCGACGCGAAGACCTTGAAATGAAATTGAAGACATTTTTAGCAAATTCTGTTATTTATAGAAACTCAATTCAAATAACTCTAAAAACAATGTAACTGATCATAAAAAAACCTAGTTTGAATTACTAATCCTCGACATTTTATAGTGCAAAGTTTAAGAAAACAACAATCCTTTCAATACATTTAAAACTCCACATTCCAATAGTAGCTAAACGAGGGAAAATATATAATAATAAAAACCTTTTTCTCTTGACTAAATCTTCATCATCCGATGTTTCATAAAACTCTCCAAAACGAGAATGGCCGTGGTAAGTGTGGATATGATGAACTAAGGGGGATGATTGGTGTGGTGTTGCACCGGGATAACTTCTCGATAAATATGTCCTGTAAGTAGAGAAGATGTATGTGTATATGATTGTACCAGCACTTTAGTAGGTCAAATAAATATATTACCGTTGGTCAAGTTTTCTAGAATGTTTTGAAAAGGGAGTGGATGTTCGTGGATTGAGATGGTCTACAGTATTCACAGTGGATGCTCCTTGATGTACATTGATATCACTATATTCGTTATCACAAAAACGACAAAAATCTCTATAATTTTTATGTTGAAAAACTAATTTCTCATCTTGATCATCAACACGACTTCTAAGTTCGTCAACTTTGCGTACTAAATTACGAAGACGCACAGCCATGTCGTCATCACGAACAGACTGTTTCTCTTCCATGGTCTCATTGGGTGATGAATTGATACCAGTAGATATGTGTGACCTGTCAGGAGTAATAATACCCAAGGAAGAAAGTTGATCTAATTTGTCGGCAATATTTTGTAACTCGCGACGGAAATTTTCGTTAAGTGTTGTAAAATTATCCTTTTTCCTACTAGAAAGCACATCTATTTTTAAATTTTCAATAGCTTGTCGCAAATCATCCAGTTTACGATTTTGTTTGCGTTCGTCCATCTTTCGCAAGCGTTCGTGGTGATCTCGTAACCTATCGTACATCCCCGAAGATTCGCGAGAACTGCTCATTATGTTAACACGTTTATGAAGAGAATTAAGTTCATTTTGAAAATTTCTTTGTTGCCTACAAATAAAAAATAATTTATATTTACTTTAACGTCCTTAATGTGAAACTTTTCATTATAGGATAGCACATCATTGACAACAGGATAGCAACACAGAACTCACCTTTCAATATCGTCGATATATTTTAAACTTAACTCATCGTTTCTTGTTGATTTGTCAGTGTCAGTTGGTAAACGGTCTGGCATTGGAACAGGACTTAATTTAATGTCTGCTTGTCTGCGTGAATGACGAAATACTTTGGTAGTTTCTTCTGCACTTGAATCATTGTCAGTTGAAGAAAAAGATGTTGGTTTGCGACGTCTGTCAAGATAACGACGGTTGATGTTTGAAGAAGTCATCTTATAACGAGATGAGCATACAGGCGTCTTCTCTGTTGAGGACAGCGGTCTTTCGTTCTGTATACGTAAAACATCATCATTTGGCTGTTCGACGGTTAAATTGGTCATTGAAGAATGACGGTGAAGATTTGCAGTACGATCGTTGCTTGAGGAAAGCTTCAATGGACTCATTTGTTCCGTTTCCTCCTCATCTTCCGTTACAAGATCAAGATGATAATTCGAGTCCCACTGACTGGTTAAATTAATCTTTGACGGTGAATGTTCGAGACGTCCAGTGAACTGTCGTGAATTACGACTAACGTCCGAACCTACAAAACCACTGTCGAACCCGTCATTCTGGTTCCCATAGTTACATTTTGATGCGTGATATCCACGTGCAACTCTAGGAGACATACGTGTTGTACCGCGTGGTTGAAATAAAGGTGTAGATAATCGACTGCTGTCACCTAAACTCGACAAACTGTTGAAGTTACGTGTCTGATGATCTAAGGATGAAATATGCTGTTTTTGTCGGTGGAGTTTAAGATTTTTGCCATCTTCTTCATCTAAAACTACTTTTCTCGAATTTCCCTTACCATCATCAAAATTCAAGCGATCTTTCGTGGCGTGTTGCGATGCAACATTATCTTTAATATCTGATAAACTTTTCTCTGTCGCTTCTCCTGACGCTGGCTTTGATTGAGAAGATTCATGACAAGATGGAGAGAAATTTTCCTTTGTGTAGTAGTCATTGTAAAGTGAAGATGTCGTTTGTTTTTCTTGATCCCCATGTGATGGTAAATGATCTATTTCTGAATTATATAAAGATTTTTCTCCTAAAGGAGATGTCGTTTCATCATCTAAGGTTTCTTCATCAGTTGAGCGTAATCTTGACTCTTCCTTTTCACACGTACCAACATCAACAGCATTTTTATTCTTGCAAGTCTTATCTACATAGGATGTATCATGTGATAATACAGGAACCATGCCCTTTTTGTTACAGTCATGATGTTGTGGTGTTTCCGAGAAACTGTGACGTAACACAACAAGATTGTTGTGCAATGGTTGACGAGATTGCGGCCAGGTCACATTCAACTTGTGGTGTTGCGAGTCATCAAGTCTACATTCAAGAGATAAAAATACAATGTAAGAGTAAACAAAACGTCTTTAATATGATTTTAAATTAAATGAGTTTCCATACTCGTCCTCTCTGTCACGTGATCCATTTTCTGACCGACTTTTCCTTGGACTTGATGTGAAATACAGTGAATCAATCGTCGTAGAAGATGATTTTCTTCTCGGAAGTCTGTCGGCATGACTGACTGTCGTGTCAAAATTTCTTATTTTGCTTGCTAGATTCTCTTTATCTACGTGTGATTTCAGGTCATTCTCGCTTGAACGCCTTCCGCTAAACGTAAGGAAAGCGAAAGGTAGATTAATAACACAATATTTTACAAGAACAATTTTTCCAAAAATAAAAAAGGCCTCAAGCAACATTGACCTAATCATATTTATCTATGGCAATATTATTTTCAACATGTTTACCTAAAAAAGAGGGACTTTAATGCGTCTAATCGTCCTGTTATATCTTCCTCAATCTCATCAATATGCAAGATAATTCTCGACAGCTGTTGATAAACATTGATTGTTAAATTTTAGTAAAATTTATCATCAACTGTATTAAATTTTTAACAAGTTCGCTACAAGCAGATGACTGCGTGAAATATATGATATGCATTTTCCTACCTCTTTATTTAACTCTGACTTTGTGCTAACCATTTTCCCGTCACTTTAATACAAAATAAAAAGTTAGCTTGAGTAACACTTTAATTAAATATATAATAAATATCTGTTGGGAAAAACCAAATATGAACAACAAGATTGATTTTGAAGTCATCATTGCATCCACTCACAAAGATTTTTTATCGATAGTGAAAGATTGAAAGTTAATATAACAAGTCTTTACCTAGAAGAATGCAGCTCATGAGACATAGAGTTGCGTGACAGTAATTTTAAATCACACTTCAGCTTCGAGTGTTCATTACGAAGTTGTGAACAAACATTACGAAGGTCGTTCAATGTTTCCGTCTCGTTCGCTTCATCCACACATGAAAGACTTTCCACAGTGTTCACATCCTCGTTTAATGCTTTTACACGAGAGGCAAAAGCACGAAATTCTGAATTAGCGTCTCTTTTAGATTGTAATGTCCAAGGACCACCTGTTGTCGACGAAAAATTTGTTGTACATGTCTCGTTCATTGTCGAATAATCGCTCGTATTTGCTTGCATAGGTCTGGAATAGTTGATGGTTTGTGTATATTTTGTTTCTTCCAAACCCAAAGTACCATTTGGGGTGCTTTGTATTGGTTCTGAGTATAAATGAAGACTCGTACCAGTTCTTAATTCATCAATAGTATTTTCAGCGGCAGCATGCTTTTTCAACAACTTGTTATACTCCGCTTGTAATTGCTCGTATAGAACATAGGCTGATGAGTCTTTTTTGTTTACTTCTTCATTCATTTCTGGGTAAAAGATTCAAGTTTACAAGAGGTAATAAACGCATTGTTGTCCCATTTTTTTTAAAAAAGTAATTTTCTTTTTCCACACGAGTACCTTCGGTTGCTAATGGACGCCGTTTGCTTCATGTCAACATAACATACAAAGACTTCCGACTTTATGACCTTTATCCGTACATATATTCATGTTATTCCGTTTTAAGATATTAACTACACGTTACAACAGCATTCAATTCATAAAACTAGCAACATATCAGCAATTTTCGGTAAGCTAAACCGTAAATTCCAACACATCGTTCAAGAATGATAAATAATCATTATAAATTTAAGGAATTTTAATGAAGTAATCCAAAGACAGTTTTCCTTCATTAATAATTAACAACATACAAGCCACGTGCAATGTTTATAACTACAAAAACACAAGCAAGTTTCGCAATTATATATAAATATGTAAACAAACATTTATTAAACTTGAACATTTTAACTCACTTTGTCATTTTAAACATTTCTTATTCACAAACTTCTTTCATTCTCGAATTTTTTTAGTCAAAGCTGGCTTAAGTTGTATAGTTCCGTGAAACTCCACCCCGTGATGTCCATAAAGTATTCCCCAGTCTTCGGCCAATCGCTGTTGATAATTTACTGCTAGGACGAATAATATAACCATAGCAAACAGTTCAATTGAAATAGGACAAAACTTTATGGGTGTTTCATCAGTATCATCGTGCGAAGAAAGTACTATATTCAAAAGTGAAAGCAATAACTGCCTCTAAATGTTGATGACAGTGTTAAATTCCCCTCTAGATACCTAAACTATCTAGATACCGAATTTTTGGCACCTTCCTCCATCACCGCGTTGTACCTTAAGATACATGACTTCTTGGGTGTACGTAACTCGTACCCAAGATCTCAAACAAACGTTAAGCGCAATACATGAAAGCCGTATCCGTTTCCGTCAAGGCAAGACTAAAATGACATTCATATGATATACAGTTTTCTCTACTGCCCCTTGTGCTTAACCACAGGCAGAAATCCCCACTTGTAGTGCATACTAAATAGATATCTTCATACCTTTTTGGTCCCTGTATGCTCAATATACCCATAAGTTCAGACTTGTCAATCGACTGACAATGAAATCTTTCATTGCGAATAATTTCATTGATATGATAAAAAGCATGTTCGGCAATAGTTCCTCCGACATCAACAAAAAAAACATTTTCCTTCATGTATAAAATAGGATAAAATAGATTAAAATAAGGGTAAACAAGTACAATGTAATACCATTAGGATCATAAGATGATAATGCTTCAAGAAAATCTTCACCTCTAAAACAGGGACAACCATGAAGACAACAACATCTGCTTGTAAATAGTCGATCCTGGAAGGAAGAACTGTACGATATGTAAAAACAAAGCAAGATGTATGAAAACGATAGACCAAACATTTTAGAATTGGCAAATGTCATAAACATGTTGAACGGTAACGTTCGTTTTTGTCAATAAAGGTTTCTACTCACAAGTACATATCTTGGTCTCATGACGTTTTAAAGCTCTCGTATAAGTGGTAGCCCAAGGGTCAACTCTACCATCTCGTGGGCTATATAATGTACCATAAAGGTCATTAATGTTCATCAGTGAACAAAAATGAGAATCCACGCAAAAAACTTTACCGAGCTGACAAGATAACAAAAGTTTCAGCAATTTGATGTTTCAATAATTGTATATGTTGTTACATACTGTCATCAATAAAACGACAAATATCAACACTTATCAACTACTGTCATCAATAAAACAAATCATATCAACACTTATAAAGTATTTTCATCAATAAAACAAGTCATATCAACACATATCAACTATTGCCACTGTCATCGATGTTCATGTATTCTTTTCTTGTTGTCAGCAATGAGCAAACAACCATTTTCAATCCATCCTATGGAAAGACCTATTTCATTTTCAAGTGCATCTTTTGCCAAGTTCAATTTCTACATCAATAGGTCTCAGTCTCCACACGAGCCCAACACAGCTAACTCCATTCCAGTAAAACAACATTTTTCAAACCTAATAATACAAAGTACTTACACCTAACCTAGCGATCCACCATCAACGACAGTGATATTAGTTTCGTTAACAAAACTATCAGATGCTTTGTGATCAATATTCTAAAAATAAAAATATTTTACGATAAAAACACGTTTAAGCTGAATGTACCATGTCAAGCTTTTTGTAAAAACAATTAACTATCATCTTTTTTTTTTGAGGAGTACAACATTTATGGAATAAGGTATAAGTTTATAAGGTATAAATATTAATGATTCCAACATTAGTTCTAAGACAAAAAACTTAAAAAGACGTTTATTTCACAGCACCATGTAATTGAAACTAGAAAAAACACATTAACATTCACATTCACGTCTTACCTGTAATGTTTTATAAGGAACACAAGAACTTGCATCTTGACTAGACACACGATTAATTAAACAGAAAAAATATTTTTCTGAGCAGTAAACAAAGCTGTTGCTCAAGTTTAACAGTTTCCTAAAATCTAAGATCCTTCGTTCTTAGACTGGCATGATCGTCTCGATAGTTTACGATAGTTGAAAACTAAATCATAATTTTTTGATATTATTAGGAATTCTATTACCACGTTTACCTTGTACATCAATTTTCTGGGACTTTTATATTTTGATTAACAATTTTCTGTTGTTGTTTTTTTATCGTGCATACACATATAAATAAAAATTGTGTAAGTTAATGCAATATAGTCTTGTGTATGATTTAAAATATGTGGCACGTATATATATTATAGCGTAACTTGTTTGTTGATTAGCAATCCATGTACCTGTACCTGTCACCATCAATAACGTAGTTTTCGTACATGGTACGCATTATGTTCAAATGTATTCAATAATGTACTGTGTGGTACCATCCGCTCATCAAGTAGCGATTGTTGATAAACGTAGTTGCGCGCATGAATGGATAATCTCTGATTTTTATTCATTCCTCATAATAATCCTAAGACCAACTTTTAACCAATAATATTATGAGCCCACGCGTATTCATTCATGCCGCAACAAAGCATGTTATCACAGAGCATGCGTCAAAAACTCTCTGCTCAGCAAATCAACAAACAGCATGAAATACCACGTGACAAGAACAAACTCACAACAGCAACCAGAAGGCATAACTTTCAGATGGAAAACCTTTTACGTGATCTCTCCATAGTTATTTAGTGTTTCGGAGAAACACCAAGTATTGTCCTTAATTTCTCGTAAACAACATAACTGATACTAACTGCGGGAATTACTTTCATGAAATTAGGAACAATTCCCCTATAAAGTCCACGAATTCCGTCCGCTTGCCATATATTTGACACCAATACCCGAACTGTTTCATTTCGACCAACACCAGCTATAAAGGGGAAAAATAAAAGTAAAAAACTCGTGTATGAAATAAATTTCTATTTCATATTAAAATATCGCATGTCAACATGATTTCTGCATGCTGCTAAAATAATGTAAAGGTCACGTACTTTGAGCTTGCAGTTTAGTTCTTATAAGAGCAAGGGGATAGCTTGCAAGTTGTCCACAAGTACTGGAGATTGTCCCGCATGCAAGAAGAACAAGAACACCAGGATCAGCAGATTCGTTCTTATGATAATTTAACCAAGCTTGTTTTACTGTCTACGTAGCGAGTGCAAGAAAACAAAAATAAGATAATGAATTGATTCAATGAGAAAGAATGCATACACACGTCTTACCTCGTAAACAGCAAGATCAATACCAGCATATGGAATAATTCCACATAAACTAGGAACCAGTCCCCGGTAAAAAGTTCGAAAGCCTTCCTTCTCGAGGATGATCTGACTTGCGTGTAGCATTCCTTTGTACTGGCCCGTTTTCGCTAACGCTAGTCGCGTTTTTAAAACCTAAATTATGAATCAAGTGGTTTACTGGCCCGTTTTCCCTAACGCTAGTCGCGTTTTTAAAACCTAAATTATGAATCAAGTGGTTATTTAAGAAACACAAAAAATAGAATACGATCAAGTTCTCGCCTCCATTGGATAAATGGACGATTGTGAAGCAATTCCTGCCATAGAACCCGCTATCAATCTTTGCCATGGTTCAATTTGACCATCCTTTGTCATAAATAATTTCTTTGCCTGAATGAAAATTCACAAATTATTGCTGGGAGTGATAAATGAAGATACTCCAAATGTTGCTTGACATGATGTTTTGTTTTAACCTTTTCATAAGAAAAAAACTTCACACCAGATTCAGGTGCAATTTTGATGACATTTGCACCGTTTCCTCGCCATAAAGATCGAATTCCTCCTTCCTTAATCATTTTTCGCATTCCTGAGAAAACACCAAGATCATTCTTTCCAGTGGCTTTTACCTATTATATGAAAAATTCACACAAATGGACTTAAAAAAATGATATGTACTCAACAATTCCCATCATGTCATAGGTACCTGCAATAAAACTTTAAGACGATCCAGAGGCGCTGTAAATGTTCTTGATACTAAAGAGTAAGAGACAATCCTTTGTTTTATTGAATAATCACTGATACAAAATCATTTGAATATTACAAGACATGGTTTACTTTCGTCAACCATTCCACTATCTCCATAACATAACTATCACTTTCCACAAATACAAAACCCAAATATAATAAGGCGAGATTTACCTACTCCAGCGCCTCCACCTGCGACTAACTGCCTCCACCACATTCCTGTTACCTTCTCCTCAACAGTAAATTCATCAGGAACTGTTAAATCTTCACCTATATCAATATACTATTATGGCAAAAATTGAACAACACAATTATAAAATGCACAATTTTGACAATAAAAACAAATAACCAAGATCCTTACACTGGAGTGCCTCCAAAATTGTATAATATCATGAACAGAATGACCGCTGGGATTTAATAAATGATATTCTCGCCATTCATTCCAATCAATTTTCATTGAGCCATCTTTATCCATGCTAGAATCACAACAACGAAAAGCCCAACTTAGTATTCGTCTCATAAAATTTGTCAATTGATCTGTTTATACATCAGTATAACTTACCATTTAAGTAGATAGTTTAATTCACTATCTGTAACATGTATGCTCATTTTCTTAAAAGCTTTTTTTAATTCATTTATACTTATTACACCTGTAAAGAAAGGATGAGAATATCTGATCTGACCCAATCATCAGTGTGAAAAAAACTGTCAAACTACTTGGTCGAGTAAACAATTCTATGTGGTTTTTCTCAGGTTGCCCCTTACCATTATCATCTACATCAATTGATTTAAAGACCAGCCAAAGTTTTCTTTCATGATCAGAAACATATTTTAAAAATTCATCAAAGTCAAGGTAGCCATTGTTGCTTTTATCACCAAGTAACATAATTTTCTAGGAAAAAATCTAAGGAATTAGTCAAATACTACACATAATTTATCAATATATGTCAAAACTGACAATGCATAGTGTCTTACTGGCTGATTGTATGGTCTGTAAAAAATGATTTTTATTGCTCATTAATGTACTCAGCAATGAAAAGTTGTATTTACGGACTTTAGTTATGACAAATATCAATTTGGAAGAATAATTTGCCAAAAAGCTTTATATATTAGAGTTTTGTATTCACCGTCGTAGTTGAATTTTGCATTAATGATTTGTGCATGGCTATAACTTGTCGTCATCATTAATAATACTGCACAACGTGTACTACAACAAATTTTCTCATGTTTGAAATATTATCAATTAAATATTCAACGTAAACATACTTCAAGTTGTCCTTTGGAATGTTTAACTTGCAGTCGTGTTAAGCCGGCCGCCAATTCTTCAGCGTCAATTTTCCCGTCATTATTTTGATCTAAGTCCTTAAAAAGTTTCTCTATTCTATCATAATTCTGTTCACTATATTCTTTATAAAAGTCTTTATCATTATTTTCATCTTTTTCAAGTTCTTTAGCCATATTGAAATGTCACATCCCCTCTCATTAGTACTCAGTCTTCCATCCGTGGTCCTCACTGCTGTCAATGCGGATGAAGAAGATTTTCTTTATCTTTGGACAACCATTTTCATCATCTTCGATATAAGTTATTTTAGGAACTGTGACACACAATCATTTGCGTTAGTTCACATTTGAAAAGCTAAGTTAGGTGGATCAATTCGATTATTCATTCACTTGTGTAATTGCCTCCTTGTCGACACATCTGGGCCGGTTGCACGAAGCCTGGATAGCGTTATCCATTAGATAGTAACTTTTTCAAACTTATGAAAAAAGAGGTTGTATTTTCTTTACAATAATGAAACTTTGTAATTGTAAAACCAGGAGTGTATTTCATTAATATTCCAGTTCAAATCTTTGATTGTTTCCTTTTCAGAGATTTTTAAGCCTTAGCTCGTACTTTATCAAAATTTATCTTGAGTAAATACACATTTGCTCAAATACAAATGGTAGTTTGTATTAGAGTATACGGCTAATAAATTCTTCTGCAATAATTACGCGTGGTTTAAATCTAGTGAATTACAAGTTAGTCTTCGATAAACAGATGCCTCCTATTAAAAAAGATTGCTTTATAAACACTTTAGTTATACTTCAGTAGACTATCAAAACCATGATCTTAAAGTTACGCTATGAAATCAGCAATCGAAATACCGTAAATGTGGAGCACGCATCCCAAGAATCATTATGTTGTTTTGAAATATATGATTTATGCCAGCAAGTTGGCGACGTTATTAAAGAAAGACTAATTTTTCCTGTCACCCATGAATTACAAATGAAACTCAACACTTAAGCCTTTTTATCGATGGCAATTAATATTTTTATAAAGCTGAACACACAAGTTAAAATCAAATATAAAAATTAGACAAAAACAACAAATTTATGGCTAAACTCCCTGATTGGCTGAGATCATGTACTTGACTATTAACACCTGAAAGTTATGAAATCATTTCAAAACTGGGATTAACTGTGGCAAATGAAAGAAATATTGGGATGAAAAACACTTTGTAATGTAACGTAATTGTTTAGTAATATCCTCTATGGTTAGCAATATCAAATTTTCAAATTTGTTCTTGATAAGATTTTGATAATGCATGTCAGAGTTGGCATGTAATTGATTTGGCGCAAAAACTAAATCAGACGCAATTTAAATCATTTGCACATAATGTTAAATAATTGATTTCTTGTACGTGTAGAACTATATAAATTTTCGTGCCTATTTGTGGCTCTATAAACGGTGACACTTTTTTCGGGAAAACTGCATTTGTTCTTTAAAACATATTCAAAGAAACTACAAAACTAAAAGGTAGGTTATAGGGTAGTAACTCACTTTCATTTAAACATGGTAAGCTTTGATGAAAACATGATCTTCATAACGCTATATTTGCGCATCATACGAAGGAGAAGTCTCCATAGCTAACATCGACGGCGAATTTTGATCGAGTGCAATTTTATATTAACAAAAATTTACAAAAGCAACACAAGAAAATATCTATGTGTATTTTAACTGAGCCATCACCATTATTTATGAGGAATAAAGATGTTTTGAATCATTTTTTTGTCGCCAATGGTCGGCCTTTCTCTTTACCTCTTAACTTTATACCTGGAAGACAAAATGACGTACTTAAAAAGGTATAAAAATTTCAAAAGCATGTGCAAAATATTGAGTGAAAAACACCACAAAAATCAACCGATTGTTAGGTAAGAAAAACCACAGAAATTTAATGGTATGTTTTGCGTTGATATTCGTTCCTCTCTCGTGAATTTAAATTCTCACAAACTGATTAGTATAAAATATACTTTCTTAAAAACGTTAAATGATAATTTTCGAAACTCGCCTTAAAAAAACAAAATTCAACAGTATTTTTAGAAGTGGTAACAATATAATAGAAAAAATATCATCAAACCTAGCGCTCTTTCAATCTTTCCCATTATCTGGTTGTTTGGTATTGCTCTACCAGCTTCGTAATCATTGATTACTGAAGGTTTTTCGTTGATTTTCTACAAGGTAAACCACTAACTATGAATAATCATCATGAAGAATTATTAAGTTTCATATTTCAAGGCAAACTAAGTCAATTTCAAGAGGTACATCTACATCTTTTAACAGTGATCATATAAATGGCAACTTTTTGTACATTCCAGTCAAATATAAAAAAATAATTTATAAATTACCGTGGCTAAATCCTTCTGACTCATTTTCTTCTCCATCCTTCCTTTTTGAATTAATTTCCCCACATCCAATGAGACTCTTTCATCTGAAATTAATAACTCTATAATTCCACATGTCTTCACAAACATGATTCAATAAATTTTCAAATCACTAACGATGAAGTTCTTCGGTCTCTCGATCCAGTTTAGCACTATCCTTTGAGGACGAGTGTTGTCTGTTTTGTCCTGCTGAAACTAAACATAAAACTACTTTACAGGATCATTACCATAATTTAAAGGATAATGACAGTACTTTACAGGATCACGGCCTTGCCTTACAGGATCATGGTCCTACCTTTAAGGATCCTGACCCTACTATACAGGATCATGACCCTACTTTACAGGATCATGACCTTACTATACAGTATCATGGCCCTACTTTACAAGATCATGACCCTACTATACAGGATCATGGCCCTACTTTACAGGATCATGACCCTACCATACAGGATCATGGCCCTACCTTTACAAAAAGCCTAATGCTAATATATACAAGCAAACATATCAGTGGAAATTTAAAATGTACAAATACATTTTTCCGGGGCTGGCCATTTGCTTTAAATTGAAAGTGAGCCCCGAAAATTTAACACTAAAACAAAGCTGAGCACCACAAATGCAAGTTGTACAAGGGGAGTCAGGAAAAAATTTAATTTAAGAACCTCTAAAATGCCATTTCCTGGCCTTTGGTGAGTGAAAGAACACTAACTTTGTCATTTCAAATGCACTTTTCATTCCAATTTCAAAGTTTGAGGCTTCATATTTGTTTCTGTGCCACTCAAAAATCAAGCTTGAAGGGGGGGGAAATACTACCCTGCAAGCATACCACTATGGCAAAGGGCCATTGGTCCAAAAGAGTACAAAATAAATGTAAGTTTTTTTTAACAGTACAAGTTTTTTTTACCAAAATGGTAAGCAATGAAAACACTCTGATGCATTGAAAGATAAGCTTTCTTTCTTAATATAAATGTTCTATACACATACAGCACTGATATTTTGCAATAACGTTCATCTTTTCTTCAAAACTGAATGACATGTTGATTGCATGGTCACATGTTTATGTAGAAAATATTAGAACTCAACTGCTAACCATACTGCGAAACGCTGATGAATATACATTCATATTTGCGGGCACTATTAATTATGGGTGTGTAGTGAGTCATTTTAAGATTGTTGAGAATATTGCACAAGATACAAACATTTCTTTGATGTGTCAACTGCTTTTCCTTCCCTTCGAGCAGCTTGTACTGCCTAGATAAAAACACAAGATAAAAATAATTTATTATGTCTACGTTATTATTAGTAGAATTATAACAAAATACATAGTCGACGTTTGGTTCATTTTCCTACCTGTTGTGAGCGCATTTCAGTCGCTTTCGGAGGTCTCTTTCTTAAATAAGTAGTTTCATCCCATCCTACTTCAGACATTTTAAAAAATATCGAAATATATCAAGACTCACAATCCTAAACTTTCGACTATTGTAAAAATTCACACTATTTTAAAATTATGGGGCAATTCGGACGTTCGGAAAATGCCGAGAACATACGGAAGCCCACGGAACAGTGACGTCATCTCACAGATTTGATTGGCTGTTTTCCAAATAGAACTCGAGCGTTGATTGGCTAAAACAGCATGGTTCCTCATTCCCTGAAGTGAACATGAAGAAACTTGGATACGATAATTGGAAGTTTGATGTTTTCTTGGAAATTTTTTTGCTGTATTTGAGACACTTCATAGAACTCGTTGTTCCTTGTCTTAGAAAACAGTTGCTGCAGCTGAAAATAATATGAAACATATTCAGAATAAAAAGTTTATGTTTAACTCAATATTTGGAAAACAGACAAGACAAACATAACGACTGCCAAAGAGTATTTTAGTAAAACACAAGACAAAAGACACGCTGTATAAAGTAAACATTATTTCATCTAAACGTTTAAATAAGTGTTACATGTCCTTTTCTACTGATGATGACGTGTAACACTTGTCTAAACGTTTAGATTATTTAATGTTTACTTTATACGGAGTGCTTATGTGTCTTGTGTTTTACCAAAACAAGACAATTTCGTAATTTTAAAAGTAATATTTCAAATTTATGGCTAATTCATCTTCAGCCTCTATTCTTCAGACTCTATGTAATAAATACGATTTAAATATTACTTTTAAAATTAAAAATTGTCTTGTTTGTTTTAAAAGGTGTTGAGTTAACATGAACTTTCTGTTCGGAGAACGGTTTCATATTATACTACATAAAATTGTCGGCTGGTAATGGTTTTGGCAGCTGAAAAATTACATAACTATTAGACTGGAATCAACCAGAGGAAGCCATGACTTCCCACTTTTCACCACAAAAAATTGCGGTGTGAAATGTAAATTTCTTCTAGAGCACCTAATGTTTATTTAACTTGAACTTTCAAAAAAGGATTTTTTCTTTTAAAAAATCCCTTTCCTGACCCATTGAAGTTGAAAACATTTGCCGGCAAGCAAATATCAAAGGCGTCGCCAACCACGTCCTGAATTAATTTCATGGCAATTTTCTTTTGTAATATTAATCAAAAAGCGTGTTAAATATGCACAGTCAAATATGCACTTGTCACGAAATCGAATCACTCTTTATAGTGTGGTGTTTAAAGATTGTGGTGCTTTGTAAGACTTTGTTTCTTGACGGCTCGAAGGTTGTTTTATTTCCAAGCCTGAAATTGCCTTAGCATTTGGTAGTTTTGGACAAAGTTTAATAATACACTTGAAGTCAGGTAAAAGTGGTTGTAACTTAAGACAAAACACGGTAAGTTCATTTGTAATTCTTCTTAATTCTGCGTCGAGCTAAGAATTAGTTATAAATCGTCCATATTATCAAAAGCACAACTTCATTTTGATGTGTTGCAGCACCTTTAAAGTATCTTAATTATTGATAAAGCAATTGATTTTATATTGCGTAAAAAGTTAAAGCTTTAAGATATACCTTGAGTCCAAAGCACTTAAAAATAAGAATTTTTATTATCGAACAACAGGAAGTAGCTAAAGGTTATCTACATCAATAAAGTTTAAAAGATAGAAATGTATATGCAGCGTATGAAAGACGCCAAGAAAGAACAGTAAACAAATACAGTGCAATTTGAATCCTTTTATTGGTTAAACTTTATCTACCAACAAATTTTAATATAGTTCTGTGATGACAAAAGATTAATAGCCGAGCAGCACTATATGAAGAAGGAAATGAAACGTGTAGTACATGACAGCTGTGTTGTGTGATATTTTTTTCACTGTCAGTTTAATTTGAGCATTTAAAATAATCTGTATACAAGTGGGTGCAAAGGAGATCGGATTCTTAGCGTAGAGAGAATTTTCCAGACTAGTGATATGAACCTGAACTAAGTGTTACTTCTGGCTTAATTAAATGCGTGCAATGTGTCTGAATACAAACATCTGCAAAGGTCAATATATACAGCAATATATACACAACTATAAAATGCCAATGTTATTAAAAGTCGTGATATCCAACAAAGGATCACAATGATAGCGACAAACGACAGGATATCTCAAATATACGAAGATAGTCAGTCAAGTCCGTCAACAGTCAAGCTCTTCTATTGTTAATTAAGTCAACAGTTTGTACCAAGTATACAGCTGTTGACGTATTGTTTACACTACTTTCTTACAACCCCAGAAAAAACTTGAAACAAAATTTAGATGCAGTTTCATAACTACCAGTCTAAAACAAAGGTAGATTAAATTACCTTATATCTGTGGCATAACCAACCAGAGGACATATTCCTTTTCCAACACCAAAACATCGTTGCTTGGGGAAAGATGGAGGAATATCTATAAAAGAGAAAATTATTTTATTTTTTTCGTCAGCTTGATGATAAAACATATGGTGTAAAAGAGCGAAAATTTGATTAACATTTGAATTTTTTTTTAGAAGCATGGCATATTTTCAAGGAACTTTTGAAAAACGTTGTATGACGACAGGAGCTCCAACTGAACTTTCCTTTATCACAACGACATTTTCAATCATCTTCACAATCGTAAACATCCCCGGTAATCTTCTAGTGATCATTGCTGTAGTTCTAGATCCTTACAAGAACCTACGTACACCGTTTAACTACCTTATGGCAAACTTAGCCATGGCTGACTTGATTGTGGGAACTGTGACTGACCCATTATCTGTGTACATACATTTGAAAGAGGGAATTGATGAAAAGTTACACAAGAAAGAGATACAAGCTCTACATATGTCGTATTTCATTTCTTGCACAGCTTCTGTGCTCAGTCTAGCAACATTGGCAATAGAAAGATATTTGGCTGTCAGGAACCCACATAACTATAGAAACAGGTAAATATCTTAAACCTAACTTGGATTTATGCAAGAAGTCCTGTACAGTAAAAAGCTTTCAGTATTTTTTGAAATTAGTTTGTAGTTTGTCGCATCTGGTTTATGTAGATTTTTCTACAGGTTTTGATTGCTTATTAAAAATCATCTTCTTATTTAAAAGATTCACAACGAAACGAGTATTGGCGACAACAGCAATAATTTGGTTGATATCCCTCAGTTTGCCATTTGTCTATTTTGAAGTTGGCTATATAACATATGCCTTTATATTTGCCAACACGGGTATCGTGTTTGCCATTACAATAACGATACTGACATATTCGCTCATGTTCCGTACTTTTCAACAACGTACTGGTAACGCCATCATCAACAATCACAATGGAAACGAAAAGAAATCCATGGATGAGATTACACCACGTAGCGATCAAAGTCAAACCGCTGCTGCGTGGGAACGCAAGGTCACAAAGATGTTCCTTTGCGTTTTGGTAGCCCTTCTTTGCTGCTATGGTCCATCAACCATCTTTATCTACATCATGAGTTTCTGTGAATCATGTGACTGTACAACGTTACATTGGTTTAGAGATCTCCAGTTCTTGTTCGTAATTGCAAATTCATCTGTAAATTTCTTCTGCTATGCGTTGCGATCCCGTCGTTTCAGAAATGCATTCTGGTACATTTTTCGCATGAAAAGAATAGAAAGTCCAGAGCCAATCTCTCAATCTGGAGCAAGGTCCACACAATCTTCAAATGACACTCGTATATAGATTTTGGTTATTGAAAATATCAAAGTCATTTTAAAAATATTTTCCTCTCTTTTAATCAGACCTTGCAGCTTTTATTTAATGATGTTACAAATGAGATTTTTAGTGAGTAAACAGTTTATAATCTTTGAGAGACATTCATTACTTCAAAATGACATTCACTATATGATAGCTATGTGAAGTTTTAACTGTTTATTTTACCTACACTTGTATTTCATTCATACAGAATAATGCATTTGTATTTAGAACTTATCTATACAGTAAAAAATTTATTTGATTTAGCATAGTAACGAAGATAAAAGATTATCAATTTAACAGCAGAAGTAAAACAATGAATGTTATTTTTGTCATTTATTTTTCTTGACTATTTTTGCACATTTTTCTCTTAACATTACATAAATTTTTGAATTTTTATCTAATGGTTTGTTAGTTCAGTGGCAGGCCTATTTCATTGTTAGCAAAGCAAGAATATCTTATACTAATTATCGATAAAACAAAACTGCGAGCATCTATTGTAACAACAAACTTTTACGTTTGGCTTCCACCGATGGCAAATTAGAAATTATCGAAATTCAACTTAGCAGCAAAACAGGAACAAATTTTAGCAGCACAAACATAAGAATACTTAAACTCTTTGTAATACATAAATAAGGTCCACATGATCTCCACATAAGTTCTTTTAGAGTGTTCCACGCTTTATAACGCATTCTTCAAAATAGCCAGCAAAAAGTTCGTATAATAGAATCATTAAAATTACACGTAAATATAAATTTTATTATGTAAGAACGTTACGTTTTTATCCTAAGATATGGAAATGAAATATATAACACCAATAAAGTACTAATTATAACAAACGAGAGAAGGTTGGAGCTGACCACATGACTGAAAAGGCATCCTATGACATCACCAATGCATATGTAATTGATGTAAATATATATTTGTAAGTGTTAAAGTTGGAAAGGATGCATAATTTTTGAGGTCTATCAAACGATGGATATCTTTGAATGACGACAGGGCCGAATCATTTATCAAGGTAGGTAAATAATCCATTATAATGTGAAAGAAAACAATCTTCTAATGTCCATGTACAGGAAAATCAGCAAATGTAAAAGGACAAAGAATGACACAATAAATTTCGGAAAAAAATAATCGCACAAGCTTAAATTCGGACGAATTCGCACATGAGCACATGAAATTTTCATACAGTTTGTTTTTACTCGACAAAATGAAATTTAATTGCACTGTAATCATGTAATACGTTAAATCATTTAATATGTCGGATGGGAAGAAACAAAATGTGTATTACATGATAACATGAAGAGAAGTTCTCAATTTAAGACGTACTACATATATTTTGCATGAAATTACCACTTGAACCACACAAAGATTAATGAAACCGACAGCTTCGATAACTGTCTATGCACACAAGCAATATTTTGAAAAGAAAGCATAATTATGAAATGCTAGCGAAACCAGCTATTTTCTTAGCAAGTTTTGGGAAGCTTTTAAAACGAGTGGAAACATTTCATTTTTCTTTCTGGATAAATTAAGCGAAAATCCCTTTAAACGAAACAAATAAATTCCAACATGAATTAGCTACATATAAAAAGACAGTGCAAATTTTGTATCAAAGAATAGAAACAGAGCTAGTAATGGAAATGACGATTATTGATAAAATCTAAACGATAAGGTATATTTTCCTAATATACAGCATACTCGAAGAAAAAGTAGTTATATACTTGATGCAGAGCAGGTGAATGCATGGGAGAGTTTTTGTTCAGCAGAGAAAACTTAAAAAAACACCTGTCTACATAAAATATAGTAGACCAATTAAATCCAATTTAATGAGATATCTTAAGATAGATTGTTGATTTATGACTTTTTGACGCAAAAGGAAGACGAAATACTCCCTGGCTGAGATGGTTGCGAACGACGTTCGAAGAAAATTAATCGTTAGGGTATTCTTGTTATATTAAATATATTAACTTAAACCTGTGCGCAAATCCTGTACTTTAAACAATTATTATAAAAGCTTATTTGTCTGACATGTAGGTTTAAAGATAAAGATATCTAACACAGGAAAATATGTCATATCTTCAAGAAACATTTGAAGAACGGTGTGAAACGACAGGTGCCCCAAGTTATCTTTCTTTCTTTACCACATCAATATCAATTTTACTGCTAACCATAAGTATCCCAGGAAATCTCCTACTCATACTTGCTGTGGCACTGGATCCAAATAAAAATCTCCGATCTCCCTTCAACTATCTGATGTCAAACCTCGCTGTCGCTGATCTCATTGCCGGTATTGTAACTGGACCGTTGTCGGTTAACTTTCATATAAAGGAAGGTCTGCGTAAAAAGATGTTTAAAAGCGAGATCTACCTTTTTCATATGTCATATTTTATATCATGTACAGCAAGCATACTTAGTCTTGCTTCCCTCGCAATAGAGAGATATCTTGCTATCAGAAGCCCTCACAAATATCGAAGCAAGTTAACTGGAAGAAGAATTCTTACTACGGTTGCATTCATATGGCTGGTAGCAACATGTCTGCCGTTCATTTATTTCAAAGTTCACTTCATTACCTGCGCTTTTATCCTTACAAATACGACTGTTCTACTAGCCCTGGCAACGATGGGTTTCACACAAGGATTGATGATTTGGAAACTGAAAAGAACACACAGACATCACCCATCAAAAATAGAAAATCTCCCCCAAGTTGAAATACAGAGTACACCTGACTACACCAACAGGACTATTGACATGGAGACAAAGATTACAAAAATGTTTCTTGTCGTCATGACAGCAGTACTTTGCTGCTATGGACCAAGTGCCATATTGATATATGTCACGAGTTTCTGTGAAAGCTGCAGTTGTACATCTTTACATTGGTTTCGTGATTTGCAATGTCTCTTTATCCTCGCTAATTCCTCCGTGAATTTCTTCTTTTATGGCCTTAGATCACCCAGATATCGTCGGGCGTTTACTGAAATATTGAGATTACCCGGACGCAGGAAATATGCTTGTAATATCGCTTTTGGTTACAACAAACCACGAAAGGCTTGCACTGACGTTTAAAAGCATCAAAACTATTTACATATAAATTACAAAATTCACGAGAGATTCTTTTTAGCTAAGCCATATACCTTTCAATAAGGTATAATTTACAGCTATAAATAAGACAGTATCTTTACTACAATGAGTTTTATATCTTTCAAGGTTGGCAATCTTAATTTGATGAAAAATGGCATGTGTTTGATCTTTATCTTTGTCAGAATATGATAATCTTGAATTTGAAGCAACGGGGATTTCAAATACTTTCATGAATAAATAAATATTGAGTTGGACTGAACAAAACTTTCTTCGACTTGTGTCTGTTTTTTTTTTTATCAATCGAGACAATTGCCCATGTTGAAGTAAATAGTCAAACTTAATAAAATTTTTACCCACTCGCCACTTATTTATTATAAACTTTTCACGATTTTGACAGTAACTATGCTAAGTAACAAGAAATCTAAAAATTTTTTATTTAAAAAGACCTATGATATAGTCGATGACATCAAATATTACATTTTTAAAGAAAGTCATGCGTTTGTTCTTTGTTATGAAAGACCGTAAGATTTTGTCTATAACTATTTTATATGAGCATGCGCAGCTTCGTCCATTTCTACTTTCACAACGTCAATTCATCTGGCAGTTTGTATGTATGTTGAATCAGTAGCGCATCCAGGGTTAGGCAAAATAAATTATAACTGCTAATTTTAAAATTCAAATACGTTTATAACAAAGCCATTGGTAATGAATTTCAAAAGAATAAAAATTAATCAATCAATATTATGAAGTAATTCATTTTGCCTATAACTCGATCCGTCCCTGTGTTGATTTCATCCATAAGCAAAGTATCAAAATTATGGTGCCTTTTTCGCTTGCTGACTACGAAAAACTTTAATAAGGGAAACTTTCTGACACCTTCGCAGGAGCAAAAATTTATCCATTAATATATTGTCGTTCTCGTGTACACATGCGGACGGTCTAATTAAAACTTGTCAAAAATTGACATCGTAATTTGGATTAGTCTCAGACTTCATCAAAAGTTACATCATTTTTATGAAATAGCAGAGCCGTTTATCACAATTTTCAAATTAATTATAAGTTTATAAAGAGTAAAAATAATTTATAGGCAACAATATAAAAGATATATATTTTATTTCAAAACTATTTTTTTATCACTTTCAAGGTACAAATAAGTTTACATGCAAATTGCGTTGATGTTATGAGCTGAAAATCGTCAGATTTAAAAATTTATGTTTATCTTTAATATTTCTGTCCAAAAATAATCAGATGTCACGAATACAATAATATGCGATAAGACGTTGCAGAGATTGAAAGGTTTGTGCCAAAGTTTGCTACACCAGAAAAATAAAAAATCTAGGCAGAACAACATATAAATTGCACAAACAGTATATCTAACTTAATAATAACATGGTACTGTGCTTTCTACATCATTTCAGCTGATGGAAGCTTGTTAATAAATGTCTTTCTTTTTTTATTAATGTGTAAATTACATGACTCTTTTCAGATTAAATCAGTTGTCAATTACGGTGGGCGAGAAATTAATTAAAATTATAAGATATAAACTTTACTTGAAAGAAATATTTATAACATACAGCCCCGCAGACAAGCGAACACAGATATCCACGTTTGAACAATCAGAAAAACTGAAAAGGTATTTCATCCTAAATTTTTACTGTTAATAATTGTTCAGCTTTTTTCACGAAGGAACAATTCACTGTACTTTAGAGACAAATATCTTGCAAAACGCACTTTCTAGTCTTTACTCTTCATCTATGAGACATTGTCTGATTGAAATAATGAAAATGTATGATAAGGAAAATAGGCTCCATTGATTATGAATTAAATTGCACCAAACGAGATAAAATTACAGAGAAATGAAGAGAAAAAAAGTTAGAGATAATTAAATGAGAAATCGTAAATTTTAAACTTCTTATGTTATATCAGGTTATTTTATATTTGAAGCACCAAATCATCAATTATTTTCTTTGACAAAAATCCAACAGCATACAAATAACTTCGTTCAAGTGCATGATGACAAAATGTCAGGTAGTTCTTTTGTCCTAATCACAGATCTATTGCGCTAATCATTTTTGATAAACCACATGTCACTTCTTTGTTTACATGAGACGTTTCCATTGAAATGAGCACAAACAAAGTAGTTATTCGGCATTATCAATATTCAAAAGAAGAAAGCAGTTAGCAAAGTTCATTACATAATACACAATTCTCTACGACAAACATATTTTCTCAGTCGCATTGTTTGGTGTTGCAGTAGCAGTAGCAATAGCAAGGAAGAAGACGAAACACAATGTTAAATTTCCAAGGTGAATTTGAAGAAAGGTGTCATTCGATAAGAGCTCCGACCTATCTTTCATTCTTCACTGCGGTATGGTCCAATATTTGTCTATTGTTGAACATCCCTGGTAATGTACTCGTGATCATAGCTGTACTTCTAGATCCATTCAAGAACCTACGTACTCCTTTTAACTATCTCATGGCAAGTCTGGCATGTGCCGATCTACTCGTAGGAATAGTGACTGAGCCTATATCTGTGAGCACACATATTAAAGAAGGTCTGGGGAAGAGCATACCACTGAAAGAAGTTCAAGCACTTCACTTATCATATTTCATAAGTTGTACGGCATCAGTACTGAGCCTTGGAACGCTAGCCATAGAACGGTATTTGGCCATTAGTATACCTCACACCTACAGGAGTAAACTTACGGGAAAAAGAATCCTAGCAACAATTGTCGGTATTTGGACAATTTCATTAACACTTCCAATGTTGTATTTTGAAGTAGGCTTTATAACATACGCATTTATATTTGCCAACACAGCACTTTTAGTTGTGACAATCATCACATTTTTCACATATGTCATGATGCTGAGACGATTTCGCGAAAGAAAAATGAACTTTGTGAGAAGAAGTTCTCAGATATCTCGATGTCCTAGCACAAGTGATACTCAGACAACAGTTACCTCGGTGTCACGTAACGCGAGCGTGATTGACAGTCCATACACAGCGTCGCCAACACGAGCAACTGCAGATATAGCTCACATCCCAAAAGAAAGTTTCGTTCTTCCCACAAAAAACTCTGTGCACAGCAGTTGTGAAGCCTTAGAGCAGAAAGTTACGAAGATGTTTTTAGTGGTTCTGGCTGCGATACTGTGCTGTTATGCACCTTCTACAATCTTCATTTATGTGATGAGTTTTTGTAAAACATGTAGTTGCCTAACCCTGCATTGGTTTAGAGATTTACAATTTCTCTTTGTCATTGCGAACAGTGGCATGAATTTTTATTGTTATTCATTGCGCTCCCCCCGGTTTCGGAAGGCATTCTTACACATATTGCACATGGAGCGGCAACAAAA